ATGAGTTGCGGTGTTGGAGCATTGCACTTTGTATGGTGGAGAGGTGCTTGAGGATTTGCCTCTCCAGAAACGTTACTTGAGCTTGGTCATGCTGTTCGGCATTCTGAGCGTTGCGGGGATTATTAGAGATGGTGGGAGGAGTGAAGCTTGTGGCCGTTGGTTCGGTCCTTTGGGAGAGTGGACGCTGGACAATGCTTGAACTACTGGCACCTTGGCTGATCTGCGATGACGACGCGGCTAATGACGTGCAGAGAGATGAAGAACATATCGAGGTAGATGATGGGATTGTGGATGGTTGTATTGTGGCCTTAGGAGGTTGTGCAGCGCTAGAGCTGCGAGGATCCAGGGGCATTTCGGCTTTATACTGTTCCTTCGACATACAGTCGTCGAAGAAAGGGCTGGCTGGAATAGGAGAGTTGGGAAATAGAGTCTTGTAGAGACTACGGTATCTCGTAGCAAGACTCTCTTCTCCTTTGGAGATTGGATTCGATGGACATGATCGAAGCGCTTCATGCGATGCATGTTCCTGGCTGTTGATAAAGTAGGCCTTGCAACGCTTGCAATTTTGGACCACAAACTTCTTGTTGTGGGCACGAGTGGTGTTCAAATGGCGTCTAAGAAGAAATCAGTTTCATTTGGACAATTCATCATCCAGGGAGTTGCTTACTTCAGAGCAGCCATGCTCTCAAAATCACGTCCACTTGGGCAGGCCTTCTCATGTGGCAGGTCACTCATTACCGCATGCTTAATATACGGACAGACAAAGTACCTTCTCGAGCTCGTAGTGATCTCGGAAGCCGCAGCATCCTGCCCCTGGTGGGCATCCATCTTCAGTATTCGTTTTTTTGTCCGTGTGTGTATTCGCCAGGTAATCGTGTTCAAAGCTGGGCACTGTTGAGATGGGGAGGTATTCTAGAACTCGGGTGAATTAGTCTAGAACTCGTGAAAGGTGTTGGAGTGGCTACATACAGTGTGTGCGCGAACCAAATAATCACGTTGAAAGTTGACCTCTCTTTTGACAGTGAAAGTAATCTCGAACTCGGGAGAGTTAGTCCAGAACTCATGAAAAGTGTTGCAGTGGCTACATACAGCGTGTGTGATCAGATAATAGCGATATTTTCCAAAACTGGGCTCTCATTTGATGGAATTAGTACTCCAGACCTTGGCGAATTAGTCAAGAGCTCGTGAAAGGTGTTAGAGTAAGCACATACAGTGTTCGGTTTGTGGTTTGTTCGTCTGTACTTTCGCATAATCGCAAATAGAATATGCCACCACATCTCGGAGGCGTAGGCTCGTTGGCCAAAAGAAACCCTCAGGGAGATTTGAGGATACCGTCCGTGCACCATTGGTTGCTCGAATCCCCACGGCGGTTCTCGATCGTTTCCTTGAATAAGAAAAGACTCACCTTCCTTACCTTTGGACGGGTTTGACAGAGGTCCGGGGAATTGGGATGGTAGTTCGAAAAGTCTACGGTCGGATCCGGTTCCAGTTTTCCTAAATATACTGTGGACGCAGGTAAGTGTGAACCAGAGAAGGCCTTTAAGGCCTGACAATAATACTTAACCATCCGGGATCCTGTGATAAGAGCACAAAGGGACGCGAGCGTTTTAGTGCTCAGTTCGACGCAAGCAGTGTTCAATCCAAGAATGGATGGGGATCGTAAGTGAAAGATGGCGAGTGGGATGGCAGTTGAGGCTTTTAGAGATCGATGGTCGGGCAGGGGCTGAGTTCCAGGCTGCGGGACTCAGCCCTGTTCTCTTCTTCGGTTGCAGATTCCATCGGGTACAGACGCCCGAGTGATCTTCCGGAGGACCACACGGGCGACTGATACTCGGGTGTGAGATATAGTAGTGTGAGGGATGATATCGAAGGCTGAACGATAGTAAAGTGATGGTACGAGCTGCGAAAGGCGGAAGGTGGAAGGCTGGGGCTTTTCTATTGCCTGTTGGTCTGCACAGATGTCAGATATGCAACTAGAAGCCCTCACACTTACGCAAATGCGGTATGCGTATGGAACAAGGCTGAGCACTTCTAATTTTAGAGAGCATGGAAACTCAGCCTGAAGCGCCTGCACCAAGCCACCACTTATGCTCAATGACGAACAGCCGAGCAAATGAACGACGTTGTATAGACGTGGAGTCTTCAAACGAGTTTCACAACAGAAGGCCAGGGTAAATAATAGCAGACCCCCACAAAAAAACACAAGCCAAGGCCAGTTCAGTGCTACTATGAGCTATCTTTCGGCTGCAATACCCGTCCGTGGAAATTCCGGTTAGCCGGAGCCTTGACAAAGAGATTTGTTGGGCACAATGCGGAATTGGCCCTGATTGGTTGAAAAGATGCTGAGATATGTTTCTTGAAGTGAGCGAGCCCGATTACGTGTGGATCCTTGATTCTCCAAACAAGCTATTACTAAATGGTGATATAAGTTCTGACTGAGGAGGTAAGTTGTCCTCGAGGTAGAGTCGGTGAGCTGTGAGCCTGGAGGAAGGGCATCTCCCAGACGATAGCTTCAGCTACCCATGACATGAGCAAAAAACAAGTCCACGCTAGCCATCGGCTGCGAGAGGAGACTGTATATTCAGTGGTAGGCTGTCAGCTGGTGAATTCTTGTAAGAGGGATAGGATGAGCGTTAATATAGTTTCAAAGGGGGGAACTGTTTTATCTTGGTCATGGCCGGATCGTAGGTGTCTTGGGCTTCAGGTTGGCCTCGAGGCGGCCCGCAGGCTCCTAGTACTCTTCTTTGCAGCCGTTATCGGTGTGGTGCAGTTCTTTAATGGCCAGGTTAGCATTGTCGACAAGAATGGTAGACCATCAATAGACGTACCGCCGTAACTGTCACATTTCGGTACCGTGAAGCCCTCAACAAAGCCTGCGCTCCTCAAGTAGTTGAGATTCCCCTTGTAAATGGAGAAGTATACAACGAAAGCAGCCATACCGCCAAAGCGACCGGGAGTGGTAAGGTGGGGAGTGAGTAGTGGTGTTGTGGCTTCTGGTGAGCGACATGCAGCGGGCGGCGAAGAAAGCGCGCCTTGCTTGCGGCTCCAAGAAGTTTTCGGGACCGACATGTCGAAATAGAATCTGGACATTTGTTGGCTTCGCTCAAGTCCTTCGCTCGGCGTCATTGATCCATTGCATCATTAGCATTCCGATGATGACATCAATGTATTAATAAGACGGCTGCCATGACTGGCTCACGGCGGTAGCGCAACGCTTGAGGCTCTTCTATACGCATCCCGGGTTCCGTATTTCCAGACGGCCGGAATCTGCAGGTGCTTTAAGTGCCGGGATGACGTAAAAAGTAACCAGCAGGGTGCTATGATCTGCGACCCTTCTGGAATCAGAACCTCTCCCCTTGCATCGTCCATTTAAAGCGCTAGTCGTGACCACTTCAGCTCCTGATTCACACTTCTAAATCCACTCCCCTATCCACGATTCTTTCCATATATTATTCCCCATACTCCTGCACTCTTAGCTCACGACTACCATCCTACAAGATACTCGGGACTGACCAATAGAGCCCGGCTATGATTTACCGGCCCGCGATGAAATCGCTCTACGCGCCTCCCACCCTATCCTTCACCGTCCCTTCTACCTAGCGCTCAATACACAGCATCGCTTTCTTCCATCTACATGTCAGTAAGCAGATCTGCCTCTGCTATAGCCGAAATATTTCCGGACCTTGCAAGGATTACCGGGTTCGGCTAGCGCTCCGATGCAAATCCTCGACGGCCGCAGGAAAAATTTTGCCTCTGCGAAGGCTTGGAAACTGCGTGTTTATGATGTAGTCTGATGAGAATACAAAGTGCCGAGTAAGGTTGTATGATGCTAGCAGCGCACTGTCGATCGATCAACGACCTTTTAAAGGGTTCGCCAACCCTTCCAACGCCCCCTTCCCCACCGTACCCCACCCCCTCATTGACCAGATCAGGTTAGCAGCATCACGGGGTTCATCAATGGATTTGAAGATCTAAGTTATACTGCGGTGACAAAGGCTGGAAAAATTTTCCGCGTACTTGACGTGCGGTCTACCATTTCACCAGCAGGTATTTCACCTAATTTCCAGCCCATCTCCACCAGCGTGACCTGAGGCCCGCCAATTGGAAGTGGACGAAGAAGATTAGTGGAAAGGTTTATACACTTGATTATTGAGCGGTGGGGCGGCAGCAGGTCAATGATTCATCGTTCCTGGAAATTATCGTGGGTGGTTCACGATGGTCGTTTGATGGTGTTGATATGGGGCGATGGGTTGACTCGATGTAAATATGTCACGGCGGCGGGCGAGGCGTTACTCGATCGTATCGAGTCAACCTGGGCTGGCGGCCGGCCGAAGCGGGCGGTAATCAGCTTATCAGCCCCGGCAGCCGGCCCTTGGCGCCTCGACGTCAGATCCAGCAGCCGCACGCGACACAACAGCTGCTGAGGCGAAAAAAAGGGCAAATCTCAAGGGCCGCTGGATCGGAGCCGGGCGCGCTGTCAGAGGGGGAGCCTGCGTGGCGGGATGCATCCAGCTAACTAGGTACGGGCAAGGCGTGCACATGCAGCTCAAAGCCCATCACCCGCATGTTGGAAAGCTGGTAGGGCAGGACCCCGGGATTGACAATGGCGCACAGCTGTGGGATGTGCAGCCCGCGCTAGTCTCCACCGCAGCCCGCATGCGTGCAGACGCCGCCGTTACCTCCAGGGACGCTGCGATAAGGGATAATAAGACCAGCATGTCAGTCGCCAGTTGCACCCGACAGGCGTCACGCGTAGAAGTCCGCTGTCTTAAGGGGCAGAAGGATGCCAGCGACTAAAAGCCAGCGCTGGACCGGCCTGCTAGCATGTGAGCGACGCATTTAAACCCCGAGCCAGCTGCGAAAAGACGAAACCAGGACTTCCGGGTCGAGATTTTTGCAAACAAAGTTGCCGCGATAAGGGCAACCCACAGTGGGTAGAGAATCGCGGGCGCTAGCGGCCCTTGAACCCAAGGAAGATCGACCACCTCCACGGAGCCCTGATGTCGCCCACCCGCCGCATCTTCTATAATAAACTGGCCAGATCCCGCCATGGTACGACCTCGCCTTCAGCCTGGCTCCAATTCCCTCCTCCCTCCCTCCTCTGACGCCGCCCAGTAGCCGACGACAACGAGTCGGAGCGGCAGCCGCTCGTCCAGCCCTCGTCTAGCAGCTCGTCAACTCCTCGTGCCGCTTCCCTCCTACGTCAGCCTGCGTCGCCATCCCCGTCGTCGCACAATTCGCCGCTTCTCGCGCCCCGTCCATCCCACGACTCCAACTACGACGTGCAGTACGGCGACATCCAGCCTGATTCACGACCCAACACGCCTGGACTGGGTGCCGTCATGGAGAAAGTCAAGTCCTCGCGCGTCGCCCATTATGCGGGCAAGCTGGCCGTCGAGAGCGAGCCCGGTCTCACAAACACCCAGCTCATGCTCACCAACCACGACTTGAAGCCCGTGGAGCCCGAACGCCGCCAGTGGAGGTCATGGAATTTCGTTGGTTTCTGGGTTGGTACGTCAAAAGTCTTATCATTTTTCATCGGTCCACGCTAACGCGACCGTCAGCCGACTCGTTCAACATCAACACTTGGATGATTGCTTCCTCGACCATCACCAATGGCTGCTCGTGGTGGCAAGCATGGATCTGCGTCTGGATAGGCTACGCCATCGCCGCCTGCTTCATCTGCTTGACCGGCCGCATTGGCGCCATGTATCACATCGGTTTCCCCGTGGTGAACAGGGCTTCGTTTGGAATCTGGGGCTCGCTATGGCCCGTCTTCAACCGTGCGGCCATGGCTTGCGTCTGGTACGGCGTGCAGTCCTGGATCGGCGGTCAGTGCGTGCAGTTGATGATCCGCTCCATTTGGAACAACTGGAGAGAGGTGAGTGTAAAAACAGCAGCACTCAAGCAACAAAACACTAACCTCTGCCACCGCAGGGCGTCGTTCCGAATGGCATCAAGAGCTCCGGCACCAGCACCGTCATGTTCGTCAGCTTCTTCCTCTTCTGGCTCGGCTCCCTCCCGGCCATCTGGTTCCCCGTGCACAAGATCCGCCATCTCTTCACCGTCAAGGCCTACGTGGTCCCGGTCGCCGGCCTGGCCTTCTTCATCTGGTTCATCGTCAAGGCCGGCGGCGTCGGCCCCATCGTGCACCAGCCCGCCCAGCTCAAGGGCAGCGCCCTGGCCTGGGAGATCGTCAAGGGCATCATGTCGTCCATCGCCAACTTCGCCACCCTCATCGTCAACGACCCCGACTTCTCGCGCTTCGCCAAGACCCCCAAGAGCGCCTTCTGGTCGCAGCTGATCACCATCCCCGTCGGCTTCGCCGTCACCTCCTTCATCGGCATCATCGTCTCCTCGTCGGCCACCATCATCTACCCGGGCCAGGAGCCCATCTGGAACCCGCTCGACCTGCTCACGCGCGTGCTCGATGAGGAAAACACCTCGGCCAACCGCTTCGGCGTCTTCTGCATCGCGGCGGCCTTCACGCTGGCCCAGCTCGGCACCAACATCGCCGCCAACTCCGTGTCCGCCGGCACCGACATGACGGCCCTCCTCCCGCGCTGGATCAACATCCGCCGCGGCGGCTACATCTGCGCCGTCGTCGGCCTGTGCATGTGCCCGTGGAACCTGCTGTCGTCGAGCAACAACTTCACCACCTACCTGTCGGCCTACTCGGTCTTCCTGTCGTCCATCGCCGGCGTCATGATCAGCGACTACTACTGGGTCCGCCGCGGCTACCTCGACATCCACCAGCTCTACTCGGGCCGCCGCTCCGGCGTCTACTTCTTCACCCTCGGCTTCCACTGGCGCGGCTACGCCGCATACATCGCCGGCATCCTGATCAACGTCGTCGGCTTCGCCGGTGCCATCGGGAGGGAGGTGCCGATCGGTGCGACGTACATTTACAACGTCAACTTCTTCGCCGGCTTCCTCGTCAGCAGCATCATGTACTGGGGCCTGTGCCGCCTCTTCCCCATCCCGGCTACCAGCGATACTTGGATGGAGGTCGGCGACGAGATCACCGACGTGCGCCTGGCCTACGACGACCGCGCGAGCGACGCTTACGATGAGGAGGTCGTGACGGGTGGCGCCAAGGGCGTGTCGTCGTCGAGTGGCGCAGAGCAAGAGTCGGCGAAGGATGGGCTCAAGCTGTGATTTGTTGCGTTGTCTTCTTTCTTTGTATCCAAATTTAGCCGGTCACTTCTGTTTTTTTTTTATTAGATCGGGAGATGTTTGATTAAAAAGAGCTGGATGTAGAGGAGCTCGTTGTGATGAGATATGATACCAAGGACGGCTCTTTCCCGGTGTATAACGATAGGGTTATACATTCTTTAGCGGTTTAGAAGAATGAAGCGAGCTATCTGCTCGAGCGAAAGACAATTTGTTCTCAATTTCAACCTCTTGATGCCTAATGTTATGACACGTGTGTGACTGTATTGCTCAGGTTGACTTGCTCGTATTAACGTGAAGATGCTATTCAATGCTGAAGTATCAACTACTCCGGTATTAGTCTTGTTCAGATCCCAAGCGAATGAGCATGCTACCTTGCTGTCTTCCTCCGCCCCGGGAAGGAGCGGAAGACTGACTTTGATAGTTACGCGAACAAAATTATCCAAGTCGATGTCATTCAAGCTTTCCCTAGGCATTTCAACCCAGGAAGCTAGTGATATGTGAAGGAAGAACAACATCTCACAAAAGGACGCATTAATCCGACAACGCAGCGGAAGGAAGAGAATGATGGAACAGCATTAAACAAATTTCTTGAAACCACAGAGTACCAGAAAGGAACACTCGGACTCCAAAACTCCGGCGACAACTGTTCCTGGAAGGACATCGCCGCCTGCGTAGACGACCATACCAAGCGTTGAGGATGAATCCATGGTAGAAGAATGGTGACAAGCACGTGGATGAAAAATGGCGCTTCTCACTTGTCGTCACCGTCGCTCTTCGGCTCGGCTCCTGTCTGGATGGTGGTTTCGAGTGCGTCGAGACGGCGGCTCATGTCATCCACTATGCAGCGTGAAGCCCTTGGTCAGCTTGACAGGTTGCATATGTTGCAGAGCGTGAAGAAGCCTATTAAGCTGCTTCCTTGCACGTGACGGAGAGGGGAATGGAGGGACTGGCTGGCGACACCAAGCAACAAAATGCCGACTAGTAGAGTTGAAACTTGATGCAAAGAAGAATGAACGTGAAACCGAGTGAGACGATGCAAGACATGACAAAATGAGAAGAAAGTTTTGTGGAAGACTTGGGCGTAACAGTAGCCCACGAGAAAGCAAATGAAAAATTGGTAACCGGAAAGAATTATATGGAAAATATATGACCGGATGAAATGATATGGGATACGCACTCTTCTCTAGCAGCTCCTTGGAGATGTTGGTGAACTTGGATGAGAGCTGGTTGATTAGGTCGTCGACGACGGCCACGAGTTCGGCGGAGCTGCCCTCGCCGCTCACAGGCTACGGTTCGCGGTTAGCTCAGACTGTCGTGATTCACCGCTCTGAGATAGTGGAGCGCGGGTGGTGGGTTATCGGGGAGGCAAGGGCGGCAGGGGGGTGGAGGGAGAGGAACACCCGTACCGAGCTTGAGGATGGCGCGTCGCGTTCGGACATGGTTGTTTGCGAGGAGTGAGGCGGTCGGGCGATGAAGTAAGAAGACCTGCAGAGTCTGCGGCTTCGCAGTCCGAAAAAAAGGCGCGATTTCTGAAAAGTAGTACAGGGAGGGATATTGTTGTTGTCGTTGTTTTGGCAGGTCGCACGTGGGAGAGAGATCCGCAGGGCTGATGAGTCTCGGCCGGGGAGCCCAGGCCGCAATGCACGGGCCACGGAGCCCCGGGCGGTGAGCGGCGCCAAGATTGCGAGGCCCGTCGCTGCTCCCAAAAATTTCGGAGAGCAGGTCGCGCAAAAGTGACCCGCAGCGCGCGCCGAAACATTTCTCGCCCTCCCAACCCACTCGCCCACTCCCGGTTTTTCCTCATTCGCGCAGCCACAATGGTCAAGAAGGGCGGTAGCAAATTGCTCAATCTCCTCCAGAAGGAGAAGGGCTACGACTACAAGAAGGACAAGCAGAAGAAGCTCCAGAAGCAGGCCGAGAAGCGCAAGCAGGAGAAGAAGCAGGAGGACGACGACAGTGCCGAGGAAGATGAGGTCGAGGGCGGTGTTTCCGTGAACGCCCAGGCGCAGGAAGACTCTGGCTCCGGTGGAGACGAGGCCGAGAAGCAGATCCGCTCCGAGGCGCGCAAGGCCGCTGCAAACAAGGACGAGAGCGAGGACGAGGAGGACAGTGACGAGGAGGAGACACCAAAGGTGCGGCGAAGATATCCTCACATATCGTAGTAGAAATGCTGACCTTTGCCCCCGCAGATCGATCTGTCCAGGCTCGAGGACGACGACTCCGATTCCAGCGGCGAAGAGCTCGAAGAGAACGACGACGAAGATGATGATGACGACGAGGAGGAAGATATTGCTTTGTCAGACCTCGAGTCGGTCGCCTCGGACGAGAAGGGCGACATCATCCCCCACCAACGCCTCACCATCAACAACACCTCCGCCCTGCTCGCCGCCGCGCACCGCATCGAATGGAAGACGAAGAAGCAGGCATTTTCCGACCACCAGGCCGTTACCTCGGACGCCGCCATCGAGATCCAGGACACCAACGATGACCTGAACCGCGAGCTGGCTTTCTACCAGCAGGCTCTCGCCGCCGTTAACACCGCCCGTGCTGCGCTGAAGAAGGAGGGCGTGCCATTCACGCGCCCCAACGACTACTTCGCCGAGATGGTCAAGAGCGATGAGCACATGGGCAAGATCAAGCAGAAGCTTATCGACGAGGCTGCCGGCAAGAAGGCTGCCGCCGAGGCTCGCCGCCAGCGCGACCTCAAGAAGTTCGGCAAGGCCGTGCAAATCGCGAAGGAGCAGGAGAAGGCCAAGGCCAAGAAGGACACCATGGAGAAGATCAACCTGCTGAAGAGGAGTACGTCTCTTGTCTTACTATTCATCTTCTCTTCGCTTTTACTACACTAAGCTCTTAAACTAACATCTCTTTCTTTCCTTCAACAGAACGCCAAGGCGCCGATCTGGAAAACGAAAACGAAGACGATCTCTTCGACGTCGCCCTCGAAGACGCCGAAGAGACCGCCCGCAAGGACAAGCTCGCCCGCCGCGCCGGTGCCGGCGGTCGCGGCGGCCATGGCCCCAACCCCAAGCGCGCCAAGAAAGACGCCAAATACGGCTTCGGCGGTAAGAAGCGCTTCGCCAAGAGCAATGACGCGCAGAGCAGCGCCGACGGCAGGGGCTTCTCGGCCAAGAAGATGAAGGCGGGAGCCAATGGGGCCAAAAAGCGCCCGGGCAAGAGCAGGAGAGCGGCGAGGAAGTAAGTTAGGTCGTAGCTCTGAGGAGAGAGCAGTAGGTGGTAGTAGCAGCATTGGGGTGGACAAAGCGGACTCGACGTGGCAATATCTCAGTCGCTTCGTGCGCGCGTGGCGTTATTATGGTTCGTATGGGGGGAAGGCGGATCGAAATCAAAAAGTTTAAAGATACGGAGGAGGAGGGATTTCTTACTCTTTGTGGCCTGATCGGGAAAGCCTTTTTCTATCTTATTCCCCCACCCCTTGTGAACACATTTTGTTCTGCAGAATAAGGCATTGGGAGGCGTCTTGCGGCGTTCAAATTTGGCATCAACGCTATGACAATTACTTTGTTCGTTCATTATTTCTCATAAAGTTCGCTGACGTGGTTTAGTCGCTAGCGAGCTTCCGTAATTGGAACGAGTTAAACACGAGCGAGCGATTAGGAACACTTCGGCACGTTGCGGTTTCCCAAGATGGATAAGAGAGACAAGGTTGCAACTGTATTCCTACATCGATCTACTTCGATTTGTAAGGAAAAAAAAATCATGTCCAGATGCCGCGTAACCCCCGTCTCTTCTGATGATGTCTTTCAGGACCCAGCAGAAATCCTACAGCGTGGTTCTCTCATCAACATGCTCCGTCTTAAATCTAGATCAGAGCTATATGCCCCTTTTAGAATGCTCTGCGGCGGCCCGCGCCAAGGAGCAGTCGGCCTTTCTACCATCTCACAGTGGTGTATCCCCAAATTACAAGGAAATAAATTCAACTCATAAGCCCCGTCCCAGAACGCCAGACCAATAATTAGATATTAAAAGAGAGACAATGACTTCCGTCACACGTTCATAGAACGGTTTGAGTTTTTTTTTTTTTTTTAAGCCTACTCAAATTCGGTCCGACGGTGCGACGCGGAACTGGCGCAGATCGAAGCGCTCGACGTCCGGCTCCCTGTCGTCTGACATGGGGGGCATCCGCACGCCAGGGTACGTCTTCATGGGGAAGCTCACGCTGAAGCTGGGATCGTGCTTGTGGCGGTCGAAGCCTGCGTCTCCGACCTTGATGTCGATGGACTCGTCGCCTAAGGATCCGTGAGTTTGATGTCGGAGATGCTTCTGCATCTCGTGCGAGCCTCTCGACTCGAGTTCGCGGGCTTTGTGCCCTGCCTCATCGCCGTGGTGGCCGAAGCGGACGAAGGCGTTGCTGATGGTGTTGACGAACCACGGCGACGAGCCGGTGGGCTTGTAGTTCCAGTACTCGCGTGCGTCCTCGTCCGCGGGGGTGATGCGGCCGCGCGAGATGATGCGGGTTAGCGCGATGGGCACGTTGATGGCGACGTAGGTCAGGATGCCGGCGATCATGCCGTACGCGGTGCTGTACGACATGGGCACGAAGATGATGGTGACGAAGGCGGGTACGGCGTCGCCGATGTAGCGCCAGTTGATGGCGACGACCTGGCGCACCATCATGGCGCCGACCAGGACGAGTGTGCAGCCAGTGGCCCACGGCGGGATCGAGGCGAAGATCGGAGCGAAGAAGAGCGAAATGAAAAAGCAGAGACCAGTCGTCATGGCGGTAAGGCCAGTTTTGCCTCCCTCAGCGATGCCAGCACCCGATTCGATGAAGGCTGTCACGGGACTTACACCGAATAGGGCCCCGACACTGATGCTGAAAGCATCGGTGCAATAGGCCGCTGTTGAACGCGGAAAGTCACCTGTCGATCCATCCACTACCCCGGAAAAACGAGCCATACTGTACAGAGTTGCAGTACAGTCGATGATATCGACGTATAGGAAGGTAAAAAGTGCGAGGGCGAATTCACCGGGCGCGCGCGAAATATTCCAGTCCAGTGCATTGAGAGTCTGCTCGATGGGGTGGAAAGTTATTACCTTCTTGAAGAAGTCGAATTGGCTATCACCTTCGGGAGTATCCGGGAAGTAGGTGACAGAAGTGCCGCGCCTGGGATACAAGTCAGTAGTCTGTTTCAGATGGGCGCTTTGGTGTATGCTGGTTGACTCACGGCCAAGAGATGATGGAGACAACCAAGATTCCAATAATCATGGCGCTTTTCACCTTATACGACATCAGGTACGCCGTCAGGATTCCACCGCAGAATAGGCCGATCCACAGCTACTCGTTGTCAGGCCCTCCACACGCGATACGGGTGCAGAGATTACTTACTGTCGGATTCTGCATCTTGTGACTCTGACACTCGCCAAACTCATCCCTGTACTCTGGAGGACAGCCGGCGAGATCCAAGGGAGTAGCACTGGCGCCAGAGATGGCGCCAATTCCTGCACTATACGACAATCCTATCTCGGCGAGAAAGAGACCTATTCCGCAGGCAGCGGCAACCTTCAAAGAGGTTGGGAGCATGCGGACCAGCCATTGGCGCATTCCTAGGAGAGACAGTAGAATGAAAATGAAGCCCTCGGCGAAGACGGCGGTCAGGGCCAAGCCATATGGAACAAGGCGAGTTCCGTGGAAGCCGACTACCTGATAGGTAAAGTAGGCATTGAGGCCCATGCCAGGGGCCAAGGCGACGGGCAAGTTGGTGATGAGGCCGAAAAAGAAAGACGCGAAGGCGGAAATGGCACTGGTGGCGGTGATGAGGTCACGATTCAGGCCGATGAGGCAGGTTTGGTAGTCCTGGTCATTGGCGCAGGTTGGGTCGCTGGCATCGCGGCACTCGCATGTGCCGCCGGAGTCGGTCAAGACGGTGGCATTGACAGCAATGATGTAGGCCATGGTGAAAAAGGTGGTCACGCCAGCGCGCACCTCAGTCAGGAACTGAGCATCCGGGATCTCGTCGACCTGGAAAGTCAGAGATGGGGCTACTGGCTGACGACTGTGAGGCAACTTACATGGCCAGAGCCGTCCAGGCGAAACAGGCGGCCGAACTTGGAGTCCGCCAGGTATGCATCGAGACGACGGCCTTGCTGCCGGAGGGCGTCCATTTTGGGACGAATAGGCGAAGACAAAGAGAAGAGAAAGAGAAGTGACGGTGATCATGATGCGTACCAGAGGTGGAGCGGGCGCTACGCTTTTACAACACGGACACAACGATATGATCAGCAAGACGCTTGACTGACTAGCAGACGCGGCGACAGCCACGGGAAGGTTGGTGCGCACAGACCGGGCAGAGCAATGGGGTCAAGTCTAAAGCCCTGTTCGGATTCGAAATAAGAAAAGCTCGAAGCTAAAGCGTAGGGCTGGCGTGTCGTAATGGCAATCTCGCACCGGGAAAGCGTAGGCGTCGTCCGGGTGTAACAGGTGTCGCACGCTGCTAGCGCGTCGGTGGCGGGCAGGCCCTGCGGCGATTCCGTCGACGTCTTTTTGTTCGCGGGCGCCTCAAGCGCATTGGATCGGCGCGGTGCTGGGGAATAGATTGCGGATCATCGGGGTGGTGGATGAAAGCGGGCGAGTGAAACGGCGACGGCAGCTTAAAGTGGCAGGGACGACCCGGGCTGCCATCCCGGCCCAACACGCCGACACTGGCTCCCGCTGTCGCGACCATGGCTGTCTAGCTCACGAGTAGCCATGGCGCCGAAATGACTCTGGCTGCACCGGCCCCCGGTTCCGCGACACTTGAGATGATCCGCCGAGCTCTTCCATCTCCAAATCCGGCGCCGCAGCTCCGACGTTCAAGCCCGCCCTCGTCCGCACCTTCTCATCGCCTGCGCCTGAATCTGGATGGGCGGCTCTATGTTTTCCGCAGACCTCTCATGGACCGACGAGTGCGCCGAGACTGTTGGCCAGCGCCGCGAGCGCCGTCTGCGCGGCCGCGAGCACGCCGGCTCGACCCAGAGCTTCCAGTCCGACGACTCGAAGTCCAGCTTCTGGTCGCTTCCCACCCGGCGTAAGAACAATGCCTCCAAGTCTCCCGCCACGAAATCCATCTCCCGCAAGAGCTCCAAGTTATCTCTGCACGACCACTCTCACTCAAGGCCTCGAGAAGACAGTCTGGACTCCGCCACCGGATGGTCCCCCCCTGCTCAACTTCCACCTTCACAGTTTCCCATCATGCCACTTTTGCCCTCGATTGAGGAGCCGCGGCACTCCACCACCCGATCTTCCGGTAAATCAATCACTGCTGCTTTGTGTGCCTTTGACTAAGAGGAGCTGCAGTTCGTACCGTGCAACATGTAGAACCTGATGGCCACTACAGAGGGAAGCGGATTATCGAAGAGTTGGAGTTCCATGAAATCCAGCAGTTAAGTGAAGGCTCTTACGTCTCTCGAACAACAACTCGCAGCACCGAGGTGAGATTGAGAATCACATTCCGCACCTGCCGTTGCTGATGCAAGCCAGACTTCTTCTCCTTCGGTTTATGGTCGGTACGTAGAGCAACCGTCGCCCGCCAGTTTATCCTGTTCGATGTTTGCTCAACACCTGCAACGATTCTGACCCTACCAAGTCCGGAAGGCTCCTTTCCCAGTCAATGCACCTTAGATCATGGTGCCGCCAGCCCCGCCCACCTTTCTCCACCTAATGCCGGCCCTAAGTCCACCTGGGAAGCTCCCTCGGATTGGGACATTGCCTCTATACGATCCTCGCAAAACCGCCAGTCCCTTGATAGCTCTTTTCTGTGCGACCCCGATTCTGCAGAGCTAACACAGTTCCAACGTTCTATTCGTCGCATGGAGCATGCCGATCCGAAGCTCATTCTCGCACGCTTGAAGGATGACCCGGCTCCGGGTGTCCTAGCCACTGATCCGTACGCCGAGGAAGAGCTTGCTGTGGAGAAGCACCTGTGGTGCCTCACAGCATTGCAACTGCAAAACATGGAAAATTCGCTTGTTCCTAATCAAGGAGTAGGCCCCCTTCTGGGCCTTCCTACGCTCTTCCGTCAGCCGAAGCGAGTCTTGGAGCTTTACAGCAATATGGGTAAGCCACTGATGCATTGAATCCTTCCTTCCCCAGACCGTCTGCCGCCACAATCATGAACGCTAATACCAATCCCTGGATAGCCGAAGTCTATCAGCTCTCCGCCATCTACCCCAAGTCACACATCTCTTACTTGACCGTGAGCCAACCGCTAGCCAGCATACCCATCCCTGCTAATATCCATCCCCTGACCGTGCCCTCGGCTGGCATGCTGCCCTTCCCTTACCCCTCGGACTCGTTCAACCATATCCGATGCGCTACCCTCCCGTCGCATGTTCCGTCGTCGAAAATGCAGCCCGTGCTACGGGATCTGCTTCGGATGCTTGCTCCTGGAGGCATCTTGGAGTTGCGTCTCGTTGACAGCACACCGGTGCGCGCCACTATGGGTCCAAGACTGCGCGCTTGGTTTGAAGATCACCTGATGTTGAACTTGGAAAAAGAATTCCTTTGCTCACGACCATTGGCGCTATTTCCAATCTGGGTGAAGGACTGTGGCTTACGCGTTCTCGAGGGCGGCAACACAGGGAACGATCTCGTCATCCAGCGGCTGCAGTTACCCGCGTGCGCTCGTCCCACTGGAACTGAATCCAAGCACTCGTCTTATTATTCTGCACGGTCGCATAGCAGTACCAAGCGCAACACGCTCGAATACAACATACAAAAGGCCCTGGCCAGCAGCGGTACCGAGGCCCTGGATTTTGCAGCTCTCTCCGAGGAACCCTCCAAGGACGCCCTCGCTGCTGTGGAGGGAGACCTGGCGGCCCTGGACGCGGAAATGGCGGCACTAGTAGCCCGCGGGCTGTGGAAAGACTCTTGGGGCTCGCTCGTGGACAGGGGATCGACAATGGGCCACGACGTTATCTGGTGGTGGGATGATCCAGAGATCGTGCGCGAGTGCTGGGATTACAGCACCGTGTTCGAGTGCGGGACCATGTTTGCTTTTAAGGAGTGATGGAGAGAACAAATGAGATTGGCATCTTTCCCTTATCGGGCTCCTCCCCCGGTCGTCTCGTTCTATCATCAGGCGTTGAATCGCATTTTTCTTTTCTTCGTTTGCTTTTTCCCTTGGAGGCTCGATTTGCTTTTTACGGTTATACCATGCACGTGCGGTTTACACCGCTGAAGGGTGTTTTCTTTTTTCGGTTGGAGTTTGCATTGGTTCTCTCAGGAACAGCGTTTGAGCTTTGTTACAGTCTGGGATCCAGGTGGTATCGCAGCCGAAGGCTGGCGTAATTTTGCTTTTCGCTCATGCCATGGGTAGTTGAAGCAGTTGTCCTGATGCTAATACGGTTCCACTGCCAGCATATGTCATTCTTCGCGCTAGTCTTCGGCTGCAATATCCGTCTGTATATTGGAATATTTCTTGTTTTTCTTTTTTTTTTTTGGCGAATCAGCGGTTGATACCCTTTTAGATTGCTATACTTGGCTTGTCTGAATGGCTTTGGTGTTTGATATTCTTCTCGGCGTCCATCTCAAGCCGAAGAGTTCCGAGATGTGATTGGGTAGGCTAGACGGAAGGAACCTGGATCAACAGCATCATACACTTTCTAACCAAGGCACTGGTCGTTGCGGCGCAGTAATAGCGTCTGTATAGCAGCCTCTTACCGCAAGACGCTGCAGATCATTTGCCCCCCACAATGCAGAATGATGGCAAGTCGCGTTTTCCCCGTTGGGCTAGCCGTTGAGTCCCTAGTGCATGCAGGGAAACCGGCATGTGTGCCGTCCGTCAGCCACACGCGAAGGAAGGGTGTAGCAAGCCTCCTTCGCCACCTTTATAGCCCTATTCCTGCCGGAGGAAGGCATTCCTCCGGATCGCCACGCTCGATTCGTTAATAGGTTTCGCGGCGCCAAATCTTTCTAGCGAGGTGCCGGACGTTTCCACCAGCCGCTATGTATAGGCACGGAGACTTGCGCTAGAGCTTCAGGCGCGAACTACTACATACCTTTCCTGCGATTCTGTCTACCTTTACCCACCGTAAACCCACATGACTTCCCGAACTGGAAGTGGGTGGCAAGTTATACCACCGTAATCCATCCTGGCATTTTGCACCCCTCAGACAGACCTCATACACCTACCCACCATGGCGGCGCTCCTCCCTGGCACGACCGAGTGCCGAGCTGAACTGCCGCTGGAAATTCCAAACCACCGTCACACTCCCCAGGCGTGCCATCAGGCATCTATGGGCAGAAGTGCTCAGAACAAACAAGTTGTGACCTTCGTCTACGATCCTCCATTCATCACTATTCTCATCTTCGCGGTGCGGTAATGTGTGAATTTATTATACCTGACAATTGTGCCTTATCTACAATTAGTGACCTCTGTTCCTTTGCATTGTTTTAAGCATTATCTGTGTTTGTCAAAGGGCCGGTATATACCAAGTCCACATTATGCGCTCCCTCTACTCTTGGCCTTTTCCGGACTAAAGTGCAAAATGCCGGTGTCAGACATACCAAACTACAAAGTTCTCTCGAACAGTCCAGCCGACGACTCCCGCACTCACGGGCCTCTCCCCGTACTAGGTGTATGACGATCACGCAGTGACAGGCAAAGCGGCTATTCCCGTGCGAGAACGATCCAGACTACCGTCCCTCCCACGCGGCCCTCGTCGATCAGCCCAAAAACTCTTGTTAGCGCTCCTCCGTCCCGAAGCAGCCGCCGTGGTGGCGCCGCCGGGTACCCTTAGGAGCTTCTTCCGGTGAGCTTCACTGAGCTGCATAAGCACACGCACGTGCGTTGCGTGTATGCACGATGGCTTTGCGCGGAAGCAAACGTCTAGCTTCCCCGAAAACTACCCCAAATCCTCCTTCCTCTTCCCCGGGAGTGTATCACTGATAAACCGGTGTGGACCTTTCCGCCGGCTGGAATCGGACCGTGCAAGGATTTATGCCAGGTCGATGAGATGGGGCAGTGATAGACAGTCCGAAGTGTTGAGAGAGTCGCTTTTCCAAATTGGGAAACGTGGATGGAGCTTGGCAAACGGTAAATGCGGAGAACCCACTGGGTGGCTCCTGAGGCTTTCAATAAAACCATGTTTGAAAAGAACCCGATCAGTACAACAATGCAGATTGGTAATACACTAGCCTGGACTAAAATGCCGCTGAAGTTTAAAAAAGTACACGAAGACCTCTGTGAGCGGAAGAAACGATAAGTGATCACAATCGAGGCACGAGATCTACACTTCCTGGAGCGGCCGCCACGGCAAGCTTATTCATTGCCCACATGGTTGAGAGTTCGAGACAAGGATGCCAATCATGGGTGCCGTGATTGCAGCCTGACCGGCGCGGCTCCTGCATTCCGCCACTCATGCACGATGACTCGTGCTACCGCTCCTGCAAGGTTTACGGAGAGGCAGAAAGAAGCCAGCCACCTGGCGCCGCTATACCGCAGGGAGGAAGTTCTCCGCATCAGTTGTCTGGTATATCCCGGTACCGCTTCCCAGCCGCCACGGGTGTTCGGGAGTCGACCCACTGGTGTGGTGGAGAAAGCCCGTGCCCTGCATGGGAAAGAGAGAGATATGGAGCTCAAAGTCTAGTGGTGAACAACGCATCCCTCGCCCACAGGGGTTTAATATATTCGAGACCGAACTGCTCCAGCTTTGAAGATGTGATCTGCCGCCGATCGTGTGGATCGTAGAGGCACGAAAAGAATCTCTCCGGCATTCCCGTAGCAATAGAGAGCGGCCAGCTCATTCTCGTAATGACGCGGCTTAACTCGCGCACTTTGCTCCGACCTGAGATGAAATGGCACTTTATGTACCTGTTCGTTACAGGTGGTTTATACCGAGTTGACGTGCAATGGAAAGGATCAGACAACGCTCCATCGCGTACTTGATGATTTTGATCAGCCGATCATTCACTCCTCGCTGTATTGTCTTTTCCCCATGTGAGAATGCAGGGAAGTGGGAAGCAAGGAAGGCTTGTGTCTACGAAAAGCTTGGTAAAATACTTTGCTCCACTGCTGACCGGTACCGACTAGTGTATCCCAGCAGAAGAACCCATCCTTCCGTCCATGTCACTTATCAACGCGGCCTTGCTACTTCATTGTAAAACACTAGAGTGAGTCCGCAATGTAGCAGGATTTGCAGTCCTCGGAAACGCCGATGCATAGACGCAGCACCTGTGTTGAAGCATTGTCTTGCACGTCTCCAATCCTATTCATTTGGGACGTCCCACGCACTGTGCGCACCTTCTTCAGTGCACCGCCTGATCACTTCCAAATCCCGCCAACTACCGGGCTCCAGAATCAATATCCCAGGTCGGCTTCAAACTGATAGGTGAAACCTAAATATCTACACCGTTCCATGTTTCACTTTCCACCGCGGAACGCGGCAAATTGCGCACTGTCGGTAATCTCGTTTTCTTTTTGTCGGAATGATAGAGCCGATGAGAGCAGGCACATTGCAATACCGGGTCTGTGATTCGCGCTACTGTCGCAGCCGCGAAGTATATGCTTCCTTATGCACATGGAATGGTTAAGGCGAAACTAGAGGCTCTACATACAGTCCCGAGAGTGTGTTCACTCGAAGCATTCGAAGATACCAACCAGAAAAAGAAAAGAGAGAGAAAAAGGAAAACCTTTAAGTAGGCAACAAGACATGATGTCTTCCGTGTGACCCGCTTCTAACCTCTACTCTAAGCCCTGTCATCTTCTATTGGTCGAACCAGAAATCTACTGCTCTAAAGCACTACCGCTCCGATGATCATACCACCTACCTCAAATTCCTTCTCTCCCTTCGTCGAAAGAAAGGGAAAGATCAACGGTCAACAAGGAGCCCTGTCGAAGAAAGGCCAGACGCACACAAACTCTCACGCATCTACACAAGACATTGAGAGAGCAAAAAAATGATTCGCGCGAACGAAGGTCAATGCATGCGAGCGCCTCTCCGCCTTTCCCCTCTCTACCCAACAATCAACCCCGCACCCCAAAAACAGATGCAATGTAAGTTGCGCTATGCCCTCGACCCAAAGACTCTATCAACCCGTCCCAACAGAGAAACGTATAAATACTGTAAAGAAAGAAATGTTGTGGGTATAGCGCACACGCACATAACGCACACACTCTAAATGCCAAAAAAATCTCCATATGCCATTTGCCCGTTGCCCATTGCCATTTGCCATGTCAAACAGACGGAATGTGCGCAGCGCACGCGCATATAAACAGCATCATCCCAACTCTATGACGACCTTTACCCAACGCTATGCAGAAAGGGTGTGTTCTCAACCTTGGAAGCGGGAAGTAGCAAGAAGAAAGAATCCAAGGGATGGAAAAGAGAGAATACAATGAAGAGGAGAATCGACGATGCAAGGGCAAGAAAATCCCCCACCGTAAACCACTGATAGAATGAACATGAAGAAGAAAAAAGCGATTGGCCCCCCGCAATTGTGCGGTTATAAAGGAAAAAAAAAAAGGAACCAAATTTCAGAGAAGAAGGTATTTGCATCGTCGAAAAAATCCCTCCCATCCATTGACGTTCACTCGTAAACGGCTGTACTCTATTCATAGTTTCCCATCTCTTTACTCCTCATCACCTCCCCTCCCACCGACCAAACTTCTTCCAATCCGCATACACGCCCCGCCAGATGGCGCGCTCGCCCGCGCCCAAGCCTGCGTTCATCGCGCGCAGCGCTTCGATGCCGACCACGTCGGCGCACGCGTAAAGCGCGGGCATCAGCGCCGCGCGCGTGTCCGGGTCGATGCGGCCCTGCAGCGTGCAGGTGCAGAAGGACGCGATGAGGGCCGGCACGTACTGGCCCGCGTATTCGCGCGCCTTCTTCGTCTCGTCGACGAGCTCGGCCGTCGTGGCCGACGATGACAGCGTCGACGCGGGCCGCTTGCGCGTGTGGAAGCCCTTGACCGCCGACACGGTCGGGTTGCAGAGCGTCGTGACGAGGCGCGCGAAGGCGGATGCTTGCGACGGTGACAGCGGGCCGGGAGCGGCGGCGAGCCAGGGCGGCGGAGTCGGGGGGATCGGTGCCGAGGCGCCTTCGTTGTTGTGGCTGCGGCGACTTTGCTCGGGTGTAAAGAGACAGCGGAGAAGGTTTTGGAGGAGAGGCATGAGGACGTGGAAGCGACCACCGAGACGGGTGCGATGGAGGGACAGGATGAGGTGCGTCGTGCCGCAAAGCCGGGCGTAGATGGCATCGGCTTGTTCAGAAGGAAGTTCAGGGCTGGAGGAAGATGCGAGGCGTGCGAGCGAGTCAATGATCCGTTCGATGGCCCATTGCGAGACAAGCCAATGCTATGAATCTCGTGAGTAGGATTCTGATTTGAAATGAGCGCCTCTGCTTACCTTTTCACGCAAAATAGTGTCAACGCAATTGAGAGCAGCGTGGAAATCACGAATCGCCTCAACGTTGTCGAGATAGCTACTGAGCTGCCCCAAGAAGCCATTGAGGCCTTGCGTGGAGTTGTCCTCTTTGTTTGGAATATCTGTGAATGTAAGCTAAACACCCTTGGCAGGTGGGCAAAGTATCTTACCTGGTAAGGACGATATCAGGATGTTCATAAGGACCAAAGCGGGCTGCCAATTTTGTTCGTCATCCGGGTTGAATTTCAATTGGGAGAGCAACGACGTTCTCTTGTCAAGGCCAAGGGAGCCCAATGCCTTCCTTGTTGCTTCGAGCAGGCTGTAACGGTCACCAGCGGAAAGATCTAATGAAACATCAGTGATATGTCAGGGAACTGGTAATCGTTGTAATACTGACCGCAGCGCCAAAGATCATAGATCATAGCACTAACGCACTCAGCCTCGTCTGGACTTGCAACATTTGAGACGGCGGTTGTCAACGACACCCACATCGAGGCCTCTGGTTGTTGAAACGTGTTTGCTTCAGCCGTGCTGAGTCGCTTCCGAACACATTTGAGAAGTTTCGCCTCGATACTGCAGATATAGCCTACGAGGTGTTAGCACCGATGGTCCGCTTATGGAAAAAGAGTTACACCTACCGTCACGCGTCATTCCCCGGATCGGAAGATCCGAGGTCGCAGCCAAGACAGCCCTGAGAAAGGCGGTGTCCTCCTCTGATACACTGCCCAGCGCTCCGGGTAATAGCGTCTCCAGATCACCATCCAGGGTTCTGAGGTATCTCTTCATGGTCTTGTACGTTTCCTCGTCGTCCCACAGTAAATCTGATGCCTTAAGGGTCACAAGTCCAGACTTGAAGCAGTTCAACTCTGCAATGTGGTCCTTGAAGACAGTAGCCTCCCTTGCGAAACGCCTCATCATTTTCCTGTAGCCTTCAAGGAACTGCTGACCTCTTGGTTGATCTTTCACCGTGATAGCGTCCTTCAGAGTCAGGCGGACAAGCTCATCCAGCACTTTCAGGATGTCCATTTCGATGAGATGGTTGTCCTGCATAGAGCGAGCAATCGTCCACAGCAAGTCAGGTTCAGTAGCCAGTTCTGACTTTGCGTTGGGTACCTCCATGATTTTGGCCGCAAGACTCAAGTGTCGGAAGAAGGCCTCAGAATTTGCTCGCCTCTTCCCGGTAACAGTGCACATCTCAGTGACCCGATCGAGGACTTGCTCGCGGTGTTTTCGGCCGATTGCTGCAACAGGCACGCGGAGGTATTGAATTTCCGCGAATGCGCGTAATTGTTCGCCGAGCTCCCTTGATTTCCCCAACTTGGCATCTGAGTCCAGAGCCTCATAAAGAACTGAGAAAAGGAGATCCCTGAGCTCGCTGGAATGCATCGTCAAGACAAGATCCGACATGGCCTCGAAGACCAAAGTGTACGATAGTCCGCGAGGCGCTTCGTATTGACCAGAAAATTCCCCGAATGCGTGCCAGAAGAGCAGGCGAAGAAGGCTTTTGAGAGACTCGAGGGGAGGGAGAGTTAACAGACTGGGAAACTGAGTGAGCACGGCCGCAGCGTTCAAGGTGAACACCTCTAGGCGTGCGGTAGCGACGTTCAGGGGGTCAGCCGTACGGCGGCGTTTGGCTCCATCCGCAATACGGTCCTTGATCTCCTCGTTTGAGCGGAACAGAGCGACTGCGGATTGATTGAACAGGTTTTTGGCCGGTTCCTTGAGGTCGAGGGCGCCCATGAAATCGCTGCAGAGCGTGGCAACAAGATTGAATGCCTCCTCGCCTCGTGCACCCACACCCATGGCCTCCGTCTTCTCTGAAGCTCGAATGGCGTCTATCACATTGTGCTCCTTCGCTTGCGAAAGGACTGTAACAGTGAACTCCCTTGCTTCCTGTGGTTTCTGGTGGGGTCTGAGGAGGATGTGAATACGAGAAATGGCCCTTAGTGCTCTGGCAACAGTGACCGGCTCTTTTGAAACGCCGGTAAAAATGAGAAGACTCTTTTGTAGCGACTGCAACACGGGGGCAACTGATGCAATTGTGTCGTCCGATTGCAAGCCGCCGACAAGAGCATCCACGATGACGAGACTCGCAGAAGCCTCGGAAAACTCGTCATTTTCGGCAGATCTTTCGCAGGTAGAAATGCGGCGCCAGTGCTCGTTTAATAAGTCGAAGATTTGCTTTGCAGTGAGAGTTGACTCGAGAACATCTCTCACTGCCGAGGTGATTTCCTTCTCGACCCAAATGGATCTTTCCATGAGCGCACCGGATTTGCTCAGCTGTTGGAGCTGAGACACCCATTTTGAAACAAAACCAATAAGGTCTCTCGCTTGTGCGTAAGACTTCATGAGGGGAACAACAACAGAGCCCTTGAGAAAATCGGAGGTTCTCATGCCTGGCGTGACTCCTGATTTGTCGCTGTGTGCATCTGGAACATAGCTGAGCGACGAACCGACGCCGCCCGTGGAGGCGGCGGTGATGGCGTTGAAGATGGCGTCAGACAGACGCACGTCATCAGCCGCAGCCGTCTGCGGTGTATCCAGGAAGATCGTTCCGTCATAAGCAATCACCCGCGAAACGAGTTGCTGGTCAAAATATCTGGCGCTTCCACCCGGAGCAAGAATTCCCGAGTAAGATCGAACGATTTTCTCGAGCACCTCCGCTTCCAGCGCCACTTTCCTCCGAGAGAGAATCTCAAGCATCTGGTCGAGAATCGCGCGACGATCCTCGTCAATCTCGGGTGGCGAGCGGCTGTCGACAGGAGCTCCGATACACTCGCACAGCGCCACGAAAACGTGCTGCAGCCACGGAGCCTCATCCAGTCTTTTCTTGGGCGTGGAGCGCTGGGAGCAGCGAACCGCAATGTCCAGCAGGGAGCCGACTGTCTCAAACAGCTTATGCCTATCCGAATCCAATGGGGTCAGGCCTCGCCCCTCCGGGGTCCCAGCCAACGCCGTTCGTAACGGCTGGAGGAGGCGTGAAATATCAAGCGACTCGGGGGGCGCTTGACCTGGCTTACTCACTTGCCGACCCTCAGCTTCGGCAAAGAAGGAGGCTCTGGCGGGGATGAAGACATGTCTTGCTAGCAGAGTCTCCAGAGATCGGCTAATCCGACTCTCGATGTCGCGACCAGTCTCGACAGCGTTCGGCTCCACCGAAGTATCAACCTCGAGCGCTATGTCCGACAGCAGAACGATGGCGGGGACCAAGCACTCCTGCGAGAATCGCTCGGTGGCGCCGCTGGCATCACTGCCCAGGTCGGCGACGCAGGCGTTCCAGATCTGCAGGACATGGGGCAAAAGCGAATCGACAGAAACCCTTCCATCAAAGGCAGCCCTCAAAATAAGGTAATGCACAGATTCGAGCCATAACCGGAGCAGGTGGGCGGCTTGCGCGGTGTTTGTGCGTAGGACCGACTTCAGCAGCTCGGCCACCGATTTCTCGTAAGTAGCCGCCTCGTCAAAACACGCGGCCGCAATTTCAATGGTGGCCCCGGCGACGGCCTCGAACAATACGAGGCGCTCCTGATCTTCGTGATCGGACCCGTCCGGCTCTTCCACGGGAGTGCCGTCGCGCTTCCGCTTGCGCGTGGCCTTGCAATCTTTCCGCCTCTTCACAGCCGCCTCCTCTTGTAGCCTATGGTCGCGGTGCGGGGCGACAAAGTTTTCCTGCAGCGTCTTCTCCAGGATGGACAGGAACCCGTGCGAGTTGAGCAACTTGGCGGAGATGGCCTGGGGCAGGCCCAGCAACACCTGGCGCAGCAGCTGCCAGGCGACCCAGCTGCTGCGCGCGCTGAGGCCCTCCGGATCATCCGCCTTGAGCTTGCTCAGCAGCCAGCGCAGCACCCATTCGGTGCGCGGGCTGCCCTTGTAGAACAGCAGCGGGTCCTGAGCATCGTCCCGATGCCTCGCGCCGTCGGGCTGGCCGATTATCGAGGTGGCGTGGTCGAGTTTTTCGTCGAAGGTGGAGAAGTCTTTGTCCAGAGCAAGCAGGCGGCGCAGGGACGGGAGTTCCATGGGCTGCGGCGGCGGCATCAGCGGCTGGGGGCTCGGGCTGGGGGCTTGTGCGGTCGTTCAGCGTACCTGGGCGATGGGAGCCATGTCCTACAGCGCCCTGGGGCAGGAGAGTTGCGGTGCGATGGTGGTGCACGCCGTTTCGAACAGATCAAGCGGCCGTGCGCGGGCCGCGCCCATGCCAAGACTGACGAAACGACGTGCTGGCGAGACAACCACCACCACCACCCCGACCACCACGTCACAGCAGCCTCCATCTCGACCCTGCCAAGCCAAGCGCGCCAATTGGCAACTCCCTCGCGAAAACTCCGCAATGGCTGAAGAAAACACCGCCCCCGCGCCGCAGGCCCCGGTCGCGCGCCCCAGCCGCCCCATGAGCGAGGCCCTGCTTAACGACAAGGTGCGTTTCTCAAACCCAAAGGATCCGCCGGCGGTCCATCTATCCCATTTGCGTCCTCGAGCATGCGCGTGAGCTGGCGACTGCTGCTGCTGCTGCTGCTGCTGCCCGTCTGCGCCTATGAGTTGTCCGCCGCGCCGGCGCGCTATCTACTCTGTACCGCTCCTGGAAGCTCCTAGCTAACCGCCTGCGTCTGCCCAGTGGGACCGCTGCCTGTCCTCCATGCTCATCCGCTCTGGTCTCGGCCTCTCCTTCGGCATCGTCTTCTCCGTCCTGCTCTTCAAGCGCCGCGCGTGGCCCGCCTTCGTTGGTCTGGGTTTTGGTGCCGGCCGCGCCTGGGAGGAGTGCGACAACGTAAGCCTATCAACCTTGTCCCGAGAGCTCGATGCTGATAAACCACGAATGCAGTCTTTCAAGAACGCCGCTGCTCCCTCGAGAGACGGCCTGCGCGTCTACAGGCAATAAGCGCTGGCGCAACCGCGCACACACGGCCTTGCACTGGGAGGTTTCTTACGCGGCGGGAGGTATAATCGGTTCTACGGGTTTCGAGAGCAAAAGAAGAACTGTACAGTATTGTCGGGTTAGAGCGAATCAAAGGCATTTTCTGTACACCCGGCTCGGGACACGGCAAATTCGGCGGCCTTGGATCAGCGCAGGGATACTGATGATAGCGGACATCGATGCGACTCCAGCAGACTTCAGGGACATCTCTGTACTCGCAAAGGCCGCCTTGTTTATTGGCATTGGGTCGGAGGGCGTGCGAGAGGTTCTGTCGTGAGGGAGCTTCTGCATTTACAAGTGCAGAAGTTGCCGAAGATCCGACGGAGCAAAGGAATGGTTGCACCTTTCTTGTGTATGCAGCTACGAACATTGACTGTTACCGTGGTGATTTGGAGTTCTGAGAATGGCTAGCGGCATCGCATCCTTCGGAACAACATTCAAGTTATGGGCGTCAATCATTCAGCCGGGCGTGGGCAGTACCGTGATGTCAAGAGCTTTGGCTGGACTGGTCACCTCATTGATGAGCAACTGCGCCGCAGGTGAAAATGATGGCGCTTCCCTAACAGGACAAACCGCCAGCAGTTCCCGGTTCGCGGTGTTTAGCCTATTTCTTGCCGACAGGCTCTCAGGGTCTTGCCGGCATGAGTGGCTTTTTTTTTTCTTTCCTCGCGAAGAGCCGCGTTACCGTCACGTTGAGGCACGCAGGGTCTTGCCAAACAATGCATTCCCGGGGACGAACAGCCCACGGGAAATAGAGCTGCGCCAAGGAATGGGATGAGGCGGGCTTGCCGGTCAAAGCAGCCGGACAATTAACTCAACCAGATCCTAAATTCCGAAAGCTTCGAAATTAGGAAACCTTCCCCATCCAATTCGTCGAGGCTGCGCTGTCGGCCTTTGAGTTTCGGGCGGCGATAGCGGGGTTATGGAATTGTATTTCCAGGATGGCAGGGCAGCCGAGGGAGGAAGTCACGATGCTTGGGAGAAGGGTGGTTCAGCCTTACAAATGAAGACGGCCGCGACCGAGGGCGTTTGCGCAAGAGGGCGGCCTGAGCAGGGCTGGCCCGCTGCACGAGTGCTCCGGTGGGCAGTTCACTGGTCGGTTGCTGGGCGGGGTGGGCTGCTGGAGCTCAAACAGCCGTCAAGTTCGGCCGCCGTTCGGATGGCCAGCACGGGTCGGGTAGCCCGATGACGGAGCAGAGACCCCCGATGAGTGAACAACAATGATGCCTGCGACATTGACCGGCCGGCTGGGCTGGCGCGCGACCGGACTATCAGGGCGGTGGAACGCAGCGGCACGGCGTGCATCGATGGCGGCGGACTGCACGGCGGGCGGAAAAGGACGCGCCGGATAAATTGACTGATTCGTGAGGGCGACGGGGTTGTCAGCGAGGCGGGCGCGCTTTGTCACGGTCGCGCAGCAGTGCATGGTGCAGGCCAGCTCGTCGCCCCTCCGCCGCCGCCGTGGCCCCACCAGGTTGCATCACCCAAGCCCGCCGCTTCCTGGACTGTTTTTCTTCCGTCACTCCCTCAAACTCTCCCATTCCCCCTCCAACTTCCTTCTCCCTCACCCACCTCCTGCATCAATCTGCCCAACATGCCTTACGGAGAGATTGATCAGCTCGCCATCAACACCATCCGGACGCTGGCCGTAAGTTCCGTCTTATCGCTACCCCGCCATAGCTCCTCAACACTCTCTCGCCGCCAACGCCGCCCACCGCAGCCCGCCGCGCCCCAGCTGCACCTCCAATGCTGACCTCTCGCCTCTCTCCAGGTCGATGCCACCGCGAAGGCCAACTCCGGCCACCCCGGTGCGCCCATGGGCATGGCCCCGGTCTCGCACGTCCTGTTCAACAAGTTCATGAAGTTCAACCCCAAGAACCCCAACTGGGTGAACCGCGACAGATTCGTGCTCTCGTACGTGCCCCCACGCTCCCATCCCCCAATGCCGCAACCGTGATACTGCGGGCTGCCTTGTGTGGGCCCGCCGATAGCTGAGATTGCGCGCCCCATCTCCGCGGGCTTGCTCCGGAGCCTCTGACGCAATGGCCTCGAGCTATCCTCATGTGGCCCGCTTTGGCTTTTTCTTGAGCTTGAGTGCTGACGATCGCCCACAGCAACGGCCACGGCTGCATGCTCCAGTATGCTCTGCTCCACCTCTTCGGCTACGCCGTCAGCCTCGACGACCTCAAGGCGTTCCGTGTATGTACCTCTGCACGTGCTCGATCCAGTGCAGTGAACTAATTGCCCGCACAGCAACTTGACAGCATCACTCCTGGCCACCCTGAGGCTCACGACACCCCCGGTATTGAGGTGACCACTGGTCCTCTTGGCCAGGGTTTCTCTAACGCCGTCGGTCTCGCCATTGCCCAGGCTCACACCGCGGCTGTTTTCAACAAGCCCGGTTACAACCTGGTCGACAACTACACCTACACCTTCTTCGGTGATGGCTGCGCCATGGAGGGTGTTGCCAGCGAGGCTGCCTCCACCGCTGGTCACTTGAGGCTCGGCAACCTCATTGCCATCTATGATGACAACCACATTTCCATTGGTAAGTGAAGGTTTTCTGAGCGCGAAATCACATTGCTGACTGAATTCGACAGACGGTGACACCAAGTGTGCTTTCACCGAGGACGTCACCAAGAGGTTCGAGTCCTACGGCTGGCACGTCGTCTGGGTCAAGGACGGTGACCACGACCTCGAGGGCATTGAGGCTGCCATCAAGGAGGCCCAGTCCGTCAAGGACAAGCCCTCCATGATCAGGCTCACCACCACCATTGGCTTCGGTTCCAAGCTCCAGGGCACCGGCGGTGTCCACGGCAACCCCCTCAAGGCCGACGACATCCAGCACGTCAAGAAGCTCTTCGGCTTCGACCCTGAGAAGACTTTCGTCGTTCCCCAGGAGGTCTACGACCTGTACGGCAAGAAGGCTGCCGAGGGCGCTGCTCTCGAGGCCGAGTGGAACCAGCTCTTCGAGAAGTACGGCTCGGAGCACAAGGAGCTGCACGCCGACCTTGCCCGCCGTCTGGCCGGCAAGCTGCCCGAGGGCTGGGAGAAGAAGCTCCCCACCTACAAGCCTACCGACCCGGCCATTGCTTCCCGCAAGCTGTCCGAGTCCGTCCTGGAGGCCATCCACGACGCCGTCCCCGAGCTCCTGTCCGGCTCTGCTGACCTGACTGGCTCCAACAACACCCGCTGGAAGAACGCCGTTGACTTCCAGCCCCCGGAGCTCGGCATTGGCGAGTGGTCCGGCCGCTACCTCCGCTACGGTGTGCGTGAGCACGCCATGGCTGCCATTATGAACGGTATCGCTGCCTACGGTACCCTCATCCCCGCTGGTGGTACCTTCCTTAACTTCGTCTCGTACGCTGCCGGTGCCGTCCGTCTCTCGTCGCTTTCGCACCAGCGCGTCATCTACGTCGCCACCCACGACTCGATCGGTCTTGGTGAGGACGGCCCGACCCACCAGCCTATCGAGACTCTTGCCCACTTCCGTGCCCTGCCCAACATGATGGTCTGGCGCCCGGCTGACGGCAACGAGACTTCTGCCGCCTACTACATGGCCCTCACCAGCAAGGACACCCCCTCGATCCTTGCTCTCACCCGCCAGAACCTTCCCCAGCTCGAGGGCTCGACCATCGAGAAGGCCATCAAGGGTGGTTACGTCGCGTACGAGGACAAGGATGCTGCCATCACCCTCGTCTCGACCGGTTCCGAGGTCGGCATCTGCTTGGAGGCCGTCAAGGAGCTTGCCGAGAAGCACAACATCAAGGCCCGTGTTGTCTCGATGCCTTGCGTTGAGGTCTTCGACGCCCAGTCCAAGGACTACCGCCTCAGCGTCATCCCCGACGGCATCCCCGCGCTGTCGGTCGAGGTCATGTCGACTCTCGGCTGGGAGAAGTACTCTCACGAGCAGTTCGGTCTCAACCGCTTCGGTGCCTCGGGCCCGTACAAGGAGGTGTACAAGAAGTTCGAGTTCACTCCTGAGGGCATCTCCAAGCGTGCCATTGCCACGATTGACTTCTACAAGGATGTCAAGCCCCTCCGCTCTCCCCTCAACCGTGCTTTCACCCAGCTCATCTAAGCGACTCTATTCGTGCCGTTGTAAAAAGATGAGAAAGATGGAGAGAAGGATACCTCTGGTGTACTAGAAAATTGGGAGAATGGTAAAACCGTTGCCATGTTAATCGCATGTGCAACGGTCGCGCGCCGCTGGCGTGTGGATGGATCCTCTTGGTCACGAGTAAATGCATATAGATTGCAATAACGACTTCTGAATGACAAAAAAGTCCGCTTCTTCGTCAAATGCGAATTGTTTTCACGTGACTCTCTCGCTGGTTTGATCTAAACCGCTTCCGCTGCAGAAGCCGGCGATCTACAACAGGCCTCTGCATGTCTCGACCCATTTCCAGCATGCCAACGTCATGATCTTCTGCACATCTTATGCGACGGACAATCAGGTAGATGGTGATATTCTGCGTGAAGTTTCACGTGTTGAGTCGCTTGCTGGTCCTGACTCGCGGCGGGGACAGTCGCCACCCGTTCGCTTATGCACTCCTTGAAGTTGCATTACCGAGGATGCTCATCCTATCACACAGCGGCTTTTGCCCGCAAATGAGATCCGGTCGGTTCGGGATGCAGGTACTCCGCTAGCTATGTATTCATGTTGAGATATCTTCTTACAACAAATGTTCCTCTGTCGATATCAATCTTGAACCGTGGGTTCAACATTACTTTTGCAAGCTATTCTACACAGCTACGATTGACAGAATAATAAGAAAGTAGAAAAGGTAAGAAAAATTTTCCGGACGAAGCTCTGGGAAAAATGAGGATGTGACCGTCTCTTTTTCTCCTGCCTCTATGCTTTTGTTAAACCCGTTCAAACCATGACGTCAGCTGCGGCTCGGCTCCGGGCCGGCAGCCACCCGTGAGTGTCCTGGAAAGGTAAGGATGCCGCGAATTATCGCGTCTCACGCATGCAGGCAGCCGCCAAAAATATCGTATAATTATGCCGCACCTCTTTCAATCCTAAGGTTTCCTCGTTGTCTCTGTCTTCCACAGTGGATGTTAATCGGACACGGCGGAGCTCCTGGTTGTTTGCAAGCTACTCCGGTCACTGATCTTGGGTGATATCTAGCCCCCGCTTTGTGTAACAAGAATGGGGTCCCTCAGCATTCCATACCCAGACAAAGGGTACGAGCCGGCGTGGTTCACGCCCACGGCGCGATCAAAGTATGTGTGGATTTGGCTCGTGTATAGAGAATGGTCTTGGCTAACAGTGACTTTGCTGAAGCTTCTGCGAGGAGGTACACTCTTGTTCTTTGTTTACAATCCGGCAATCCCGGAACACATGCTGACCAATCCAGGATTATCTCATGACGCCGTACATTGCCGAAATCGTCAACACCACTACCAACATCTCTTATGGTTAGGACAAGCTTCCCTACTCAATGTCTTACCTTTGTACATAAGCCCCTAATGCAACTTTACAGTGATCTACGCATATTACGGCGTCCGCCGTCTCTTCCGCAGCAACAATCCTCACGCCGCTCTCCTCAGTCTTCCATACCTCGGCCTCGCTGCTGTAGGCATCTTGTCCGCATGGTTCCACGCGACACTGACCTATGTGGGTCAGATGGGTACGTACTTCCCCAATCAATGTTGTCTCAAAGCGTCCCGGGGAAGAACATAGAAAGAAGGGACATTTCCTCATGAAAAGAAGAAGCATAAGGAACCTTTACTCTGTACTCATCATTCATCTCTTTCTCCCTCCCCTCCTTTCTCTCTCTCTTTCTTCCGCTTCAACCACCCGCACGCCTCCATCACTGACTACAACTTAACCTAAACAAACGTGCGATTACCATGCTAATAAAAAGGCACCAAATGAACAGCTGATGACGTCTCCATGATCCTCGCCACATCGCTGGTCCTGCACCGCGCCTTCTCGCACGGCCGCTCCGCCCAGTGGACGCGCAACACGGGCGTCGGGCTCACGGTCGGCTTCGTCGTCTTCGCCGCCTACCACGCCTGGACGGACGAGCTGCTCGTGCACTTCCTGCTGTTCCTCACCATGACGTCGGCGGTGGGGTTGAAGACGCGGGCGTTGATCAGGGGCTTGGAGCAGGCGAAGCATGAGGATGAGGTGCGGAGGTTGAAGCAGTTGGCTTGGCTGGGATTCGGTGAGTTTGAATCCAATTTTCCTATGACTTGGGGTTCGCCCTCGGGTACTGTTCGAGTGTTGTTTGAGGAGCGAGAAAGAGTTGACGGAAAGTTGTTGCAGTTTGCTCGGCCGTCGGGTACGCGCTGTGGAATGTCGATCAACACCTCTGTGGTCACCTGACCGCTGTGAAGAGGGCGGTGGGCTTGCCTGGAGGGGTCTTCCTCGAGTTGCATGGATGGTGGCACATCCTGACGGCAATTGGCGCGTATGTGTTCATGGCGTTGGTCGAGGTTTTGACGACCGAGGAGGCGGGTGAGAAGGGCGAGAAGGCGCGTTTCGCGTGGCCGGTGGATACGTATCTGAGGAACGGGGAGGAGAAGAAGCGGAACTGAGCGCCGAGGCTTCAATGGGTAGTGTCTGTACAGTGTCTCAGTTCTGCGGGAGCGCGTGTGGAATTGGCTTGTGTAGGGGGAAATGGCGGGCGATTGATCGTTTCCACAACTCTTGTTGACCAGTCCCATGGCGGCTATCGGTGCGTCTGAGCTCAAGAAGTAGACCGCCTCCTGGCATCCAAAGCGCCTCAGCAAAACAGACTCAAGCACAGGACTCGAAATCTTGCGACGTACAATGTAGAGGAGCGAAGTATTCGACATCATGATCATAGTCTGCTGTGAGTTCAATTCCTATCATATTAGCTTATCAGTCGAATGCAGAGGCTCAGAAAAAATACATACGATCGATATGTATCGTTTTCATAGCGGAGACGCTGCTGACCGAACAAGCAGCGCCGCACCATCTTCGGCAGCCAGACAGCACGACTGTCCCTGTCCGTCTGATCGCAAGATTTCCTTACAGATCATTTTCAGTTGTGGAATGCAATTGAACTCGCATTACGGAGGAATTACCCTACGTCATGGCGTGAGGCTCCTACGCAGATACGCAAATCCCCGGCGGCACGCACATGGCCTTCCGCGTTCCCCGATGCTGCAGCTGTCAGCAGAGCGGCGCGGCTCGCTTCTGGCCCCCCTCAGAACCCAGCCTCCAGCGACAAGCTTGTTAAGAGCGTGAACGCTTGCTGCGGAAAGGGACCAGGGCCGTGTTGACTCCTTTCTACGGAACTGCGAAAGCTGACCCAGATTCAGCCTGGATCATGCCCGTTGCGTCTAATCTGGCGCCTTGGTGCCCAACGACCCCATCCCGCAACCTGCATATAAAGCGAGCCTTACGCACGACCCGACAGTTCTCATCCGCAAGCCTTACTGTAGTGGTAGCCTTACTTTCGCGTTACACAAACACGTCGGGAAATGCGGAAGAAAAAGTGAGGCTGCGAATCAACCCCAGGCGGGATCATGGACCCATGCTCGGATCCCTTGGACCTTCGTTTCGGTCGCCAGCAGCAAGCGGCTGTGCCAACACAAGAAACAGAAGAAAGCACTTAAGTATGGGCTTTCTTTGAGATTTAAATCAACGGTGTGTTCGCCGGGCCTGCTCCATCAGTCACTGCTGGAAAAACGAGATCGTTCAAATCCTATGCCTTTGGTTCACCAATAGGAAAGCATCTTCCATACTTGGAGATGGACGGGACGTCATCCAATGTAAGATCCCTTGATAAAAATAAACCATCTATGTTCTGACTGCCTATAGAAAGTCAGTGCGGTTCTGCTGCGGTATTGCTTTAGCTCGGCTTTCATAACGCTGATATTTCAGTTTCCTGACCAGTCAGTACCCCGGCAATCGGCACGGCTTTTTGCCTGCCCGTTTTACAAACATGAGGAAACCGCAAAATCCGGGAGCCCTAAAGACTGTTCCTATACCGGTGGTGGCTTCAAAAACATGGCCGAGGTCACGTAAGTTGTCCAAGATAGCGTAGTGATCTTTAGACCCGCTAACGTCTCATGCTCAGCCGGCACCTGAAGCAACAGCATAAGCGGAAACTCCAGAGATGCAAGACATGCAAGCGTTTTGTATTGACCAGTGGAGACCACCACGCGCATCAAAATGACCCTATTGGATGCCAACGGAGAGCGCTCCCGAAAGGTCCCGGACAACAAACCCTCTGGTTCGACCTATACGCGCTGCTATTCCCCAAATCCCAGCTACCCCCGAGCCCATGTAGGAAATTTGGATTTAGACATTGTAAACCAAGCTGATTGGTTTCAGATTATCCTCGTCAATCCGACAGTCGGGAGTGTCAGCCCAAGTTTCCAGGATGTATTGCTACCAATTCGCCACCAAAAGGAGGTCAGGCCGTCAGAGACCCTCTGAAAACCATTGAGGTGTTTCTGTCCCAGCAGTCTCCGTGTTCTCGGACGCAATGCCTGCTCGCAATCCAGGATTGGGCGAAAGAGCAATTATCCCAGGAGAAGGACCAGCCTTTATCCCCACGTGACCGCGGAAATGTAGCCGGACAGTCTCAGGAGACCCTTTCCTGGGAGAACGCAGGACAAGAGGCTGGGGCAGTGAGCCTGCAGTTCCAGTATGGACCGGAGCCCCAAATCTGCGTCCATCTACAGAAACCTGGATCAGAAGATTCTACTACGGATCATGTATCCCACTATGCTGGAGCCAGCCAAGGATCTTCCAATGCCTTGTGGAACGAACCACCCCTGGATCAACTTTGCAGCCCATTGCAGTGGAACCCGCAGGATCTTCCCACCCACTTTCAAGGTGATCCTGATCACCACTTCGCTGATGGAGATTCGAGGAGTGGCTGGGGCAACGATTCTGTCCTAGAGCTTTTCTCTAGTACGGCGCCTCAGAGCACTTACCGGGTCAACTACCAAGAATGGATACCACACAGCAGATTCCAGTCATGATTTTCTAAGATGAACCAAAGTTTCGGGTATATGCTGTAAGTTGATTTCCAGTAAAAGTAGCTGTTGGTAAATTCAAGCTGCAATTTAGTTTTCATTGTTTCCCTTGTTCGCGGCTTCAGCCCAAACGTCGCCGTCTTCATTCTGTCCGTGCATTTCACTTGAAATTTGACAGTCTGTTAACCATTATCAGCCCTTTCCCCCAGCCTACATGTGGTTGACGCTGTGGCAGATTCTCTTAGTATTTTTCCAAAAAGAAAAGCAAGCAGATTTCTTTTTCTCTCCTTGATAAATCCTGAGCGGATTTACATATCCCCACACTTCCTCAGCGAGTTCGGTGATTATCAGAATCTTCAATTACTATTGGCGTGTGACATCACATTCGTCGTACTGAGTGGATAAAAGATGGGTTCCAAGGGCATTTTCTTCATTTTCTCTTCATAGCATCGTCATTCATTCAATACATTGTTTGGGGGCTCCAAGACGCAATGAATTCACCAACCAGCTCTTGCTTTGCACGCTCTCTCCCTTCGCCATTCCCAGATCCATCCCATTTCTCATGTCTAGAAATAGCTTCAACTACCCACATAAGTCGAACGGCGTTCCTCGAAAAGAAGATTATTGTTGAGACTATTCATAAAAATTAGAAGAACCACAAACCCTTTCCCTTCAGCATGCTAAGGAACAATAGCCTTACTCTTTCAATCTTCTCAGCGAGGATGAAGCCTGTACTTTAGTGAGTGATTTTGCCTCCCGATAGTCTTGTTCGACGCTTCCGTTAATCCGGTTGCCCCACCCCGTTAGAAAGCTTGCACTATTGCAAAATGGTACACTTGTGCCTTCCCGCACATTACGGTCTCTCATGGTATGGCACCGAAGTCACCCAGGATCCTTTCCTCAGAAAAGCTTCAAAATCCCATGTAAGCTGCATGCAGTTCCCCGCCCTCAGGGCGCCATCCACCAAATGACAGGACACGCAGCCAAACCTTGTCCAGGTTTTGTTGGTGATCCAGGCCTGAATCTAAGCGCCGACTTCAACGGCTTCACTCCTTGGGCCAATCAAGGACCCTGTCTCCTGGACCATCCCCGCAGTCCTTCCCCGCACGCCGCCACGCCACACCCAGCAGATCACGAACCATTGAGAACGCACTACAATCCGCACAAGCTGAAAGATTTAAACATAGCCATTTGGATCTAAAATTCCCGTCCCACGGTAACATCGCATTCCAACCACAAAACGATCACAACTAACCGAAAGGCGTGCAACAGAATACAGCGTCTGATCACCGTAACACAACAATGTCGCCCCCAGAATACGACCTCATCGTCGTCGGCTCCGGCTTCGCGGGCTGCATGGCGACGCTCAACTTCCTCGAAACGTGCAAAGCCGAAGGCAGCCAATGGGGCGCGCGCGTCGCCCTCATCGAAACGGGGCGCGCCGACGAGCGCTGCGGCGCGTCCCGCTGGACCATGGCGTACCTGCGGCTCGACCGCAACATGTGCTTTGACGAGGACTGGAGGCACGAGATGCGCGCGGTCAGCAAGGGGCAGGCCGACCTCGAGTACTGCGACACGCTCGCCGCCGAGGCCCAGCGCTCCGTCAAGTTCCTCGAGGCGCATGGCGTCAAGTTCGTGCATCATGATGAGGAGAATGTGTTGTTGGAGTTTAAGACGGGGCAGCATTTTGTGTTTCCCGAGGGCGGCGGGCAGGCGATTATTGCGAAGTTGATGGAGCATATTAAGGGGTATGCGAATGCCGATGTGCTGTGGGAGACGGAGGCGAGGCATGTTTTGACCAACCAGCATGGTGCGGTTAGGGGGCTGCAGGTTCGCAAGAAGGATGGCCTGTTGTACGAGCTGTGAGTATCTCTGCAAAACCTACGGCTTCTTCTCTCTGAGTGGTTTTCAGACACGCACCAGATGTGGTGCTTGCATGCGGTGGATTCGAAGGCAATCGGGAGATGCTGGCAAAATACATTGGGAATCGGACGCACGAATTGCCCTTGATCGCTCCAGGATTGGTCCATAACAAGGGCGCAGGGTTGAATATGGCGCTGGAACTTGGTGCGGCAACGAGCGGCTCCTTCGATGGCATGCACTGCGAGCTTGTGGACACTCGGGCAAAGAAGCCGGATGCAGTCATTGTAAGTGATTTCTTTAGGACTTCATACGTCATGTCAGCTTGCTTACTTCTTCTAGTGGGGCCACAACTATGGCATTGTTGTCAACGAGCACTGCAAGCGCTTCTACGACGAGGGAAAGAGACATCTCTTTGCCACCTTCGAGATGATTGCGCTTGAGCTTTGGCGCAATCAGAACCAAAAAGGGTTCTTCATCACGGATGAAACCATCATGAAGCGCTTCCGCCCCGGTTGGGTGTACGATACAACCGACCAAGAACCGGAGAAAGCCGACACCATCAGAGAGCTTGCAGTGAAACTCGGCTGCGACCCTGATGAGCTGCAAAAGACGGTGGACGAGTTCAACGAAGCCTGCGACAAAGAAACGCCATTCGACCTGATGAAACTGGATGGGAAGGGGACGCGTGGACTAAGCCCAGAGAAGACAAACTGGGCAAATCCTATCGTCAATGCACCGTTCTACGGGTGAGTAAGACAAATGTATGACCGAGTACATATGCTGACAATGGGGCAGGTACCCGCTCGAGGCGCACTTAACTTTCACATACGGCGGTGTGAAGACGAACACGAATGCGCAGGTACTCGGCACCAACGATGTCCCCATTCCGGGGCTTTGGGCAGCTGGAGAAATGACTGGCCTTTTCTACAATGGTAAGAAGAGCGATCAATGCGGCGTTGTGCAATACTGACCATAACAGAGTATCCACCGGCCACCTCAGTGCTGAGGTCCCTCACTTTCGGACGCCTTGCAGGAACACAGATTGCACACAAATTGAAGAAGGGCGTTCTGGGGAACCTGAAGTCAAGTGTTTCCTCTTTTACTAATTCAAAACTCTAATGCACAGCGGTGGACGTGATTGGGACGCAACATGCTTCACCCACGAGATCATTCGTAAGCTGACCATTGGTTTCATGGTTATAGCATCTTGCTTGACACGTAATGGAAATCAAAGAATTTTCTTGTGGGGTGTCTCGATAATTCAACCTTTGTGAAGAACGATATTCGACATATCTGGGTAGTTGAAGCTATCGTCCGGACGTGAATGTTACAATTTTAATTGCCCATTTACGTCCGGACGATAGCTTCAACTCCCCATGCAATGTCATAATTTCACGCTATGGCCTTTTTCAAGAGCTGATTACGAATTGCGCCCGTAGTCGGGGTCAAATACCAATGTCTCCAGGACCTTTTTTTTTTTTCAAATTCTTTTATCTTTTTTTTTGGGATTTTTGCGGTCAGTGCGCCATTTTGGTAAAAAGCCGCTGAGATTTCTCTTCCAACATTCGGAGCAACATCTAAAAAGGGGTATATGTTGGAATTTAATCCAGCCTTCTCATCCATGATGAGCGGCACAGTAACATCCACGGATGGTGGAAAAGGGAAGAGTTGGGGCTGAAAAGCAACGTCCGAGCATCGGCGGCAAAAGACGGAGATGATGGAAGTACATCAAACGGTTGTGAGGCGAAGATTGACAGCGTGACGTCCATGTGACTGGAGCTCGTTGGGGGAATGACTGACCGGCAGCGCCTTTCATCGTCGGTCGCTGTGCCAGAAGAGCGAGGGGCCGCAAACTGCCTGCGGGGCAGCTCGCGCGCGGACCCCCATGAGAAAATCCCCATCACAAACAGTCCGACGTCGCAGAGTGTTGGTTTCTGTGAGCGAGTCATCCGTGCGGCCGGAGATGACGGGCGCAAAAGTGGTGTAGAGCGGCGGCCAAGCACAAGATAATGCAACCAAGCCATCGAAAGGACACTAACGAAGAGGCGTATAATGCCGTAGAATTAAGCTATGCGGGCGTAAGCCCTAAGCGAGTGACTAAGCCCGATGGGGAAGCTGCGAGTGGCTTGAGTGCGAGTGGGGACAGGCACCCTGACCCCCACCCCCACACTCGACCACCGCATCCACAGTCTCATGTGCTATTGAATTATGGCCGAGAGCTTCGGAGAGATCTGTAGCTGAAGTATATACAGGGTAAAGTTGAATAAAAACTTTTTTGGGTCAAAAAACCACCTCCACCTCAGTTCTTCACGATCCAGTCATTCACCGCAGCAGCAACATCATCAGAGTTCTCTTCTAGGAAAAACATATGTGCGTTTCCATTCAGACCAACGTCAGGAAGGAAAAGATGCTCAGCGGGGACACCGGCCTGCTGGAGGAACTTGACGGTGCACCAATCGTAGGGGACGTGGTAGCTCGACTCGGACGTCACGAGGACGGTGGGGATCTTCTCCAGGTTGACCAGCTTGCGGACAGTGCTGTTCGACGACTGCAGCACACAATCGGAGATACCAGCAGTCGCGTTGCCCGGGTAGACCTGCTGGACGAGGTCGGTCGCGGGGTCAGACACCGGGGGGTCGTAAGTCAGCGGCGCATCAGTGATGCCGTACGGGCGCGACGACGACGACGAGAAGACGGCCTCGCGGAAGGGCGGGCCGGTGGGCTCGAGCGAGACGATGCTCTTGACGAGGTCGGGGCGGGCGTCGGCCAGCAGCCACGGCATGAGGCCGCCCTGCGAGTGCGCGACCAGCACGGCCGGCGTGCCGATGCGATCAAGCAGCGCCGCGCCGGCGCTCTGGAACGACGTCTGCTGGGCGACGGCGTCGCCGCTCATGAAGGGGACCGTCGAGATGTAGTAGTCGTCGAAGTACTGGTCGCCCTGGGTGCCGTTGCCGGGCCACTGGGTGTGCTTGTCGGCCTGCGGCCACAGCATGTACAGCTCGGGCGCGGTGAAGCGCTGCTGCAGCAGCTCGGCCGAATACGCCGACGTGCTCAGGCCCGGCGTCGTCGGCGAGCGGCCGCGGTACGTCTGGTCGACGATGTACACCTGGTAGCCCTGGCCCAGGAAGAATGACGACCACCCGGGGCTGCCATCGGCCTTGTTCAGCCAGTTCTAAAACGAGAAGGTAACTGATCAGCGCGCCGGTCGTGTGGAAACGAGGTATTTTAACTTTTTTCGCCTTCAGATCTTCAGTGCTTGGGGTCATGGGCTCGTCCGCACTTCGGCGGAGAACGAGTCAGGAAAGTATGGGAATTTCCTTGGCACAACCCGGCACCCCAGGACGCGAATGGGCTGATGGTTGGCTTACCGTGCCTGTTTGGGCCTGACCGTGGATGAAAACGATGGGGTTCTCCTTGGTAGCGCCGCCGACGGGTGTCAGCTGTTCGACGTAGAGTTGATCGGTCCAGGTGTGATCGCCGTCGCTGTCGGCTACGTATTGACCGCCGGTGTAAAAGTACTTGCGGGTGTGAGGCGTCTCGGTACTAGAGGCATTGCTGGGGCTGGCGATCGCTGCACCCGTGAGGGACAGGAAAAAGAAAAGTGCCGAACGCATCCCTGCTCGTTTTGGCGCGGAGCTTCGTCCGGTGAGGTCTGCAGAGAACTGTCCAGGGGACTGCGGGCGGCGCAAGGCGGCTTTTCAAGCTCAGGAGAGGACCGGGACTGCCGCGTAGACGTTCGGCATCAGATATATAGATTGGCGAATAGCCGATCCGTGGTCGAGGTCCGGGTAAGGGGTTCTCCGGCACGAGGTGGCGGCGCACAGGGCTGCAGTTTTGTGGGGGTGTGGGCTCCCAAGAGCTCATTTAATACTGAAGCCGCCTAGCCAGAACACACTATGGCGTTCGCCGTTGCGTCCTGGCGTGCCACCAACGGAGATTGGCGTCAGTCAACGCACTCGATGTGACCTAAACGCTAGGCTGTGTGCCCATCTTGGGCTGGCACCGAGGTTGCCCTCGTAAGATATCGGCCACTACCGATGCCATATATCATGCAATCAATGATCTCTATTTTCTGCTGCCCTCCTGCTGCGAATCCCTCTCCCCACTTCCAAAGTCGTTTCCGCCGTCCGCCGCGTCGGGCCGGGCCCGATGGATGATCCTACTCTGTTGATCTTATGGCTGCTCAGCTGGCTGGCCGTGGCTATCATGGTTACCAGACTGGTGCTGCGTAAGGTCAGAGGCCAATACTTCGGTTTGGGCGACTATCTCACAATGGGTGCAATCCTTTGTGCCTTGGTCCGCCTCCCGCTGATACACGTTGTCATTACCTGGGGGACCAACAACATGTCGCCAAAGCTCCGCGAGAACACACAGTGGACAGCAGAGAAGATATATCGCAGGGAGATTGGGAGCAAGTTCGCCGTGGCGAATCGCGTCTTTTACAATTCATAGTAAGTCGCACCTCCGCGCGCTTCTCTGCCACAAAATCTCATACAATCAAATAGTCTGTGGCTGCAAAAGCTCGTCCTGCTAGACATCACACGGCAGCTCATTAAGGGCTTGCACTGGGAATATATCGTTCTCCGGTCCTTCTACGTCGTATTTGCGGGTACCTACATTGCTGTGCAAGTCGTCACCTTCTCCGAATGCAACCCTTTCCACTTGTACTGGCAAGTGCTTCCTTATCCAGGTACGTTACATTGTGGAACTTGGAGGTGCAGTCGACGAGACATAGCACTATTGACGCTAGAGGATCGCGCATGTAAGCTAACCAACCAAAGGAACCTGCTCGCAAGCGCAAACCCAACTCCTCACGCTCGGAGTTCTCAACATCATCACCGACATCATGCTCATGGCCCTACCGGTCCCCATCTTCTTCTACTACTGGAAGCGGCCCCTGCTGCAGCGCCTACACATCGCCTCGCTCTTCTGCATGGGCTTCTTCATCGTCATCATCACCGCCATCCGCCTCCCGCAGAACCACAACCAAGCCGTCAGCCAAGTCAACCGAACAACATGGGCAAGCATCGAGTTGTTCGTCGCCGCGTTAGCCGTCAACGCGCCGGTGCTATATACGCTGAGAAGGAAGAACCAGCGAGGACAGCCGCCGCCGCCCGCGACGGTCATCGAGCTCAGCGACGGGCCGGCGAGCGACTCGCCAATGGTGCAGGAGAACGCGGCGCACTTTCACCAGACCAGAGTTGACACGGCTATGGTTCCGGACACACCAAAACTAAAACGCTAATAATGACGAATTGAACGGCTAGAAATTAGAAGAAGCGATAGAGCTGGGATGTGGGTGTTGATTTGGATACCATGTTACCTTGCAGCGAGCAACGAAGCTCGGCTCTTTTTACACTGCGAGACGATACGACAGCTTTTGTTTTTCTTTTCCTTTGTAATACCAAATGTGCCATGGACGATCCGTGCGGTAGCGGTCGTGTTAGTGGCAGCTGATGACGAGCTGTAGCTTCTTAAACTAGTAAAAAGGCTAAAGGATTCGTGGCTGCACTGTGGCACTGCGAACGGCCCGGTCCGCCCAACAGGTGTGGAGCCTTGAAAAAAAAAACAAATAATTAATGACCAAGCAAAACGTCAGCTTGCCACTTGCAACATGTGATTCTTGTCCTGTCGTCGTGTGAAGTCTTGTCGCCTGCTGCTTGCATCCATTGCGCCGTCCCAGCCGGATGGATTGACACCCTTGTCTCCCCCACAAAGTCAACCGCGCATGTGGGCCGACAACCTTCCCAACGTTCTGGACCACGCGGCACGCAAGGATCGGCACGGTAAGCTTATGTGCATCTATCCAGCAAGCCTCAAGATGCGCCGCAAAGCCACGTCAGAGCGTGTCGCAGCCCGTCTGAACTGGCAATGATTTTCTTGTGTTTCAGCTTTGGACTGCGATGGCGATCCAAAATGCTGCAAGCTCTGGATTGGATCTGCAGCCTAGGGAAACCCTAAATAATGGAAAGTGACTGGGTTGAGAGCATTCTAACTTCGATTGGCAGTTTCTTCTTTGATTCTTTTCATTTGGCGGTCGCACGCTTGATTGTTTCAATCCTTCTCATGCTTTGTTGGACAATAGGCTGCCGCAAGTGCAGTGCGCGTCAAACTGTTTTCTTCGTAATGTGCTCTGAAGCTCCATTACTGTGGGCCATAGACAATTGAAGTAGGTGACCTAGTTGGGAACTGTAGATGGATGGAACAACATCGTGACCCGGGCGTGGGCTTCAAGTGTCCCGTAACTGTGGTGCGATATGTTTTATGAAGCTTGTATGGGAAGGATGAAGTTTTTGTAACCGGCTGCGAATGAGTCCACGGTAGCTCCTAGTCCATCAAGTAGCGTGCTTTGTAGGAAACATTGTGAAGGAATCTTCTCGATTGTATTTACTTTTGCCTCTCGAGAAACCCGAAGAGATTCACGGCGAGGAATTAGCAAAGGATCAGATACTCCCTCCTCCTCCCACCTTCTTCCGCAGCAGCAAATTCCAAAGAAACCCACTGCTACACTCTCACCCTCCCACCTCCCACCACTCCACGGCCTGAACCGCCTCCTCTAACTCACTCCCATCCTTCACCAATCAAGCCAACAGCTCCTCCTCACCCGGAATCAGCGTGCCATTCTCAACCGCCGCGCCATGTCCCCTCGCCAAGTACCCGTAAACAGGGAAGTAGCGATCGAGCCACGGAATCGCCTCCTTGGCGCCGGGCGTGTTGCGCCAATCGCGCATGAGGTCGCACACGATGCTGAACAAGCTGACCAGCTGCACGCCCGCATCCCGCATGCGGTCGTTGCTCACGTCGCGCACGAGCGCGCTGGTCGTGCCCGACGCCTCGACGTTGGCCCACACGCTGTAGCCCTCGGCGCGCAGCGACAGCGCCAGGAACGCCGTGCACACGTCCGTCGTCACGCCCGCCACGATGATCTGCTTGCGGCCCGTCGCTTCGACCGCGGCGCGGAACTCGGCGTTGTCCCACGCGTCCACCTCGCCCTGCCGCTTGATGAGCGGTGCGTCAGGGTACATTTCGAGGATTTCTTTGGGCAGGGGCCCGTTGGGGCCCGTCTCGGCTGACGTCGTCATGATGACGGGGAGTTCGGGGAAGAGCTTGCCGAGTGCGGCGTGCGCGATCAGGTTCTCGCGGTACAGCGTCGGGTCGAAGTCGCGGGCGACGGTATAGAGGCCGACTTGGAGGTCGAGGATGAGGAGGACCTGGAGGGAGGGGGGATTGTTAGTGTGTTGTTCAAGCATGAGTGTTGGGGATTGATTGAGAGGGTAGGAGCAATGGTAATGAAGAGAAGACGTACAGCATCGCTAGCATTGAGGCGCTCGAACGGAACGGCTGGAAAGTAGGTAGTCAAAATGTCAGCCAATCATGCCCCCATTATCACCATCACCAGCTCAACTCACAATCCGCCAGCGCCAACAACGGCGCAGCAAGCAGCGAAAGAACGGTAGAGAACTTCATCTTGAACCGGAAGCAAGAGATCGAGAAGCGTTGATGATACTTCTTTTCGTCGGGGTTAAGGTCGAGGAAGAGAAAAAAGGTCGAGCAGGAGCTGCAGTCCCAGAGTCCTAAACCAGAGTTCTTGTCCGAAGCTGCTTGGATGGGTGATCTCCTCTGATTCCGCCGTCGCCCTCCTCTCTTTATACCCTTTCAGCTCCTCCATCTCGCCCACTCTTCTTTCCGCACCGGAAGTACCCTTACGCCCTGCATATCTCCACCGCCAAGTTGCAAGCGAGCCGCCTTCGTTGTGCGTGATTCAGAAGAGGAAGGGCGAATAATCCTTCAAACACGCCAATCGCCATATCAAAGAGCTGACCAAGATATTATCAAGACATGTTCGTCCGAACCGTGCACGGCATGCGGCGGAGACATAGCCAACACTACCAACGGTCCTGCCCAAAACCACGTTACTCCGGAGGGCGGAATATGCAGTCGCGGTCCAATCAGTGCTCCCGGAACGACCGGGAACCAAGGGCAGAGGCCTACATGCAGCTCGTGTGGGCAAATGCGTTGAGATGTGGGGAACATGTGAAGTTTGATTTGATTAGGTCTGGTTGATGAAGTAGGGCGGTACAAAGGATTGCAGTTAGCGGCAAGTACAGAAACCTAAAAGTTAAACGAGAAATGCACAACTGAACCATGCGGGTCGGCTGCGGGCGAAAACGCAAGCCACCTCTCTTGGCAAAAGCGAAAGGCAATGCGGGGAACGGGCGACAACAATCATCGTCCCGCTGAGCGGAGAGAGGGGGGAGGGAGGCAATGGTGTTCATTGGTAGAAAAAGGATTCCGTCTTGTTTAGACGTAATACAAAAGTAGAAATGATGCAAAAGAACAGCTCGCTATTTGCCACAAAGAAAAAGGGTATATGTCTCGAAAACGCCAATGCCTGCCGCTTTCCGGTAATGGGAAATGGAACAGCAAGGAAAAAATGCCGCAAAGGCCGATGCATCTCAAGATGGGATCTCTGGAAAAACGCGTCTTTCCTTCCCCCCACTTCTGCGTTACGCAAGCCCTTCCGCCGCCCTTCTCTTCAAAAGGAACGCCTCTTTAGCCCCGCGGTGGGGGTTCATATACCATCGGGCTTGGCCGTTCGTATGTTGTGCCACTGGAGGGCCCGGCCCATCTATTGGCCTGTTCTTCTCTGTCCCGCATCTCACGCTCGTTCTGGATGGTCGAACAGCAGCAACAGCAGCAGGACTTAACAATGTCGGACGGCAGCGAGCCTTCCAACTGGTAACTGTGTCGGATCCGGGTTCGCTGGATGAGGGGGAAAAGACCTGTCGTGGAACCACGTTAGCACATTCGCTCATGCAGGTGCCCGGAATGAAAAGGAAGCTAAACAGATCCGGAGCGACACAAGAAGGCAAAGGGATGCATACCGCACAAGCCGCAAAACGTGGCCATGGCCATGAGACTGCACTGGGTATTGGCCCAGCTCCAGCCTAGCATATCGGTCGGATCCTTCTTCTCGCCCTTCAAGCCCAGCCGGTAGCTCGTCTTGCCGTACAACACGCACGGGCAGAAGACTCCGGTCATGCAGGTTCCAACGTCTCCACTACATTCGCAGATTGAGTGCTTCCACTGATGCTTCGATCCAGTCGCATGCAGGTCCATATTCGGATGGGCGATCTGGCCCGGTTTATGCTCCCCCGTCAGCATGCCATTCGGACCGCTGGGATTATCTGGTGCGAAGATGGGCGGTCGCGACGGGGCAACATTTGAGTGCGGACTGTAGGGTTGTGTAGGAGAGATGGGTGATATGGGAATATTGTCGACAGGCGCACTGTCGTCCCTCTCAGTCTTGATGGGGACAGGACCGGGTGACGCCGGCGGCGGTTGTGCGTCATAGTTGTGGTGGAGCTGCTGCTGGGAATGGTCCGACTGTGCAACGCTCTGGGCGAGACTTTGCTGACGCTGCCTCGGGGCCGCTATACTTCCTCGCGGCGAAGTGTCAACAACCGGAGCGAAGAAGGCGGGATGCGGCTCCTGCGGCATCGGCCTTGCATATTCCTCGGGCACTCTTCCTTCCGGAGCAATATCTTCCCCCATCTCTTTGGACAGCGGCCGCGACATGTGGGGCGCTGGTAGTTGTGGAGCAACGGTACTGATGGCTGACAGGTCGTCGAACTCAGTCGCCGGCGAGTTCAAATTCGAAGCGTGTATCGAGTCTGGAGAGTATGGGATTGTGGGTTCGGTCTGACGGCGGGGTTGGGCATGATGCTGGAAATGGGGTTGTTGGACCTCGATCGGTGTTTGTGCGAAGGAGAAGCGATTGGACTGGGGTGGCGATTGGACGCGTGCGCGAGGTTGGGCTTGCGACTGCTGCTGCTGGGGTGGCGGAGATGGAGGCCCGGGATCGAGTTGGTGGATAGGGAGTCTCTCGGCATCGGTCAAGGGGATCTGCCAAGAGAAACGCGGATTGGAAGGCTGCTGAGGTTCCGCAAGCTGCTGCTGGTGTTGCGGGTGCTGGTAGTGCTGGTGTTGCTGGTGTTGCTGATAGTGCTGCGGCGGGTGCTGCGGGTGTTGGTAGTAGTAGGGCTGGGCGGGTTGCTGCTGCGAGGCCTGCGCCTGCGCATGTGGTTGCGCATACTGGCGGCGAGGGTCCATGGCGACGCGCGAGGTAGACTGCAGTCGTCGCAGCGAAGCTCAGCTCGTACAGACGGGGGTTATGTTGGAGAGGCGACAGGCCGCAGGCAATGACGTGAGCGCACACGAGTCCTGGAGCTGGCCGGCAGCTACCATTCCGTCAGCACATCAGCGCTAGATCAGCAAGCAGATTTGAGAAATATAGCAGGTGTCGCAAGCGCGCAAGAATAGCTCGGGCGAGCTTGGGTGACGGGCAGACATTAGGCTGCTCCTTGATCGAGCCGTGCGACCCGTCGCGGACGTGCAGAGCCGTCCTGGAGCCGCGATTGGCCTCGACGACATGGGCTGTGTGGGGCTGCCAGACTTCGGGTCACCACTGCGGCCATGAATGGTTGGTTGGCCGGCAAGGCTATAAGCGCCAGCACGGCTGATCGTTGCCCGCCCGGGCAGCTTCCACGCTGCGCCGCAGTCGACTCGCCGCCTCCGCCATGTAAGGCACCACGGGAAATCCACAAGCCGCATCTCAGCACTATGGGGCCACCACAGCCTGACGCGATCACACACTCTCTCAAACCGCGCCACCCGTGCCAGCTCCACCGCCGCTGGCCAAGACTGCTGCCACCGAGTCAGGCCGCCTGCAGCCGCTCATCTTGCATCGCGAACCGGCATTAAGAAAATGAAGATCCTCTGTCAATTCTCCTATCCACTTGCTTGTAGAGGAAAGGCTATGCCGCTGATGCTTGGAATCACCGCCATCCTACTCGTAATCCCCAGATCTGGTATCCACACTTATCCCATAAATCGCTTACCGGTCCCTCTCGGCGCGGCTCTCCTCCTCTACCGTCTTGAGCGGTCCAGCGTGCTCCTTCTTGACCCACTCCCAATAGCTCTGCCAAGCCTTGTGGTTGGGATCCTCGACACTGCCACCCTCGACGCTGCCGACGTTGAGGCTCTTGTTGATGTCAATCGAAACCTTGATCACACCCTTGGCGCTCTTCTCAATCTTCTCGATCTCCTGCTTCACCGCGTTCTCCTTGGCCTTGGTCGAGATGACCGCCTTGAAGTGCTCCGAGATGGTCGTCAGTCGCTGCTTCGTCTCGTCCGGCGCCAGGTGAACCAGCTTGGTGAGCATAAGGTTGCACAGCGTGCGCACATCGTGCTCGTCCGTAATGCCTGCGATGATGCGGTCGAAGAAGTCGGCAAGGTTGAGGCGCGCAACCGCCGTCTCGAGCAGCGTGTACAGTGTCTCGTACGCGCTCTTGCGCACTTCCAAACCGTCGTCCACCTTGTGCTTGAAAGGTCCCATCTGCACCTCGCGGATCAGCTCCGGCTTGACCTGCGTCTGGCCCATCACGAGAGGCAGAAGCTCCGTCAGGTGCGGCAGCACCAGTTCCGGCTTGTTGTGCACGGCCGAGCTCATAGTGGTTAACGCGAGTCTCTGGTTGTCCAGGTCCGTCTCCTGGAGCATCGCCGCCAACATCGGGATGACAATCGGCCGCAAGAAGTCGTCGTACGCCTCGTCCGTGTCGGCGAACGTGTACCGCAGCGCCGAGATAACCATAGCTCTAGCGCTGGGATCTGCTTCTCCCAAGAATTTCTTTGGGGGTACGTCAGCATGTCTAACCGTGTTGTCGTGGTGAGTAATTACCTGAAGCTGGGGAAGGAATGTCTGAGGATCAATAATCGTCAGCCTTCCAATGCACTCAGCACCAACAGCTCTGTTGTCTTCCTGCTGCGATGCCTTGAGGATGTGCTGCCAGAGGTCTTGCGCGAACGGGAGCAGATCAGCATCAGCACTGCGGTACTGGAGAACCTCCCTGATAGAGTGCAGCAAGAGATACGTCTTGGCGTCTGGCTGGCTGAGTGTTGAGATGATGAAAGGAAGGTATGTCTTCACGTTCGAAGAGCCTGCCCTTCCAAGCGCAACTGCCGCTGCCAGTGGTACCTGTCCACCATCGCTGAAGCGAGCAACAAACAGCTTCGGGTCGAGAGGTGAATCCTGTCCAAGGCGCAGACCACCTTCGCCCAGCACAGCCAAAGCCAAGCACTTTCGCTTCTCGTCCACCGCAGTTTGCAACTCCTGCACAAAGTCCTCCAACTTTACATCGATACCTGCCTTGCTGTAGACAAGCAGAGTGCCTATCACCTTGCCGATGAGATCGGGGTTGCCCGCAATACCAACATCACGGAGCAATGACTTCATCAAAGGACCACCGGCATTCTTCTCTGCCACAGCCCTGACCAAAGCCAAAAGAGCGTCGAGAGCGCTACCGCTCATCGTCGAGGTCACGACCTCCTTGAGTGCATCGACGAGCTGCTCATTGACAACGTTGCTGGGATCATTGGAGACGAAAGTCGCTAGGATAATCAGGGCTGGTCCCATCAGGTGCAAATCGCTGTTCTTGATCGGAGGCAGAAGCATCTCCTCAATCTCCTTGGTAGTCTTGGCATCCAGATGAGCACGGGTGACAGGATTTATGACAATGGTCCGGAGCGCGATCAAGCTGGAGCCACGCAGAGAGCGACTGGCCTTGCGAAGTTGGGCACCAAGCTCGAGCGCGACCTCTTGGATCCACTGAGGCGAGAATTCCGCGCTGTTCTGTGCGAGGCCTGCCGCGACCTCAATGGCACGGACTGAAGCAAGACGGGTCGTCTCCTGCTTGAGACGTTGGCCAAGAAGCTCAATACCTGCCACCTTCTTATCTTGCGAGAGGAAGTCGTCAGTGCCGGAACTACGGCCGATGAAAAGACCCAGGACGTGGATGGCACGGCGACGGGCTTCAACATCGGCATCGTTGGCGGAGATGCGATTAACTAGGATATCAAACAGCTGCTCCAAGTAAGGCTTGTTCTCCGTAGAGCCAGCCGAAGCACGCGGCGGGGTGAATGCCTTGATGAAGCCCTCAACGCTCGCCAAAGCCTCCGCAGAAACCTTACTGTAGCGTTCCTTGGCCGCCGCGTCGAGAGCCGGCACAATTTTGGGGAGGTAAGTCTGTAGCAACGTAGGAGCGTGCGTTTCGGCGATGGCATGGAGCAACAGGAGAGCTTCGATGCGCAGGGTGTTCGCCGTGGCTGACGAGGCGGATGAACCTCCGGTCGAGGAACTGGTAGCCTTAGAGGCGTCGACAACAGGATCGACTATCTGATCAAGGTAATCCGAGAGTCCACCACCCTCTGTGATGACAATTTCCTTCAAAAGGCTGATAGAGGCTTGCTTCGTGGATAGGGTTCCAGTCTTGAGCAGGGGAAGCGCTCCCTTGACGATGTCAGGTACCAGCGCGGCAAGTTTCTCTTGAGGACCAGACAGCGGCTGGCTATCGGCGTTCGCAGAAGCAATACCAGCGTACAGAGAAGCGTTAGTGTGCAAGTCGAACATGCTAGCGTCACTGCCAACCCTCCTCCTCTTACGTGATGGCGGAGGTCCCATAAGACCCAGGTTCGAAGCTTCCCGGTTTGCACGAGCAGTGGACAGGACTTCAGGCTTGGACTGCTGAACCAGACTCGAAAGCGTAGCGAGAACTTCCAGGCGGACACTCTCCTCCCGCTCCTTGAATCGGGGAATGAGAGCTGGTGCCACGCGGTCATAGAGAGTACCATCCTCCAGCAGATCGCCCTGGCTACGGGTGACAATTACAGTGTGAAGAACCTTCGCGGCGCAGCGGCGAACCTTCCAGCTCGCATCGTCCTCGTCATCAAACTGGGCCTCCTCCTCGAAATCTTCATCCTCAAGGCCCTCTGCATCCTCCTCATCCTCGTCATCCATGTCCTCGTCATCGTCCGTTGCCAGGTTGGGGTCGTACTTCAGGAAGCGAGTACCGGCCTCAATGCTCTCGTCGGTAAAGACGCGCATTTCCTGCGAACAAGAGCCCAAGAAGCTCTCGAGCGCCACCAGAGCAGCCTCGCGCACCTCATCGGCTTCCGGATCGCGTTCCTCCTCGCCGTCCCAAGCCTCCAGTTCCTCATCCAGCTCGCTCTGGCTCACTGCGCTCAACACGAACGGTGCCAGCGTCTTCAGATATGGGCCGAATTTCTTGGGGATGGACCGCGCCATTGCGCCGAGGACATTGATGTAGACCTTCCTCTTCGCCCGGGTAATATGCGCATCCTTCATGCTCTCAATGAGGCTGGAAACGAGATTGCTCAGAGTCTGCTCGGAAAAGTAGATTGCCAAAGTTGAGATGGCGGTGACAGCCTTCTTCTTCAAGACGGGACCAGCGCGGTCGCTCTGGATGATCTTCATGACTGTGTGTTGCAGGGCAACAAGCTCTGGCTCCTGCAGCATAGGGCCGAAGCAGCGGGCCACCTCAATAAGCACATCAATAGCGGTGCTGTCCGAACCCTTCGCAATATCATCCTCCAGCATGCTCTTGGGCACAGACGGCAGGCCCTGCTTGCCGGTGGGGACCACATTGAAACCCACCAGGCGCGGAATAAGCACTTTGCTAACAGAGGTGTAGGCTCCAACGACGGATTGGTTGCGCGGAATGCCGGCGACGGGCTTGGGAAGCGAAACGACGATGTTACGGAGCGCGAGGGCGGGGATGGAGTTGTCGACGGTGTTTGTGGTGGAGACCTGAGAAACGCGGTCGATCAGTGGCGAGATGATGGTCTCGGGTACCTTTGCCACAAAAGGCCCCAGACACTTGACGGTCTGGTTCTGCACCTCGGCGCTGCTGTCGTTCAGCGTGTGGAGGAAGCCGTCGATGAGCTTGGCAGCGGTGGTGTAATCGTGTTGCAAGAAGTTCGGGTGGCCGGACTGCATCATGGCCTGCAGATCGTTCAACGCCATGTACCGCAGGTCCGGGTCGCTGTCGTAAAGCTTATTGAGCAGGCGGTTCACATCCTGAGAGGACGGAATCCGGCCGTCGTACGCCGAGCTCATGCTGAAAAGTGTGGTTCTGACAGCGGGGTGTGGGTGGTGTTTGGAGGTCGGGGTTAGGCCGCGCCGCGTCGAAGGAATGCAAGCGAGCGCGAGCACAGCGTCTAAAGTAGATCGTGCGTCAGTTCTTCCCGTCGAAGGTCAAGCGGTCTAGAGGTCGGGGGTGGGAGGCGTTTACATTGCGGCGTGTGCTGTGCTGTTGCTGGCGCGGGGGTGCCACAAAGAAGATGCTGCGGGACGTCTGGGGCAGCGGTGGAGAGGAGTGGAGGGTGCGGCGAGAAAAGGATGGGTGAGGCGAGGCAGCAGTCGACGGCGCAGCACTGGGAGCCAGCACAGGCGATTCGACGATGCGAAGGAAGACTCAGGTGGAGGGGCCTGGAGGCGTGCTTGGCGCGGGTGCCCGTAGCTCGGGCGCTACTTGCCTGTGTCGGACCATCGGCGTCATCGGCTGTCATTTCGCGCGCCCTCGCCTCGCCTCGCCAACCCAGCCTTCTTCAAGCTTCCACCAGCCCATTGAGCTCTTCCCCCACTTCCATCCGTCTTCATCTCGTTCAATTGCTCTTCGCGCAGCTTCACAATGGTTCTTGCCCGCTCCACCGTCCTCCGCACCGCTGCTCAGCAGCTTGCCCGGCCCGTTGCCCGCGCCAGCTTCCGCAGCGCCGGCCGCCAACAGCCATGGCAGCGCATCTCGCAATCTGTGTCGCGTCGCGCCTATAGCAGCTCGCACGGCGGCTCTGGCCACACTCAGGCCAAGAGCGACCTCCCTTGGTATGTATTGCGGGATCGGACGCTGATCGTGCCGAAGAATTTTGCGCCGCATAAGCAATGTGTTTGCGCATGCTCAGCCATTGCGCTTCAACACGTCGGACCTTTCGGCCTCAATTGAGCTCATCTCTTGCTAATTATTCCGTAGGTTGATTGGCTCTGTTGCCCTCGGCGTCCCTGGGACCTGGTGGATGCTCCAGCCGGGTGAGGCTCACCACGACGCCCACCACGAGAAGCACGAGGAGAAGCACGAGGAGCCCAAGGAGGAGGCTCCCAAGGAGGAGCCCAAGGAAGAGCCGAAGAAGGAAGAGCCCAAGGAGGAGCCTAAGGCGGAGGCTAAGGAGGAGTCCAAGGAAGAATCCAAGGACGAGTCCAAGGAGCAGCCCAAGGAAGAGGCTCCCAAGGAGGATTCTAGCGAGGACAAGAACACGCGCTCTTCGCAGGACGATGCCAAGGAGGGTGCCTCCAAGAAGCGCATTGACAGTGACAACTGCAAGGAGATCGGCTCTGGCGACTCAAAAGCTGATGCCGAGGGCTCTGCTAAGGACAAGGTATGATGACGTCAAAATATTCCTAATGACTGAATACGCACGCTAACCTCCATTAGCCCGCGCCTAGCAAGGAGCCTCTGAGCCAGAACCAGACGTCCGGCAAGCAGCAGGGTGTCTCTAACACCGATACCAGGCACAGCACCGATGTTGACAACGATCCTTCCAAGAGCAAGAAGTCCGAGGGCGGCGTCGACACCGCCAAGTCCAAGGGCACCATCTCCCCCAACAGGCCTGCTGTATGATTTTTCTTGATTTTGTTCCCACCCTGGCTACCCGCATGTTACGGAAAGATGATGTGCTGACATGACCGCCAACTCTAAGGACGAGGAGAATGAGAAGAGCGAAAGCTCTTAAGCATTGCAGCATTTGCATTGTTCCTTTCATGCGTTGATTTACTCAGCGGGTCGCAATATTAATATTGCGGCCAAAGCGGCAGGTATGGGATGTTTTTAATCTTGTATATTTCGTTTGGGCGTCGATACAAAAGCTCTGCCTTAGAGTAATCTATGCGGATCCCTTTTCCGAACAGTTACCAGCTCGTCTCAGAAGGCCTTGCACGGTTGTTTTGCGTGATCATCTATTTCATCGGTGTCTGTAATAGGTCACCGGCTAATTGACCAGGCATCGGTCATCCCTCATCAGTACGAGCTAAGGATGACCATTGCCGCAAGCCATCATCTAATCTCACTCTCAATCCCAAGGCAGTGACAAGGTATTCACGCGCTCCCAAGCCATAGTCCGCTCCTTCTGGCGCTTCCACAAGCCACAGCCCTTAGTGTTCCTGTTGCCTGGAGCCTCAATTCCAGATCAGTATCCAACGGGCGACCGCTTCTCTGCCTTGTCGGTGCCGCGGTGTTGTACGGCACGGACCAATGATACTTTGTGCCGTAGGCAGGCATGCAGGCAGAACGGTATCCACCATCCGCCAAGCCGTCATCGTGACCGCTGCGCTAATTCCATCTGGCCCTCAGCTTACCGTTGTTAGATGCATCGCAAGGCGACAACTCCGAAGGCAACGAAGACACAACCCTAAGTATTTGAAAGCGATAAGGTTGATATGTGATATCACGGAGCGGAGCGGAGTGGGCATCGAATTTCCGCTGCGAAATCGGCCCCCAAAAAGAGGTCGGATTGCCGACAAATCTCCACCCTCTCCACCCCCACCCTGGACGATCGCCGCATGCAAGGCTGAAAAATGAAGGGAAAAAATAGAAATCCTTGTTGCTTCGACGAGAGCCTTATCGCTCAGCGAACCCCCTCCTTCATTTTTCTGGCATTTATTCTGATTGGCCTTCCGGCCAAGCGGATATAATTAAGAAATCCGTCATTTGTTGGGTATTCGTCATCACTCGGTGTCTCGGCTGGTCTCACAGTTTCGCATCGCGCATTCTGCCCGCTCTGTTCCGCCCTTCCCCGCTTGCGACACAAAAAACCAGGAGGCCGCGAGGCCACGAAGCCGCCCGGTCCGGGCGGCAAAAAAAGATTCATCATCACTCACTATGTGCTCGCTGATCAGGAATCTCTTCTCTCATAAGCGCCTCAGCCACCATTCTCTGGTTCCGCAATGCCTAGCGTATGTGTCATGGAGACACACACACGCACAGCAGAGACTGGCACATGAGCGATGTAGCGCACCCCAGTCGATCAGCCACCACCACTCCCATCTCCGCTAGTGTGCTGCCTCCAGGATGCTAAGAGATGTCAAACGCGCTAGCGACGCGCGATCACATGCGCGGTGCGACAGTTGGGGCAATTAGACTGCCGCTTCGGGTTTAGTCGACGCGGGGGCTGCGCAGGCATCAACATTTCGCCCACCCATACCCAGACTCCAAACGCTTCGAGTGGCGATGGACCTGCTGCAGGTGCATGCACTGGGTCCCGGTTTTTTTTTATTCCCTGCCGTATGCCGTGGAGCCTCCCGTGAAATGAGTCATTAATATTTGCAAACGAGAGAGAAACCTTGGTTGCCCGCCTTTCTCCTTTGGTGAGAAAGAGAAGAACAGCCGACGGGCGGTGGTGACACCGCACCGCACCGCACCGCGCTGGCATTCGTGCAAACGGCGTCTGCGGGCCCGTACGCGGTTAGGCAGCAGGAAACGGGGATGTCTGGGCCATCAGCCTCGGCTTAGTCTGCGCTGCAGTTAGTGGGGACTCCACTCTCGACAGCTGAAAGACCTGGAGTGTGCTGTGGCCTCTTTTCTTGGTGGCTGTGGATTATGCCGGCGGCTCTTGCCGATCATCACGAGATGGGCCTCTTTGGGGAGTATTTCCTTTTGCGGCATCGTCGTGGCCTGAGGCCGTACGGCTTTGCGTGAGATGTGGGATGACAACTGGTGTGATGGGATGGAATGGCTTCATCTGCCGGTAGTTTGTGAACACGTTGATGCGCCTTGCGATCGCGTGTTTGGTTCTGGTTCAAGAATCACTGGGGTGTTGGGCTTTCCGTGCGCTGATTCGTTACAGTGGTGAGGGGTATTATTTCATTTGAGAGTAAAGCCTGCATACTCTGATATTGAAGGACAGATATGGTACGATGGTATGAGATGGATGAGAATTTAGTACAGCAGTCTAAGCAACAGAGGAGCGATCTAGCATCAATCAGGCTAATTCGTTCTTTCGTATCATGATCATGAGAAGGGGGGAAAGGAAAGAAGGGGAAATCATGACCATCGTACAAGAGGGGAGATGAAAGGGAAAGTTAAAAAAATTCGACGAGGTAAGATGGCGAAAAGAAGCGTAATCCCCCTTTCCCCCGTAGTGATTGATCCATCAGGGGGTTTGACCGTCCACCCGCTCGTCCTGAGCAACGCCGTGCTATGCAATCTTCTGTTCCGTAATGGCCCACCGGTGAAATGATACCCAATCCCAGATGACGTTGAACGCAGAACACCGAAACAGAGTAGAGAAACTAAGAAGAATGGATAAATGAGAAATCAAACCATGGTCGGAGCGCCTTGTCCTCTGCTGAGGACTTCTACTGCCGCTTCCAATTTCTTGAGCCTCTGGTCCTTCTCCTCATTCTCGCGACGAAGTCGCCTGATCTCCTCTCTCAGGTCATCCTCATCCGTCTCACCACCCCCACCGACACTGCCTCCACCATCCGTACCAGACGTCCTCCTCTTCTTACTCGATGGGCCGACGCGTCTCTCGCCGACGGCACCACCGTAAACGTCATCAGCATCGGCATCGGGGCTGAGGCCAGCCTCGCTAGCAGCCTCATCCTCGGGCTTCGGCTGGCCGCCACCCGGCTGAGCGGTGGGCGAGGAAGCGACATCGGAATTGCTGGCGCGGCGGTGGACACGGCGAATGTGCTCGGCTAGGTTCTCCTTGCGGGTAAAACCCTGGCCCATGCTGCGTTTGCAGTCTTGGTGCGGGCAGAAGAGAGCTTTCTTAGTGCCACCGTGCATCTTGTGCACCTCGCGCTCGTGCCGTAGCAGGCCGCCGGAGTAGGTGAAGCCCTGGAGCTTCTCGCAACCCTTGTGGCGGCAGACGTACGGGCGGTCGTGCTTGTCCATGTGCTTACTGCAGGGAATGTTAGCGTTGGTTTTGCATTTCAAACACACGTGAAGCAGTTTGAAGTTGTGGGAAACAGGTGGGGAAGGGGACGGGGGGACGACTTACCTCCACTCGCACTTTCGTTCAAAGATGATACCATGGCAGTCGGGGGAGAAGTTGCAGATCATCTTGCCCTCGGTGTTCCGGGGCGGGTCCTCGGTGCGTTTGTGAGAATACTTGCCACGCGGCGTGTAGCCGTCGTAGCGGTCCTGCTCCTCGGAAGACTCGCGGATGGGGAGCTGAGGGTTGGTGGGCTGCACGGGGTGGGCAGCGAGAGAGACATCGGAAAGCTTCCGCTTCCGGGGGTTGGTGGCGGTCGAGGTTGCGGCGGGAGACATCTGGGCGACGACCTCCTCGTTCATGGAGACGGGACTAACGGGGCCAGAAGCCTTGGAAAAGTCGGTCATCACCTGCGGAACGTGGGCGACAGTAGCGTCCATGGGGGAGTCGTAGAACGATGGAAATGCTGAAGTTGCGCGGCGTGGCGAGAGTGCCTGGCGGGATATATAGTCGTTGGCGGGCGATGCAGACGTAGGCTGCAGCGCAGGCTGCGTGGTGAAATCCTCGACGCGGAGCTCGGGGATGGAGTGGTTCAGGCAGTGCTGAGGCGGTTGTTGGCGGGTCTGGTGCTGGGAAAACCAGTGGAGGGAATCGTGGAGTGAAGTGGTTGTGGTGCGGGCATGCGGGAGCTGATGGGAAGTGGGCTCGAAGGTGGCGATGCCTGATTGGTAAGGCCAGACGCAGGCTTGAGCTTCGCAGGGCGACGCGTTGGGCGACAACGCGTTGGCATATAAATGGCCGGGAGCCGACGGCGGCCGCGGATCTGCACGGTCGGAGTCAGAAACAAGCTCAGCGCAGCGGGCCACTCAGGCGGCCGGATGACTCACCAGCGTCGGCGTTGGAGCCTTGGGCGCGAGAATTGCGTCGACGACCTTGTGGCTGAGCGGGGGCGCACGCACGCGGATTCCTGAAATCCAAGGCCGGCGCTTCCGCTCCGCCTGCGCCAGGCTCTCCCTGGGCCGGCACCCTCTCGCCCGCCGGCGCCAGGAAAGGCGCAAGCGCCTCGCGACCGAATTGCAGATCTGCCAAGGAATCTCGTCAGCACTCAAGCAAGCAGGCACCGCCCCGCGCCGGTTTGCCAGCACAGCGCGCGCTGGCCCAGCACGGTTGGCCGCGCTCGCGCCGCCGGCAGCGCCGGAAGCCTCAGGCACGCAGACTCGAGGAACGACCAACTCACACGCTCCCGCGTCCGGCGATTGCCACCCCCAACAACCCGCGTCGCGCAGGTGGCTCTCCAGCAGCGCCGCCGGCACCCGCGTGCGCGCATCGAAGCTGCCAGAAGAGGGCGGGTAGTACTGCCAGCACACGCCCCAGAGCACCGCCAGCGCCGGCTTGATCGTCCACGGCCAGGTCGTGCTCACCGGCCGCACGCTGCCCGGGAAGACCGAGAACCAGCTCGCACAGCTCGCCTCGAGTCGCCGCTGGCGCCGCTGCCACCGCTCCAGCACCCGGCCGGGCTGAAGCAGCAACGGGGCGGCCGGTGTCTCGCGCCCGTCGTCGCGTCTCAGGCGCCGCAGCAGGCGTGCGATGGTGCCGTGGACCTGGGCCAAGACAGGCATGACCTCATCCGGAGCGCTGGGGCTAAACTCTACCTCGACCTCATGGCTGCGGCTGCGCTGGCGGGTCAGGCGGTCGAGCGTCTGGCGGAGCGAGGATTCCAGCTTACCGATGGGTCTCGAGGTCGGCATGCTCGGAAGCGCACGACCAAAAGCGCTTGGCGATGCGCTTGTCGCAGTGACGCGCGGAGCGTTGCAGGCGCAGGCGATTGACCGTCACCACTGTTCGGACACCGTCGGTGAGGCTTGGCAATGGGCCCTGTCCCATTGCTGGGTGGATATTAATAGAAGCAAAAATAAACGGCGGAAACGCCGCGAGGATCGCTGTGGATGCGAGGATGCGCGTCGATAGTGGCGAGGCGGCCCATCTTAAGCTGAGAGAAACCTCAGCCTCGTCAACGAGCGGCTAAGAACCTCGTCGAGGAGCTGGGGCGAGGTGCAGCTTGCGAGAGCCTGAGGCACACCGGTCAGGGCTAATCAGCCTGTGATAGGTGCAAAGCGTCGTTTCGGCACCTGGCCGCCAAAGAGCCTGATGCCGCAGGTACCTACACAGCCCTCTGCGTGCGACCTGTCTTGGCTCTTGTCCAATCCCCTTGGCCAGCTGCACCGCTGCCTGAGATTCGCCTTCTAGAGGCGCAGCCCCCAAGGTCTCATCGGTTTCGCCTTGTCTGCCTGCGCCCCATTCTTGATACTCACCTACCTATTGAGCCAAAGACATGACTTGTAACGCAAAAAACGCGCGATCGACATCATGCAGCATCTAGTTTGTGAGGAGCCGAGGTACGTCACCCTGCACCTTTTGCATGCACTAAACCGAATACTTCGCTCCCCTACCACCGCTCTCCCGCCGGCCCGGATATCCATGCACAATGTTGCCCGGATAGCCTGTGAAACTTGAAACGCTAAAAGGCACAGCCCTCTGCGTTGCGTACCTTCTGCCCGTTCCAGCCTCGTAGCCTTCCATGGCGGATGGACAAGCCAGCCACCATTGCTTTGCCTTCTTATTAACGTCACCTGGCTATCGCTCCGGTCATTCCGAGTCATGCCTTGGGGATACGAAGGTCGATCAATAGCTTCGTTGGCGTACAAATCTGACATCTAGCGTCAGGCGGGAAAGGTGGCAAAGTAAGTCTACGCGTCCTTGAACATTGCACATAGCAAAAGGACAGAGTGGACATTTGCGCTCTCCTGCTACAAATGAATAGCCTTCGGGGTTGAACAGCTAAGCCGTATGCCCCAGCTTTGGTGCGCGTCCTGAAGGGGTCCATCTTCTTGCTGTAGTGGGATGGAGACCATATCCGCAGAGAATGATAACAACAGTCGTGCTCTTTCAAGCCAAGTACAGAGACATTACCTTATCGAGGTGCTGCCATATTTTCATTTTAGTCTTCTCATATCCTGGCTTGTCAACTGCGTCTCATACTACCCAGTACTGGTCACGGAAACTTCCCGACACTGCACACACATCATATTGTCCGTTCTTACCAAGAGGCGCTGGAGTCGCTGGCAGCGCTAGCGGCAACCCGAGTTGCCGGAGACGGTATGCGTCCATATTCAGCTAATTCTAGCGAAACGTCGATCTTTATGCAGAAGGGTTTTGGTGAGTTGAATGTTTATTGTATCCACCCTAACCTTTCACCTCTATCGATTAACTTTGTGGCAATATAGAACCATTTACTTCTACTGCTTTCGCTGTTGAGTGAAGAGTCGAAGATGTAACGTCTTTCTATTCCAAATTTCCTCTGTGCTTTAACTTGATGCGCTTCACCTACAAATCTGGTCTCCGAATCCTATGCAAATGAAAGCGAAGAGCATTGAGGCCTTGAGCAAGCTGGTAAAAACGCTGGATGCCCACTGAACATTCAGGTGCGTGTGAAGGCTGTTGGCAGCAAGTGTTAAAAGCGTACGAACCACGCTCCATCCGCAACTTGCGGCAGTCATGGCGCTCGTAGAAAATGCATTGTAAGCTTCGGTTGGTAATTGAAAACTGCGATGAAGAGGAGCATGTGCAACAACGCTGAACGGCAAGCCTGCCGACATAGGTACGATCCCGTGGGTCTCAGCTCGGCTTGTCCATTTTAGCTAAACAAAGAATCAGCTAAAACCAGTCCGGCTCTATATGCAACCGGCAGTCTCTAATACTCCTCTCTGGAGCGGCGAGCCTCTGCCTCTAAGGATCCGAACACCAAAGAGGGTGGTAAACCCACACGGCTTACCTTGAATGGGACTCAGGATGGGGCGAGAACGAAGTGAGATACACGTGATTGACCAGTGCGTGTGGGAAGGTCAATAAGCTAATCTCGAAACGGTAATAGGTCCCCTGTCGTGCATGACGAGCGGGTAAATAGCCGCTTAGCCGCAGGACCTACCGATGCGAAAACCTACTATGGACTATGGGGAGTATCGGAGCATCATCGGGCATGGCAGGTTAACCCCACCGTATAGACAAAAGCAGTAATCGGTCCCTTGTATTGCAGAAGACATCTGATCTGGCGGTATGAGCAGTATTCTGCCAGCCTACTTCTTTCTATGCCGCCCGGTTCTATATATAAACGAGCCGTACAGCGGACATAAAGAGCACCATCGAGCGCACTGGCACAATGTTCCCTCTTCTCCTCCCCGCCGTCTTCCTCTCCCTCACAATGGTCAATTCCCAGCCCTCTGGCTACGTCTCCCGTAACACTGAGCTCCCCGAGCTCGGCGACGCCTTCCGGCTGCACTACCTTTACAGCGAACCACCCGCCAACCAGACCGTCAAAGGCACCTTCCTCCTCATCCACGGTTTTCCATACACCTCGTACCACTACCGCCATGTCATGGGCCCCCTCGCCGAGGCAGGCTACCGCGTCATTGCTCCCGACTACCGGGGCGCCGGCAAATCATCCAAACCCACCGGATGGTCCCCCGACTACCGCAAGACAGTCATCGCAGGCGACCTCTTCCACCTGATCCACTCGGTCCTCAACATCACGGAGAAGATCCACGTCGTCGGCCACGACATCGGCGGCATGGTCGCGCACGCGTACGCCACCACCTACGCCAACCACACGGCGAGCGTCGCGTGGGGCGAGTGTCCGCTACCTGGCACTCGCGAGTACGAAGAGCGCAAAACGATGCTAAACCACTTCCACCTCCTGTTCCACTCCGTGCCGGACCTCCCGGAAGCCCTAATCGCCGGCAAGGAGGAGGTGTATCTGCGGTACTTCTTCGATCGTCAGGCGTACAACCGCGCCGCGCTGGACGAGTCTGTTGACTTCTATCTGGGCGACTATCAACAGCCCGGCGCGCTGAGGGCTGGGTTGGGGGCGTACCGCGCGTTCGAGCAGGACAAGGAGGAGAATTTGGCGTGGTTGGCGGCGAATGGGAAGTGCAAGGTGCCGGCGTTGGGCTTCAGTGGCGCGAGGAGCATGCATGCGGTAGATGGATATCCGATGCTGAGTCAGGTGTACGAAAACGTAGAAGTGAAGAATATGGACGAGGTAGGACATTATCTTGCTGAGGAGGATCCGGAGCAGTATGTCAAGATTTTGGTGTGGTGGGCGGGGAAGCATCCGGGAGAGAAGGTCTAACCCTCACAAATCCACACTCCTCGGGTTAATAAGGGATAGATCCAACACACACAGATCCAGATTTCAATCAGCTTTCCTACTGTATGTTACCACGCTCCTTGGATAGCATTTTGACCTTTCAGCCCCTGGGGTCACAAAGCCCTTGTCCCCTGGGGGTCGTAAAACTCCGTACTTGTCTCGTGTAGATCCGTAGCTAACTTGCTCTTCATACTGCTACCGGCTAGAATCAGCAATTCTTTGTTTTTTGCGTGACGTTTCTGCTTTGGACTATTCACTTACTGCCATGTCACGCGCGACCAGAATGATTGTAGTTTCCTCAGGGACCCCGAATCTACCCACGTTACATTTGCGAATTCTTCTTGCAGTTTCTCAACGTGGTCCAACTTTGCCATAGACACCAATTTCCCAGCTTCTTGAGCCAATTGCTCATATACCGATGGATCTTCAGCCTCCAAAGCTGTCGTTAACAAAATCCAGAGCTTCAAAGATTCGAGTCCCGCCCAATCGACCTGATATTGGAGAACGAGTCTCTGCGCGCGGGAAGTGTAGATGGCCGTAGAAATGGGAGCAATTCCTAGCATTCGCCGAAATTGTGCTAGAGAGAGGAGTCCGCTGATCCTACAAGCTTCATTGATGACGAAGCGATCTTCACACATACTCGCAGGGCATCTGTACCGTAGTAGCCGATCCAGCACCGGATGCATGAATCTCCAGATGCAATTCTCGTCCCGTGGGTCGTCGGATATTTGAATGATTCCAAGGTTTAGGCGGGAGAACATATCCCACAATCTGAGAAGGGTGTCTATAATTTCCGTGGAATCAGGGAATCTCGCATACCATGATGTAGCCACATCGGAAAAGAAGGGAAGACAGTCTGAAGCCATGGCTGGGATGTCAGCCTCTAAAAGGCAGGGAGCTGTAACCAATGATGGTATTTTCGCCTGGCTGAAGGACGTGGACATGTCGACTCTGTAGTGATTTAGCGGCAGAACCAGATGTGCCAATGCTGGACTCACAATCGTATAGAAAAGCCAAGAATAGGGCTACAATTGAGTGACGCAGCACCCCCGCGCAGTTGAACGAGACTTTTCAATGCATTCACATGGGCCGTCCATTGCTCTACATCCCCAGTCAAGTGCTATGTAGTTGGTCAGTACGAGCTGCAAACTCTCTATACTCGACAAACCTACACTTTGGCAAATCATACCAGTTATAGTTGCAAGAATACCATCATCACTGGCGGCAGATTCAGGATTCTCAAGGCTTTCCCGGACTCGCCTGACTGCCTCATTGTGATGTAGCAGAACATATGCGTCATCATCCGAAACGATGTGTGCTAAACCGGTTGTTTTCAAATATACAGGGAACATTGAGAGGATTTGGTGAAACGCTGCTGCACTGGAAAACGCAAGTGGATACCAGACGGATCGGTAAAAAGCGTTGTTGTTTGGCAAGCTCGTCTCGAACACTATTGGACGGCTTCAGCCAAATCCTTTGCGTACACGCTCAAGAACATACTGTACCAAATCAACTCTAGTGACCGGCGATCCATAGGAATTGGATAGCTAGCGAACGGATCCAGCCTAGAGTTTCCGAGGTGCGTAATATGCGCTTGATGCGGCCATTCGTCCTTTTCGAAATCCTCATCAATTCCTCCACAGATCTTGGGGGTGGCTGCAATCTTCATCTGTACAGGAATGCGGACGCGGCTAACGTTTGATGTCCACGGTTTGTCCTTGCTTCTTCGTTGCTTGCCGATGTCGCGCATGACATGGCGCCGAGTGCGTGTCGTACTGCCATTTCCCTCAACGAAGATGAATCTGTTGTGGGCATCCTCGATATCCTGCATTGTTGACGAGGAGTTTATAGCTTTGTAAAGGATGAATGGAGGCGGCCTGATGTCGTAGTTCGAGTGCGGGGAAAGAGAATTTGTCATCCGACGCTCGGAGCACAGCCAGGCCGGGTTGAGCAGCGTGCGAAGAAGTGTTGTACGCCCTGCTGCGAGGGTTCCTATTTTAAGTGTTATGGTGCAATCGGCTATACATATACGTAGAACCCAAACTCTATTTATAAAGCTAAAATTTATAATAAGAGTTTCAAGCTAATGTTCAAAACATCTGTTCCCCAAAAGCGCTTTACCAATCCATTTTTCAATCAGATACAGAGTAAGTAGATTTGTAGGAAGATCTTAGTTCTAGGGAAGCTGGTAATTTATTCGAAGCGCTATCATGATACGAAACTCCTGCAGCGCCGTGCAATCTGGCAGTGGTGTCTTCTATGCGCGACTTCTCTATCATCCTCAGCCTTACAATTCTAGCTCAATAACCTATAAGGTCCCAGGTATTCACTTCACCTTTCCGACACCATCGCATAACTTGAGGTGCACCGTGAGGCTGAAGGGCTGCGCCTACAGCATTTTCATCTAAACAAAGGCGCAGTTGAAACGTGCGCCACAACCGTGTTGGTGATTCCCTTCCTGGTCTTGACCTCTTACCTGTTTTGTCATACAGACGGCCGAATGCTCATCGTAAGTGAAAACCAAAACTGCAACTGCTCTTCCCTTCATCCAACTTCAGGCTGCTTCCTCGGCGGGCGCAAACTCAAACCCAAACCACAGGCAACGCATTCCGGGTAGCCTTGCCAGAAAGACAAACACTGGGCCTTCTTCACCATCACCCGGTCCGCACGCCAGGTTGTAAGTCTGCGCTCGCCAACGGCGAGATCGAGCACCTGCTCAGTCTCTCACCACAGCACGAAACGAGAACCAAAAACGATGACCGCGACCATCAGCAACAACAGCGACACGAAGGCCAGCAGTCAGCGATCCAACAACAGCAATCGGGTCAGCAGCGCCGGCGTTGCAGAAGCAGCAGTCCGCAGCACAAGTTCCAGGTACTTCTTCGCACTTTACCCAACTCACCCACCAACCGTCCAATTCCCCCGCAAGACCCCATCGCGAAGCGCAAAAACAACACTAACCCTCTTCCACCAGACTACCCAGCTTATCCCCCTCACCCTCATCCTCCTCCTCCTCCTCCTCCTCCTCCTCCTCCTCCGCCGGCACGGCAGCCACCCTCCCCGCCCTCAAACTCTCCACCGCCACCCGCAAGCAGTCCGACCAGCGCGCCCTGCAACTCGCAGGCGTGCGCCTGCGCGACACGTCGCGCCGCGCCGCGGCCATGGAAAAAGAGCGCGTGGACGTCGCGTCCGAGTTGAAGCAGTTGCGCAAGCGCGAGCGCCGGCTCGACGAAGAGATCGGCCCGGCGAAGGCGAAGGTCGTCGTGCTGGAGCGCGAGGTGGCGGAGGCGAAGAGGGATGTGGTGGTGACGAAGGTGGTGGCGGTGCTGCTGGAGCAGGATGACCCGGTGGGCGTGTTGGAGGAGGTGGTGGGGAGGTTTGGGAGGGCGTTGGTGCCGGTGCCGGTGCCGGTGCCGGTGGTGCGTGGGGAGCGGGGAGGTGGCGAGGGAGGAGGAGAGGTAGTGAGGGTAGAGGCGGTGGAGGCGGGAGTTAAGAGTGAAGGAGAGGAAGGCGTGGAGGAGGTCAAATTGGAACAGGGCGGTGGAGGAGAGAGGGAGGTGACCGGAGGCGGCGCTGTTGCGTTGAAGTCCAACTCTGAGGTGGCGGATAAGACTGTGAAACGCGAGCTGAATAGCGGAACGAACGAGGTTTCGGAGGCGAGTACAGATGATGAAGATGCGGATGTTGGGCCTGCGGGTTCTTCGGGGGCAAAGGTCGCCTCCTCTTGAGCCAACGGAGCATTGAAGATTGTGGCTGGGATCACATTCCAGAGCTCTGGTTTGTGAGTGAAAATTGCCGAAAAGGGATCCCTATTGTGTTATTCATGGTGGAAAAAAACATTGGATGAATTTGAAGCGGTACAAAAACTCCGATTGGAGACACGTGGCCGGCGTCGTGATCGGATTTCGGGTATGGCTTTGTAGATAAATTGAGTCTAAAATAGAAAGACCACCAGTCTCGAGTCGGTCAAAGATACGAATAACGACAGCCCGAGGAGGCTTAAAATAGTCACACATTTTCTTGAGAGATGTTGCGGAGTGCAGTTCTCGCCGACTTGCTTTGGCGGCTTGCGAGGCGCAGCACCAGATTACCACGGCGGACAATTGAGAAAGAGACGAATTTAGAGTCGCACGTTCGTATAGGCGGCTACATTCTTCTATCTACGCGGGCCGGGCGGAATGACGGAAGTTGACGTAAAGTGAGGGGCGCCGTGCCAACCGTCGGTGCCCCATGATCACCGCCTACCCTGCATACAATCATTCACTGATCTTGCCTGGTGCTAAGGCCGACTTTCAGTGCCCAGGCTGACCCTGCCCTCCACTTCCTCATCAACTCCCTCACCATGACCCTGAAGGTCATATCCGATTACATCTCACCACCGCAGACCAACCGTTGATCCAAGACCACCCCGCATCAAAGTCATGGGAAACGATTTGAAGGGTTTGATGCGCCGCCTCACCGGCATCCGCGTATGTCCATTTCCTGACTTCACTTGCAGTTGCGACACATCTGACACATATTCTTCCAGATCGAGGTCAGTGAGGATAAACGCGCAAGAAAGCTTGAATTCCCGGGAGAGGATGTGGACGCGTACTTGGAGAAGCTGGGCTTGACGAAGCAGGAGCTTTTGACTGACGCATTCGTGAGTTGGCTCCTCTCCTTCCATCTCACTCGTCCAACAAGTTACCTCATTAATGAAACGTAGCGCACGTACAGCTTCGCGGAGCTGCAGATCAGGAAGGCAATCATCGAGGTAAACTCAACCGCTGGCAAGGACACGCAAATCCCGGAGGATACCTACCCATGGCGCTGGCTGGCGAAGCAAGAGAAACTGGAAAAGATGCGCAAGATGCACGCCGAAGCATGCAGAAGCTTCCATAAGATGAAGTTGAAGGCAACAGGAGAAAAAGACCAGCTCTTGAATGCCATCAAGAAAGCCAAGCAGGAGCATGGCGAAGCGGTTTGCATGAAGGAGAATCTGGCACGTGTGAAGGATGACCTTCGTGGCGCGCACGCTGCCGCTTTCCTTCTGCACGATGCTACGCGTATGATCGAAGCGGCGCAGAAAATGGAGCAAGCAGCTGAGCAGAATCTTCAGGAAGTGGAGAAAGAGCACTTCAAGCATGAGCAAAAGCTCCGGGAACAAGAGGTTGAACTGTACGAGAGGCGGGTCGACGAGCTTGAGCGTACACGAGAGGACATCGATGAGCTCAAGCAGGGCTGGATAATCTACGTGAGGTTCGCCCTCTTCCACCCGCGAGAGGATATTGATGAGGCAATGGCTGCCGGCTCTCCACCTACGATAGACCGGCTTCAGGGTCTTGCACGGAACGACCATCCGTATGCTTTGGACTGATCCAAGAGGAGAACTTACAAGATAATTAGAAACTTTGTAGCTGCAATAAACGGCTACACTTAAAAGTCATAGCCATTAGTGGAAGCGAGTGCGGGAATGTATCCAGGTGCAAAGCGAAGAATCTGATTCGCCGACGCGGGATAGTTAATGGGAGTGGCTTCCTGTTCTGTCTTGCCCATGTGGAGGCTGCCTCTTTGGTATTTTCCCTTCAACCGTCCGCGCGTGTGTGGACGTGAGTGGCCGCCTATATAAAGCCTCCAACTTAATCTCCCTCTTCAACTACAGCCTCCCCACACAAGATCTTCCAACACCCACCGCGCTTCATCGCGCCCTCACCACAAGCCACTACAACGCGCGAACGCTCCCACCACACATCCTCAACCTCAGATCCTACGCTCATCATGAGTGACCACAGGCGCGTGAGTATCTCAGGCGCCAAACATTTACCGTTTGACTGCTTACTAGCGCAGCGCATAGTGAACATCTCACCTGGCCGAAGCACTGGACGAGCCGGCGGAAACCCTACGCGTGCGCCTTCTCGTTTCAGTACGCCCGTCACCGCCGGATCACCCAGACGCGTAAGTGAAAAGCACCTTGCTCCACCTACAATGCCTACCTGTGGACTTGGAGTTCGAAGCTGACAGCCTCTCAGCCCACTGCCCCATCGCCTGCTTCCAGCATCCGGCAGGGCCGCCAGCAGCAAGGAGTCAAGATCAAGACCGAGAGCTCTCCCAGCAGCAGCCCGGCACCCACACCATCGACTGGCAGCAACAAGCCTGCCATGACCACGCAAACCACCAGCAACACCCCACTCAAGCGCAAGCGCGAACCCACCTCCACCGACAAAGACAACAAAGAACCCACCACAGCCGCCGGCCTTGTCGCCATGGAGCAGCAGCACCTCGACACCCACCGGTCCACCAGCGCCACCCTGGACAAACACGCGCCGCTGCTCGACAGCGCCCGCACGACCGCCACCCGCGCCCGCTCCGCCGAGCGCGCCGCTCACTCGCAGATCTCAAGCCTGTTCATGCAGTCGCAAGTCCTCGAGGAGCGCGCCGCAGGCCACCAGCGCGTCGCCGAGGAGGCCGAGACGCAGCTGACGGCCGAACGGCAGCTCGTGCAGCAGGCTAAGGGCAGCAAGGACGAGGCTGATAAGGAGTTGATGGCCATTGCCCTGGGCAGGATGTTTGCCCGCCTGGAGAAGTACGACCAGGATGTTGCGGAGGAGTTGTGGGCCAAGGCGGAGAGGTACAGGGATATCTTCGTGAGGGATGGTATCCCGGAGCCTCCTGCGAAGAGGAGCAAGATTGTGGGTGAGAAGGGAGAGGTCGGTGGAAAGGGTGTCGAGGAGGGTGAAATCGGTGGACAGGATAGGGGACAGCATTGAGTAGCCGTATACGGCTACATAGATGGGCGAAACAAAAATAATCGGAAAGCGGATTCACCAAGGTGAGGCAGTATGTTTTCCTGAAGTGGAGCTAAACGCAGATGACAGTGTGGACTGAATTACAAGAAATTATCTGGGCCACAGGACTTGCTTTACGTGAATAGTTAGCCAGTATCCAGACGTAGATGCAGGCTTAAAAATTGTGCATCAACAGCTGGATACGTTCTCTTGCGGATACGAGACTCCAATTGGTAAGTGTTCTGTAAGTCACCGTGCAACAAATAAAACCTGAGCCTTACCCTGTCTGTACATGTGAGGGCAAAATAGCTGGGAGACTAGCTAAGCAACTTTATTAATCAAACAGATTGTGAAATTACCAGCTACATCTCTTCTTTTCTGTCTTGGAAGTCTTGCATTAGGCGCGGGTAGTGGCAGGAGCTCCCGCCACGCTAGAATGCTTCCCGACCCGTGTTCGCCAGCCGATCGCTGTTACCCTCGGTCCTTCCCGGCTGATACGCGGTAGTTGCGCAGCCGACAATGAAGGGCAAGCTTCGCCAAGCCAATAACACGACGCAATTTGCTGGCTGATCAACGCCTTAGTCAAGGGGGATTCAGGTGGGCGCTGTGCAAGGATGAGCAGAATGTGGGGATTCCCGGGGGAATGGGGGGAATGGGGGACTGCGCAAGTCTTGTCAGATTTTTCCTACGTCGTTGGCGGAAGTAGAAAAACGCCAAGCGCGAAAGCATACGAGCAGTTGAGAAAGTCGCGACCTGCTTGAACGGTGCAAGGCGAAGGAGCAGCGGGATCTGGTCGTCGGTAATTTCCAGATAGTCTCATAGCTCACTTGCCCCGAGCTGCCCGTCGCTCCTCCTTTTTCTCTTGGCTGGAACTGCGCGGTTGTGTCACCAGTCCCAGGAGCACGGATGGGCCCCGCTGTAGATCCCCCGCCTTCCCCCACCAGCCAATGGAGCCCCGCGTCGCCATCTTTGGTTGACTTTCGGATATGGGGTACAACTATAAAGCCGTGGTCTGCAACAATCATACAGCCCCAGCCATTCTGAAATTCACGCGGATTGAGTCTGCATTTTTATACCCCGCTCTTGTTTTATCATTGCACTGTTCCAAAGAAAGAGAAAGAAAAGCCACTGCCACTATACATACCGGGTCTACGAAACTGCGCCAGCCATGACTACAGCACGAGCCATTGTTTCGCGAGCGCCGTTGAACGACGGCGGTTGGAAGATCGAAGATGTGAAGGTGCGGGACGTGGGCGACGACGAGCTTCTGGTGCGCATCGTCGCGTCGGGAATCTGCCACACCGACCTCGTGTTCGGTGGGTTGAAAGAGGGGCCGGGCGTCATATACCCCTCGGTGAAGGGGCATGAAGGTAGCGTCCTGCTTTTCTTCTCTCCTATAAAGAGAATCAATCTCAAGCTGACCCTGATTGAATAGGCGCCGGATACGTCGAGAAAGTCGGCAAGAATGTCTCCGTCGCTGCCCCCGGCGATCCAGTCCTGCTATCATTCACTTTCTGCGATAGTTGCCAGATTTGCAAGGACGGCCACCCGGCCCACTGCGTGCGTTTCGGCGAGCTCAATTTCGGCGGTTGCCCTTGCTTCCAGTCGTCATCTTCATCGTCCTCTTCGTCTACCACAACCCCAGACCTCCAGGGCAGCTTCTTCGGCCAATCTAGCTTCGCCAGCCGTACAGTTGTCAGGTCGACGTCGGTCGTCAACGTTAAGGGGTTGGTGCGAGACGATGAAGAGCTTAAACTTTTCTCGCCGCTGGGCTGCGGCATTCAGACGGGCAGCGGGACGGTCGTGAACATCGCCCAAGCAGGGCCGCAAGACACGGTTACGGTACTGGGGCTGGGCGGTGTTGGGCTGAGCGCCATCATGGTAAGGCAGACCCCTCCCTTTTGATCGCGAGCGAGGGGTACAAAGACCGCGGCCACTAACGACATGAACTCCAGGCCGCCAAGCTCCGTGGCTGCAAGACCATCATAGGCATCGACAAGATGTCCGACCGCGAAGCCATCGCACGAGAACTCGGCGCGACGCACTTCATCGACACGTCCAAGCTCGCCGACCTCATCGACATCGTGCCTGCCGTGCTGGACGTGACCGAAGGCTACGGCACCTCCATCACCGTCGACACGACCGGCTTCCTGCCGCTGATCCAGCGCGCCATGGACTTCACTCGCATCAAGGGCAAGCTCATCCAGGTCGGCTCCACTCCGTTCGACGCGAAGCTCGACATCCACATCTTCCAGTTTATGGTTGGCGGCAAGCAGTATATCGGCGCGGTTGAGGGCGACGTCGTGCCGGCGAAGTATGTGCCGCAGATGATTGAGTGGTACCGTGCAGGCAAGTTCCCTGTGGACAAGCTGGTCAAGTTCTACAAGGCGGATGAGTGGGAGAAGGCGGTGGATGATATGCATCATGGCCATACTGTTAAGGCGGTGATTACGTGGTAAAGCGTCGTCGCGTAAGAGTTGCCTCTTTTTCCTACTTCTCTCTGTGCGTTTGCGGGTAGTAGATGCGTTCAGGATATCCCGTGGAGAGACGGCGTCTTCGATGAGTGCCTATAGACATGTAGTGATCAATCATACCATATCAAAGAGTTTGAGACTGTTCGAAAAGGAGGCTTTATCACGCTGCACATGTCAGACTGAAAGAGATAGCAATTGTCACGATATCGTCTTCATCTTGAATCTGTGCAGGCCACCTTCTCCCGCCACTAGCGATATATGACGGCATTGGAATAGACTGCAGCATGCTTGAAAGAGTTCTGATCAAACTCTTCAATGACAATGCATGTCACCTAGTGGCAGGGCCGCATCTACACATTTCTCAACCTTCTGACCTGCGTTGCTCCGGGCGGGGCTACGTGGAGCTGTTGCGCATAACATTCCCATTCTGCATGGTTCCGGGAGGGGCCAAGCTCCATGTTGCCATTGCGTTGTGGAAAGTGCCAGTATTCGAAGAACGGCGTCTGTGGGAGTATCGTGGGGCTGGAGGCGCTCGTTGGAATGCTGGTTGGCGGCGCGTTCGTCCCGCATTCCGAGGTAGACGGCAAGTAGTCAAGCGGGGGCTCATGCCTGCTGGCGCGGTGATGTGGCATATCCATTGTACGTGATTGGCGAGTGTTGGGTTGTCGTCGTGATCATGAGAGTGGATCATGGAATCTGTAGCCACCAAAAAATTTCCATTAGCATTCGACAGTGGCCTCATACTTCTGGGGCTTTTTTTTCTCGATATCTGCTTTTAGTCAATGAGGATAGTATACGCGATAACCTGTAGATGAGTATCGCTGTGTCTTATCAGAGCTTTTGGCGGACTTTCAGTCAATGAGAAGATGCGAGCTTGCCGTGGATCTATGCGCCTGCTCCCAAGCATTCTGGGAAAGGAAGCTGGAAGCCTCTCGCACCAATGGCAAAGAGACATGTACTGTTGACAATTGCTGTGATCTGACATTATTCGATGGCAATGGTGACGCGTCTGGTGAGGGCAGACGACTTATACGGCGTGGAGCTGCATATAAACGGGCTAAGGACAAGTGTGGTACCATGGTGGACCAGAGATCAGCAGGGTGGACAGTCGATGGATGCAGGAAGACGCGTCGAGACGCGTCTGATACACTCGGACATATCGGATACGGCTTGGCTTTGGTGACCGGATCGGACAAGATCCAGCTTCGGAGGACATGAGCGGGACTAATGCATTCCTGAAGAGCGGTAGCATGGCATCCGGGTGGGACGACACGCCGGTCACGTAAGGTTGCTGTCAGGGCTGACAGAAAGCTCCGCCGTCGGACAGCTGAACCTCGGAGCAGTGAAGGCAGGAATGGCCGGATCGGGACAGAAGCTGTAGGGGATTGACCGTGAAGAGCTCCACTGCGCAGGCTTTTCTCAAGCCATTGCAAGGGTTGCGGGCGGCCGAGACCCGATATCGCGCGGCAGGCTTGTGCCCTGTGGCAGGAAAAACGCGGTGGTCCCAGCTCGGGACCGGGGCTTGGGGCAGGCTGTGGTCACGTTGAGCGTGTGTGGGTGGTGAGCGCGCTTGTGTTGTGGGCGGCGCGTCGCGTTCATGACGCTTAGCGCGTCGCTTGGCGCGAAAGCATTCAAAAGCCGCCGCGGCGCGCTTTGTCTGCAACCCACACCAACGCATCCTCAACTCTGCATCTTTTGCCTCCGCGTGCTAAATCGCTGCTGCTCAGCCTCTCAATTGTTTCCTCTGCAGAGCATACGCCATGTCCGCCCAGGCCACCCCGTCCAAGCAGGTTTGTCTCATTGCCACTGCTTAAAGCGCGTTGTAGCATGTACCATGTTCTTCAAGCTAACCACGCGCCCTAGGCTGCTTCTGCTATTGCCGACTTCAGCATGACTGACTCGCCCGCTAAGAAGCTGGACTTCTCCAGCGAGTGGAACGACGACACCGTCGCCCGCCCCATCAAGGGCATCCCCGACCTCCCCGACGAGCCCGCGGATGAAGTCCAGCACCCCTCGACCGCACCCACGATCAGGAAGGAGGAGGCCCACGAGCCTCTGCTCCAGGAGAACCCCCACCGCTTCGTGCTCTTCCCCATCAAGTACCACGAGGTACGTGTATATCTCGACGCGTCTTGACGCGTCTCGCGTAAAGTGGTTTTTTTTCCAAGCCACTAACAACACCACAGATCTGGCAAATGTACAAGAAGGCCGAGGCTTCTTTCTGGACTGCTGAGGAGATTGACCTCTCCAAGGACCTTCACGACTGGAACAAGCGTCTCAACGACGATGAGCGCTTCTTCATCTCGCACGTCCTCGCTTTCTTCGCCGCGTCGGATGGCATCGTGAACGAGAACCTGGTCGAGCGCTTCAGCTCCGAGGTCCAGATTCCCGAGGCCCGCTGCTTCTACGGCTTCCAGATCATGATGGAGAACATTCACTCCGAGACCTACTCGCTCCTGATCGACACGTACATCAGCGAGCCCAAGCAGCGCAACTACCTGTTCAACGCCATCGACAACAGTACGTTGTACCACATATGATGATGCAGAGCTTGGATCACTAACGCGTCACAGTTCCCTGCATCAAGAAGAAGGCCGACTGGGCTCTCCGCTGGATCTGCGACAAGAACTCTACCTTCGCTTCGCGTCTGATTGCCTTCGCCGCCGTCGAGGGCATCTTCTTCAGCGGCTCTTTCGCATCCATCTTCTGGCTCAAGAAGCGTGGTCTCATGCCCGGCCTTACCTTCTCGAACGAGCTCATCTCCCGTGACGAGGGAATGCACACCGACTTTGCCTGCCTGCTGTTCTCGCACATCAAGTCGAAGCCCAGCCCTGAGGCCGTCGAGAAGATCATTACCGAGGCTGTGGATATCGAGAAGGAGTTCCTCACGGATGCGCTGCCCGTCGCCCTGCTGGGCATGAACGCCAACCTCATGTGCCAGTACATCGAGTTCGTCGCCGACCGCCTGCTGGTGGCTCTTGGCAACAAGAAGTACTACAACGCGACCAACCCCTTCGACTTCATGGAGAACATCTCGCTCAACGGCAAGACCAACTTCTTCGAGAAGCGCGTTGGTGACTACCAGAAGGCAGGTGTCATGGAGAAGACCAATAAGAAGGCCGAGACGCCTACCGGCGCACCGGTCACCGTCTCCGGCGATTTCGCCTTCGACGAGGACTTCTAAGCGACTCGCCCGAAACTTCTCTTTCTTGTTGCTTTATATCCCCTGTATCTTTATACGGGTTTGCCGCTTCGCTGTTAGCATTTACCTACTTCTTGACCGGCAGGGCATGGGTAGCATTTGGGGTACTAGAGCCGGGCATGTGCTTGGCAGCGCGTGCATTCATCTCAACTTGTTCACGAAATTCGGGAGGAAATATTCTGGCGTTCACGGGAAGCAGCGGAACGGGCCCGCTTGGAGTTTGCTTTATTTAGGATAATGATTCGCGCGGTCGATCGCCGAGATAACGTAGATACCACAATTGACGCAGTCATCGAAAACAGTTGTGCACTGGTGACGATTCAATCCACAAACGAAGGGATTCAGAGACAGGTCAGAGACAACGACGAGAGACGGGGCCAAGGCGAGGCGCGGAGGTGCAGCACGGCGCATGCGAGGAGTGGAGTTGGAAGCCAGGAGGGTGTTGGTGGTGGGGGCGGTGCGAGGTGGATCCGAGGTGTTTCTGGCTGATGAGCGAATGGTGGTGGTGAGGCGAGAGAGGCGCTGGGCGACCTACGTCACTCTTGTTTGTCGACCAGGCTCCAGCCCCCAAACAACCGGCCGCAATGTAACGCGGAATTGCGCTCATTTGCAACGTATTAGACGCCAACAACTCACAATCAGCAGCGCCGCCCCGCAGGATATGCCCACGGCCACTCATCGCAGCCAGCAACGGCATTCGCCACCCTGAAACACCCATTATGAGCCTGGAGATCGCAGGCCTGAGCTCGAGCGTCGCATCCACCGTTCGGTAGACCAGGACACAGGCCAACACCACCATGCACGACGCACTGCCCAAGATTCGCGTTACAGACCCGCACAGCCGCGACTCGGTACCGCTGAGCGCATCGCCCGCAGACAGCCAGCAGTCGCCACAGCCGCACGACGTGAGCGAGGAGGAGCGCAGTGTGACTCCTGCATCAGGTACATTCGAGACACCGTCCCCACCGAAGCGTGCGCCAGCGCAAAGAGCTGACCGTGAGGGAATCGAGCGCAGTGCGATCCAAGTCGAGCGGCAAGGCGTCGCCGACGCGGCCACAGCGCGCAGCCGCAGCATCCGCGTCGCCTGGCGGCTCCAATATCAGCATTAGCAAGCCCGCCTCTGAAGGGAATGGTGGCAGCGGCAATAATAATAATAACGGCGACGTCGACCGAGCGCCTATCGACCCCCTTTCGCAGGTTGTTCCCAGGCCAATTGAGATCTGCACGCGAAGTAGCAGCTGACACTCTGCCACACGACCAGCAAATCCTCAAGCGCACTCAGACGTCGCAAGACGTGCTCCAGAAGCTCCGCCCCACGGCCGACGATGCTTCGTCCACCCCGCGCCCCTTCACCGCTGAAGGCGCGCAAGCCAGGGACGTGAGCCGCGGCGATGCCGTCTCGCTGGCCCCGTCGAAGAAGTGAGCCGAGCCCTCCTGCACCGTCCACCCCGCGCGCCAGTCGTATTCGTTCAATTCCACAACACGCATATTCTCCGCGCCTGTACACACGCCTTGGCGCGGGTTGTATTGCGCCGTCCCCGCTAGTCATGTCAGACGTAAGCGCAGGGCTGAGGTCAAGGCTGACACCCTATTTTAAACAGGAAGGGAGTCTCGTTCCTGAGCCGCATCATTGGAAATAAAAAGAAGCACGAGGACGAGTCCTTCCCCGATGATGCCGCGAGTGACCCCAGACCCGAAGGCATGGACGCCGAACTCTTCTCCCAACCCATCGACAGTAGCATCGGCTACCAGCCGCGCCACCCCCATCCGCCGGGCTACATAAAGATTCGCTCCAAGTTCAAGAAGGAGCGCGAATTCGACCGCGTTTTCCTGGCCCAGGAGCTCCGTGCCGACCAACTTCCCGCCCAAGATGAACCGCAGCGTCCCGCGAGCAGCTCCGGCGCCAGCGTGAGCAACAACACGACGACAACGCCGACGACCGCGAACCCGAGGACTAGCAGCGTCAACGAGCGCCCCGTTTGGGCTCTGGAGTTCAGCAAGGATGGTAAGTACATGGCCGCAGGCGGTCAGGACGGAGTCCTCCGCGTGTGGTCGGTTATCTCCAACCCCGACGAGCGGACCGCACACGAGATATCCGAGGCGGGGACCCAGAAGGATGGGCAGGCACTGCACGTGAATGCGCCCGTGTTCCAAAACAAGCCAGTTCGGGAATACGTGGGTCACGAGTCCACGATATTGGACCTGAGCTGGAGCAAGGTAGGTCTGCGCTGTCAGCTGTTGCAGGATTGCATCTGACATAAGCAGAACAACTTCCTTTTGTCGTCTTCCATGGACAAGACCGTCCGCCTGTGGCACATCAGCCGTTCCGAGTGTCTGTGCACCTTCAAGCATGCAGACTTCGTCCCGTCCATTCAATTCCACCCGAAAGATGACCGTTTCTTTTTGGCCGGATCCCTCGACAGCAAGCTGCGCCTCTGGAGCATTCCGGACAAGACCGTCGCCTTCTGGAACCAATTGCCTGAGATGATAACGGCCGTCGCCTTTACACCCGATGGCAAAACCGCGATCGCAGGAACGCTGAGCGGCCTCTGCATGTTCTACGATACGGAGGGTCTCAAGTACCAAACACAGATTCATGTGAAGTCATCGCGCGGCAAAAATGCCAAGGGCAGCAAAATTACAGGGATCCAGGCGATGCACGTGGGTGCGGCTGGAGCGACTGTCGGCGACGTTAAGCTGCTGATTTCAAGCAATGATTCTCGGATCCGACTATACAGCATGCGGGACAAAGGACTTGAGATTAAATTCCGAGGCCAGGAGAACAACTTCAGCCAGATACGAGCAACCTTTAGTGACGACGCGAAATATGTCATTTGTGGCAGCGAAGATCGCAGAGCTTACATCTGGTCATCTGGACCAATCGAGGGCGAGAACAGGAACCAGCGGCCAGTCGAAATGTTTGATGCGCACAACTCCATAACGACATGCGCGATCATGGCCCCGACAAAGACGCGACAATTACTCAGCAACTCCGAGGATCCCGTGTACGACCTGTGTAACCCACCACCAGTGACGCTCGTGAGCAGGACCGAGTCGCTATCGTCAAAGCATGCATCCGAGGCCGGCAGTGTGCAAGGAACCCCTAGGAACGCAAAGAGGGCGGAGGGCACACCAGCTTACATGGCGCGCTCGGCGCATCATGATGGACAGATTATCGTGACAGCCGATTACCAGGGCAACATCAAGGTTTTCCGCCAAGATTGTGCATTCAGCAAGCGTAAGAACGTACCCGATAACTGGGATTCCTCATCAGTATTCTCAAGGAGGACAACGGGATCTGGAGTCCGGAGGAGCAACTCGACCAAAACACGAGCAAGTAGCAGGAAGCGACGCGATTCAACGGCCACAACGGCAACGACGGGCACGGATCGCATTCTATCGTGGCGACAAAACATTTCTGGTTCCGGTAACAGTATCAAGGACGGGAAAGCAGGAAAGGGTGGTGTTGACCGTGGCGTCTCTCCGAGCAAATCTTCCAAGGCCTCATCAGCTAAATCATCAAAGGCACAGCTTCCCGAAATGCCTCCATTGCCGAATCGGACGAGAGACAGCAACCCATCGATCAACGCACCATTGGATTCGCCGCAAAGGCCAAAGACGTCCGGCGGGGCTCTGGCATCTCAATCGCAGCCGCAATTACCATCGAGCAGTAACAACCCGATGTGGGTCCACGGGGACCAGTCGTACGCATATTACAACCAGGACGCTTGGCGAAACCAGCTGGAGAACACAAGATTACAACCGCAGCTGACGAAGGCCTCCAGCTACGTCAGTAAATTGAGCAGCGAGGAAAGCAGCGTGGACGAGGCGGAAGAAGGGGTGGAATGCAAGAAGTGCGGGTGCAGGAAATTCAACGCAAAGGGTTTGGGCAAGAACCGCGTTTTGACCTGCGCGAACTGTGGGAAGACGACATCATCTTGATTATTCTGGATTCTATTCACAACACACCTTGATTTGGGGTTGAGATTCAGACGCATGACACTTTTTTGGACGAAGAGATTTATTGGCTAAGCTTTTTGATGGTTGGATGGTACGATGCCTAGATATCGAGAGGGCCAGCTTCGAAGAAGTCAAAGCTGGACGCGAATTAATCGAATAATACATCTGAGACCTAACCAATGGCTCCCTTGCTGGTGAGAATGGCAAAGTCATGCAACGAATTGATTGATAAGCTGGAGAGCTCATTGCCTCTTTGGGAACAGCAACGTGGCCGGACCAACCAAAGTCCGGCCGGAGCTGCGCCGCGCCTGATGCCCGCTGCTGATGCGCCACCTGGAACGAAGCTACCTGTCCCCGACTTGTCTCTCCTCAGGTTTGACTTTCTGGCCAAACCACTCTTTAAAAACTTCACGTATCCCACCGTTTACCAGACCATCCTTCCATTCCAATTGAAACAACGAAAGCCATGGTCCGCATCAACACCCTCCTCAGCGGCCTGGCGCTGCTGGGCGCTGCGGCAGCATCAGCCGTGGCCGACCTCACGCCGGACAACTTCGACAGCGTGGTGCTGCAGGCCGGCAAGCCGGCGCTGGTCGAGTTCTTCGCACCGTGGTGCGGACACTGCAAGAACCTGGCACCCGTGTACGAGGAGCTCGCATCCTCGTTCTCGTGGGCCGACAAGAAGGTGTCGATCGCCAAGGTCGACGCGGACGCGCACCGCGACCTCGGCCAGCGGTTCGGCGTCACCGGCTTCCCGACGCTGAAGTGGTTCGACGGCAAGAGCGAGACGCCTGAGGATTACAAGGGCGGCCGCGACCTGGAGAGCTTGCAGGCGTTCGTGCAGGAGAAGAGCGGCGTCAAGCCCAAGACCAAGGCGAAGGCGCCGAGCGAGGTGGTGATGCTGGATGATAAGTCGTTTGGCGAGGTCGTGGGAAGCGCTGAGAAGGATGTGCTCGTGGCGTTCACCGCGCCGTGGTGTGGACGTGAGTTTGCCAGCTCTCTTCTTCCCTCTCTACCTCCCCTCCAATTGCAACCGATATGGAACACAACGTGAAGAGACCAATTTGCTAACGACTAGCGATGCATAATAGACTGCAAGAGCCTCGCCCCCATCTGGGAGACCCTCGCCCAGGACTTCAAGCTCGAGCCGAACGTCGTCATCGCCAAGGTCGACGCCGAAGCCCCCAACGCGAAGGCCACCGCCCAGGAGCAGGGCGTGAAGTCATACCCCACCATCAAGTTCTTCGCCAAGGGCAACAGCGCGCCGATCGAGTACGGCGGCGGCCGCTCCGAGGAGGCCTTCATTTCCTTCCTGAACGAGAAGACCGGCACCCACCGCGCCGTCGGCGGCGGTCTCGACGCGCTCGGCGGCACCATCGAGGCGCTCAACGAGGTCATCGAGGAGTTCCAGGGCAAGTGGGAGAAGGGCGCCAAGAAGGCGAAGGAGGTCGCGGCCAAGGCCGACGGCAAGTACAAGGACTACTACGCCAAGGTCTTCGAGAAGCTCGCGGCCAACGAGGGCTACGTCGAGAAGGAGATTGCTCGCCTCGAGGGCATGCTGAAGAAGGGCGGTTTGGCGCCTGAGAAGGTGGATGACCTTACGAGCAGGACCAACATTCTCAAGCTGTTCGGCAAGAAGGACGAGGAGAAGAGCGAGTTGTAGAGTAGCTGCTGCAACTTAGAAAAGAAGACAAATGGGCCATCGAATGGAGAGAAAACAGGACTGCCACTGCCATCGTTGAGTGTTCGACTCTTGAGGTGGCAGGAGAAAGAGAGATTGGAAAGATGGGAAAAAGGCAATGAGCCGCCGGTGTGTGTTAGTGCTTGGATTAGGAAATTTGATGCGTGACGATCTCATTCTCCCATACGTCTCAATGCCTTGTCTGAAAGTGTAATTCATGATGCGTGGGTGCAGTTCTGGGGTTTGGTCTTCGAAGCGAGGTGTGTTATCTTTCGGCTGACCACCAGTAAGCTGAATATCTGCAACGAATCCAACTCGACCACATGGCTAGGCAGCAGTCAGTTTAGCCAAAGAGGCCGAGCATTCCGCCATATTTAACGAACTCAGAATCTTCCATTGTCACGTCAAGTGAGCTTCTGAACTTATTGATACTTTAACACTGTCTTGGCCTCTGCTTGCATGGCGTCGACTGAGTTATCTAGCCCAGCAACCGCGGGTATATGGGCCCGATACGTGCCACTGCTCTCCCTTCTCGCTCCTTTCGCAGTCTCGTTAACTCTCCTCTCTACGCAACATCTCCTGGCCTTTGGCTCAACAAGGATCTATGTTGAGATGCATAGAACGACCATATCAGTACTCGTCCAGATCTTCTCTTCAATCTTGGGGCTGCTTCAGGTATCAACGGCTACAATGCTGATCTGGTACGGCACACGAGTCCGGCTTGCCAGCTCGTCCATGAATCTCGAAACCATGGGGCTGCTGACGGCGCTGTCGGTGCCGCGCGCGGCTTGGAACCTGCCTATATCAAGCCTCGCACTCACAATCCTCATGGTGGCTCTCGCTCAAGGTCCTGGGGCACTCTGGGCTGGAGCAATCACACCTATTACGGTGCAGGAAGCACGGACAATCGGCAGTATCCTAGTCCCGCAGTTCAAATCGGAAACAAGGAATATCTGGGACAGCGAGTTCCACTTGAACGAAAAGGGGGATGTGTGGAACTACATCGAAAATTGCACGGAGCGGCGTGATGAAGCGACATATATATCGAACTGCCCAGTGCCAAACCATCAGGCAGCATTGCTCGATTCAGCACGGTCAGCTAGCACCGTCGGGACCCGGAATCACTCGAAACCTGATAGCCTAGGTTGGACATACCAAGGGCGCTCATACGGTGTCGGTTCATCTCAGGGGCTGAGTGTCGCCCAGGGCCTCCCGCCACATTACAAGTTGCTCGGTTCTACGTACAACGAGACAGGATATCTCTCCAAAGCTGCTTGTCAACGTAACAGCAGTGCAAATCTCACTTTCGAATACGACGTCCAGTCCCATAGTGTCACTATCTGGTATGTAACTGGGTACCTTCCCAACTCAAACGTTGATGAGTTTTACCCAATAATGGCGTGGAGCCGGGGAAATCGAGACGCCGCCGCTGTGTGTGCTTGGGCGGCCGTATCCAATAACAACACCGGCAGCCATATGATCGGAATCGTTGCCAGCGCGCTGTATGGCAATTTCAGCAACCTACAGTGTGATGTCGTTTTTGCGCCGCAAAACTTCTCCGTCAACGTAAATCACACGTCCCAAGTTATAGCCGTCTCGCCGGACAAAAGCACCGTCGCCGTCGACATCGAGCCAACTGGCCATCTGCAGAGCAATGCCATACGGTCTATCAATCTGCTGTCACGCATGACTCCCTCGCTTTATGTCTCAGTACTCGGCGAAGGTCTTGCATACAACCTATATTCACTGATGCAGCAGCACAATTCTACGCCATCATCCAGCATCGATGAAGAGTTCATATTTACGGCGACCGAAGATTCTTTCATGGCCATGCTGGATAGCGTACTTGGAATCTATGGCGGCGCACAGCTCGTACTCGCTAACTCATCTGCTCACACGCCCATAGCTGGCACCTTCGAGGCTGTGCGTTTTGGTCAGCCTCTGTATCAGTGGGCAGTTCTGGCTGTCAATTTGGTATTACTGGTCCTTGTGCTGATAGAGGGTGTGCGTACACGCTGGTGGCGTAGCCTACCATTGTTTGATCCCCTCGACGTCAAGAGCGTCGTATTTGCGGCATCGTCGGGCGGCAAGTGTATAGCAGAAGAGCTACAGAGACGGCTTAGGCGGAGTGAAGACAGGTCGGCGAGTGATTCACGCGATAGAGTGGCAGGTAAAATACCGGTGCATCTACAGGGAGTTTCAGGTAAACTGGTTATTGTAGAGGGTATTAATGGTACAGAATTAGAGAGATTAACGAGTGATCGCTCTAGCCGAGCTTGAATATCTACACGAGGTTCTTGCTACTACGTAGGTAGCTATCTGCTAGTCTTATTCATTAAGTAACCTGATCTTGACTACTGCCTCACAAGGATAATACATTAAGACTCGGACTTTGTCATAACTCGCCTACAATGCTACCGTAAAATCAGTGTACCTAAGAATGTAGCTTTATGTGGTCTCAATTCGTAATGGTCTAATTTTAGAAAGATACACTGGGAACAAATGGTAAATTAGTGGCAGAACTACGCATAGCCTTATCATGAGATGAATTTAGGTAAGGATAAATAAGATCTCTATATGTGCTCTACGTACTTCTATCGTGACATTTATTTGGCTACCTATACAGCAAGAAACAAGGGAGAAATGATTCGTACACCTCATCTAAATGTATCATGATTTCGTGTTCAAACAAAAACGCCTTTCAGGTGCGTTGCAGTCGAGTTTCGACATATGCTCGCTCGATATCTTATCCCCTTTATGCCATACCCAAGCCGCATGCGTACGGAAACGACAAAGGTCCTCATCACCGGGCAGAGGATACTCTGAGGCTCCTGAGAAGTAGCTCATCTCCCACTACTCCAGTAATTCTCTACCAGAGTTACAGTCTCCAGAATTCCGTGACACTGAAGGAGGCTTAGTCCAGCAACCGCAGAGGGCCGTGGTGGTCCGAGGAAGCTTTGTCAGCGGCATCGGCAATAATAGAGCCTTCGCCGTCGTACAGGACAGCATCGTAAACGGTCGCGCCGACAAGACATCCAAAGATGGGCGCGAATAGAGGAACAAAGCAGTAGTAGTTGGCAGCGGTGAAAACTTCCCTGCCGTACATGATGGCGGAGAACAACCTGGGACCGAAGTCTCGCGCCGGATTGATGGCCTACGAAGAAAATGTCAGCAGTCATTCAGGAGCAATCAATACAGGAGAAAAATGATGACATACGTATCCGGTCTGCCAGCCGAGAGCGGCGCCAATTGCCACCATCAGGATGAAGATAGAGACCTGCGGAGCGCCGAAGCGGGTGTTGGGCCCCTCAGCGATGCTCAAGACGCAGAACATGAGCACGGAGGAGGCCAGGACCTCCTGGAACACGGCCTCCCAATTAGACTGGAGCCAGGCGGAGGGATACGTGGCGAAGATACCGGCGGAGTGGTGGCCCATGGGGCTGATGATGGAGCCGCCGGGGATGGTGTACTCGGGGTCCCACTCGAGGATGGCGGAGCGGTAGTTGACGTAGACGAGCGCGGCGCCGACGAAGGCGCCCGAGAACTGCGCCAGCAGCTTGCCGGGCACCTCGCGCCAGTGCTGGTGCGAGGGCCGGACGAGCGCCATGACCAGCGTGACGGCCGGGTTGACGGACGGGCTGGGGTCGGACAGGAACGAGGTCAGCGCCACGGCGGCCGCCCACGCCAGGTTGATCGAGACCCAGGTGCCGTTGTGGAAGTCGGACAGCAGGCACTGCGCGATCACGCCCTCGCCGATGACTATCAGCAGGGCGGTGCCCAGGAACTCGGAGGCGTAGGGCCGGATGCCCCGGCGGGAGATCTTGAAAAACTTCTTGAAGCCCATGGCGATGGATTGAGGACGTTGTCACGGCTCTCCCGGAGGCACGGAGGAGGAGAGGGAGGAGGTGGTGGTGGTGCGATGGGCCACGTTCGTTTTTATGTTGATCATGCTCGGTCTACTTACCTTGACTTTTCGGAGATACGTGGTGAGGCTAGGCTCCATGTAGATAAGAGTGCTGTCCGCGGTTGTCTGACGCTGTGCTGTGGCTTGTTTTGCTAAATTGACTAGGCCGCCACAAGTGGGTCGCTGTAGGTGATAGAAGATCAAAAGCTTCAGCGGGTTGGGTGGGATGGCTTCACCGCTTGGCGCAAGTCTTGAATAGATGCATCAGCATTCCGAGACCTAGGCGCGGCCGACTGGACTCGCCCTTGCTTGAAAGAACGCTGAGAGAAAAAAGTGTGACCCCCATTTCTGCTACGTAGCTCGCCTGGTAACAGTACCCATGACGTCGCCGATCAACGGCGGATCGCAGAGCTTATCGATAATGATTTTGGACCCTTTCGAAATGATATGGTTTCGGTCAGCGCTGTTAAACGGGCAGTCGACGTGTCCTTCGATGTTTAGACAATTGACTGGTGAGTAACGGCCCCCTTCTTTCCTTGCTCTATCAGACTTCTGGTTGATGAGACTCTGCGTTAAAGTGTGCTGATGTTTCTTGAAAAGAAAATGTTTTGCTACAATGCGTGCGTCAAAGTTGTTGGGGGGCGGGCGGACTCTCTTCCGACTTCGCAAAGCCATCAACGTACGACAAAGAGTTCACACCTTGTGAAGTTTGCAACACTGAACAAGGGCGATAAGAGGAGAGGAAAAGCAATGCAAGGAAGCCGATAGAGATAGAGGGAGCCAGCAGAGGCAGCCATCGCACCGCGACTGGCGTGATGCGCGACAGCCCAGCAGCCGAACAAACTTAGCCGCGCGCGTGGTACGCACTTTCCGAGCGCTAAACTGCCGAGGAAAAAGAGAGGCGATCGCGCAGCGCGCGCTACTGCACGCTTGCGTTGCGGTTCCACCCGGCTCCACCCAACTCCGCCCAAACCTCCACCCCCCTAATTGCAACTAAATGCACTCGTTCAGGACATCCCCGGGCAAAAAGAAATGTGTATTACGACGGCCGGGACTTGAACCCAGGACCTTCAGTGTACCACAAACCCGCCTGATAGCAGGAATCGTGTTAGACTGACGTGATAACCAACTACACCACCATCGCTTACTAAGCCCTTTTTGGCTTTTGTTGAAAGTAAGACTGCCATAATGATATATAAAGTGCACACTTTGATCCTGCCAAAGGACTAAGCCATTAGACTGTTCGTTGTCGAGTTGTATAGGGGTGGGCGTGGGTGGTGGTGGTCGAATTCCGGGTCCCGGCGGTTGTGGGTTTTCTCGCTTGCAGAAACGCACTACCAACCCCCAGCTTACTCCCGCCTGGAATCGAACAGAGGTATGCCTGTGCAGAGCTCAACGGCTGGAAGATGCGATGCTGAGAGGATTGAGCACGTAAGCGGGAGGTCTTTAGATTGAACGGATTGACCCTATACAAGAGGACGTAAGGCTGGATTTAGCTTGGGTTTCGCTCATGTCTTGAGCTATTGTCCGGACATGTCGTTTATCCCACATTTACATCCAGACGACAGTTTCAACTGCCCATATGCTGAATAATTATTCACGAATATCTTGAAAATCCGTTCCGCCTTCTATTCTTCGCGCTAGCTTTCGGCAATTCCCTCTGTACTTCCAATCCGAATGTGGGGTATGGTAGGTATCCGTCTATTCCGCCAAACCAATCTCGTTCCATGTATTCGTTCTCCGAAGCAAACTTAAATTCACACTGGCTTTTCTCAGGTATCAATCCAATCGGCTGTGATTATAAGGTTTCTATCCCCCACACTGTGCCAACTACAAGTTGCCGTGGTGTTCCGATTGAACTCTACCACGGCATGAGTGTCCGCTTTGATCCCATGATAAAGGTACCAGTCCCACCATATCGACTCACACATTTCAACTCAACCAACGATCAATAAAATTATTCAACACACAATACAGCAAAATGGCTCTCAAACCTCAACGTCGCGTCGTAACCACCCACAAGGGCACCGCATCCGCCATCATGATCGACGAAACAGTCAACCTCATTTCCCAAGGCAACGCCAGCCTCCGCACCCTTTGGCAGAGCCACGAGCACCCAGCTCTGCTCGATGAGCAGCGCGACATGGCGGACGAGAGCCAGGGCTTCTACGCCAAGGGCTCGCTGATCAGGGTCCTGGACCTCGAGCCCAAGGCGGTCGGATTCAACCACCGGACTGCCTCGCTGGATTATGGCATCATCATGCAAGGGTCTGCCGAGATGGTGCTTGAGGACGGCTCGAAGACTATTTGTAACGCCGGCGATGTGGTCGTGCAGCGCGGGGTAAGTGCTTGTATGGACGGCTTGTTGTACTGGTGTTTTCTGACGTCAGTAGACTATGCACCAATGGAACAATCCGACAGACAAGCCGACGAGGATCATCTTTGTTTTGCTGCCGGCGAAGCCGCCGGTTGTTGAAGGGGCCGAGCTGGGAGATTCTGGGCTCCCGAAGCTTCCTGGACAGCACTAATGAGCAAATCGGCGAGGAGCACATCTTCAAAGCTTTGAACAGTTTTATGATCATCATTGAAGTTGTTCAAATACTACGAGAGTGTTTCAGTTGGTAGGGGGTTGTGGGAATGGGCATAGACTCAGTAGTCGAAACGTTGACACAGACATCAAGACACAATTGTGCTTGAAGCCCCGTGTACGGGCTTTACTACTCCACAGTATCCTAATAACAAGCAACAGTCTCGCATGATGAATTCCCCGCCATTTTCGCCGTCTCAAAGCTTGGATTGTGGCTTGGCCGCCTTTGGCCGGCTGCCTGTGTCAACTTCAGTCCACCATGGGAAGTTTGGTGGTGCATCCTCTTCGAGCGTAGCCTTGAAGTTCGGCTTCCGCTTCTGAAAGAAAGCCTGGACGCCTTCTTCCTGGTCCCTGCATTTGGTTAATCTCGACATCTCTCTCTGCTTTAGGAGAACATACCTTGCACTAAACATGTGGTACAGCACAGCCGAATCCACAAGATGGGTACCCTCTGCAGTCCCCGGATTATGCCACATCAGGGCGCGGTTCAAATACGATGCCAGCGGACTAACGTTCTCGGCAATGTTCGTCGCCAGCTCCAGTGCTCGCGGAAGCACTTTCGACGCATCGGGCAATGTTTCTTGGAAGAGCGGCCCGAAGTGTGGCGAATTGGGTGGGAAGACCTCTCCCGTCGTAAGCAAATAGGACGCTCGGGAGAATCCGATCAGGCGCGGAAGAAAGAAGGAAGATGAAGACTCCATCGTAATGCCTCGTCGGGCGAAAACAAAGCCGTACTTTCCCCCTTCATAGCCAATTCTGTTTCCGCGTTGGTAAGCGCAGCGATATGCGAACAGGGGTATGGTTACCTGATTGCTGCCGGAAGCGTCAAGGTCATTCCGAGACCGACTGCAGAGCCCTGCATGGCTGCTATTGTTGGCTTGCGGCACCGATGAATTGCAAGCGCCACGCGACCGCCGCTTTCCAGTGTTCAGTTCGGCGACCGGCCTCTTCGACGACAAAGGGAAAACTTACGAGTCACGGTGATCCATGATCCGCTCTTTACCAGCACCGGAAGAAAACCCGATCTCGAGATCCGCCCCGGCGCAGAATGCCTTGCCGGCGCCGGTGATGACGACGACCTTGACCCGCTCGTCGACGTCGAACATGGGAAACACCTTCTCGAAATCATGCATCATCTGCAAGGTGAATGCATTCTGCTTCTTGGGCCTGTTCAGCGTGACGACGACGACGGGCGTTGCGGTCTCGGCACCCTCCGGGTAGTGAGACACTTTGATGTCCTTCGTCGGCACTGTCTCATAGGACGTGGGGACGACGACGGGATTGGGAGCGGGAATCATTGCGGTTTGAGGGCGATGACGTATGAATAAAATCGATAAAACACGGGATGCGCTTTGGATGGAATATGTTCTTTCATCTGTATATACTGCGGCCAAGTTGTCTTGTGTCAATACTGTCCTCGGTTCGGAAGTGGCGTTGAGTAATCCTCAACCGCCCGACCACTGCCGAAGCCGGTATAGTGCCAAAGGCCTCTCCGCACAGCATGGGCCCAGCAATGTGGAGAAGCCGAAAGGCTAAATCACATGCAAGCTTCTTGTTGTTATTCGGGCATGGATGAAGCCTTGGTGTTTTTGATTTTTGTTTACTGATGGGCCTTAGTTTCGGCGAACACGGCTGACCTGGAACTGGAGTATTCCGGCCTCGAATTGATTCGACTATACTGTGGAGCATGAAAAATGTAGGGCTAGCTTGCAGTCACTGTCACATGGCTTCTCAGGGACGTTTTGTTTGTGCAGTGGCCATAATCCCATTACATAGGATGCGTGATAGCTGTAGAAAACTCCCGACGCAAAATAACTGCCGCTTGGCCGGACACCTATTATTTCGAGTACAGCACCGCGCATAAATTTAGAAAAAAGATAAATGGAAAGAAGCCTTTGGCATTGATTTGATACGTTTGGTGTAGTATACGGGTCCGACCTCCACATAATAACGCCGAATGAAGAACAAGACGTCCCAGCACCCCGCCAATGGACGGTCAATGTACCAAGTATTGTTAATTTGTACGCAGCATGTATGTAAGTAAACAAAGCTTTTTGACGTGGCTTTGTAAGGTGAGAAAGATCTGGCGTTCAATGCGGAAGCCGCTGAAGGCGATGACGGTGAGGCTGCTGTAGCTGGCTGGTGTGGGCTCTATACATCTAATAATTCTGATGCGTAACTGGAGAGGAGGGGGTGCAGTTGAGAAATTAAGAATTGAGTAGTAATGGGTAAGCTACTAGTCCATGTCGGTGATAGTGTGTGACTCCGTTTTAGGAGTCGAGGTTGCAGATCATGTCGGCGCGCTCTTACATGTCGTGCAGCCGGGCGATATACATACTGGGCGACGGGCATACCGAAGTGGACCGCGCTCGTATTCGTACCCATGTCTGTCTGTGGAGAAGATGCAATGAGTGTCCGAGAATGTGGGGCTCCATGTGGCGAGGACGGGCGCGTATTCACCATTCACAGCCCCCCGAAGCCGACGGACATAGCCACGTGGACAGATAATTACGAAGGTTCCAAGCGCCTCATAAGTGTGAAGGTAGTCATAGAATGCTTAGCATTGCTGAGGATGGTACTGAAAGGATCGGCTTGTCAGCTTCTTATCGAAAAGATCGACATAGAGCAGCGGGGCCGAGGAGCCTTGTAGATCACACGCACATGATTACCCTGTACATATCCCTCGAATTCTCCGAGCGGAAAAGTCATGGGAAATGGGAGAAGCAAGGGTGCGAATATGGTATTTTGTTTGATGAGGGACAAATGCTCATATTCAATTTCCTGTCACAAAGCTTGGACACAGAGAGATCTCAATACCGACCACCTTGGCGGCTCGATTACGCATGGATGTTCCAAATTCAGCGAGTATTTCCATTTTTAGCTAAATCTGATTGTTCGCTGTGCTGTGAACCCAAGAAAGGAACCTCTAAAACCCAAAAGAAATCAGATGGGGGTATTCCGTCAACCATTCTTATCCTTCCTCAACCTGTCCCGCTTGTGCCTTGGCAAACATTTCGACCCTCTCCAAGTACTTGCAATACTCTGCAATCGAGTTGGATACTTCGACCGGGAGCTTCTTGGTTTCCACCATGATGCTGTTGTCAAGGGGACGATCCAAAGGTCTTTCTTGCCGCATATCGAAGGTGATGGCTCCGGGATTTTGACGGGATACAGGGTTATGTTCTGAGGTAGTGACAACCCTGAGTCGGTCGTTGGACGTTGGGAGGGCTAGATTGGTCTGCTTTCACTTCATTCAATGGGATGCCTTCTCAAAGAGACAAGTCACTTACGCATGATTGTCCCGAGCGGCTCCTCAGCCTTCTTTCTTTGCTTGCCTCTGCTGGTCTGACAGGCGAAGCAGGGCGCTTTTCTCCGCGGGTGGTATCTGACTCCATTGGATTCCCTTGATTGTTCTGTCGGGCTCTGGGATGAGAGATTGTGTCGTCGTTGTCGTCTTCTCGAGGAAGATATACTACAGGATTGCGGCGTCACTTTTACGCCACCCGGCGATGCATTTTCCCCATCGCGACTTGTTGTTATATTTGAAGGACCCACAACAGGCGCCAGCGGTTGGCAAACGAGGCATCTGCCTGGACAGGATTAGATCCCAGGCAGCGATCAAGGACTGGGTGCTTTCTCTCACTATACTTGGGGGCCGAAAACCGTGCCGCGCGATTGGAGAGGGGGCCAAAAAGCTCAAGAGGCCGCACCTGGCCCGTGTCAAGTAAAGCTTACAAAGCGACGCTCACATCATATGAATGCATTACTCGTGTATGCACATAATGCTTTGCCCAGATTACAGTATACTAGGGCATCGGGATGGCCGGTGACGTACTTTAAATGGGCAGCTTGGAAGCCATTCAAGACTGCAGGCATTCGTGCATTCAGCTGTGATGCATTTTTTCATTGAACCTGTGCTTCTCGTCCTTATCCTGATTCGCGAATCCGAGCCAGTAGAATGGCACAGACACAGGATGGATGTCTTTATTCCGGCTTCGGCCAATCCGCGACCACAACACCCGGCAGGCCATTACGATCGTATCGTGACTTTGCCCGCCACGTCAAGGATTCCAGATCAGCCTCAAGCCCGGCATCAGCCCTAAATGATGCGTTTCTTCAATCTGTAGAATCGTTTGAGGGCAGCTCTGGTGACGTGCTCGCGGCATCTAACTACAAGCGGTCGGAATTCGAAGTTCTCTGTGCGGGACCTCGTCCTCCCCTCCATCTGATCGACAAGAACAACGAAGCAGTTCAGGCGACCCGCGCACGCGGAGTGGCGCGTCGCCGAAGCTAACTTTAATGGGGGGAAACCGGTCTTGTTTTGCGCGGATGAGGGGCAACCGTTGGCGGCGTGAAGGCCCAGCCAGACGGCGTACCACAACGCCCTGACGCTAGGTAATATCAGAAAAGGTCTCGCTACACAACCCAAAACCGCCATACCTGCCAGCAGCAAAGGATTGAGCATGCAACGCAATGCAATCCTGGTGCTCTCGTGAGTCTTGACTGCCATTCCAAGAAGTACAAGATTAGCCCCTATAATTATGGCAACAACAGGTTAGATTCCCAAGTGTCTCGAACTGCATGAACGCGCACCTTCCACGCCGCAAACAGTGGTACATACTCCACCGGCACGGAGGCTTCACCGACAAGAGTGGGTTGGTTATTGATAGCCAGCCCCCAAAATAGTAGTGGCGCAGCACGAGCCGCAGCCGTGAATCCTTGTAAGATGTCGCGTTTCATACTGTCCAAGGCAACTCCCTTGCGGCGCGGATTCTGCCTGGACTCTCGTGCTACGCGTCTCAGGGCTCTATTACCCCAGCTTTCAGCCTCGCGGTACGGTTGCGCCTCAGCTTGTTGCGCCAGGCACGCACTGCTTACCCTTTGCGTGACCGGAAAGTGGAGGCGGTCAGCACGCAAAATAGGCGAGCGGTGCAGGATCAGCCCGGCGACGAGCTGGTCAGCGCTAAACAACATTGGGGGCGCAACTCTTTCCCTTTCCGGACGCGGGGTCTTACCCGGAGATCCTACTTCGCCCTCAGACCTCTGTACATATTCCAGACCCCGACCGGTCAGCTTGCTTCTGCACTCGAAAACTACTTCAATTCGGCCAAAGCATCATCAAAACCAAACATTTCCTTCTCATCACTCTGCCAACATTCAGTCACAATTACCTGCCCCGATATCTCCGCCATTACCGCCACAATGCTCTTTTGGAAGATTGTTCAGAGGCTCAGAGGTGACAAGAATGTCCAGCAAAGGTATGCGCATCTCACCTGCGAGATACGCCACGCGAACTTGTCAGTCTTACGCGAGCATTCGCTGACCATGTCCTCAGTACAATCAGCTCGCAATTCTTTCTCTCGTCGAATCAACCGTCTAGATCGCAAACACCGCATTCTTCAGCAATTGAACTCTCTGATTGCAAGGATGGAGTCTTCACAACACGAGATGACTTTATCAATGGAGTTGGCGGAGGTCGCTTGGCGGGTGCTTGCATGTAGCAATATGAATTCAAAATTTGGCAAAATGGTTGTCAATGGTCTGTCGTGAGATTGATTTGGTGAATTCACAGCACCGCGACGATCCTTGCTTAGTGACCCAACCCTGCCACTGAAAATACTCCGGCATGCTGGGAATCTTGGCACTTCTCGTTCCATGTGATCCTGCCCATTGATTTGTTGTTCGCCCTGGTGGCTATTTCCAATAATCGAAATCTTACTGCGATAAGTGAGAAGCAGTATTTCGCGCCTCATAGGAACGCGTAAGAGAACATAATAAGATACGGATTCAATCGATAAAAGGTCTTCAGCAAGATTTTTGCAAAGTGGCTAATCCAGAGCGCCGTCATCATCATTAGCTGAAGATATTGTTTTGTAGCTACGTACATCATCAACCACACAAAAGAAAACTTGACCAGGGAAAGGAAACATTTCTTCAACACGTTCGATCTTACTGCGCAGGAATTGCAAGCCAGTGAATCGTTGCAGATCGGATGGAGCTCTCGTTCCATTTGTAGACCTTCCAGGTAAAACCGTTCTCAGTCTCGCCCCACGTGCATGTGCCAAAACGGGGGTTGCTTCCCGCTGGTCCACCGACCTGAAAGCTGCTGAATGCGACGAGCACAGTTGGAGGAGCTGTAAATTTTCCTTCAGGGAAGGCAAAATGACCTTGCGCCTCGCCATATTCTTCGATGTCGATGGAGAAGTTGCCAACGAGACAAGGAGAGTCCTGATCAACCGCTATCCATGAGACCATGGCATACTTGATGCCAGAGCCGATACCACTGATGCCCAATGTGAAGGTATCATTGGAAATACTTGAAGCCACAACAGAAACCGTCTTACCGTCTTTGATCCTCAGGTCCAACCCAGAAATCCACACGAGGACCCGTGGAGGAGCGCGAAAAGGCCTTGGGAAGCTGATCTGTCGCTGCGTCGAAGGACTGTGGCACATGAAGTTGCCAGCCTGCACACCACGAAGGCTTGGAGGAATACCAATCCAGGTGAATTCGGCTCTAATGTATCTGTCAGCCGTAACTTTTTTTTATCAAAAGAGATATCTGATACTGACCCGTAAAGAATTGAATTCGACCACTGTTCGACGCCGATAGCAAATGATGAAGCCGTGACTGACTCCGTGGCAGCATTGAAGCGCATATTGGCGCCACCGAAGGTATCCATCTTCTTCATACCCAACAAAATATTGGGTAAAATCTGCTCAGAGAACTCAGAGGTGTACGTGACTACATCCTGTGTCCGTTGCATTGGGTTATTCTCGTCGTGGAGTCTGTAGGTATCCCATACCCCACATGGGAAACATACGCCCTCTGGCTGGTCCTCAGTGATGGGTTCGAAAGTGGTAGGTTCGGTTGGTCTCGCATACATGTTGCACCAGATAGGTGCAAGCCGACATAGACCAAAACCTTCAATGGGATCAGTCTGACCCCAGAAGCCCACGATATGCCCATTCGAAATCGGCTGGTCGTAGTCTACCATTTGAAGGTCCTTGAATGACACGGAAGCACGTTTGGAGAGCCCCTTCATTGGGTGTTTCCAATTACCCGCCTGGGCCATGAGGATGGAGCATCGGTTAGTTGAGAGTCGTAATGCTGTCATTCGGAGCGGAGAGTTGACCATGCCCACAACTCTTCCCATCTCGAAGGAGCAGGAGACAATTTTCTCCTTCTGCGCGGTGTCCAGTTCAAGCTCAAACAGCTTTCCGCCTTGTCTGCGTGGTCCAAATACAGTAGATAGGCCGTTTGCATAATGGATTGCGATGGTTGCGATGGCTCCACATGAGACCTGGACAACCACCTTGGCGACTATCCAGTCCGGCCTGAGGAAGTCAAGGCTACAAAAGGTACTACCACGGGATCCTTCACCACAAGGAGGAGAGAGACGAATATGAGCCCCAATGTTTGGATGCTCTGCGACCAGATCGCGAACCTTCTGCTTCTCCACTGGCAGCAGTGAGGACTCACTACCGACGAAGAGTGGCTCGTGGGTGTTGTCATTCTTGCTGGAAGTTATGCTGCGCATTCGTGGGAGGCGTTCCCTGAACTCTATCGCTTTCTCGTAAAATGTTTCGACAAAGTCCTCTTTGACAGTCTGCGTAGAGCACATGCTCATACTCTCAACTTCTCTTATGATATCGACCATCTTGCTCATGCATTTGCGCTTTGCTCTTGCCAACCCGCTTGAAGTAGCCTCAAAATAGTGTTCGTTTTCAGACTCTCTAACGAACGTCGGCTCGAAAGTGATGGTGCCAGCTCTTATCCCCCAAATCTGCGCTGAGAGCGCTTGTTTGATGTTGTGGAACTCCATGTATGCATCGAATAGGGTGTTCAAATGAAGGAAGGCTTGATTGTAGCTCGTCAAGGGAATGCTTGGAGAAGCTGGGCCATCCACAGTTGGGATTGAATCGTACGTCGACAAGACCGCGAAGATTGGACTGGGTTGCGCGACTGCAAGGGCAGGGAATCCCATCAGTGCTTTGTGAAGAGACTCCAATGACCAAGCGTGATCGTCTCTTTGGACAGGTTTGCCTCCAAACTGTAGCACCTGGATAGTTATTTCACATTCCGCTGCGATCGTTTGAAAAGCCTTGTCATGGCACCTGGGCGCTGGAAGACCTCCTCGGTGGGGGTTGAAGATTGATTGCACACTGTTCAATTATCTTTTAGACAATGTCGGGTAATAAGGATCTCAGAATGGGCTTACTTCACGAGAACTTTTCCATAATTGTGCTTGTAGTGAAGCTTGAAGCTGACAAGAGCATCCAACTGACCTCCTTCAAGGAAGCCTAGTAAAACTCAGCGAACGAATCTTGAGAAAATGTGAACAGAAGTAACAAACCTGAGATGAATGTATCTCCGTATCTGTCTCGTTGATTGAGCTCATGTGTCATTGGTTTCTTGGTGGAGAAGGTCGTCAAAGGGCTGAGATGGTCCGTCACAACTCTGATGCTGATGTAGTAGTTGATGTCTGCATCAAAGTACTGTTCGAAGTCAAACAATCTGCCGTGCGTTGTGGCTGACTGAGCGTATCCTAAAACGGCCGCTCCTCCCGTGAGGCCCATGAGGCTCGTCACATCACTGCATAACGTAATCGTTAGCTCCAGCGTTACAGGTACTTCTCACAAAGTTTACCTTGCATTGCTCACAGAACGTGCTACATATGTAACCGTTGGCTCACTGCTTTCATGGCTCTGAGGATATCCGTGCCCCTGGTTCTGCTCGGTTGGTTCATCTACATGCTCCCATTGTGATGATGTAGGCGTAGAAACCTTGCAGTCCGTGATGGTAGAGGAAACCTCACTTTCTCCGTCGCTCGGAGCCTTGTCCAAAAGAAGACCAGAGCTGACTGGGATAGCAGGGGCTACGAGAGGCTCCCTGGCTCGTATTTCCTGTGTGAAAGACTCAAAACTCGGCGATGTCAGTTCGATACGGCGGGAACATGCAGAGTGAAGACAAACCCTTGACCTGTGATTTTATTTGAGTTAGAAACATGTTAATACTTGACACGCAAGTCTTACCTATTTCCATAGAATCATTGTAAGGGGCAAGACGGTACGCCATCGTAACGGAGGTGATTGGCTGATGCCTTCGGTAAGTTAAAATCAAGTGCTCGAAGGATGGGATTAGAGAACAGAAGTGATCATGAAACGATAAGCTCTTCATAGCAGATATTTATACAATACATCCTGCGCAAAAGACATTGGGAACTGGAACGTGTTTGGTTGAGCTGGCGCTTGTTACGGTGCGTGGATTCCCCCTTGCTGCCCGTATCCAGTTTGCCTTTCCCGAAGCGCTGTGTACCATTAGCTTCGTGAACCACCTGCATGATCGACAATATTCTGCCACTTTCGAAAGTAATCGCCAAGAGGCTTCATTAAATGTAAGTCTGATCAAAGTTCTCAACGGTGAGACGGCATAGCGCATTTGTTGCACAAACTGGGGCATGAGACACTTCCAAGCGAGTTAGCGCAACGACAGCCCACTTTTAGCTGTACCTGCAGCGGAACCAGGGCCCAGAAAGAAAACATTGTTGAGTTCGCATAGAAAATGTGATAGATTGTGGACTTAATTAGTCTGTAAAACAGACATCCCATCATCAAATAACTGTAGCCGCCTTTCATTTGCGCCCATGGTCTCCACAATTAGAGTGCATATGCGCGCATTGCAGGAGACAAAGCCAGATTAGCAAATGACGTATATGAATGTAGGTATAGCAGGAAAAGATCTGGTTTTGACTGATCAATTTGCTGTTTCTGAAACAAGAGACGCGAAATGTCAATTTGTGACCCAAGTAGTGCATGTCTGTGTTCCCACCCCGCCTTCTCTGGCCCGATGCCCCAATGCACGGCTTTGCATCACTACTCTGCAGGGATTGCAATCCACTGCACCGTCGCACAAGATATCGCGCTTTCGTCCCATGTGTACACACTCCAATTGAACCCATCCTTGGTAACATCCCAGAGGCGAGTACCGAATCGGGGGTTCCACGAAGATCCACTGATGTCGAATGAACTGAAGCCAATAAGAACCTTGGGTGGTTTCGAAAACTTGCCTTCGGGGAAGCTGCACCATCCATCTCCACCTTCATGACTATCCGGACCGACAGAGCAGCAGTAGCTACCCATAGCACAACCAGAGTCCCGCTCTATTGCAATCCAAGAAATGGATGCCTGGACAAGAGCCGAGCTTGCGGACGCAACGTTCAGTTTAAATCCAATTCCACTGATATCAGTTGCTGAGATATCCACTCTCTTACCGTATTCGATGTCCAGATCGAGTCCAGATATCCAGGTCAGCATCTGCACTGGCTTCGTGAACGACCGCGCAAACTTGATGTCCCTGTAGACCGGACCGTGGGCCTCGAGTATCCCACCTTGGATACCGGATGCGTCTGGACGCACGCCGACCCAAGAAAACTCACCACTTTTTTTTGAATTTAGTAAATATGTTATCTTTATAATTCGAAGGTGTATCCACTTACCCGAAAAACACAGAGCTGGACCATTGATCCACTCCAATACTGAACTCGCTCTCGGTGACATAGTCGACGGTAGCTGAAAAGCGTAGATTGGCCCCACTCCAGGTATCCATTTTCCGGAAACCAGTCAGAATCATCGGAAGTGGCTTTTCGGGACAAGTATTCTCGTAAGGCAAAATGGCTGAGGTGCGGGAAACTGGGGATTCCCAGTCATGGATCGTCCACGTGTCCCACAAACCACTTGGAGGTAGCTCGAATACCTCATCACCTTCCAAAGCATCATCCATCTTCATGCCGCTCAGCGTGGCAGGGGGCGTAGCATTGCCCCAGATGGGAGCAAGTCGCAGGAATCCCCGCTCGGCCGTCCTACCCAACGAAGCTCGGCCCCAGAAACCTTGGATGTACCCGCTTCCGAGCAAAGGGTCGTAATGGGTCATCTTCAGATTTTGGAAAGAAATGCCATCGCGCGGAGAGTTCCCATTGCCCCCTTCAGTCGCCTCTTTCCAATCGTGTGCCTGTGCGATGAGGGCAGAGCCTCGGTTTGTCGAGAGGCGAAATGCGGTGACACAAACCCCGAGTTTCTCAACGGCTGGCTGTCCTGTCTCAATTGAACAACCCACAACATGTTCTTTGGCAGACAAGTCCAGTTTGAGGTTGAACAGCTTGTATTTGCGACCGACCGCTCCGAAGATTGTCACGAGTCCGTTTGTGTATTTGAGGCTGAGGGCAGAGACCACGCCTCTCGCCACGTACGCGCTGACCTCGGCAAGCGTCCAGTCGGGCTTGAGATAGTCTAAGCTGCAGAAAATCTCTCCAGCATCTTCTGAGCCGCATGGAGTGGCCATGCGAAGCTGCGATGCGAATTCTGGATGTTCTGCGTTGATCTCCTTCACCTTTACACGCTCCGCCTGAAATAGCTCATCGTCGTTACCATGGTAGAGCTGCGCTTGTGGGTCGTGAGAGTCGTCATCGGAAACCACTTGGGCTGTAGGAACGATCTGCGGCAGGTACTCGTTAAAGACCAAGGGGTCTTCAAACTGCTCATCCCGGGTGTCGTCCGTGGCAATGTCCGGATACTTCTTCATTTCACCCACCTCCTTCAGGATTTTGAGCATCTGATTTGTACACTCTCGCTTTGCTCTGGTAATTCCTCTCCATGAAGCATCAAACCTCCGCTTACGGTCATCTCCCTGCTGGAATTGCATGGTTCCGGATTTGATCTGCGCAATCTGTGCTGAGAGCCTCCGCTCAATGCTTTTGTATTCCATGAAGGAATCAAGAAGCATGTTGGCAAAGAAAGTGCAATGATCGTAGGAGATTGTAGGAATGGGTGCCTGTGAGCCGCCAAGACTGTCATACTTCGTGAGGATGGCGAAAATCCTCTCCGGTTGATCGGCGGCCAGGTCCGGGAAGTTGCTTGACACGTCGCGAAGCGAATGTAGAACAGAGGATTGATCATCAAAGGTGATCGTACCTCCACCAACATTCGAATAATCCACCGTTATCTTAGAGTGTTCCATCACCGTGCGCATCGCAGTGTCAACCGTGCCTGTAAACGACCTGAACTTTCCATTGCTGACTTGGAGGATGGCATCAAGACTGAAATAAACACGGATCAGCTGTTTGTATAGAAAATTGAGGAGAGGCCGGAAAACAAACCCCGCTGAGACCTCTGCGCTTTTCTTCTTGTCAACCAACTTCACTGAAATGAGGGCATTGAGTTGTCCTCCCTCCAGAAAACCTGAACGTTTGTAAGCGGCAACATTTGGTGAGGCGGAGGTGGAAGCGACCTGAGATGAAGCAATCACCAAGTCTTCCGTCAAGATCGCCAGAGTTAAGGATGCCCTGAGAAATTGAGAATGCAGCAGCAGGGCGGTCCTGACGAGTCACCACCCGGACGCCAAGATAGTAGTTGAGATCGGCTTCATAGAAATGACGGACATCAAAAGGAAGGCCGGCACCTGACCCATTACGACTCTGGTGGATAATGGGAACAGCTGCGGATATGTTCATCTCAGTGGTGACTTCACTAAAAATTGATCTTGTAAGCAATTTTCCGCAATCTTATTCAAAAGCACACCTACCTTAGGCAGTCAACTGAGCGAGAAGTGAAAGTCACGATGGGAGATTTGCGGTCTTGTCCGGCGACCGAAACAAATCCACTGTCGTTACCAGTGACGCTCGGCAAGGCCTTTGCCCCATCCCACTGCGACGAAGTTGGTGTAGCGTTCGTGAACGCACTCGCTTCGGAAGCGCATTCGTATGCGTCACCTTCAGCGCCTAGCCAATAGCTTTCGGAAGCTTGTGTGTGGGTCAAGGTGGCGTCTGCGTGGATGCGTTCAATGGAAACGACGTTCTCATCGTGGATCTCATGCGTTAAGGAGTTGAATCTTTCTGATGTGAGTACGGTTCTGAGGATCTAGCGGGAGAGCAACGAACCCTTGACCTACGTGCAACAGCAATGTTAGAATCGTCATATCAGGGTCTCTTTGGGGAACTTACCTAATTGCATAGAGTCATTGTAGGGCACTGTGAGGTACGCCATGACTGGCGACGCTTCTGTGCTGCGAGAAAAACGATTGTCTAGAAAACACAACGAGGCAAGGACGGAGAATTTATGATAGAGCTCAAATCAAATAGCAAACATGTGTGCATCGGCCCCTGCCAGAGCGTTTGTTTGATCTGTGTCCATAAGCGAGGTGTCTCACGTTTGTACTACATGGGCTTCCTGTCGTGTAGCGAGCGACACATCGCATGCAAATCGATCGACAACCGATAACGGTACAAATGAATGTTGCAACGGCTAGCCTTCGGCTGAAATGCCCTAATGCATGCAAAGTCAGTATCACAGAAGCAGGCTAAGGCGAGGACGGGCCACACTGATGGAGACAAGGTACAGAAATTTGCTGTGCGGGCGTTTGCAATGCAAGCTAATCTTCTTTTTTTCCACAGAAAGTACCAAAGAGAATTCAAGTCACGAGGAGATTAAACATACATACGTTACCAAAGTCCGATGCCATCAATGTAACACAAAGACAAAGATGAAACTGATAAGCATGCGCCCAACACCACTACTGTTGTTAGACTGCGCCGCCCCCACTGAAGCTCTTGAAAGCATCCTCCAATGGTATGACCACGCCCTGATAAACTGCTTGACTAAATGCCATATCTTCAAGATCCATCTTGTCAGTATCGAAATCACATCTGATACACCTTCTTACAGCGGTTGCGTAGTAGGGACCGAACTCATCCGAAACCTCCTGTAGCAGTTGATTTGCAATCTTCATATCTGAGGCTTGAATCGGGTTCCTTTGTGTTTCTCCACACCTGTTGCGCAGTTGTTCGAATGGCGCATCCAGGCAAAGCTCGATGAGAAAGATTCCGAGCGTGAACAAGAATTGATTCCGTACTGGTCCGTCCCACGGAGAAAATCTGCTATCTGTGAGATTTTCGACTCTCTCTTGCGAAGGCGTCTTCCATATGAATGGCTCTGCTGAAAGACCACCATTCACTTGCTCAAAGAAAGCGATATTCTTATGGCTCCACATTTCGGTCAACCATGGCGTTCGATACAACTGAAGAAGAGTCGATGAAAGTCGCACCGCTGAAAGAAGTCCATTTTTTGTGGAGAATCGCCGGCGCTGACTGACCTGCCGAGTGAAGGCTTCATGGAGGGACAGAAAGGGTGGCAAAGCAGGGTTCCGTGCTAGTGCCTTCTCTTCTGATTGATAGAAATCTAGTCTCTGATCGGTAGTCTGTTCCATGAAGCCAATGTAGCTTCCCATGTATTTTCCCATCGGGTCCAAACTTCAAGAGCTTCATGATTTCAGAAACAGCAAAGTCGATCTCGTTCATAGTGTTTACGAACGCCCCGTATCCCCTCAGCAAGCGATGTTCCAATTCCCTTTCCAATCCAGGATTCTTCCATGCTAGCCCACCAGGCTCCCGCAGCAGAGCCTCGCGCTCTTCGTTGTCATCAACCAGACCGTCCAGAAGCCGCTCGCACGTGTTCTGGTAGACAACATATTCTGTATCCAGCTCGGTAGCGAGGCGTTTCAACGGAATTTTGTACCGTAGATATCTCCCCATCGTCGATATGCCGTTAGTGTAAGCCTTGAGTACCTCAACAACTAGTGGTAGTGCGCCAAGCACAAGCCCGGCAACCTCGATGCCGCCGGACATCGTTAAGTGCCTCTGTCCAACTAGGCGGCACTAGCAAGATTTGGAAAAGGTTATGTGAAAGATCAAAGATGAGAGAGCTGGCTACAGAAGGCTGACAGTGTTTGCGTGCGGGGTTATCCGCTCGCTGTCATGCTGGTTACACAAGAGCGGGGGCAACTCTCCGCTGACATGTCAGCCGAACCAACGCACGAAACCTCTGTTCTCGAGGCCTTACGGTCAATTCTACAACTTTTTCTACTATCCTCACTCTGAATCTCGGTGTTGGCGGGATTTAAGATGTCTGAAAAGAGCCCTCTGGGCTTGAACTACCGTTCCAACAACGATGATGTCGCCTTCTCTCCGGCTCTGAAAGCGAGCTCTGTTCCAACGACGACGACAGGCACTCATATAGCCTCGCACGTTTCAGAATGCTTCCAGTCATTTGATGATCTCAAATGCCTCATGCGTGATGCAGAGAACGAGTATCTGGACCAAGTGCAGCCTTGTGAGATTACCGAAGAACTGGGGCGTTTTCGTATATGGGCTGGCAGTATGGGAGCTCATAGAAGAGGGAGATCATCTTTGGACTACCGCTTGAGAGATGCTTCACACATCAGAGACAAGGTCCAGGCTCTATTGGAAGATCTGATTGACTCAATTCAACGCAGTGAGTGCTACTCACGCACGCTTGAGTTTGCTTGGCTGATCTCAAAATTTTAGCCTTGGAGATCTTCAGAGGAGATGGTACCCCCTGGGATAAACAGTCTTCCTGCGAGGATGTCCATATTGAAAACGAGGACGAAAGTTTGGAGGGAGAAACCGAGCTGCGACAAATTCTGACCAGCATTCATGACACCATTACGTTCCTGCTGAGACTCTCTGCCGCTATCCAAAACCCTGCGCCACATGATCATTTCATGAACTCAAGCAAGCTCAAGGCGTCACAACATGTCTTTGAGAAGTTCGATATTGCGCACGTTTGCGAGAAATTCCCTTCCGCCCCAAGGCTAGTGTCTGAGACCCTTGGGAAAGCCATTTCAAGGAGACGAGAATATTTCAAGTATCGCGAATCGCACCACAGGAAACTTTCCGAAGGAATACTCGCAGAAAACGCCGAGAGGCCCACCCACGATAACCGGCAAGACGCCGATGGGGATGCTAGAACAGAGGTCAGGCCACTGAGCACAGTCGCTTCTTCAATACCGCAAGAGTTCAACATTGACGAACATGTTCTGGCGCTGGAAGCAGAACAGCTTTCGGATTCTGGTGAGACACAAACCTCCATTGCGACCTCCGCGGCCGATTCACAGACACGAAAGATACCTCCAGTGCCCAAGGCTGCTGACGATGGGAATCCTTTTCCATGTCCTTATTGTTTCATGCTCATCACTGTCCGATCAAGATACTCATGGAAAAAGCATGTGCTCAAAGACCTTCAGCCCTACGCTTGCACGTTCCCATCATGTTTAAATTCAAAAAGACTCTTCGAACGGCGTCACGAATGGTTTCAGCATGAAATGCAGTACCACAGGTGGCGCTGGATCTGCAAAAGCGGTTGCGAAATAACCTTTGAGTCAAAGGGGGGCTTTGAGGAGCACCTTATTGACACCCACGGCATCTCCAAAGACTCCGAACGGCTGAATCACTTGGTCCAGTCTTGTGAAAAGAGACCAAGTTTGGGTCTAGAGATATCCTGCGTCCTCTGTGGGGAAATTTTGAAGCTGAAACAACTGGAGAGACATCTCGGGAAACACCAAAAGCATCTGACCTTATTTGCCTTGCCTAGCGTTCCGGATCAGGACACCGACGACGCTGGTGACGACATCTCAGATATGGCCCATTCTGCACTTGCGGAACATACTGTCCAAGGGGCAAATTCTGAAGACTCTGAAAGTGACACCGACGATGGTGAACCGTTGAGGTCAGAAAATGATAGAGCAATTGAGGAGGTATACGACAATCTACATCCTAGGAGTGCTGCGCCCGAAGAAGTAAAGGAAACTCGAGAGGAGGCACAGAAGAGGAGAGAGGACCAGTTACAAGCCAGTCACAAAGGAATAGTTGAGGGGGTGAGCACGGCTGCTGCGACACTCGGGAAAAAAAGACCAGCTCTCAAGTTCAAGGATGCTTTAGGCCGGAACTTCTTATTTCCCTGGCACCTCTGCTGTACATGGAAGGTAGGTCATCCCTCCCTGCTTGTCAAACGTCATGACAGTTTGCCAGTTGGCTTGAAAGATGTTAGCTCATGGGATTTTAGGGTATGGAAGAATTGATCCTTAGGCCAATCTATTTGAGTGACGAGCTCAACCAGCATGTAAAAGATGGTCACTATGACCTTTTTGGTCCTGATGGAGAGATGATATCGCCTCAGCTTTGGGAAGAGAGGGTTCAACCGGATTGGACGGTGAGAATGCGCATGTGGCCTTCGGAGGACCGAGGTACTTCGTCGTAGCCAAGATCTATGTATGATAGCATGCCTGGTCCGCCACCACCTCCTTCAACATCTATGTACGAAGACACACCACAAATGAGACCGCCGCCAGCGCCAGAGGTGAACGCATTTGAGGCGCCATGGAGGAGAGCCGACGCGATGAGGAGATTGGAGGAAGAGGAGCTGCTTGAGAGGGAGGCAGCAGCGCTGGCAGATCTGGATTTATACACGCAAAAGCCGAGAGTACGGACTTTGGAGGCGGCGGCGGATGAGACGAGGGGCCGAAAGTATGGGCGAAGAGACGATTGGTGGTAATGAGATGGGTACTTGCGGAAATCATATCTTATACGCGGTAGTAGATATGCACACTTTCTATCAAAAATTGTCTATGCATGAAAATTCTTTGTTCGACATGAAATATGGTTACGAATTCGCGTTAAGTTACGTCTTATAATGGTGATAAAGACAAGGAAAAAAAATATAAAACCCTGCTTTGATCATGAAGATTTTCTGATTCAGAAAGAAAACATGTCTCTTCTCTCGAAAGCATACGTTCGGAATTGAGTCCTTGACCCTGGTTACGGTTACTGAATGTCCTCTCTTGTTGCGACTTCGGTTGACTTTGGTGGGGCCAAATAGGTGCCGCCGATATAGGCGATGAGCACAATGCCGATAAAGCCGGCCGGGGCCCCGAGTTCGTGATGAAGCTCCACACGCGTGATGGCACCTAATATTTTTGTTAATAATAGTAAACAAGTGAATCCTGCGGGGCCGTCTCAGCCTGACGACTGGATAGAACAACGCAAAAGGATTCAGCCCCGTATTTCTTCACAACCCTTGGCACATGTAACAGTGTCACCAGATTAAACAAAGCAATCCACCTCCCTTGACATTTTAGCTAACTTTTCCAGCGCGTCAACCATTCTCTACTGTCGTCAACAATTATCGCATTACGATGAACAACCAAACCTGTCCAACGGCCGTCAAGGGCGCCATCCACCCGGACTGGGAACTCTCCAACTTCACCAGCCCAGCCTGCTCCATCCCCGTCTGCTCAAACAACACGGCGATCCTCTCCTCCTGCTGCTCCACCCCAACGAGCAATTTCACCACCTTTTCCGCCTCAGACAGCGACCAACAGTACGCCGCATGCACGCTACCCGACGCCGAATTCGCCAACCAGAGCGCCGAAGCCGCCGGCCAGGACTACGCCACCTGCCTGCTGCGCGGCTACGCCACGGCCTTCCGCTGCAACTACCCGATGGGCGACACCGGCACCGACGGCGGCGTCGGCGCCGGCTCGCTCCTCGACACCTGCCCGCTGGCGTACCCCAGCTGGTACACGCTGCCTGTGAAGACTAACCGCACCATTTGCGGGATGACGGCGGATGCGAACAGCACGGCGGCGCTGCAGAGCTGTGGTTGCGGCGAGCCGTATGCGGCGTTGCAGGGCTGCTTTGAGTATTGCCAGTCTGAGAGTAAGGAGTTGGAGAGCTGCATGAGCGGGCATAATGATTCTCGTTCGGTGTTTTGTAGGTGGACGGATGCGAGTGGGGCTGCTGTGTCGGTGGGGGTGGTGCATGGTGAGACTAAGTTGGCGTTTGCGGTGGGAGCTTGGCTTTTGGTTTCTCAGCTTTTGTAAGCGGGAGGAATGAGGAGGCGACATTGGGGCCATCGGTGTCCAGGCTGGATTTGTCGCAGGTGGATGGCGCTTCCGTGGGAATGGAAATTGTAACTGTCTGGAAATTGTAAATGTGTGTAAGCTTCTGATATTTTGACAGACATGTAAGACCGTGTTTTACTCGTAGCGAAGAGAATGAAACAAAATGCTAATGATGAAATGACAAGTGGTACACACCTGAGCTACACAACATGCTTCTCTTGCTTTCACATAATAGCACTTACAAGAGATGGACAACAATCTTGTGCTTTGGAGAAGTCTTAGCGAGAAGAATTTCTGAGGCATCTTGTATCAGCCTCGGTGGCTGACCTGAAGTTGAACCGGTACTACTACTTCGTCTTGAACATTCAACTGCTTCTATAAGTTGAGAAAATGCCTCTTGTAGGTCTCCACATGTAAGACCCTGCACTGTGCTACATACACGCCTCCATTCAAATTTCAGCTTCATCGGTGTCGTGCGGGGTCAAATCGACAGTCGGGGTCCTTCACGTTGATTGGAGGCTCCACATACCAAAATCTAGAGGCGGTGGCGTTCAAAGAAGCTTTATCATCACTTAGCGCTTGGCTGTGTTCATACGTCAGGTACGCAGTCTTATGACTTCTGCCACAATAGCGCAAGCCAATCGCAGATCGCAGGCTGGGCGTCGGACGGAAAGCGCCTCCTGAAGATCGTCGGGACCGAAACAGGAAGCATCGCATGGGTCGCGTCTAGATCTTCCCGGAACCAGCTACGAGCTTACTAAATCCGGGCCCAAGGTACTCTCTAGGGACCCTGTGCCTAGACTTAGTTGTGCATCATCATCCCTTGCCAACCCAACTTCAGCCAGCCTCGGTCCCTATCAATTCCACGCAAGTGCCGCGGAGGCGACTCTGGGGCGACGTACGGCCCGTCAAGGGTACAAACATTTGTCATTCTTGGCAGAGCTACATATAACCCTTGACCCAGATTTCTTCCAATCCTGAGCTGGATATTCCTCCCCGGTGCCACCCGACGTTCCCATCATGTCCGCTGTGCCCCACGATGTCGGCACCGACGATTCAATCCCGTCTCGGGTTCGTTTTGGATTTGACAGGGTCTCGCGCACCATCTTTACGGCATCATCGATGATTTGCATGTTGGCGCTCGCTTACATGCTAGGTGAGTCTGCTGCCGATCGGTTGGCTTTCATACATACTGACGACTGTAGGATCAAGAGCGAGACATCTGCGGCTGAACCGCATATCCAGAATGAATTGCGTGCGAAAGATTGTTGTGTTAATGTATATTTTCGGCATGATGTTCATCGGCGCGTCGGCCATCCTGCAGAACGGGTTCGGGCTGTTGACGTCCTCGGACTGCTACGGCGCCGCCATTGTCTGCCTGATCTTCTATATCGGAAGCAAAGTGCTCCTGTACCTATTCCTGGTATGCATTCCAGCAATGCGTGAGCAAATTGGAGGGAGTTTCTAACACGATTACAAGGTCGAACGCGCCCACGTCATCCGCGCACCATATAAACGCCGCATGTCTGATAAATTGTGGATCTTCAGCATGGCCCTCGTCTGCCTGGGCTTCGGCGCCATTGCCACCGTCTCTTTCGTGTGGCCGCTTTCCGAGATATCCCCAGTCGACGGCAAGTGTCGCATTGGGCTTCCGCGGAAGGTTACAATACCCATGCTGACCTACGACATCGCCATCAACATCGGCTTCACTGTTCTATTCGTTTACCTGCTATGGCCATTGTTAAGCTTCCACAGAAAGCGCTCCCGTCGCAATTATTGGCCTCGCAGCCTGCTCCAGCGCGGACAACGGCAGCCTGATATCGAAATACGCGAGAACGACCAGATTCGCGTTGATGTGGGAAATCAGCGGCTGAGAAGGGTCCTGCGGAGACTGGTATTCAAGACGGTCATAGGTGGCTTTCTGATCATGATACCGACGGCTGCAAATCTTACCCTTCTTTTCGAGATGAAGGGCCATGAGCCGGGGTGGCTGTGCTTCACCGTTTGCTTTCTTGATGGTATGTGTCTTGTTCCACCTAATTATCTTCCTGTCGCTGACAAACAACGCTACGAACAGTCACCTGGGCTATTATCATTGTCCACTGGCTGACCGTCGACCCGGCGGACCTCGACAGCTCGATCGACAATTCCGGAAGCAGCGCGGGACCAAAACATATGAGACTGACCACCTCAAGTGAACTGACCTCATACTCGCGAAACGGAGAGAGGAGCATGGGTGGCAGTGCCAGGAGATGTTCGTTCCTTGCGATCCCGGGCACAAGTCCCCTCGGGAAATGCTCGACCGCCGTCACTACCTCGGATGTGAGTATGAGCGAGGCCGAGTCAGACACGCCTCTACGAGCTGTGCGGAAAACCACCATAATAAGCCAGAGCTTCCTTCACCAGGGCATGGCGGAAGGAGAAGCTTGCGGTACCCCGGACGCGATTGGTCCGGATGCGAGAAGAGCGACGGAAGCAGCTTGAATGTTGTGAGGAGTTTCACTACTGCGAGATATGAACGTTTAACAGATTTACGAAGGGACGATCAACAAGGTGTTACTGATTTACTTCTTTTTTGGCTTTAATCCTGCTACAGAGTCATGCCGATTGCTGTATGTGAATATGAGCAGAAAAGAATAGTATATAAGATAATTCCTCAAGCAATACCTGTTGATAGTAACCATCGGATTTATGTGGTGGCGTAAGCGATGGTGCTATCTGGCTTTCCGAGCACGCGATGCGGTACATGAAAGTGGGGTTTCAGCAACACTCGCTCGATTTGTTGTTGAACATGGGAAGGAACGATAGTAAAACACCTTTATGAAGATTGAAGAGAAGAGATTTGGATTCTGGTGCTGTCTTGCTTTAGGTGGCACAAGTGTGCTTAAGGGCAGTCGACTGGGGTTGCCGTCATGCAGGTGTGGACACACAAGACTGTTTCGCGGGAATGTCCGTTGCTTATCTCCAGCCAAGAGCAAGCCTTGCCTCTTCCCTGAAATTGGCACAAACATAGCGTATCAGACTGAGTCCCAGGTGCCGGCTCTTCATGGCATCATCAGCACTCCGCTATTCGCACGCCTGAAAGCCCCGCAACCTAGATTTTCTTGACCAATGTATTTTCCTTCTTATTTCCGCCATAAATATCGGCCTTCTCCAGAACTACACCTGTGGAAGTCACGAAAAATCAGTGCCCCAGATCCAAGTGCACCATGGCGAAGGTTCCCGGTTCCACCACAGAGCCTGTCGATGCCGATTCGGCTGCCGCAAGGGCCACGGCAAAGTTGACGGAGCGCTACGCAGATGAAAGCTACAAACTGTTCCTAAACACCAAAGTCGATGACCCAACGCCAGAAGAGGCGAAGAAGATTCGAAACAAATGTGTTACTTGGATTCTGTCATTTCTTTGCATCGGATACCACTTGATGTATGTGGATAAACAGACAGTGAGTTCAGGAAAATCATTTTATTCATCCCTCCTGCGAATACTGATAACTTGTAGTTGGGAAGCTCCGCCATCCTCGGAATTATGGAAGATGCAAATCTAAACTCAAATCAGTACAACTGGCTATCTTCGATATTCTATTTGGGTTACCTTCTGGCTGAGTGGCCACAAAATTGGGCTTTGCAGAGATTTCCCGTCGCGAAGTATCTATCCATCAACCTAGTTGTCTGGTAAGTCGAGCTTCTCTTGTTACCCATGAAACACTAAACTGAGTTGATAATAGGGGATGCATTCTTCTTCTGCACATACCATGCAAAAACTTCGCCAGCCTCTTCGTTGTTCGCTTCTTCCTCGGTGTCGCGGAAGCCAGCATCGTACCCGCATTCCTACTAATTCTTTCCATGTTCTTCACATACGATGAGCAGGCAGTACTGATGCCATGCATGTGGGCAATTGGAAACTCTAGCCCCATCACGTCGGGTCTGCTGTCGTATGGTGTTCTATTCATCAAGACTGGAGACTTCAACCCGTGGAAATGGTTCATGGGTGGGTACCACTGGAACTCTACGATCAAATATAACTTGAACTCAGTGCTGATCTGTCATAGTCATCACCGGAGGCCTGACGGTCGTTTATGGCGGTCTGGTCTGGGTTTTCTTCCCGGACAGTCCGGTGACGGCGCACTTCCTGACCCCTCAAGAGCGGGCGCAGTCCATCCTCCGCATCAAAGACAACCACTCCGGCATTGAGCAGAAGCACTTCAAGAAATACCAATTCATCGAAGCGCTAACCGACCAGAAGACATGGCTCTTCTTCCTGCACGCCTGGAGCCAAGAGATGGCCAACGGCCTGACGAACCAGTACTCCCTCATCATCAAATCCTTCGGCTTCACAACGCTACAAACCACCCTCCTCGGCTGCATCAACGGCGTCACCGCATTCATCTCCCTCGCCACCGCCGCACTCATCCTATCGAAGACGCGCAACGCCCGCGCCTGGCTCTCCGTCGCCGCATACATCCCGCCCATCATCTCGTGCATCCTCCTACTCACGCTACCGTGGTCGAACCGCTGGGGCCTGCTCGCAGCCATCTGGATCCGGGCGACGGGCGGGATTCCCTACAGCGTGGTCATGGTGTGGGCGGCGAACTGCTCGGCGGGCCACACCAAGAAGACGACCGTCATCGCCATGTACCACGTCGGCTACGGGCTGGGCAACATCCTCAGCCCGCAGCTGTTCCAGCCGCAGTACAAGCCACGCTACCTCGTCACCTGGCACGTCATCCTCTGGGTCGCCTGCGTCTTGCCAATGTTCCTCGTGCTCTACCTGCGGTGGTATCTGAAGACGGAGAATAAGAGGCGGGATGAGCTGGACAGGAGAGGATTGGTGCACGAGGTTGGGGTGGTTGAGCGCGTGGATGATGACGGCGATAGGAGGGAGGAGGTTGTCGATGCGCGGCAGTTGGACTTGACGGATAGGGAAAACTTGGCGTTGTAAGGCCCCCCGACTACTCCTTTTTCTTCGTGGTGGTGTGCTGACCGATGTTTGTGTAGCCGTTACGTCCTCTGAGCTTCGGCCGAGCAGGGGTTGGATCTTCCGCCTCGGCCTCGTTTCCTTCTTGTTCAGGTTCTTCCGGGGTGGGTGGGCCCGGCATTTGGTGACCAATTAGCCGACGGTGTGGGGAACCGGCATTTGCGGGGAAATCAAGCGGCGGCGTCTCCTGATGTCAGGGTTTAAGATTGTTGTATAAAATGCTCGTACTGCGCTTTGATGAATTCCAGGTTCCGCTGGTTCCCCCCCCCCCCCCCCGCTTTTCCCACAGAACCGCAGCCATGCTGCCTCAATCTTTTGTTGCGGTCTTCTCGCTTTCCTTTGCCGCTACGGCATCGGCTGGAGTGACGGTGCTATTCCAGAACGACGGCAATTGGACGAGTCATGCTGAAAAGCCGAGCGCGCTTCTCGTATCCAGCTCCGGTGACGCAGCGGCAGATTGCACCTCTTACGGCGAATCTCTGCTAGCTTGCGATGAAGTACAGGACTTCTACGAACAATTGAATTACCAGAAGTTTATTGGAAGCATTCCTGAAGATGGGCTGGTTTGGTCCGGTTGCAATCAATCGGCTGCTGCCAACGACTCCGGCCTGCAATACACCCTTTGCACAAACAGCGCTCCCATAGTTGATAAGGTAGGGCCGGACTTTTCGATCTATCCTCATGTCAATGCTTCGGCCAATGGGACCACTTTCGAAGGCCTCCGCGACCACATGGCATTCCGGTTTATGGGAATCCCATTCGCCCAGCCACCAATTGGAGACCTCCGTTTCAAGTACGCTCAGCCGTGGACAGGATCATTCGTGAATGCGACTCAGTACAGCGCTTCCTGCATGCAGTTTGGAAGCTACAACGGAAACTCGCTGGGCCTGAATCCGTGGGGCAACAGCGAGGACTGCTTGTACCTCAACGTCTTCACCCCCGAGGTTCCCGATGCTGACGACACGAAAGCGCTCAAGCCCGTGCTTTTCTGGATCCACGGCGGTGCATCGACCTCGGGAACTGGCACCGACGGAAATTTTGACGGAGCGAGTCTGGCCAGCCGCTCAGACGTGGTCGTGGTCACAATCAACTACCGTCTGAACATATTTGGTTACCTGAGCCTTGATGACGAAGCTATCCCTGGAAACTACGCATTGTCGGACAAGATTGCAGCCCTTCAATGGGTGCAAGATTACATCACCGCCTTCGGAGGAAATCCCAACAACGTCACCATCTTCGGCCAGTCGGCAGGAGGTGGATCTGTTGTGGATTTGATCACCTCCCCCAGAGCTGAAGGCCTGTTTGACGGCGCCATTATCCAATCTGGCAGCAAGGGCTGGACGAAAACGCAATCTGCCGTTGCTGCTTCTATCGAACCTTACATTGAGCCACTGTGCAATGGAACCGGCGCCGCTCGGCTTGAATGCCTCCAGGCACTCTCGGCCGACACGCTGCTCAACCTGACATCCGAAGGCGGCAGCTGGAGCACCGTCATCGACAACGACTTCACGCTCGACCTCCACATCGCACAAATCGCCAAAGGCAGACAGGCCGTCAACTCGGTAAACCTAATGCTCGGCTTCATGCCCGAGGAAGGCCAATCGCTCGTGTATACCTCCCTCGCACCCAACCTCACCACATTCCGCGAGGGGCTCGACGCCCTAGGGCCCGTCAGCGGCGGCTCCTTCACCGAAGAACTCGCCACCGCCATCCTGGACTCGGGCCTGTGGGTCGTCGGCAACGAGACGTCGTCCAACAGCGGCGCCACCGTCTACCCGGACGCCTACAACGCCAGCATCAGTGTCTCCTCCGACTTCACGCTGACCTGCGGCGGCAGCCAGCTGGCGTCGGTCGGCGCGGCGTCGGCCTCGTTCGAGAGCATGTGGGTGTACAACATGGAGCGCGCCTACGCCCTGCCGTGGTACAACCCGTACGGCCTCTGCAGCTTCCCCGTCGGCCAGCCGGACACGCCGTACTACCGCTGCCATTCTGGCGACCTGTTTGAGGTGTTTGGCACCTACTACTTGTTCGATCAGCCGGTGCGCGTGCCTGAGGATATTTACTACACGAATGCTGTTCAGGACATGTGGGCGGCTTTCGCGCGGACGGGCAACCCGAATGTCGATCCTGAGTATCTGAAGGTCAGGGGGTACGACAGCACTATTGACTTGTTCTCCAATTGGGAATGGCCGGAGTTCAGCACATGGAGTCCGCGGGTAGCGTCGCTTCAGTATCCCAAGTCTTCGTACACTACTCTTCCCGAGCAACAGCACTGCGATGTGCTCTTGCCTTATTTGTCGTCATAATGTATTTATTATCTGAGCACAGAGTACATAGCCGCTATTCCTACGAATAATCGCAAAACTCCAGTATTTTACCCACCAGACGAAAAGGAAACACAATCGCTTTTCAATTAATACTCGGCATAGTCCGATGCCTCGGCACATAGCCAGACACCGGCCTCCCCTCCGGCGTCATAGGGAACAACTTCGCATCCGCCCCCTCAGCCGCCTTCACAGCCTCCCACAGCGGCGCCACCGCCTCCTCGGGCACATTCCCCACATCACCCCGCAGTATCCTCGCCACCGGCACCCTCTCCCCATAAAACCTCTCATTCTCATCGCTCCGCTCAATCACCACCGTCCCGTCCATCTGCACGCCCGCGTAAAACCCCCTGCTCTTCACGTACGTAAAAATCGGCGCCCGCCGCTTATGCACCTCGCTATCGACAATCCCACCCGCGCCGACGGGGCCCACGGCCGCGCTGATCTCGCCGCCCACCGTGCAGCGCACCTTGCAGAAGGCGTCGAGCGCCTCCGCCGTGTTGATGACCAGCACGCAGTCGTAGATGTCGATCCCGACCAGGAAGCCCACCCCCGCCGTGTGCAGCAGGATCCCGCTCGGCGGCGACCACGACCCGTCGGCCTGCCGCGCGATGAGGACGCCGGAACCGGATGCGCCTGAGATGTAGAAGCCCGTCCGCATCGTGGTGAAGATGGCGAGGCCGACGGCGTTGCGGATGACGTCGGGCGGGATTTTGTTGAGGACGTATTGTTTGCCTTTGGGTCGTCGGGGGTCGTCGGGTAACTTCCCGGATGACGATGATGAGGGGGACGGGGATGGTGGTGGTGCTGCGGATGCTGCAGGTAACGACAAGGATGACGATGAGGCTTCTTTCTCGAATCCTTCCTCTGTTTTCGTTTTTCGTTAGTATGCGGGAGTGGTGGTGCGAATCGAGAAAAGCAAGGCTTACTGCAAAAGCTTGACAAGATGCGCGCCGCCTTGTCGCTTTCCTTGTCAATCGACATGGGCCAGAAGGCCTCAGAGCCAAGCTTGTTCGAAAGCTTGTTGACCGGGTCGCCCAGTTTGTCGGCCCAGCCCCAGACTTTGTCGAAGCCGACCTTGCCCTGTTGTTTTGTGCGTTGCCACATGGTCTTTTCGTCCGTTCGGTATGAACAACGGGAAGTCTTCTGGCAGTTGAATGCTAAAAGAATGGATTGCAGTGTATTTAAGATTTATTCTGGAAGACAGACGTTATTAACGCGAGCTCGGCCGGGGCGAGACCAAGCGCCTCGGGCTTTCGGTGGTCCTCGCGGCCGTCCGCGGACCCCGAATGACGTTGCCACCCGGGGCTGTGTCCAATCGTTTAAAATACGTATCCGTTTAGAGGCGGAACAGAGCTTTATTGGTGATCGCGGCACGCTAGAAAGAAGGTTTAGTGAGAATTCCGACTGCTACCGTTGATGATCGCCCTGTTACCCCTATCCGTGGCTTCCGATGTAGAGATTTGGAGTCTCACCTTATCTTTCTTATCTTACCCTTCGCGTTCATTTCCAACAACGAGGTGAAGATAAATCAAAACAACCAAGTGACAAATTGAATGAAAAGGGAAAATACAATAGCGTAGCACTTTCCGTTCTGCGCTAGGGCCGGGTGTTCCCGCGTTGTTTAGGTGCGTCGCGGCCCAAAAGAGGAACTGAAGTCATCAGGTCGAAATGGCCTTGTCCTTGGTGTCTATGCATCCCTTCCTATTAGCATTCATTGAACTTGACAGCTCACACTCGGCTGCACCATTAGCTGGAGACCGTTTGAGATGTGGTGAAGTTGTTGTATGCAAGAGAAGCTGGGGAGATAGCTCTGAGCAGCTCCCAGAACCCTACATCCTGGGTGGCCTTCTCTCGAGGATTGGCAGGATGGAGACACAGGAGGTGCGTCGGGGCTGCGTCTTGGATCGCATTTGATGCAACGACGAATTATCTAAGCATCAGTGTACATTGGCGGGACGAAGGGCAAAGAGATCCATTATGGAGCGCTGAAGCGCTGAGAAATAATGAGGATGGAGACGGGCCTAAGTGAGAGCAGGAGCATGATATGTTGAATAAGCCTACAGAGGCGTCAGCTGATTGCATTATAAAATGGCTGATCTACATTCGGGTCGGGAACCGCGGAGGAGTGCGGAAGATGAGCCGGTGCACGATCCAATCCACCCACACTGACTCCGGCACTGTAGTAGCGACAAGTCCTACGCCCGCAAGATAACCAAAGAGCTACAGAAGACAGTGACGGCGGTGTGATTGAAAGACACACCACTCCTTGGCAAATTTACGGAATGTTGACCGGCTGATCCACTCATCAAAGTTATGACCGCAACACCAGCCCAGAAAACGCGTGAGAGAGCGCTCGGCGCCGTGGAATGGCCATGCGTTCCGAATGCGTCCGCCCTCCCACATCTCCTTAGAGCAACGCTATACCGTGATGATTCCACCGGAAGCTCGGGAAGCGGTATGTCCGGGTAATGACGGACTGGGCATGATGACGTTATTGGGTGGTGTTGCGGTGGCCAAGAGGCCGTGCGTTGGCCTGTCCCGTCCTCGCTCAACAACAACACACCCCGTCTTCTCCCTAGAGTAATCGAACTTTCCCTTTCCTCGACCATTGTATGAGAGTGTCGATGCTGCTTTCCCTCCGGCGATTTCGGTGAAGGTTCCATGTTTCCCTTTCATGCATTCGACGTCATCTTCCAGCCCTGCCGAGCCTATTCTCGCGGCTGTCGATCTTGCGCTACTTCAACATTGCTATAGCTCTACCTCCTATTAGGCGCTCCATATAAGATACCATTTCGGGATATACTCAAGCCTTGGCTTCGGCATCCGTCAGCTTCCGTCTCATGATCTACTGCTGATCGCCAAGAAAATGCAAATCCTCTTCCACACCTTCCCGACTGGCTCTCGTGCGGACTCTGTTTTTGGCGTGAAACAGCCCTACGGCATGCCTTCAGACACGTCCTGCATGCTCCCATAATTGTATCCCTGCAGGATTTGATTGGTTTCGTTGAACTGAAGCTGGCTTGCTTGAAGTCTGCCTATCGCGCAGCAGCCTGGACCCTGCACCGGTTCGCCCCGGAACCGCTCTTTGGACGCCTGATCACACTCGCTGTTCATTCACACCGCCCGGCGTGGATTCTTGGCATTGTTGATTGTGAGGCTCCGCGATGACTACGAGTCAAGATTACGGCTGCGAGTCAGCTTCACCATGCACCGTAACGCCACCATCGTGCCGCCCACCCGACCCAAGATCGTACCTGCTTTCCGGAATTTTCGCATCAAGCTTATTCTCGTCCCCGGATGGCGTCACTTGGACTAACGCCTTCCGCTATCTATCTAGAAAGAAGACTTCGCGGACAGCAAGGGCAAAGCTCAATTCAACCATTGCTCATGTCGCGAAGTTGAGAGGACTTTTCGCATTCGATACGCACGTGTGGGAACGCTACTGTGTAATTGGCACCCCAAACGTGGTTGCAACCCACGTGGGCGGAGCCGCTATGTTATGCGATTCATGGCCCAATCACACCTCCAAGGCGTTGCCAACATAGCCCAAGAAGTTTCAGTCATTCCTCAGTTTCCGATACTGCCCCGATTTTGCACCAGTGCATTATTGCCCAGGCCGGTAGTCTTCAGCCAAGTTGTGGGAGATGCATGCCGCTCCTTAGCTACGGTCAGGGCGCATTTAGCGAGTGTCTCAAAATAAACCTTAAGCTTAATGATTCGGCCCGGATCACTTGCGCCGGTGGGGGAGCGGGACCCTTGCGCCTCAGTATGCGGGTAAGGCTAATGCGCTCCCGGAAGGTGGATTTCGTCCTGACCACTAACATGTCTTGTGGCAGGGGTATTATCGCCTGTAATTTCTCCTCCCACAACACTTCTATGCAAAAATCTGGGCTTTGTGTGAGGGCCACCATGATACTGGGCGCATGTAATCTCGAACAGTGTACTGGGAGTCCCCCTGAGTTACCGCACTGCCATGATCGAAAACACGAGCCCCCCACCCATACAGCATCCCCACGACTCGCGCTCATACGACCTCGCATTCGCCAAGCGAGTTTCGACACAAGTGGCTTAGGAAACACGTTCGCCAAGTCTCAGTCCGAGACTCCAAGCGAAACGCCTTGATAGTGATGTCGTCAATTCCGGCTTCCGAGCTACCTCACCCGCTTGAACATCACTGAATATATTAAAGACGAAACACTATATAAAGTTGGGCCCCATCCTTCTGCAGCTCGAATCCACCATCACCAACACATTCGGACATCTCCCACAAGAGTACAATTCCAATCGTTTTCAACATGTACATGAACACCCTCGTTTCTGTCCTTGCCGCCGCTTCCTGCGCCGCGGCTGCTCCCCTGCAGCTTGAGGCACGCGGTACCGTTGCCCACGACTCCCTCAACCCGTGGCCGGAAGCCGTCCGCGCCGGCGTCGAGGGTGAGGCCATCAAGCGCTTCGCGCCTCTGCTCCACATCGCCCACGGCTGCCAGCCCTACACTGCCGTCAACGAGGCCGGTGACACCAGCGGTGGTCTCGTAAGTTTCTCTCCTCCCCAGCATACACCATTGCAGCAACACTGACCCTTCCCCACAGCAAGACACCGGCTCCTCGACCGGCGGCTGCCGCGACCAGAGCAAGGGCCAGACCTACGCCCGCGGCGTTCAGCACGGCGACCGCTACGCCATCATGTACGCGTGGTACTTCCCCAAGGACCAGCCCAGCTCCGGCGTCTCGGCCGGCGCCCACCGCCACGACTGGGAGAGCGTCGTCGTCTGGCTCGACAACGCCACCGACCAGAACATGATCGGCGCCGCCGCCTCCGGCCACGGCGGCTTCAAGACGACGACCACGCCGCAGAAGGAGGGCGACCGCGTCATGGCCGAGTACTTCACCAACTTCCCCACCAACCACGAGCTGCAGTTCAAGACCAGCCCCGGCAAGACCTACCCCGTCCTCGACTGGGACGCCATGACCGATGCCGCCAGGACTGCCCTCCAGGATACCGACTTCGGCAGCGCCAACGTGCCCTTCAAGAACGGAAACCTTGAGGCTAACCTCGACAAGGCCGCTGTTTAAATTAATTAGCTGATTTTGTGGGGGTGTTCGTCTGTGGATGCTGGTGTAGGATGGGCTTGTTAGCTATTCATCGATGTGAAAGCATCATGTTGTACATATTAAGGAACGAGCAAATATAATAAGTTCCATCCATAAATACAGCGGAGTGGTATAACTACGGGTGCTTTGTAGTTTTGGAACTGATGTGATCTTTGTTATGATATTCTCCGTTGAATGAGTTCTAATATCTTACGAACTGAGGCATTTGATGCAAGAGCAAAAGAAATCCAGTAGTATTCACTCGAAATAGAAGTATTTGTTACAGACTTCTCTCCCCCATACTGCTACTACTGATGTAGTTACCGACATGACGTATGCCTGGATCGGATGAACGAGCGGCATGGTCCTAAGATTGGTGGTGATATCATTTCTTAGCGATAAAGAAATTGGATGGGAAGAAACACAGGAGTACCGGAACGAAGATACCACTTTCTAGAGGCGAGGCAAGATAAGCGTTGCCACGTTCTCCACTAACCCCGCATTTCTCTTCACCTTCGCGCGCCCCGAACTTCACTTCCACGGTACGGCCTCGATAACTCTCCTGTAATACACCCGCATATACCCCGTTCTCTTCTTACAAGATAAGGCTAGATCCCTATGCAGGACGAAATAAGCGAGAATGCGATTCTCGATGCGTTTGACGATCTGGCGAAGCGTCAAATAATTATCTATGGGGAAACAAAAGCTGAGCTGTACAACGATGGCCGATTTCCCGTAAGTTCTTGCCGGTGAGGCTGAACCTGTTCCGCCAGCTGAGCTCCCTCAAGTTCCAGTTCCTTGTGTGCCCCGTGCTGTCCAAAAAGCCACAACTGAAAGACGCGTACGACAAAAACAGCCCCGCACGCACCTTTGGTCCAGGAAGCGACCTCGAGTTCGCCGACGACAAGCTTCTCCTTACTTCCATTAACGGGACTCACAGCCTCATCCTGAATAAGTTCTGCGTCTTCCGACCGCAGTATGTGTTGCTGACGGCCGACTCCTACCGACGCCAAGACGAACCGCTCAACATCGAGGACTTCGATGCCATCTTGGCCGCGTGGGGTCGGCTGACTGGATCGCACTACGCGCTTTACAATTGCATGGAGGCTGCAGGCTCCAGCCGTATGCACAAGCACCTGCAGTTGCTCCGACGTCCGGCTGACTTTTTGCTTTTCCCTGATCGCCCCGATTTGCACGCGGCTCAAGTTCCGTTTCTGTATTTTCTTTGCCGTTTCGGGTCCACACCTCCTTCAGCCCAATTCCTTTTGGATTCCTACAATGTGCTGCTGTCTGAAGCGAAAAAAGCACTTGGATCTCCTGAAGAAACCAGCGCGTTCCCCCATAATGTGTTGCTTGTGAAAGAATGGCTTCTAGTAATTCCGCGAAGGCGTGCGGAGGTGGATGGCGCAAGCGCCAACGGAGCTGGGATGATGGGAATGGTATGGATCGCGGATGAAGAACGGTTGCAGCGGTGGAAGGTCCTGGGACCCGCCTGGGTCTTGTCTCAGCTTGGGTTCGCGCGGGTTTAGGCAGCAACTTGATCACTGCTGCGTCCACATCTGCAGGAGAAAATTTATTGATTGATCGGGTTATCGTCTCCTGTGGAATTGCTTGAAAACTAAAAATATTAGCGCCAGCCTTACTTCGTATAAAGATTTCTTGAGGGAATGATGGCTGCTCACGCGCGCCTCATAAATACTTGTTTGACGAATGAAACTCTTCTTATCGGTCGTGAAACCACAGCGCATGACTTTTGGCTATTCGAACGCAATTCAGCCCCCAAAACATCGAACGCCACCGGAGATGCGCGATCCGAAATACGTGATTCCCCATGAGAAGGGGTTAAGAGGCATTACAGACTGATATCAGCTAGAGTGAGTCCAAGTCGTTCGATATTTTGCGGAGAATATATGATGTTTGAACTCTTTTGTATGTAGTTTTTTTTTTTTTGGCGGGTCACATCTTGAAGTATCAATGCTTGTTATCAGGGGATACGAACGTTATGCTTAAATAGGCAAGCATCGCAAATGATGATGACATAAGGTTATGGCTGAAGAAGCACGGTAAGGGAGAGACTCGTGTAGGTACATTACCGTGGAAATGCAGGAGTAGGTAGAGTCCTCAACTTCACTATGGAATTCAATACCTACTCAACATCGTATCAAACAAAGGCAGGCAGTGATAAACTCATATCAAATTTAAGCTCACACAGTGCCTTAGAAAATGATGTTCCAGTATCGTGTTCCTTTACGCTGTAACAGTGACAAAATAACGGCGCAGTAGCGCGGGCAACGGGTCCCCGCAACAAGCAAGCGCAGCCACGAACGAAATACCGCCGAGCTTTCGCTCATAGATTTGTGCGCGGTCCAGTCTGCTGATACCGATCCAGCGGCGCTGCGAAAGGTATGTTGACAGGTAGTTGTAATAGGTCCCGTGGCTGCCGAAGATGTTGACGAAGCTTGGCAGGCAAAGGAGGTAGAAGGAGAAGGAAGAGCATGGCAACGCCCATGGTCTGTAGGCACTTAATCTGGATCAGTGCGGTTTTGCGACATCTGATGGGCATGTAGAGCCGCGCCGGCGGCTCGTCGTACTCATTTCTGTCTTCGCCGTCCTCTTCCGCGACTTCTTTGACCCTCCGCTACATCTCTTCACCTCCGCAATAACAATGCAACCACGAACGTCGCATCCACCCACCACCCCCGCAGCAGCATCGATCAGCACCGGCAATCCCACCAATACCCCTACCCGCGGTACGCACAGGTAGATGACGAGCGACTCGTGCAGCTCCAGTAATATCGTCCACGGCCGTCCGCCAAGCTCGTCAGGCACATCCGTCTCAATCCGAGATACGATTGATCCGAGATTTCCGGTTTTGGTGTGTGCGCTTCTTAAGCTGGGGATGCTTATCTGATCCGACAATTGAACGAGCCAAGCGGAGCGATGGTAGGAATGAAAAAGATGCAAGAAACATGGGCCGTATATCAACGATAGGCTTAACGCTTTCTAAGAATGTAGGTATACGATGACAGTAGAAAATGGAAAATTTACAAATTTGTTAAAACAAGATACCATTCTTGTCTTAACCTGTCTAGTATCCAAACTGCGTGAAAGTTGAATAAGGCACTTACAAAGGTTTGAGGTAGATGTCGCATTTTAAGGGGAATGGTCTCGGGGAGCGTCATTTGGCCATGTGCACTCTTTTTGCCTTACAAGCTCTTCATCTGTTAATTATCCATGTGCTAGCTTTTCCGACCATACGTAGCACAGTCCGTCCCGTCATGGCACCTTGCATCATGCGATCTATGAGCGAGAAATGGCTCCCAAGAGCTTCTTCTACATCTATAGCTTGACAGGATCTTGAGAACACGGTCACGCAAATTTTTCATAGCTCGACAATGTATGTACGTACAGTAGAAATAGGCAGCACTGAAAACTCGCCATGTGTTACACCAAGCCAAGCGTCACGCGATTAGCGGCGGAACGGCCCGTTGCTGAAATGAGGGCTTTACCAAGGGTTATCGTAGCCGAAGGCTAATGCGAAGAATAACAGGGTCTTGAAACAGGGGCAACTACAGGCCCCCAGAACAAACTATTCGAGTTACGTAGGCAGTCAAAGCTATCGCTCGGATGCAATTGTACAATTCCCAATAATAGCTTTAATTAGCCATGACATGCCCAAAAAACAAATTCAAGCCAGCCTTCGGCTGCCACACCCCTTTACGAGCTGAAGAATGTGAGATGGTGTGCGGAAAATGATAGAAGTTCAGCCTTGTTTCTAGCCTGGCTGTAATGTTAGCTTGATCTGTACAAAAATGGCGCAATATTCAGCCTCTAAGCCGAATGATCAAGAAATCGACGACAAAATTGATAGCGCGCTCCAATAGCAAGTTTTCCAAAGCCAAAAATGGTCAGGGAATGGAATAAGTGTGATGAAGAGGACCCTTCCAGAACGCAGGATCCGTGGTTGTGTGGCGCCTGCACGCATCTGAATAAGCAGAACATCTGCACAAAATACGATAGTCTCCCATGGATGATGACGTGCTGATCCATTTCTTAGATGTGGCGGACCACCTCTACGTAAATGAGCAGAATTAATTCAATAGTGTATGAGACGTTAGAGTAGGTGTCACCAAGTAGACTCCTCCGATTGAGATTTTGGCTTGATTAGATTTGCCAACACCTTCTCGGCGAGTTTCTTGGCGAAAATCCAAATTCCCTCGTGTTAGTCCTCTTAGCAAATTGGAAACCGTCAAGCTGAAAGCGCTGACGACTGCAGTGGGGCTGGGTAGATGTGTAAGCACAGTAGCTGCAATGCATGTACTAGGGTTTCCACTCCCTGCAGGCTTGGCTGCCAAATTGTTAAGCCCACTTGACCCACCGTGCCGCCGGCGCGATCTGAAGAATTCAGCAATGGTTATCTTCAGATAAGTCACCGGTGAGCGGTCGCATCATCTTGCTTTTTGAATATCAGGCTGCGTTGATTCCGGAGTGCAGAAGATGTGACCCCCCAATAACGATGGAAGGCTGCACATGTGATGATGATGCGCCATCCTTACACCGCATTTGATCATGTTTCCATTTTCCAAGAAAAAGCCACTAGAGCTGAGGTAGCAAGGCTGAAAATGATCTTCGATGGGATGAGGCTCAAAACGAAAGTGATGGTCATAAGAGCACAAATGCACTGGTTCATCTCAATCTCTGCCTCATACGACGATCAAACTGTACCCAAAATGACGGACTCGACCCCGGATGTTTACTGCCTGAGCGGCGAAGGGCGTTACTACGTGTGCGAGACAGGCTCAAAATTTGTGGGGTGCTGCAGGAGAAACCCTTGCCATACCGGATGCAATGAGGAAGACCTGCTGCCAAGTTACTTCAAAGCTTCTAAGTATGGCAAATTTCCTGACCTCGACTGCAAATCTGGGCTGTTCTATACTTGCCAAAATGCCGTTCGGGATGGATACAGTGGGTGTTGCAGAGTGGATCCATGCCAGGAGGAGAGCGGTACAGGATGCCCACCCGAGCATGTCGCTGGTGCGTATTTGCCGAATGATACTCGCAAGGCAGACTACTACTTGACGTTGAACACGACCTCGACACCTCGACACCTGAATTCCACGGATCGCGCGGACACACCACAGCGACTAGCAGGAGAAGTGGTAGCTTTCTCACATCGGATACCACCCATCGCTGTTGCGGCCTTTGTTGCCCTAATGTTCGGCGTTGTAATATCGATAGCTGCGGTAATGCCTTGCCTATCACGTTTGATTTACTCAAAGGTGACATGGCCCAAACGCGGCAGGCTGGACAGGTAATGTTCCTCTTTACGCAATACCACCCTAGATTGTCAAAGAGCTAATCGAAAGTACAAGTGAGGACATGCAACCCATAATCGAGATGGTCAACGCTACCCAGCACGTCCGTGGGAAGGTATTGCGACGACCTTCCCATAAACGACCGCAAATACTTCCCCTCGCCAGCATCGTTGGACCAGCCATTGTCAATGCCATCCTGGTAGGGTTTCTGGCATTTCTATGGTTCGGAACCGAGCGAATAGCAGTATGGAAAAATATCGTGGCCGCGGAGAAGGTCGCCCAATCGGTATCTATCACAACACTTCTCGTCCGTTTCATGGTCGATATGCAAGCCAGCATCTCAGCAGCAATGCTAGCCGCACTTATGCTTGAGGCTAACGAGGGAGTAAGACTCTCGGACGTAGCGAGCATGTCGATTCTCCGTTATCGAGCCAGTCCATGGGAGATGTTGCAGCCAGTAGCTTCCAGCCTAGAGTGGACGGGAAATACACTACGAGTATTGCGGTTTCCGGCACTCTTGGTACTTTTACTCCTGTCCAGCATCAGCCTGCAGTTTAGCTCAACCATCCTGCTTTCGGACTTGCAGCTCAGGTCCCTGCCAGGTTTCAACGAGACGAACCATCTGCCTCAGGATTTCTCCTACAACTGCATTCCATCTGCAGAGAACTGCCGGAATCTTTGGTTCAACCAAATACCCCGTACAACTGCGTGGACGATGAATCCTGCATCTTATCCGACATTTGGGGAATACACCGAGCCTGTGGATGACTCACGAACCAACCAGGATGACACCGGCGTAGTCTTAAGAGCTTTCTTGCCAATGTCCGACGCAGAGTCTCGGCAAAATCTCCGCAACCACACTGGACCTGCTCTCGTTCTTGACGCTCGAGTGAGCTGTCAGGCTCCAGATCTCGATAAATTAACACTCAGTGCCCCATTTTACGGTAACATTTCTGGGACTGTTACCAACAGCACAAGCAGCCCACGCCTACAGCCGATCATACCTACGAGTTTCTTGTGCGTTTTCGCCGGTCCAGGCCAGAGGTCGATATGTCAGATCGGCGTCAATGTTGCTTATCTATACATCGGATCACTCGACAGCCATTTTCAGAGGCAGAACAAGACCTACGGCACTGCCTTCTTGATCATCGACCCTTCCGGCAACTACAACAGCCAAGCAAACATCTCGACCTCCGCCCTCACATCCACCAACGCCAACACATCCACCCGCGGCTCATGGACCGACGTGTCCCACCCATCCGCCAACTCCACCCTCTCTCTCTCCCTCTGCTTCGCCCCCTGGGACGCCGCCCGCCTCTCCGTCAACATGCACAGCTCGCAGAACCGCACCGAGCCGTCCCCGCACTGGACCGCCCCCTCCGACACCGAGAGCGTCGGCAGCTTCAACATGGACCCCGTCCTCCACCAGCTCGGCCTGCATTCCGAGCCAAACGACAGCAGCTTCTGGCAATCCACCTTCGAGGGCCGCGGCGTCCTCGCGCTGGACCGGCCCGCCTCCCTCGCGCCGCCCGCGCACTCCCTCCCGCCGTTCCAGCGCCCCTTCGTCCAGGCTGACATGTCGTCGGCTGGCGGTGGCTCGTCGGGCATCAGCGTGCCGCTCGCTGGCAACCGCTCGACGCTGCTGTCCGGCCATACGCTCGATGCGGTTCTGAATAATTTTACTTATACGCCTGATAACCTGCTCGCTGCCGACCCGGCCGTCGCGTCGTTGTTCAACGCTGCTTTCCGCGCTACGAACGCTTCGGCTGCCCGTGCTCTCAGTGCTGTCATCACCGCGCTGTCTGCCACTGCGTACTACGGCCAGATGCCTGCTTTTGATTTCGTGCCTGAGCGCGGGGTCGAGCAGGTTTACTTCCGGACCGTGCAGATGCCCGTCCGCGCGAGTGGTTTCGCTGCGCTTGTGTGGTTGCTCGCGGCGCATACGGTGCTGGTTAGCATCATCATGATGATCTTTAGAAATAAGGCGACTGGATCGCTGTTGAGCGAGGCGTGGCAGTGCATTGCACAGTTGCAGGGTGTTGTGACTGATGTTTGTATGAGATATGACGGCAGCGGGAGAGCGGGTGTGGTAGCGAATATGAAGGATAAGGAGTTAAAAAGGGTATTTGAGAGGCAGGGAAGGAATAAGATAAGGGTAAGGATTGTCGGGTCCGGAGATGATGAAGGGAGGCTTATGTGGGAGGTTAAGGATGTCAGCGAGTAGGTGTTGTAAGTGGAGAATAGAGCACTGGGAAATTTGTTTGAGCGTGGGCGGCACGGATCATTTTGCTTTCTTCTTTTCATGCACAACTGTTATGTTTCATTGAATTGAACTTAATAGAATTGAGGCGGGCGGGACATTGATGGGAAGGTTTTACTCTGCGAAGTTGAAGCTCTTGCACTTTCTTTGATACTACTTGTATCTAATTCTGATTATCCATTCGTATACATTACTCGTTTACTCGTTTGGAGCGGCCTCTGTTTGAACCACACGTCCATCCTGTACATACATTACGCTTACTACCTCAAGAGAACTGCAGCAACAGCAGTGAGGAATAAGAGCAGCTTCCTGCCGCCCAAAGAACTTGCGCTCGAGTCATCGTCCCCGCCCGAGGTCGCCGTTGCGGACGCGCTCCCTCCGCTCGAGGTGCGACGACTAGTTGAGCTCGTCGTCGACGATGCTCTGCTGCTAGTTCTGGTAGCAGTAGATGATTTCCCAGAGAAACTCTCCGTCGTAGTCCCATCCACGACAATGCCGTCAGTTCCGGCACTAATCACCTCACCGCCAGTCGTGATGGCCGCTCCGCCCACCGTCAGCGTCTGATCTCCGATAACGACGATGCCCGTACTACCGTCAGGCCTGACCGCCGTCACAGTCTCAGAGCCGATAGTCAGCACAGCCTCGGTCGTGCCCGAAGCACCGCCCGCCGAACCGGCAACAGTGAACGTCTGGCCGCCAGCAGTGATGACAGAGCCCGCCGTCCCGCCCAGCGTCTGCGACGTGCCATCCACAACGACGACACCCGAAGACGCCAAACTGATGGTGTGCCCGTCAACCGTGGTAGCGGCCCCACCAACACTGATCACCACGCCGCCCGTCGCGCTCGCCTGCTGCCCACCAGCAGTAGCCGCAGAGTACGACACCGTCGAGCCGCCCACCACGACGCCGTCCGACCCAACACTCACCACCTCCCCGCCGCTCAGCGTCGCCGCAGCCCCACCCGCCGTCAGCGTCGTCGCTCCTCCTACACCACTGCCACCGCTAACGACGACGCCTTGCCCATCCGCAGCCGTCACCGTCTGCCCACCAACCGTCACGACCGCCACCGACGACGCCGATGCCGATCCGCCGGAAGCCTCGCTGTACGCCTGTGTTGCCGTCGCGCCGCCCTGGCCGTCAACCACCACGACGCCGGAACTACCGACGCTGACGACCTGCCCGCCGGCAAGCGTGGTAGCAGCCTGGCCTGCACTGACGACGACGGTCGATCCGCCTGCTTCCGTGAGGGTCAGGTCTTGGCCGGGCAGGGCGGTGTACGTCGTGCCGTCGAGGGTGACGACGGCCGCCGAGCTGGCTCCGTTGGCTGCTGCAGCGCCTGTTGCGGCAGCGGCCCCTACTGAGGCATCATCGGTGGAGGAGGGAGGGAGGGCGATGGTCACGACGGACGGATCATCAGACGGGTCAGAGGGGTTGGCTGAGGCGGTGGGGTTGGAGTTGGATTCCCCTGCAGCAGCAGCTGTGCTTGCTGGGTCAGAGCTTCCTGCGTCTGCACTGCTGCTGCTGCCGCCGGGATCGGATGTGTTGTTGTCAGGGTCGGAAGAACCGGGGTCGGATGAGTCGGGATCAGAAGTGTCGTCCGGGTCAGAAGAGTCAGGATCAGACGAGTCTGGGTCAGAGGAATTAGGGTCGGAGGAATCAGGGTCGGAGGAGCCTGGGTCAGAGGAGTCTGGGTCGGAGTCTCCCCCTGAATCAGAATTATTACCAGGATCAGAATCCGTAGGATCAGAGTCCTCAGGGTCAGAGCTTCCGGGATCAGAATCCGTAGGATCGGAGTCGCCGTCGCCGTCTCCCGGGTCAGAATCCACCGGGTCCGAGTCGTCGTCGTCCGGGTCAGAGGTCACTGGATCCGGGCTGGCAGTGCTCGATGGCGGGTCACTGGCATCTCCTCCTTCGCTGCTGCTGGGGTCCGCAGAGCCACTCTCAGTCGGCGAAGGCTCCTCCTGCTCCGATGTCTGCTGCACGCTGGTCGCCGTCGGCTGCTGCTGCTCCGTCGTTTCCTGCTGCGCGCTGGTCGCCGTCGGTTGCTGCTGCTCTGTTGTTTCCTGCTGCACGCTGGTCGCCGTCGGTTGCACCTCCGTCTCCGGCGCCGTGGTGGCCGGACTCGTGTTCGTCGGCAGCGGATCGGCCACCGTCGAGCTGGGCTCGGCAGCCGCGCTGGTGGCAGCCGGCTTGGTCGATTCAGCCTCAGTCGTCGTGGCCGACGGCGCGAGGAGACCGCCTGCGGTGGTCAAAGCAATCGGCGGGTCGTGCATGGCGTACGTCCCGAAAAACTGGCTCAGCGGGCTGCAGCTCTTCCAGGCCGACTGCAGGTCCTGGATCTGGGTGTTGTACAGGATGTTGGGCTTGTAGTCGTCGTGGATGGTCGACGGCGCGCACGAGTTGATGAGCTGGCCCGGGTTGTCGCTGCACGAGTTGGGCCACCAGTACGCGCTGCTGGGCACCAGCGGGATCTCGTAGCCCGACACGGTCGTTTTGGCGAGGTTGGCGAAGTCGAAGGTGCGGGATAGCTGCTGCGAGCGGCTGTTTGGCAGGCTGTACAGCTCGCCCGGGGGCACGGGGATCCAGATCGATGACATGTCTTGGCCACAGGATTTGGCGTCGTAGCCGAGGCTGTCGCGCGCGTACATGGTGGTGAAGAAGAGGTAGGCGGTGGGCGAGGTCATGGTGTAGGTGCCCACGGTTGCCGTCACGATTTCGCGTTTGTCGACTTGCCATGGATCGGTTCGAGTGGCGTTGGGGCCGCAGATGCGATCTTCCGTCCATTGCTGCGGGAAGTAGTACAATTCCACATATTCACTTCCCCAGAGATGGCAGGTCTCATCACAAGAGTTGGGATTCTTGCAGTTCGGCGCCCAGTAGTCCGGATCCTGATAGAAGGAGCCAGCATCCGTGGCCGTGTGCGCCTGGGACCAGCTTGACTTGTCCACACTCCACAACGACCAGAGAGATGAACAGTCTTGTGAGTTCTGAGTACACGTTGGCACAGCGGTGCCGGTCGTGACATAGGACGTTCTTGTGACAAGATCAACCGTCTGTGAACTGTATCCGAAATACTCTACGAAGGCGCCACCGCGAGGGATACCATCACAGAGCGTTATTATTGGCGTGTCGTTGGTGCCACGGGACGTGGAAGTTATGCCGCCCACCCAAATCGAGGAGGACGTCTCATATGTTTGCCCGTAGGATGAACTCCAATTGCCCCATGCCACATCGCAGCTGCTGAGCGAGAGAAAGGTCTGGACGGGAACGTCGGTTGGAAGCCACGTAATCGAATTATTGGCCAGTGAGATGGTGACGGTCGCGTTTCTGGACAATGTTTTTGTAATGGTACTGGGCTCAGGAGTGGCGGCTGCCGAGATGTTCATCTGGTTGACATTGGATGGAGTCTGAGCCGGAATATCGGACGAGGTCAGAGTAGAGACACTCGACGAGCTCAGAGTAGAGAAATTCGACGAGGTCAAAGTAGAGACATCCGACGAGGTCAGAGTAGAGACATCCGACGAGGTCAAAGTAGAGACATCCGACGAGGTCAGAGCAGGAACGTCCGACGAAGTCTGGACCAAGGTGTCGGGCGAGTGCTCGACACTGCTTCTCGTTGTGTTCTGCCATTGAGCATCTATTCTAGTATGTTAGTTCTGTAGCACGACGTCAGGTGTTATACTGACAGGCAACGGGTACTGCTGCAGCGCAGGCAACACACTGCAAAAAGGACCTCATTGTGGCATGTGGAGCTGCTGCTGCGGTTCCTCCGGCAGGAAGGAGCGCGGCTTTGTAAAGGATTTCCCTGGCCCCCACAGATGTGCGGACAACGTTTTCCCGTCATGAGAGACTTGTATACAGGCCGCGTCCGCCCAATAGTCTACATCAATGCTTTTTACTTGATTCGGCAAGTCCATTGGCCGTTCCTGCTTTGCCAAGCGGGGCCAGAAGATGCCACTGCTGCCTTGTGGGGGAAAAGCTTTTCGGCGAGACAAAACAGTGTTTATTTGTGGGACGATAAGCCCTGCGCTAGTCTTGTCGTGTAACGGCTCGCTTTGCACTGCTCAAATAGGACGCGCTCCGGCACCACTCATGTACCCTTGTACCCTTGTACACCAACATGCCAACAAACACCCCGCAAGAAACGGTGTAAGCCGCGAAGCAAGGGGAAAATCCCATGTGGCGCGATACCCGCTCTATTTCCGCACGTCTTCTTTGTTCTAGTAGGTGATTTGCCAAAAGATAAGACACCACAAGCGTGCAATGGTGCCTTGCAGCCAAACTGCAAACATCCGAGACCGATCGGACCGCACCCCACTCACGGTCAAGCGGCTCTTGCTCGGAGCCTCTTCCGTACCTCAACACCTCCGGCCCGTCCAGAGATCCGCGCTCTCACTCCTCGCCCACTTCGATTTCTTCAACACCTTCCAACTCACCGCCAAGGTGATAAAGATGGCGATGGTCACGTAATTCATGACGAAAGTCTCCGCATCCCACGGCGCAAACGCCGTCCAGCCCTGAAAGAAGATAAAAAACACCGACAGCCCCAGCCCGAACCACGGCGTGAATCCGTCCCACTGCGCGCGGAACGGCAAGTCCTCCAGCGGCACGCCCTGCGCGCGCATCGCCCGCCGCAGCCGGATCTGGCACGCGCAGATGGCCCCCCACGTGATGAAGGTCGACACGCCGGTGATGCTGACGATCCACGTGTAGATCTCGCCCGCGCCCGACGACAGGTTGAGCAGCGACAGGAAGCCCGTCGCGTTCGTCACGACCAGCGCCGGCACGGGCACGCCGCGTGCGTTGGTCCAGCGGAACAGCTGCGGCGCCTGGTGCTGTTGCGCCAGCCCGACCAGCGTGCGCGAGCCGACGTACAGCGCGCCGTTGACGGCGGACAGGATGGTCACGAGGATGACGGCGTTGACGACGTGCGCGCCCGCCGTCGCGCCGACGCGCGTGAAGGCGATGACGAAGGGGCTGCGCGCGGTTTTGCTGCCGGCGGACAGGAGGTTCGGGTCGTTGTAGGGGACGGTTATCGTTAGGAAGAAGATGCCGCCGACGAAGATGATCAGGATGCGGTAGAAGACAGTCCGGATGGCCTTGGGGATGTCGCGGACGGGATTGGCGGACTCGCCCGCCGTCAGCCCGACCATTTCCGTGCCGCTGTATTGCAGGGCTGCGAAGACGAAGATCTTGAAGACGCCCTTGGCGCCGTCGGCGAAGGCGCCCGGGTCTTTGTAGAATTTGAAGCCGATCTTCTCGCCGCCGATGGCGCCGCTGGATATGAGGATGGCGCAGAGGAAGAAGGCTGCGATGAAGAGGAGTTTGGCGGCGGAGAGCCAGAATTCTGCTTCGCCGAATGTGTAGACGCCGAGGAAGGTGAATGATAGGAAGATGAACCTGATGTGTGTGTTAGTTCTTGTGCTAGCGCGGATATCGGAGAATGAACTCACCAGAATACAAGCACCCAGCCCCATGTTGGCATAGCTGACTGCCAGAATCCGAGTACCAGGCTCAGATTATCTGAATGTGTAAGCCGTGAATCTATAGCTATTTTTCTGCCGAGGAAGGCTTACTGTATTCGGCCATGAGAATTCCAGCCCACAGAAACCAGTAGTTCCAACCCAACGCAAAGCCAAATGCCGGGTCGATGAAGCGAGCGGTGTAATCCGTGAACGATCCTATGCAATACGGTCAGAGTCTTGATGACGGACTGCATGCTGAAGTGGGGCGGTGCGCAAACCTAATGAAGTACTCACCTGGGGTTGACAAGAACGCCGCCAGTTCTCCAAGGCACTGCATGACAGCCCAGAGAAGAGCGCCAACTGTTGCGAAGCAGATAAGCAGGCCTGCAGGGCCGGCTGTGGACAGACCTGTGCCCATGCCCACGAAGTAACCTGGCCCGATGACGCCCCCAATGGCAAGCATCATCTACAAGCCAACGGCGCAACGTTAGCAGGTCTCCTCATCAAGCATCATCCGGGTCAGGGGTTCAAACTCACAAGGTGCCTCTGCGCCAGGTCCCTCTTGAGCCCGGTCTCCTCCCTAGCTGGATTCACAGGCTTGACTGAGCCCTCTCCATCACCTAATTGTTCAACCTCCCCCTGTCCGACTGACTGCATCGGTTTAAGCCCGTTATCTGCATCGTTGGAATCGGTCTTTTTGTCGGACGACATGGTCGGAAGTGATGAAGCCACGAAAGTATGTGCAACGGATGATAGATGAAGCTGGAGAGATGAGTTCGAAGACACACTGTCCTCTATTTCAGCGGGCGAGATAGAGTACCCACGTGATTCCAGCCCGGTCGGGACTACCCAGCGATAGGTTATCGGATTGGCGACGGCGGCCAATCTAGCCTCTGTCGCCCCAAGCTCGATTGAGAAAAGCGTGAGCCGAGTCAAATAGACTGGGCTACATGTGCTGTTTGTTATTGTGGGGGATCGGCATAAACGGACATGAGAAGCAGTTGTATCAAGGATATACTTGGGTGTGGTCTCTAGGCCAGGGTGGCAAGAAGTGGGGGCATACTCTCTTATTCATCGAGGTATTCTAGAGTCGTCTTTTCTGCCAAGTAAACAGGGAATCAAAAGGAGTTACAAGCGCTGCTCATAGCAGATAGAAGTGATTTTACTACTGCCGTGTAAGATTAAACTGATTATCTATCTGTCCATTCCCCAGCTATGGATAATAGTGATAATGGTAATGATGGTGGTGAACATGGTGGTGTACATGCATAGTGGAAGAATCCTGCGAGTGGAGGCTATGGCCAGCACCGACAGGAGGTTCCCGCGGCAAAGAAGCATTGGCACCACTGTCAACTTCTGACCCTGATGATGGAGGGGTGAAGCCTTCAGGTGATGACGTTGATGTAGCAGGATCATTGTAGCCAGCATCATGCATGGCCGAATCCAACGAATCGGCCGGAGTTAACGCTGTGCAGCCAAATTGTGCATTTCCGGGGTCCTCCGGACTGGCCACCGAGAGCACGGACGTCTGATTATGGTTCATGCTTGTCTGGCCGATTAGGTGCTCAGTCCCACTATGCAAGCCCCAGGCGTCACTTATCCGGTGCTCGTCCACATTTCCGACCCCTGGAAAAGGCATTGGGATGTCATTGTTCTGACAAGCGCTAAGGGAGATGTCGGGCAACGCTGACTGATATCCTGCGTCGGAGGGTTGCATGGTATCAAACTCTGCTATATCGAGGTTGAAGTCTGCTCCATCTAGAAATGATTCCAAAGCCTGGATGTCAAGTGGTGGTATTGCCCCCGTGGCATCCGTCTGCGAAGCGGAGCGAGGTTGTTGATGAGGAACAGTATGAACTGCATCGGCATCATTTTCGTTATCGGGGATCAAGAATTCAGGCAACACATTGGGCACAGACCCAGAATCTGGGGATTGAGTTTTGTTTTTGGAGAGCGCCCGCCATCGGTTGCGGCAGGTCAAGGGAGGGCGTCCGGGGAGCCCGGCTGAGATGATCGACCAGCTATGACCAAGTTCTTGAACCTTTGTGCGGAGATAGGCATCTTCCTCTGGTGTCCACTTTTGCAGACGCCGATTCACCGATGGAGCAAGGATCTCGGTGTACCTCTTCGCGCATTGGTCATCTTTTCGGCCAGGGAGGAGGAGAGCTGCGAGATCAATTAGAACCCAAACAACGAAGTAAGCAATTCCCACATACATATTTGTTTCCATGCAGGGCCAAGGCGTGAAAACTCCCGTTGCAGGATGCGGTCTTCTTCCTCGGTCCAACGCCCTTTTCGCAGGGATGGGTCAAGCGAGTGGAACCAGCGCTTACGACAATCCTAAACACTAATCAGGTACAAGTTCCAAGTCTAAAAAGACTATTACGCTTACCTTTGCTGTTCGACCGGGCAAACAATTTGCGATGTCGTGCCATCGGCCTTCGCGGCCCCTCTTGTCGCCGTATCTCCGGATCAGGTCGGTAAGCACCCCGTCCTCTTGACTGGTCCATCGTCGTCGCGCCATGTTCACCGTAAGGCTATAGGGCGGGGGAGGAATGCAGAGAATGCAGTCCTATCCCGAACCCCGCACGACTGAGATGAGGTTGGAAAAAGGCCGAGTCATGCCGGGGTGACGCGCTACCGGTCACGTGTTTGACTCGGCCCGCAGCTGATAGAGGCAAATCGCCTGTTTCGGCACCCGTTAGATCGGATATCCCCCACTGTTGACCGAGATCTGAGCTGTGGAGATGGAACTCAGCTCTACCGCCTCAACTCGGCTCGATTCGGGATATGATCTTAAAAGCGCGTCTGCTTGGCTGTCAAGACGATGCATCTCCAACTCAATCATTGAGCATTCTCCTTGTCCTGTTCCAAAATGTCGGCTGGCACTCCTCATCCTTTTGACCCAGCAACCGCTGAGGAGATCGCATCTGCGGCGGATGCGATCAAGACCCTCTTCAATGGCATCCCGCTGCATTTCAAGGCGGCGGGCATTGATGAACCCCCGAAACAAGCAATGCTCGAGTTCCTCGATGCCGAGCATTCAGGGCGGCCACTTCCGCTCGTGCCAAGGTGCATCTTTCTGATTTGGTACATCAAGAGTACACCGCGTCTCTTCGAAGGCATAGTTGATGTGACCCACGGGAAAGTGGTGTACCACAAGGAACTTCCACGGGACTTCCATGGGCCGGTTGACAGAATAGAACTGGGTCAGGCAGCCGAGGTTGTCATGGCTGATGAGGGAGTCCAGCAAGAAATTAAGAGGCTGAATCTGGACAACACCACGATAGTGCTCGACCCTTGGGACTACGGAGTTGATGGTCACGAGACGCAAGAGAGGCACACTCAGGTATGCATCCTTTCTAATGTCATATATCTGAGGTTAACACGCTCTTCTCTTAGGTGTTTATGTACATGCGAAACCCCAAGAACAACAACCCGGACTCAAACCATTACGCCTTCCCCCTTGATTTCATGGTCATAGTAGATCTCTGCGCCATGAAAGTCAAACGCATCATACGGCTTCCTCTTGGGTCAGACGCAACCACTACTCCCTTGGGTTCTGATGTCCCGCATCCGCATGTTGATCCGGTTGAGCCTGAGTATGCACATGAGTTGCAAAAGGTGTCTCCCAGAGCCACCTTGAAGCCGTACCAAGTTGTGCAACCTGAGGGCGCTTCTTTTACTGTGGCCGGTAACTTGATCGAGTGGGAGAAGTGGCGGTTCCGCGTCGGCTTCAACTGGCGTGAAGGTGAGTGTCATTGGCAGCTCCGTGAGGATTCCTGTATTGACGCTGAACAGGCATGACCTTACACGATTTATCCTTTGATGGCAAGAGTAACTTTTACCGCCTGTCCCTCTCCGAAATGTTCGTGCCGTATGGCGACCCTCGCAATCCCATCTACCGCAAGGGCGCCTTCGACCTGGGCAACGTGGGAGCTGGTGTTACCGCCAACAACCTTCAGCGTGAGTGCTCACGTGCTTTCCAATTGGCCTCTTTACTAACCCAACCCCAGTCGGCTGCGACTGTCTCGGCATGATCAAGTACCTAGATGGCTGCGTCATCAGCCCAGACGGCACGCCGGCCCCGCGTCCCAATGCAATCTGCATCCACGAGGTCGACAACGGCATCCAATGGAAGCACACGAACCACCGTACGGGCCGCGCCGTCGTCGTGCGCAAGCGACAGCTCGTCCTCCAGACGATCATCACCGTTGCCAACTACGAGTACATCTTCGCGTGGTACTTCGACCAGTCCGGCGAACTGACCTTCGAAACGCGCGCCACGGGCATCCTCTCGACCCAACCCATCGCCAAGGACGTCAAGGTCCCGTGGGGCACGCGCGTGGCGGACGGCGTCATGGCGCCGTACCACCAGCACCTATTCAACCTGCGCATCGACCCGGCCGTCGGCGGGAACCGCAACAGCTTCGCCATGACCGACTCGGTGGCGATGCCGTGGGACGCGCAGCTCAACCCGCTCGGCACCGGCTACGTGACGCAGGAGACGGTCGTCGAGCGCGGCGGCCCCCTCGACGACGACGTCGCCCGCGGCCGCATCTTCAAGATCCTCAACGAGTCCATCACTAACCCCGTCTCGCTCACTCCCGTCGGATACAAGCTCGTGCCGCACCGCAGCCAGATGCTGCTCGCCCACCCCGGCACCTGGCACGCCCGCCGCAGCGAGTTCGCGACGCATCCGATTTGGGTCACGCCGTACGCCGATCGTCAGCTCTTTCCGGCGGGTGAGTATACGAATCAGGGGCTCGGCGGGTACGGGATTGCGTCGTGGCTGGATCCGGAGTCGCCGTATAACCGCGAGCGTCCGCGTGATAATTCGGCGCCGGGAAGGCCGGTGGTGCGGGACACCGATATCGTTGTCTGGCACACGTACGGCCTGACGCACAACCCCCGGGTGGAGGACTTCCCTGTCATGCCGGCCGAGATTGTGCAGATCCATCTCAAGCCGTACAACTTTTGCGAGTTCAATCCGACCAATGACGTGCCGCCGTCTACGCAGGATAAGAATCAAAGTCAAGAGTACAAGGGTCCGGAGGAGAAAGAGCTGGCTGCACGGGGAAAGGTGTGTTGTCAAAGCAACCTGTAGAGTTTGAAAAAAAAATAGGTAGACTGATTCATAGAGGATTGATTATATTTTCTTCAAACGCTCGTTGGTATTGCATTACTATTTCATGATCTGAACGGCCGGCGTGATGTGTTTCTGTGATGCTTTACCACGGCGGATTACCGCCGTCGTACCTGTTGAGGCCTGTTGCATTCTCCCAGCCGGGGACGCTGACGTTGAAGAACTTGCCACTGTCCTCCTTTCCGACACGGAAGATAACGTCCGTGACTGCCTTGGTGCCCTGCTCGATGGTGAGGTCGGCGCCAGAGCCACCCATGTCCGTATTGATCCACTGTGTGTTGAAAATGAACTTTTTAGCAAAAGGCCGGAATACAATGCATGAGACTTGGGCCACTTACACCAGGAGAGACGGCAATGAAGGTAAAGCCCTTCTCGGCGAAATCCAATGCGTATTGGACCGTCAGCATGTTCAGGGCGGCTTTGGTGATTTTGTACGAGGGGACGGGCATTTGAGCGTAGTTTTTTGCCATGGCCATGGAGCCAAGCGTGGTCGAGCTTGGGTAAAAGAGTCAGCTAATGCGTGTACACAAATCACAGCTCGAAGCTTACATATTGACAACCTTCTTGAGATTTCCCTTTTCAAGTAGCGGGATGAAGGCGGACGTCACGTTGTGTACACCGGTGACGTTGATTTTGAATGTGTCATCCAAATCGGACCTGATACGCGTTAGCTGATGTCCTTTAAGAAAGTTAAAAAGCGGGAAGGACTACGCACATAGTCTGAATTCCTCCGGGAGTAAAGACCATAGCGCCAGCATTGTTGATGAGAACATCAAGCCCCTTCCCATTGAGCGATTGCTCAACCTGGCTAGCGGCTTTCTTTGCACTCTCTTGAGAGGTGACGTCGAGCTGCACGTACTCAACACGGCCATCAGATTTGGCAACCAGCTCCTTGAGACCGTCTGATTCGCTTCGAGCAGAAGCAAATACTTTGCTGATCTCAGTAGCGGGCTTAGCCGCAAGGAAGCTTGCAACAGCAAAGCCGATGCCGCGGGAAGAGCCGGTGATGAGGTAAGAAGCCATCTTGAGTGGAGGTTGAGAGTGGTTGTGTCGGAATTCGATGGCTTGCCACCTTTGAGGATGCGAGGATAAAGCTCATGTGGTAGAATCACCGCTTGGCTATTATATACAGAAGCCTACAAGAAGGATTCATTTTTGGTGGATCTGCTGACAAACGAAATATGTATTCGCCGCTTAAATCGGCCCCAATGGGGGCCGAATCAATCATCATTACCGTCAGACTCGCGCCGCCAAGATCCTGAAGATTCCCACGCCGCAAGGATGCTAGCGCTTACAAATGGAGCGAGTGTCGGCTTTAAGCCGGATTACTTAAGCCCTGCGGGTGTACCGGACTTTAGCGCGACGAAATCATCGTCATAGTTACCCAACGTTCATCGACAAAGCGTTGGAATTTTGTCGGACCCCAAACGTGTAGCGTCTCCATCTCCACACGAGATGAATCCTTGTCTTCATTCAAAACTGCGGTTATTTTAAGTGGTAAATCCTCATAAGGCTAGCAAGCGAATGTAGTGGTGTGTATTTTTCAACGGAAAAAAAAATCCCAAGAGTTGATAAGATAACGTATGGGGGATCATGTCTGCAGTAGTCCCTGTATGAAAACTTTGTGCTAATGCTCAAGGAAATACAGCAGTTTGATATTCTATTCTATAAGATGCTTCTGACTTAGTATTGGAATATTTCTGAGGATAAGTACCATTATTACCCGATATCATTATGTCCACCTGCTAATAGAAGCGAACCCGTAACTTCAAGATGTAGATCATTAACACGTAAAGTGACCGCCATTCCGTCCAGATTGCTAACGGCATCAATCCAAACGCTCTTCTATGAGCTGGAAAATTTCCTCATATCCCGCTTCCTTTGCCAGTTCCCCAGCAGTAAATCCATCAATATCTCGTGAGATGATTTCCGTTCTGTCCATGATCCCGAGCAATGTCTTGACAGCGTTTGTATGCCCCATACTTGCTGCGAAATGCAACGGCGTCCACTTGTAGAAGCCAATTTTCTGAGCTGTTGGACTCGTGACCTTCATTACCGCGGACCAGCCCGACTGGGTCGTCATGACGGACTTGAATGACGACACAGAGGGGCGCCGAGAATGCGCGGGTGCGCGCTCCACCTTCAGAAAGTCTGGCGTCATAACAGACTTGATCGATTGCATAGAGGGGCGCCGAGAATGTGCAAGTGTGCGTTCCACCTTCGGAGGATCCGGTTGCTCCTCAGCCTTCGCTTCCGCGTGCAGGATATCTCTGATCATATCAGAAGAGCCGCCTCTCGCTGCCAGATGTAGCGCCTTGGCGTTTGAGGCCTTCGGATCGTGCTCATATTCTCGGACATCCGCGCCGCGGTCGAGCAGCAGCTTGGCCACCCCCCAGTGTCGCTTGTCGCAAGCTTGAACAAGAGGCGACCAGCCTTTCCCGAGTTGCCCCATATACGCGCCGGCCTGTGCGAGATGTTCCACAGACGCCATCGCCCCGGTCTGGACCGCGTGGATCAGCGGCGTCCGCCCTTGTTCGTCGGCTTTGTTCAGCATGTCGGCTGATACGCATCTCCGGCCACACTGCACCGCCAGGTGTCCTACGTCCCGGAAGTACTCTGGCTGAAGACGTGTAGTTGCACCGTGTTGGTTGAGGATCATCATCAAATCGATGTTGCCGGATGCTGCTGCGTACCAAAGTGGAGTCCTGAGATCCAGATCTGGCGCGTTGGGGTCTGCGCCGTGCGCCAGGAGCAACTGTACCAAGGCTTCGTCACCAGTAGCAGCAGCCAGATGGAGAGGGGTCCGTAGTAGTGCGTCTGGTACGGTCGGGCTCAAGCCTGTGTCTAACAATGCTTGGGCCACTTCGAAGCATCGAGAGGGATCCGGTATGGTGTCTCTTTTGTGTTGCCGATACTCGCAGACGGATTGGAACAGAGCAATCTCCGGTTCGGTCCAGTATTTCTGAGTAGGAGAGTCCAGCCCGTGTATCTTATTCGGCTGGCCACAAGCTGCTGCTGCGCGATGCAAGGCAGTCTGACCGAGGTAGCCCGCCTGGCCCGCGAAGGCGCCTTTCGATAACAGAAACCTGACCATTCCAACATTACCACGTGCCGCTGCCAAGTGGATCGGTGCGTCTCCGAGCATGCTTCGGGCCGAGATACTTTCGCCGGAGTCTAACGCATTGTAAATGGTCATGACATCTCCATTCGCAACCGCGCGGTGCATCGGCCGGTTGAGGATGTGCCAGCGGCTGAGGAACTCGGCCATGTCCATGGGAGATTCGGCTGAAAACTGGCCTTTGGCGGAGACAAATAGCGGGATCTCGCCCCTCTTATTCGGGATGGTGAGTGAAGAGTCGTCGTGTATTAACATCAATCTGGCGCAATCAATGTAGCCATGAAGGATCGCCAGGTGCAACGCGGTGTTTCCGTCTTCGTCGACCGCCGCAACACGAGCGCCGGCAGCCAGTAAAAGGTTGACGATCTTGAAGCGAAAGGCTTTGTAAAGTTCTCTTCCGGATTCCATGTATGAAAGTGCGAAGTGGAGCGGAGTATCTCCATCCGCGGTCCGGACGTTGGCATCGGCTCCCTTCTCCAGGAGGGCTTCGACAATGTCGGGATCGAGCACCTGGCAAGCAACATGGAGAGGGCACTCGCGCCCGTCTGTTGGAGTTCCTGTGATTACATGTTGTGGTGTTTTGCGGATGAGCCGTAACGTGCGGTCCTTTGAGTACTGCCTGATGGCGGCCCGAAGAAGTTGGTAGCTGAAACTGAATCGTACGCTTTGTCAGTCGGCGTCGCACACGATCATGGGCCGGATATGTCGTACGCAGACATAGTAAGCAGGATTTGTAGCCCTTAGGGCCGAAATTACATCCTCCGATCGAGTATTCAATTTAAGAGGTTCTCGATAAAAGTCCAGGGGCAAAAGGAGATGGCTAAACTTTACACGAGCGCGACCCCACTTTTGTACCCAAGGCGGTAAAGTAGCGAGAAGCACGGTACCTCGGCTACGGACGATCAGCCAGCGAACGGCACTAAATTCATACCATGGCCTGAACAGAAACGCAGCAAGAAATTCTATTATCTAGTCGTACTCCTGTCAGTACTGCAAAAGTTCAATGCGCGCTGGTCAAGCCAGTCCTTTCTGACTAGGCCCTACTGGATAGTCCGTTTGATGGAAGGAGAACATTGCCAAAAGGAAGGCCTCTCCTTCGGGTTAGCGGCGGGCTTTCTAGCCGCAACCGGGCGTATGGTACAGCCCTGGCTGAGTACCACGCGTTTTCTTATCTTCACAGGAAAAGTCTGAAGCAGACTGACAGAGTAAAAATGCGATTGCTCCTAATTGAAGCGATTTTCACTGTCATTATTATAGAGACTCCAAATCAAGATGGGTTGTCTTTAGGAAGGGTTTTGTAACCCAGAAAACCTTAATGTCATCACCGCAGATCGCGTAAAAATCCAGTGCACATCGTTACCAGGAACAAGCTTCTTTACATCCCAGATAACATGCAACGCCCCTGAAGCTTTTCGGTCCCGAGCATTGGAGTCTGTTGACCACCCTCCGACAAGTAGCGCAACCTCAAAATCAGGAGTCCGGGAATCACTGACTCAAGAATTGGTGTGAAACAAAACGTCTACGAATCAGTGCGAATATATCCGGTGTCCCATGAGATTCTTCGAGACGATCCTGTATTCCTTCCGAAAGGAGTAAAGCTGCTTCCTAAAGGAGTCGTTCTCCTTTTGGTAATTTAGTCGAAGGGTCATCGACTGAGCAACACTCCCTTCCATCACATCCTGGATCTGCTTCTGAAAAACAAAGACTGGAATTTGTCAGCTTCAATTTCTTCGAGGCCGTTAAAAGCCTCACACCCCATGACACTATGTCTATTACATTGAGATTCATTCAATCGAGGTGCACTACCGAGAAGGAAAAAGAAACGAGGGAACGAGAGCCATTGAGAGACTAACGATGCTAGGGACAATGAAGGGGGAAGATGAGAAAGCCATGGATAGCAGTGCCAGTAATGACATTCAGAAGCAGATCGATGAGCAGGTGTCATTGTTTCTCGAAGGCACGCCAGAACCACACTCGCAAGGATCCTTGGACGTCCGGTTCCGCAATCTCAATGTTATCGGCGCGGGTCTTGGAGTAAGTATAGATGGTTCATCATTCCACTTTTTGAGTTGTTGTTTGCTAAACAGGAAACCTCCAGGCGCAAAAGACTCCCACCGTAACAAATACCGCCCTACACCTTTTACAGACCTTCAATCCGGCTCGGTGGTTATCTCCACCACCAGTTGCAACTCGCAAGCTTCTCCACAGTTTTACGGGTACAGTTCGCGGCGGCGAGATACTTCTCGTACTGGGCAAGCCCGGTAGCGGATGCACGACATTCCTGAAGACGCTAGCCAACATGCGGCAGGAGTATCATGCCATTGAGGGAGAGGTCGTGATCGGCAGTGACGATGCAGTCAGGATGAAGACGGACTTCCCCGGCGAGTTTGCGTTCTCCAGTGAGTGATAAATACCAGTGACGTCAGGAATTGAGGCCACTGACCGGGCGCCATCCTGCAGGCGAGGACGATATACACTTTTCGTCACTCTCCGTAGCCACGACTCTTCAGTAAGTGTTTTATCACCCAGAACAAGAACTAATCTAATCCACGTGTACAGATTTTCAGTGAACGCACGTACTTCGCAGGCATTGCCAAGCCGATCACAGGCTGTGAAGAAGACGTTGGATAGCCTCCTCGATCTCTTCGGTCTCTCGCACGTCCAGAACATAAGCGTTGGTGACGACTACAAGCGTGGGGTTAGCGGAGGACAACGGCACCGGGTGACAGTAGCTGAAGCAGTCAGTACCAGATCAGGGTGAGTACTTTGCGTAGATCGCGAGCGTGGAATTCCTACCACTCACACCAGAAATAGTGTCATGTGTCTGGACAATCCAACCCGAGGCCTTGATTCGAGTACAGCATTGAAGCTCGTGCAAATAATGCGCAGCTACACAAACCAGCGTGGAGCGGCCACCATCATGAGCATCTACCAAGCCAGCGACGCCATGGCGCAGCTATTCGACAAAGTTCTAATCATCAACGCCGGCCGAGAAATCTATTTCGGCCCCTTGGAAGAATCAAAGCAGTACTTCGAAGACCTCGGCTTCTACTATGATCCGCGGATGAGTCTGACCGACTTCCTCACCACCATGTCCGGAGACCACCGTAGCCGAATAGTCCGCCAAGGATTCTCCGGGCCGCCGCCTCCTGTCACACCCGAGGATTTCGAAGCCGCATTCAAGAGGAGTAAGTACTGGTCGGCGCTGATCGACGAGACATCCATGACGCCGGACGCTCCGAAGAGGAACGGCAAGATCGGATACGCGCTACCCTTCTGGAAGCAAGTGTACCAATGCATGATACGACAGCACCGCGTGCAATTGACGGACCGGGGTCCATGGGTCGCCGAGGCTGCAGGGCTACTCGCGCAGGCACTGATGCTGGGAACACTGTACTGGGACCAGCAGGCCGTGACGCGCGGCCTCTATACACGGGCAGCTGCTCTCTTCTTCAATGTTCTGGTCATGGTGCTGCAAGCCTTTGCCGAGTTCGGCAACACGTTCGCTCAGCGCCCCATCCTACTGCGGCATGAGGGCATGATGCTGTATCGACCGGCCGCGTACGCCCTGGGCCAGATTCTGGCGGACATGCCCTGGAAAGCCGCCATTGTCCTGTACAACCTGCCCACTTATTTCCTCGCCAACTTCCAGCGCAGCGTGGGTAAGTTCTTCACCTGGTTTTTTGTCCTTTATTGCGCCATCATGTCCCTTGGCGTCATGTTCCGAGCGATTGCCGTCTTTACTGTCTCGCCGACCCGTGCGATTCTACCCGTCGGCTTGCTGGTGAATGTTCTGATTGTCTACACCGGCTTCTATGTCACGCCGCCGGGCATGAAGGTGTGGCTGGGATGGATCCGGTACTTGAATGTAAGTGTTCCTTTTCCAGTTTTCGCTTTGAGGTTCCGCCAACGACTGACGTTTCATAGCCCATATACTATAGCTTTGAAGGTGTTATGGTCAACGAGATAGTCGGATCCCATTACCGGTGTAGTCAGCCAGACACAATTCCAGTTGGAAGGAGCTACAACAACAGCCGATATCAAACCTGCGCCGTCCAGGGGTTCGAGTCTGGGGCCTCATTTTTGGAAGGCGATGCCTACCTAGACGCTTTCTACGACTTCCACGGTCAACATCTTTGGCGCAACGTCGGTATTGTGCTGGGGTTCTTCTTGATGTTTTCTGTTGCTGTCATGTCAGTTCCCCTGACGAACCCCAATACAAATAATTGCCAAGGCTAACGTGACATGGCATAGGATTGGAATGGAGAGGTTCAAAATGCCAGCAGGCAAACTTGCCACGGTATTCTTCAGCACTGGCATACCCACCCTACGACATACCTCGGACGTTGAAAGCCAGCAATCCGGTTCCAGCGATGGCGAGAAAGAAGATGATGGTCAAAGTAGCTCGGCTCAGGACACTTCGACATATCACCATGTGGAAATAGTAAAGACGCAGCAGACGTTTTCCTGGAAGGACCTGTGCATCGACGTCAAGACAGCTGACGGGACGAAGCGCCTCTTGGACAATGTGTCCGGTCAGTCAACAATCAACTCCAAGGAGACTTAAGGAGATTGCTCACATTCCATCAGGCTACCTCAAACCCGGCTCCATGACCGCCCTAATGGGCATGTCCGGCGCCGGCAAGGTCCGTCTTCCTCCCAATCTTCCCCCCACACCTCCCCGCCGCTAACCCTCCCCACCCCAGACCACCCTCCTCAATGCCCTCTCCCACCGCGCCAATATCGGCACCCTCACAGGCTCCATGTTCCTCTCCACCACCACCCCGCTCCCCCGCTCCTTCAAGCGCCGCACCGGCTTCGTCCACCAACAAGACGTGCACCTGTCATCCAGCACCGTCCGCGAAGCCCTGCAGCTCGTCGCCTACCTGCGCCAACCGCGCTCCACCCCGCGCGCCGCCAAAGACGCGTACGTGGAGCGCGTCCTCGACCTGCTCGAGATGCGCGACGTCGCCGACGCGCTGATCGGCGAGGCGGGCGCCGGCCTCAGCCTCGAGCGCCGCAAGCGCGTCAGCATCGCCGTCGAGTTGGCGGCGAAGCCAGACGTGCTGCTCTTCTGCGACGAGCCGACGAGCGGGCTGGACGGGGACGCGGCGCTGGAGGTGGTGCGGTTGTTGCGGAAGCTGGCGGATGCCGGGTTGACGGTGTTGTGCACGATTCATCAGCCCGCGGCGAGGCTGATGCGGGCGTTTGATGAGTTGTTGCTGTTGGTGCCTGGGGGGAAGACGGCGTACTGCGGGCCGTTGGGGGAGGATTGTGGGGTTGTGTTGGAGTATTTTGGTAGGCATACGCGGAAGTGTGAGGCCTGGGAGAATCCGGCGGATTATTTCCTGGCGGAGTCGGTGAATCCGGATGTTGACTGGTTCAGGCTGTGGCAAGAGTCGCCGGAGCACGAGCAGCTTTGGCGGAAGCTGGAGGGTGTAGGAGACAGTGAGGAACCCTCCAGCCTGACTTCCAACAACAACAACAGCATAGACGACGATGACCCGGAGCGCTACGCAGCAACGACATGGGAACAGCTCCGCGTCGTCACACATCGCGCCTTCACCGACTACTGGCGCGACCCAGACTACGTGCTGGGCAAATTCCACCTCAACATCGGGATGGGCCTGATAAACAGCCTCACCTACCTCCAACTGCGCTCCTCCCTCACCGACATGCGCAGCGCCATGTTCTCCATCTTCGTCAGCATCATCACCGGCCCCGTCATCGCGCTGGCCGTCGAGCCGCGCTTCACGCGGCTCCGCGACCACTTCCTCGCCCGCGAGCGCGACAGCAACACGTACCGCTGGCCCGTCTTCGTCGCCGCCGCCATCGCCGTCGAGCTGCCGTGGGCGCTGGCCGGCGGCTGCGTCTACTGGTGCCTGTGGCACTACGCGGTGGGCTTCCCGTACGACGCGGGGAGGGCGGCATATGCGTTTTTGATGTACGAGCTGTACACGGTGTTCGTTACGGGCGTCGCGCAGATGACGGCGGCGTGCTTCCCCACGGCGCAGGGCGCGCAGATGGCGACGGGCTTCGTGTTTCTGATTGTCAATACCTTCAACGGCCCGCTCAGCCCGCCGCCGCTGACGCCGCGCGGCTGGCGCTGGATCTATACGGTGTCGCCGCTGTACTATTTCGTCGAGGCTATGGCGGCTAATGCTGTGCATGGCCGGTCCGTTGAATGTGCGCCTGGCGAGACGAGCGTCTTTTTCACGCCGCCGGGTGGGCCGAGCGGTTGTCGTGATTACGTTGCTGACTACTTTGCTGCGGAGAACTCGACTGGCTATCTTCTGGATTCTTCTGCGGAGGGGCGCTGTGAGTACTGTCCGTTTTTGGATGGTGATCAATATGTAAGTGTTTTGTCCTGTTCCACAGCAATAGGCCGTTCCTGACCTTGTTTAGATTCGGCAATACGGGTTTGCATACTCGAATCGTGCAGATAATGTCGGGATATTTATCGGCTTCATTTTGTTCAACTTCTCCGTCGTTTTCTTCGTTACGTGGCTCTTTTTCATCCGAAAGAGAAAGACTTGAGGTAGATTTCGTGGAAAGATAACAGACGTGGGTAGCTGAAGCTATCGTCCGGACGTGCATGTAGAATTTTTAATTCCGCATTCTTGTCCGGACGATAGCTTCAGCTACCGATGACATGAGCAAAAAACAACTCCACGTTGGCTAACCGCTGTTTGATTTGTTTCGATCTGTATACCTATCCCTGTAGCATTATAATTCCCTGATGTGGAGATAGTTGCATTCAATTCAATCGTTGGCTGGTAGCTCTGAAATGATTGGCGCGATCATCTATTTGGCTTTTTATTTGCCGCTGTCCTCCGCGTCACATCATTACCCTCCACGGTGGAGTTTTGTACCTTGAAGTCCCACTGATTACGTCATCAATCCCCTCATCATGCGCATATATGGGCCATACTTATAAGGCATTAAACTAAAACCTAGCCGGAGGAATTCTGCCGAATAATCTTTTTTCGAAACATCTCAACACTTGCAAGATTGTTAAAATGGGGGAACCTAAGTCAGTAGCTATTGTTGGCGGTATGTGTACTCACGCCGCTATATTTTTTCTAACAGCTTTGTCGCTAACGTAAAAGAAAGCGGGCGTCTTTGGCCTTTCGCTGGCTGTTGCACTGAAGGAAAGAGGTACGTAGCAAGCGTGGAGCGAATGTCTCAGAAACCCGCTTTCTGACAGAATGCCAGGCTACAAAGTCACGGTTTTTGACCAGCATAGATACGATGAGACCGGCTATCTGCCTGGGGTTGACGCTTCTATTCAAGCGGCCTCGGTAGACGAAAACAAGATTGTGCGTTGCCCACTTTAGCGTCACCATTATTTCGAGCGGACAGAACTGAATCCTCCCAGTTCCGGGCGTCGTACGGGACGAAGCTGCACTACCAGCGACTCGCTCTGGAAAGCCGTGAAGCCTGGTGTCTGCTCAACGAAACGCGGAGGAACGAGAACCCTTCACATGGAGACAGCGAAGACCTTTTCGTTGGTTGCGGCATGCTTCGCGTGCAGCCTACGGAGGAGCTCGGCGCGTTGGAAAGGGAAACGCTGGCGAATATGGAACGCGCCGGCCTGCGCGACACGCAATTCGTGAAGGGTAACCCGGCAGACTGTGAGCGTGCAGCGAGCTTGGGATGGGCGTCGAAGCTGCTCCAGTTCGAAATTCCCGATGCGCCTGTGCGCACAACGTACGAGGCAGTGCTTGATTCACTTGCGGGGTTCACGAAGTGCAGCGAAGCATGTGCTCACTTTCAAAAGGTAGCCGCAGCTAAGGGGGTAGAGTTCCGGTTTGGAAGTCACGAAGGAGCGTTTGACTCACTCATTGAGAGCCCGAGCCCGACACCAGCGGCACAGCGGCGGGCGGTTGGTCTAAAGACTCGGGATGGCGTCAATCACAAAGCGGATGTGGTGGTTATCGCTGGTTCGTATGGCCCTGACATCCTACTTCCAGCCCTCGTTAATACGGTCTTACAGCTGGATCCTTCTCCACGCAGCTGCTTCCTGACTTGTCGTATCATCTCGAGTCATCCGGCGGTAGTATTGCGACGTTCAAGATAGACAGAGACGACTCCTACCTGTGGGACAAGTATTCGCCCGAGAAGTTTCCTGTCATGACATGGAAGAGTGCGCCGCGTGACAGCGATGGAAAGGATACGGGCAGCGTCTACGTTTTCCCCCGGACCCCGGACGGCCTCGTCAAGATCGGCTACCGGGGCATCAAGGTGCTCAAAATATGTTGCTTCGCCTCATAACATGCGCTAATTTTCTCCACCATCCCAGTTCACGAATTTTCAGCCAGCCCCCACGGGCACTCCTTTCACCCAGGAGAAACAGTGGTCTGTGCCGCTCCCACCGGCTGAGTCGTTGACTATTCCCCCACCTGCTGTAGCCGCGATCAGGACGTTCGTCTCCATTTTTCTCCCTGAATTCAAGGACTTCCCGTTCCACTCGACAAAGCTGTGCTGGTACACCGACTCGCTAGACAATTCCTTTGTGGTGGGTTACCCCGGTGGTTGCACTGATGACGCATCCCTGCTGAAACCTGGTCATGTCAGATCGATTACGTGCCAACCTACGCCCATAGATCTGTTTTCGTCTGTACGGGCGGCAGTGGCCATGGCGCTAAATTCCTGCCGGTCCTCGGAGAGGTGAGTTGATCTTACTTGAACAGCGAACTGGAGCTTTCGATTGGCTGATGGATTTTGCGCCGCATTCAGCATGCCGCGGACATATTTGAGAATGGGGATGAAAGTTCCTCGTACATGCGGCATTTTTGGCGGTGGCGGAACGATGCCCCGAGGAGGAACGGCCTCGAAGAAGGGCCTAACGGACCTCGTAATATTGCAACGGAAAAATAGGTCCATGGCGGATCTTGCAGTCTCGTAAAGTAAGCGAGTGTGTCTGATACCGAAAGATGTCACGGATGAAGAATGCAGCCGGGGGTGAGGTCTTTAAAGAAATGTGGTATAGCATAGGGTCACTTATCCAGGAGCTACTTGACATTAAATTGCCGTTTGTTTCCATTTGAGCCCATGCGCTGATAACTCTATACGCAGTCAACTCGTTGCTAAAAGCCTCATGGAGGAGCAGTAGCTGTGATGTTTGCGCCGTAATCCGGCAGCAATGCTCCACATTAATGTTTACAAAAGGAACGAGCTTACGATTTCTCCCAACACCATTCGGAAATCGAAACATAGACACCTTCTCAGTTCAGACAAGACGCCGCCCAGGCGGGCCATAATAACAAGCCTCGCAAAGCCTCACGCTTAGAAGAGACAAGACGCCGCGAAGGCTTCGACACCATGCTGTACTGGATTACGTGGGCCCGGCCTCGGACATTCTTGGCATACCTGCCACTTGAAGAAAATCATACCGAATGGCGACTTGGCTCGGAAGCTGAGACGTGAAAATTTTGCTTAATGGCCACATCAAGACATCTGATAGGAAGAAGCGTGCAGCGGGCCAAGCATTCCGCGTAGCTCGGATCTTACTTCGGAGAAGCAAGACGTCGTGAAAGTCTTGCCAAGGATGCACTGCGGGAGCTGCCAAGGTACTGCCAAGGCATTCTGGGTCTGTGGCTGTCTGCCGTGCTTCCATGCAAATTAGAGCATTTACGAAATGGCGGACTGCCGTTCTACCAAACAAAAAATATATTGAGACGTTTCTCGTCGTCGTCAGTGACTAGGATCTCATCTTGATTGTTGAAACACTTCTCATTAACGCTTCCCTGGATCAATTCCGAGGAACTTGAGAATTTCCTTGTTTGCTGTCCACCCCGGATTCGCAGCGGACTCGCATCCCAAATTATGATGTCGAACAAGTATGACTATCCAGACCTTTTCATTACCCCTCATAAAAGAGGATTAGTATACTAATGATACTATCTCAAGGGAAACAAACGATGTGCCCGAAGTACCCCAAAAGAATGAGAAGGGGGTCGAGCCCCGACCGGTCAACAGCCAGCATGCGGTTTCCTCCGCAGAAATCGACGATACCACTATCTTTTACAATCTTAACAAGGACAAAGTAGAGCCTCTGACACCGGAAGTTGAAGCCTCAGTTGTCCGTAAGAACTTCTGGTTTCTTTTAGCGCAAACGTGGTGGATCGCTTTCTGCATACACCTGGACAAATCGACTCTTTCCCAAGCCAGCACCATGGGCATCTTCAAGGATGTCAACATGACAAAAGCAGAGTACAACAACCTTTTTGTGGTTTTCTACACTGGATACCTCGTTGCCCTCTGGCCAGGAGCCGTGATATCGCAGCGGATCGGCCAGAAACATTTCATAACGGCTTCTTTGTTCCTGTGGGCTCTGCTGCTGGGGATGCACCCGCTGGTCAAGACGGGGAAGCAGCTCATGGGCCTGCGGTTCTTGCTGGGACTGGTCAGTCATGCCCCAATCGAATTTACGTTGGAGTCGGCACTGATGTCACCAAATTACAGACGGAATCCCAGATTGTGCCCAGCACTACGGTGGTGCACCAAGCTTTCTTTCCTCCGCGGAAAAGCCCATGGGTGCAGCTATTGTGGTGGGCTTCTGGGAGCTTTGCAAACGTGCTCCTGACTATGGTGGCCTACAAACTCATCAAGGACGATAACGTAGGAGTTCTCGTCGGTGGCATCTCATCGTGGAAGTGGTTGCACATCATTTGTGTCGTCATCACCATGGCCGTCTTCATTCCACTTGTGTTGTTCCTGCCAAATTCCCCCGTGGACGCGAAGTGGTTGTCTACGGAGGAGAAGGTACACACGATCACCATGATTCGCCGGGAGCGCGCCGGCATCTCGAACTCGACGTTCAAATGGTCGCAGGTGCGTGAGTGCTTCACTGATCCGAAAAGCTGGTTATTCATGTAAGTTTCTTATCCGCTTTGTTGTTCATGGCCGAGTTCACCAACAAACATCAGCTTCCACATGTTCTTCAACGAGCTTCCAAACAACACTTCACAGCAGCTGCCACTGATTGTTGTCGGATTTGGATTCACAGCGGCAGAGAGTGCCCTCTTCAACATAGCGAAACCTCTGATCGGCTCGCTGCTCATTCTCGTCTCCGCATGGATGCTGTACAGTACACGTCTCGGCACTGGATACACGTGCGCCATCTCCTATATCCCCTGTTTCGTTGGTGGCATCATCGAGGTAAGGAAACGCCAATCCAATCTGTATTAGAATTTCGTCACTCAACATTTACGTAGCTCGCATCACCATGGTCGAATAAGGTTGCCCTAGTCGTTGGGACTCAAATCTCTACATTCAAACCTTCGTATCTCCTGGGTCTCTCCTGGGCTGGGACGACGACGACTGGCTACACCAAGAAGCTCTTTGTCATGTCGAGCTGCGTCGTTGCTGCGGCTGTTGCGAACATGATTTCGCCAGAGTAAGTTCGGACCCATTTTCACAAATAGTGGACAGGACGACATCTGACAAAATACCTACGTGCTCTCCAGATTTTGGCAGGAAAAATACAAGCCGCGGTATCGGCTACCGTGGGGGTTCATGACAGCGTTTTGGTTTATCTCGCCGGCCATGTGTCTGATCATTCGCTTCTATCTGGTGCGCGAGAATAACCGACGTCAGCGGCTGCTCGAGCAGATCAATGAGGCTTCCGATAGCGATGTGTTCGACACGGGCAGTCAGGTCATTACAATCCACGACAATGATCTCGACCTGACGGACCGCCAGGATTTGAAGTTCATGTATCCACTTTAAGACCAGGTACTTTGGTTTGCAATGCAGCGAGCCTGGGGGTCTTGGTGAAGAAGTCCAAGGGCGCGTAAGCCTGCTTCTGTGTGTGGTAGATTAGGGATTAGACTGCTGTGTCCTGAATGTGCAAAAGGAGAAGCAAATTGTGAAGTTAGTGGAGATACACGGCCTAATTCAATTTAAAATTGAACCCCACATCCGATTAGCGAGGATATTTTGCAGTAGTGAGCACGCGACCTTGAGCACTGCATATCAGGTGCAGAGGCGGTTGAGCACGTTTCGAAAGGGATCGGCGAACATGGAAAACTGCGATACCCTGATGGCTCTTATCTCGCATGATCGGCGTCGTTCCCTGTCAGGACATCAAGGTATTTGAGAGCATTCCCCACAGTTTGCAAAAATCGCGCGGAGCAGAGACTCTACTGAGTCGTCGCTTAGATATCCATCACGGTAATAAGGTCTGTGATGGAGTTTTTAACATGCTTTCAATCGGATTTAACTAACGTAGTGATGCTGTCATAGCCAAAGAAACTCCGCCTGCAACAAATAAGCAGCCATGCTGCATCTAATCCGTTTGCCGTTTGTCCTTGCGTCTACACGTTTCATCTTTTTCTTTACGATCCTCGGCTGTGCTGCAGCTAGCTTGAGCGATAATGGTAGAACGGCAACTCTAAACGATATTTCTTATTACATTAGCGGAGTTCCCGTTGCGCAACTCTCAACACCATCTTCCCATGCTCTCCAGGACAAGTTCCCGAATGACGACCTGGTTACACTTACGGTGATCCTCGCTGAGGCTGGATCTGTAGAAGAATACAACTCGACACTTTCCAATTTCAGACAGGAGGACGACGTTTTCCAGGATGGCTTCCTCCAGGCCGTCTACACCAGCGACATTTCAGCTGAGGCACTCGGCGCCTGTGCTTCGTTCTCGGATGAAACCTACGGAACCAAGCTGTTCATGACCAGGGGAACGAACGTCACTGGCGCCGTCTCCGCTGCATTAAATTCTACCATCCCGAGCGGCCCGTACTTCGTCTCCACTGCAACCGGGAACATCTTCAAGGCCTACCGACTGTATCGGGATGACTACTTAGCCTTCACGCAGCCCGTCATCAGCGACGAACGAGACGGCTTTCTCCCCCTTCCAGCAACAACCGGGGACCTGATGACCCGCAGCATCGCAGTCCCATCACGACTCTACTCCACGCCATCCACCTCCCAGCCGCTCGCCGGCCTCCGCTTCGCCGTAAAAGACATCTTCCACATCAAAGGCGTCAAGACCAGCGGCGGCAGCCGCGCGTACTACTCGACCTACGGCACGCAAAACACGACCGCGCCGTCCGTCCAGCGTCTCCTCGACCTCGGCGCCGTCCTGGTGGGCAAAACGGGCACGGCGCAGTTCGCCAACGGAGATCGCCCCACTGCCGACTGGGTCGACGTGCACTGCCCGTTCAACCCGCGCGGCGACGGCTACCAGCAGCCGTCGGGCTCGTCGACGGGGTCGGCCGTCGCGGTTGCAGCGTACACCTGGCTGGACGCGGCCGTCGGCAGCGACACGGGCGGCTCGATGCGCAGCCCAGCCCGGCTGAACGGCGTATTCGGAAACCGGCCATCCACCGGCGCCGTGTCCATGGACAGCGTGCTCCCCTTGTCGCCACACCTGGACACGGCCGGTCTGTTCACGCGCAGCGGCGCGCTATGGGCGAACGTTACGCGGCACTGGTATGGCGACGGCGCGTCCAACTTCTCAGCGTATCCGCGCAGCATATACATCTCGAGCGACTCGAGAGACGGGTCGGTCCCCGAGGCCCTCGCCCTCTTCGACGCCTTCGTCGACCGGCTGGCGCGCTTTCTCAACGCCACCAGCACCGACATCGTCGACGTGCGGCAGCGCTGGGCCGACAGCGCGAACCACAGCGTCCCCCTCGACCACCTCCTCAACACCACCTACGCCATCCTCACCGCCGTCGACCAGTACAACCTGCTCGGCGCCCAGCTGATCACCGACCACGCCGCCCTGCACTCTGGCGCCCGCCCCTACATCAACCCCAACCCGCGCACGCGCTGGGCCTGGGGCCAGCAACTCACCGCCGCCGACCCTTCCGCCTACGTCGCCGCCGTGCGGAACATGACCTTTTTCCGTTCCTGGTGGCTCGACAGCATCATCCGTCCCTCCGCCGCTACCTGTTCCGAGGGGCTGTACGTGTACCTGCGGGCGTCCGGCACGGCGAGCTACCGCGACGAGTATTTCGAGCCGAGCGCGGCGCCGCCGACGGGCTTTGCGGACTGGACGATTGCCGGGTGGGCGGGCGCGCCGGAGGTGGTGGTGCCGGTGGGGGAGGTGGCGTACCAGAGCGAGGTGACTGGCCGGACGGAGTGGTTGCCGGTGATGGCGACGGTGCAGGCGGGGAGGGGGTGCGATGGGATGTTGGCGGGGTTGGTGGGGGAGATGGAGGGGAGGGGCGTGGCGAGGGCGGTGAGGGCGGGGAAGAGGTTGTATGGCGGGGAGGAGGAGGAGGAGTAGGTGGTGCCTGGGGTTGATGGTAGGTGTGTGGTGACGATGCCAGCGTGCTGCGCGTTCATCATCATCAACAGCAGAGTGAATATGTAGAACCTATGTGTATTTTCTAACTGTCCCATACATACATACTCATGCGTGCTAAAAGAAACTCGCCTCACGAAACTGATGCAGTGTGATAGTCTAGTATCTATAATACAAACCTCACCATTCCAGATCACTCCTTTTATTCCTCCAAAAATACAACACCGGCACAACCGCATACACCGCCCACGACAACCCCGCCATCGTCGCAAACTGGCCCATCGCCCCCGCGCTCTCATACCACGCCAAACTCCCATAACTCACCCCAAACGCGAAAAAGTTCTTCATCCCATTCACCAACACCCCAATCTCCCCCGCCTTCCCCGGAAAACAGTCGACCACATACGTCAACATCACATTCGCCGACGCCGTCAGCCCAAACGCCGCCATGCCCCACCCGGCGCTCGTCGCGCCCCACGCCCACCCGTCCCGCAGCGCGAACCCCATGACCAGCCACCCGGCCGGACTAACCACCGCACCGGGCAGCACCGCAGGGAGGCGGTGCCGCGGATCACTATTACCACCACCATTCACACCACCCTTCTTCCGCGCAGCCAGCGCCCCATACAGCACATCCGCCACCGCGCCGCCCACCGGTATCCCGACCAGCAGTCCGACCAAGGGCCCCCAGTTCAGGAAGCCGACCTGCTCCGCGTCGAAGAGCCACGGCGGCGCCGAGTACTGCGCGGACACGACGATGCTGGCGACCACCGTCCACCCGATCGTCAGGCCGAAGAGGAGCGTCGTGACGAGGACGGGCGGCGTGACGAGGAGCGGCGCGGCGGAGCGGAGGAAAGACAGGATGCCGCGGCGGGGCGGGCGGTCGGCGCCGCGCGAGACGATGAGGAAGAGGCTGCGGGTGAGCCAGGTGCGGAGGAGGGGCGGGTGCGGGGGGTGGAGGGGGGTGTGGAGCTCGATGCTGGCGGCGTCGTCGGCTGCGGCGGTGGTGGCGTCGACTAGGGTTGGTGAGGAGGTGGAGCGGGGGATGGGGGACGGGGTTTTGGGGCGGAGGGTGCGGAGCTCGAGGTGGTCGAGCGTGTTGCTGCTGCTGTCGGCGGCAGCCAAGGAGGTGACGCCGTCGATGTGCTGCTGCAGCGGGTAGGTTGTTTCCGGGAACATGAGGAGGCTGCTCAGGAGGTTGAGGCCGACGGCGATGGCGCTGATGTTGAAGAACCACCGCCAGCTGTGCAGCCGCGTCGCGATGGCGCCGGCGGCGATGGGACCGAGCGAGGAGCCTGCTGCTAGGAAGCCGACGTAGACGACCATGGCCTGGCCCAGATGTCGGTTCGGGAAACACTCTGCCACGATTTGCGGCCCCAGCGCTTCGATGACGCCGCCAGCCAACCCGCCGATGAAGCGCGAGCCGACCAGTGAACCGTAGGATTGCACGTTTGCCGCCCAGATATTGCTGAGGAGGAGGGTGGCCATCGACAAGATCGTTGTGTTTCGCTTGCCGACGTATTCAGCGGCGGGGAGTGCGAAAAGGTTCTGGGAACGAATCATTATCAGCGGCCAATCCTTCTACAAAGATGAGGTTTGGGGAAGGGAGAGCATACTCCTACTCCCAGCATCAACATTGCGTAACCTGGTAGGCGGGATACCTCTGTAGTTGTGCAACGGAGGTCTGGGGCAATTGATCCGAATAACGGAGCTACACCTGCGCTGAAAACATTGCCCATCATGTTGTAAAAGCTGACGTTGAGGAGGATAGCGATACGCCACCAAAGGGGCCATGACTTCAATCGTCAGTAGACTGGCTGAACAACGAGATGCTCATACATACCATGGGGCTCGGCCCTTCGTTAACCGCAAGTGTCACTGCCATAATTTAAAGAGGCGCCACCGTCTGGTTAGCATCACACCACCTTTGAGAGGTACGCCTTTGCCTATATAAGCCATACTCACTGTGTGATCAAGCTTTCCAGACTCGACTCGACGTACCCCGGAAATGCACGGAAACGCACGGAGACATCGGGTTTCTGTAGGGCAAGGATGTCACTTTACCATGTTCACTGATTGACGCTTCTACAACTCCATGTAAGGCAATTGCGGGGTACGGTTTGAGGCACTGGCAAGCGTCGTGTCTATTTATTGTTTCATGGAAGCAGGCCAATGGGGTGTTGCCTTAAGCAATCGATGCCACAGCCCCGGCTCTTGGACTAACCTGATTCGGCAGTGGATCTCATGCATGCTTGGGCCTACGATGGCGAGGCTGATCGAATCAGGAAGTTGGGCGAGGCTGATCAAAGCTTTAGAGCTTATTTGGCACCTCAGGAGAGCTGAAACTCGTGTTCCTGCACTGCCATGACCTTACGTGGCTTTCCAAGGCGCTAAATGATGCAAGTCTCAGGCTCCGGGGAAGCGTCGGGAGGCTCGGCAGTACAACATTTGCAGTTACCGCGACTCATAAACATCCACCCCACAACATTTAATCAGTGACGAATAACTTAATGCTGGCTTAATATCTTAAAGCCATTGCACATAAGGACTTGGATTGAGTTCTCGTCCAGCCCAGCGGGGGCGAACGACAAAACGAAAATACAGCACGGAACCATAACCATATATTTTCCAATGACGGCTGTGCAAGAGCACAAGGAGCAAGCCCCTTGTCCTTCAATAGAACCGAATAAACACCTTCAACCCTTCAAACCAAGCATACCCCGCATAGTACTACTCAGGCGCCTCCTCGATCCCAATGTCCGCACTCTTCGCCACCTGCCCAGGCCCACCTGCCGCACTACTCTCAATTAGACTCACCAGCTGCGGCCCGACCAGCTTCGGATCCACCTACCCCGCTTAATTCCTGAGCTCCCTCCGGTAAATGGCTGAGATGCTAAACGAGACGTCCGCCACGCGATCAATCCGCCCCCGTGGCGCGCTGGGGCCCGTCCGGCTGCTGCGCGAAATACACACTCGGCACGCCCACGGACATTCTCAGCTATTTTTGTCAGTCAGTCGGAAGGACCAATATGGGGATGGGGTTCAGAGCGTGGCTCAACACAAATGTGAACTCGTGGTGGACGTTGCGGCTGTCGGACTCTTACTGAAGCCTGTCGCTGATCCCCACGCCTCTTGCGAGAAAGCTCATACTCTCAGGTTCCATCTCAAGCTGATCATGGCTGGCTGTGTCTGGAATGATGACATAGTTGGCAACAGCGACCGACGTCACGGCATCTCCAATCTCGGACACATAGCCGACAGCCTCGAAGCCCATGTTCCATGGAAGGGTGTCGCTGGAGACGCCGTGGTGTGCGTGCAAGTCAGAGCCGCAAATGGCGTCATATCACCATATGCAGTCAATTGAGCGTGAAATGGTGTGCCGTTCCAAAAAGGTTTTAGCTTGAGTTACGCACAGGTTGCAGATGAGAAGTGAATAGAGATCACGTGGTTGTTCTCTCGAGATTGAAAGAAAAAGCACTGCAAAGTAATTTATTATCCTCATACTTGCTTTGCATGTACCAAAATGGGGCGGGCAGAATCACTACGAGTAAATGGTGTCTGTGTGCGAGACTTGAATTTATGCAGTCAGACTAGAAGACTGGACGTTATTCTTTCGTCTGTCTCCGAGGAGTCATACGGGAGCCATGAGATAATGGCACAGACAGTCGATCATAACCAGAAATAATTTGGCCTGCCACAAACGATCAATACTTACTTTGGACGATAGGCTAAAGGGCGCCAGGAAAACGCGCAAAAGTTTAAGGAGTAACGGGCATACTCTAATACAATGCCACCAGTAAATTGATAGCGCCGTTCGTCCATCACGTATCATTGGTGGATCTGAACGATAATGGCTGCTAAAGCTGCGATTTACCTCTCCTACCATTTGCCCGGTGGTATCAAAAAGGCAATGTATATCCGGCGTTGTACAGTTGTCGTAATCAACGCTCGATTATATCCTAATGTTCGACGCTCAACGCCAGAAACAGTAATCGCCATTCGTCCTTTGTGCATAGTGTGTATAGCCTCTAGCCGCTCACGGCGTGGAAGTGCGAGCTTGTTCTCCACCTGCCTTTTTGGTGATTAGCCTTCCCCACAAATCGGTCCCTGTTACCCCGAACTCCAGTTCCTGAATGAGACTACCAATGACGCAAAACACAAAATTGCTTCAAAGTGTCTTCCGGACAGATGGATTTCTCTCTCTTTTGGATCTGTATGAGCTAAGGTCCGCGGGGACATGGGCCAGATTTGACATTTCGGCGTCGGCTTCACCGGCTTGGCTTTATCGCCATCAACTTCACACGAAATGCTAAGCCTGAACTCCAAAGCTTAAAAAGGGACGTATCTTCTTGTGCCATTGAGCAAGACACCGAGTCAACTGCCTACAACTCTCTTCACTGATCACAAAATCTCCAAGATGGTTCGCATTTCCAACTTTGTGCTCCCGCTTCCGTTGTTCGCTCTTATCCACGGTTTTCCCGGAAGCTTCTTCCGCAACCTGCCTCGTGCAGATCTCCCAGCAGCCTTTTTCCTCGCCGGCGACAGCACGACTGCCCCGAGTGGTGGATGGGGTGATGGATTCCTCACCACAACCCTAGCCAATGGAGCGTGGGGTACAAACTTTGCCAAGAGCGGAGCCACTACTGTGAGCTTTCGCAACGGGGGCTACTGGGATTCGACCATTGAAGCCGTGAAGAACGTCACAGCGAATGGAGACTACACCGCCTGGGTCACCATCCAGGTAAGTCCTGGTATCACTTTTCAATGGTTCCAGACTAATGCTTGCCTTCAGTTTGGCCACAACGATCAGAAAGCAAGCGCCAATATTACCACCGAGGAGTTCGCCACAAACCTCGGAGTATTTGTTGACGAGGTCCTTGAAGCGGGCGGCAACCCTGTTAGTCAACACCGTCCTAATTTCTTTTTCTTTGAAAAAAAAAAAAAAAACTCATGCTAACAGAAATAACTTTAGATTCTAGTCTCCTCACTGACCCGTCGGGCTTTCGAGAATGGAACAGTCATCGAAAATCTCGCAGAGGTGGCGGCCGCAGCTCTCGAAGTTGCCGAGGAGAAGGGTGTGCTTTCAATTGATCTCAACAGAGCTTCAACGGACTACTGCAACGAGATTGGAGAAGATGACTCCCAAACGTACAACCTGGATGGCACTGACAGAACGCACCTGAACGATGCTGGGGAGGTGGTTTTCGGAAACATGGTTGCGTGGCTGCTCGACAACAGCGACGAAGGGGAAACTTTGAGCCAGTATACGGTGGCAGGTGATGCTTACGCGGAGGCTTTTGAGAGTGGAACTTACATCGCGGAGTAAGGGGCAAGCAAATGGAATATCTTCGAGATGGGGACGTCGCAGGTTGTTAGCTTTCGGTAACGTTTCTGTAGCTTACGCCACTCATTAGCACATCAGTATTTGAATTTATCATTGATTAGTCCTACCAATATCGTTCTCGTGCCTGAAGGAGTACCCGTGCTAACGAATAGAAGACCGTCTTGAGAATTAATGATTACCGCTTTGTCCTTTTTCGCTCTGTTCTTCCATAATGTTTAATTACTTTGTAGATACTTCGGCGCGGGATTTAGGAAACAAGTGTCAGTGGTTTCGATGCTGGTTGATGACGAAAGGTAGAGTTGAGACAAATGAATTACGTGACGGTGCACGGGCGCGCGTCAGCGGTGGGTAGACATTGGCTTAGAAATCGTCGGGCAAGGGGTGGGGGAGTACATCTGACTGCAGTCGCCCGCGTCCGACCGACTCAAGTTTCCAATGTTCCACACTTTCGTCTCGACTCCTAGCGCAGCCAAACCGGGCTCGAAGGGGTGCCGTCGCGTCAAGCACGCCTGCGAGCACTGTCGGTTGTTTCGCGTCCGATGCGACGGCCTGCAGCCCTGCGCCCGCTGCCGCTCCCAGCGCCACCGCTGCCTTTATTCGACCCAATCGCCTCAACGCCAGCCGCCTAAACACGCCCCGCCGCCTGCTCATGAGCTATGTTCAACCAGATCCCCGGCTCTGGAGCCCTCCTCCTCCACCCCTGAGTTCTCGGCTCCGCCAGGCCCGTCTTCTACTTCCCCGTCCGTCGCAGCGCCCGCGCCCGGCCATGAGCCCGTCGATCCATTGAGCTCCGACTCGATGGTAACATTCGCAGCCAAGATCAACCACTATTTCTTGTCTATCGTTACAGTCGTTCCCGAGAAGGTGTTCGAGAGCCCTCCGCTGCCACAGTATATTCCCTTCGACGTTTCTACTGTGCAGAGCGCCGACCAACCCTCGCTCCACCTGATTTCCACCCAGCGCTCCGCTCTGCTCCGTCTATACGCCCGCCGTCTGCATCCAACATTTCCTGTCGTCCACCTTGACCGGCTGCAAGCTCTTTGCCGAGAAGAGCATCCACCCCCGCTACTTTACGCTGTCTTCGCCCTGTCCATCCAATATGCCGCCTGTTCCGGTCTTGCCGCCCGTGTGCTCGACCTGGCTATCCCTGGGATCGCCGCTTGTTCCGACGCCTCGCAGGCTGGGTATCAGCTAATTACCCGCTGCAGAAGCTTACTTGCTGCCGGCTCGTTCGAGCCCTCTCTGACCGAAGTCCAATGCGACGTGCTCATGGCCCTTTACCTGGTCAATGCCGGTCAACTGAAGGCTGCCTACAATCTAGTTGGCTCCGCCGTACGCGTTGCGTTCTCTCTCGATCTGCACCGTGCACGGCAGGATCGTCCCGATGATCTCTGCTGCAGGCTGTGGTGGTGTCTTGTCCAGCTGGACCTGAAATGCTCGTCCTTGCTAGCCCGGCCTGCCGCAGTCCGTCGCTCTGACATGACGACATGTCCTTTCCCCATCGATACTAACGGCGACTGGTACTTCTATATTAGTTCCGTCAAGCTGACTGCGGCTGTGCTCTCTGTCAACAGCTTCAAGCTTCATGGTGCCGACAACTTAAGTGTCAATGAAGAACTTGCCCGAAGCCTTATAGATCAGTTGGGGCCTATTATCGAGTGGGAAACTTCTACACAGCAGAGTTTTCCAGACCTCGAAATCGATCCCTATAAGACTATATCAAGGTTTCAGCAGACACAAGATCAGATCTTATTGCATTGTATCGACTCTCAGCCGACACCGGCTATCACCCGGAGGTCTAGGGTAGGGAGTGATATAACCCCCTCCAGCAACACGGACTCGAAGGCGGACGTTCTGCAACACATTCTTCTGAAAGTCCATTACCACAATAGCCTGATGAGCCTCCTCCGGTCTTTCATCTGCTTCCCCTTTAGGTCTATTAGCCCTATTCGGAGTCCTTTAGTCGATAAGCACGCTACCGACGCCGCTGCGCACGCGTTGGCACTCACCATCACTGTCGTTGAGAGCTTCCAATGCAGCGACCTGCTCTACGGATGGTGTGACGTGTACCGGTCTCTATGGAACGCGCTGCTCACCATGGCCGGTTTCGTCGTCTCGTACCCTCTTTGCGCCATGTCGGGTACAGCACGCCGTCTTTTCCCGAGAGCCCTTGCTATCTTCGAAATGGTCTCCCCGCGAATCTCTACCGTCGCGCGCTTTCTGTCATTTGGGAAGGATCTATTCAGCCGTATTGAACGCCTGGTAGCTTTCGTCGAAGAAAGAGAAAAGGGGAAGCAGGCTTCAGCTGAGACTGAGAGCATGCAGAATGCACTCGGTGATGTAGATCACGCTGTTTCTGCATTTACTGTCGCTGAAGGCTCTCACAACGATGAATCATCCCTTGATAACGATCCCGCCGTGGGATCGTGCGAGGGCTTGTGGAGCTGGACGGAAATAATCGACACTCCAAGCTGGCCAGAGTATCAAGATGGTGTTGATAACTTGTTCACGGATATCACAGACTTGGATGTATTGATGGAAGATCCGTGGCGTCACCTACAAGAATAGATTTCGACTTCCATGAATTTGACTCCCCAATTTCGAGAATCTGACTCCCTCGAATCTAGATTTTAACTCTCCGCTAGCAATATTACCTATATCTCGTGACTGGAATGTATTTTCGCGCTGCTATCAGCGTACCTATATTTACAAAAGATGAGCGAGTCGATTTCCGAAGCGGGAGTGAAATTTGTACGAGCCATTCCCATTCATTCGTGGTGTAAGACTACCAGACTACAGTCCCCTCTCGCAGGCGATGGCTCTAAGCTGATTCGGAAACATAACGAATATATGATCGTCCGGTATTGTGCAGAATACTTTTATAAGATGTTACTGAAAGCTTGCGTGTTGTTAAAGGTCGTAGAATTACACGTAGTATTTACCCAGAATTGGATGCCGATTTGGGAATTCAATCAAATTTTGCGCTATTCTCTCAGGCCCGTGGGAGGCCCGACATGAAACTTGAAAGTGATTCCCAGGATGATAGACTAATTCGCTGAATAACATTAATTTTGCGTAGAGCGGAGAAGCCAGGAAAACTATCAGATAAAAAGTGCAATGCTGGATCATTTGAATAGCCAAATTTTTACATTCTTACAGTCTTGATTGTAACATAGACCAGAACAACGGGATGGAAGACAGCAGGTCAAACCCGTCAGATAAGCTGTTTACGCTGCCACACTCCCGAGTAGCGCTATCTTATTCGATGTTGGCATCTCACTTGCGACCATAGTCCCACTCAGGCTCGACAGCATCCGTCTCCTCGGCCTTGGCGTCCCTCTTTCCGTAGTCCCATTCAGGCTCAACTTCACCCTCGACATCCCTCTTGCCGTAATCCCATTCTGGCTCAACGACCTCGTCTCTCTTGCCGTAGTCCCATTCAGGCTCGACAGCCTCATCCCTCTTTCCATAATCCCACTCCGGCTCAACAACTTCGTCCCTCTTTCCATAATCCCATTCCGGCTCAATGACCTCGTCCCTCTTTCCATAGTCCCACTCAGGCTCAATGACCTCGTCCCTCTTTCCGTAGTCCCATTCGGGCTCAATGACTTCGTCTCTCTTTCCGTAGTCCCATTCGGGTTCAGTAACTTCGTCCCTCTTTCCGTAGTCCCACTCAGGCTCGATAATGTCATCCCGCTTTCCGTAGTCCCATTCGGGGCTGATTTCAGATTCTGCGGACTGTGCTTCGACGGCGTTCGGGTTCGCAATAGGATTGGCAGTGGTTCCTGTGGCGAGAAAGCCGACGAGGGCGCTGAGGGCGACAGAGATCTTCATGGTCGTAGATGGAAATAGCTGGGTGGCTGATCTTAGCGCTGGTCCCGGAAGAGCGTAAGGCAACCTACAGTTTTATTCCGTGAAAGGGTTGAAGATGGTTTGTTTCTCTCCAGTGGTGAGGAGTCTGTGTATTTATATCAGGAAAATGCTTCCAGACAACGACTTCACGTTTTGCAACCAAGGTGCACCTTTCTTCTTGAGGAAAGGCGTAATATGCAATAGCAACAAGCAATCCTTTGCCACACGGCTAATACCTAACCATTAACAGTATGCTCCGGCTCATGTCTGACATGCATATATCGCCTCATGATATTGATCCGGCTTGTTCCGAACGTGTAATATCTCGAACGGAGCTACCGGAACGACTTCATGACCAATGAAACATGAACCTAGGCATCGCAGGATGGGGTAAGCCCCAGATGGCGCGATTATTTCAAGATACCTCGCGTAAGAATCCGTAGAGGAATGTATTCATGAAGCATGCCCCCAGCCTCTGAACTGGCGCCACCAACACAACCGAAGAAAATGATGATCCGAGCTTTGAGAATAGCGTCTCGCGAAGATACTCTAGTCCGCTGCAAGTCCACCTTGTCCAACGACAAGGCATATCTGCTACTCAAGTGAGCACTTGACGGGTACATGCTCTGGCGGCGGCGGCAGCCACGTCATCCATGCCGTAGTCCACAACATGTAGCGGAATGCAAGCTTGCCAATCTTGATTGTTGTTTTTGTTCTTGGTATTTTTCCGTAACAAGCCATGGAAACAACTCCGGCAGCACACAGTCTCTGCGGCAGCCGCCGGCACTAGCTCCGGAAACAGTGGGACACGACCCACAATCCGCATACGCAGTCGAAGCAAGAGCCGGATCATGATACACGCTGGTAGTTCGGCATTACGCGGCCCGGGACTACTGCAGTTACTTCCTCCTGTAGGGCATGAGATGCGCCCGCATAATTTGCTCCTTTGGGACATGGTGTACACGTGCCACGATCGGGGCGTCGTCCACGACTAGATGCTGCGCCGTCACTACGATGTATCACAGGCAGACGTTGGTGTGGGGAGAATGAGGCATGGTAAAGGAGATCTCCATTGGCTTGTCGCGCGCCTTTGGTGATGGGGGATGATGGGTGCTGCATTACCCCATTCCTTGACCTGAATTGTGGAAGGATTAAGCGGTCAATTAATTGGGCGCGGTGAATGAAATTGTAGTTGTGGCAAACACATCAACGCGGCTGGTGGGACAACTTCTAATGCTTACCGGAATTTAGTTCTATATCGTGGAGCCTAGAACCCTCATGCTAGTATGTCGTGCATCGGGCTGCTTCCGTTCTGAGGCTCCCGAAGGATGTAAGTATCTATTCAGCTAATCATAGTTGGACGATTATTGGGGAGGTAAATGATATGCGCGATTAGCGCGAATAAAAAGGCTAGATGGGGGCCGAGAAGTAGGAGTCTCCACACTGGAAACAGCTAGTAATTAATGGCTTAAGCCACAAGCCCGTCGCTTAGTTTTTTGTTGGCATGCAAAGCTTAGCCAGCTAGAAGAGCAATCTCACTGGTACAAATCCTGGGACATGATAATGAAAAAGGATTCTAGGATTGCAGAGTGGCCGACGCAATGCGATGGCGCAACTACAGCACCTGCTACATGTAGTAAAAGGAACAGATACTCAATTTGGTATTTCGCATCGATGCTACTCCACATTTATTCCCACTACTCTGTCGAAAAGGCCTCGAATATTCCTTCAAAACATAGATAACAATCTCAATCCGTCAGCTGCGCGGTGGACCATCTATTGTTGCATCGGCATGCGGCAGTTTCGTGTGGCGGCCTCTGCATCTACGATCATGACAATCTTCATTCCAAGACGGAGGTACTCGGACTCCCAGCTTTCACGAGCCGCACTGCTAGGGATGATAAGATTCTCCCCGCGCGGTCCCGCACTTTAACACACGCCGGGATGGTACAAGCTAGGACTAGGTAGCGAGAGGCTGACTCGTTGTTGGTAGGTGCGACGGTCAAGGGGGGTATTTAGTGCTTTCTTTCGGGTAGCTCAATACATCACCCGTTCACCTCCTCAGCTCCGCGCCCCAGCCCACCGCATCACCGTAACTCGATTTCTCCCCCCACACAACACATGACAGCGCCTCCGTCAGAGCAGCGCAGCAGGGTACTGATATCTGGCAGCAAGCCACACGGGGCAAACGAGGCATATGTGGAACACTGCCTCAATTCCCTGCGGGAACTGCCCATGTGCGCGCGACTTGAAGCTCGAAATTGTCAACCCTGTCTTCGATGGCGCCATCGGCTTGGGAGCCAACGGTTGGGACACCATCGGCTAGGGCGCCGTGCATTAGTGCCGGGACTTTAGCGCGCTGTCTGCGTAGCCGAGGGAGGGAATACAAAGAGTATAAAACGATGGGTATTGGGAGGTCTATCATTGTCTAGGGAGAAGTACGAGAAGAAATTGACGCCGAGCTCGATACCGTTAACTTTGAGCAATAAATTCTGGGGACCTTGGTGTCATGTTACAAGACTGCAGTACAAAAAGGTGGATCAAAAGTGGTTGATCCAACTTTTGTAATCGAGGACTTTTGCCAAAGAATTTCGATATGCTCATCTAGACAATAGCTCCAACCACCAATTACATGAGCGAAAAACAGAAATATTTCTTAGTATCATTTAGAATACTCTCACTGAATTTCAAGTGCCGCAGTCAATATTTAGGCCCAACTTCAAAGATTAACCAATGCCCGCTCTGCTCTTTCACAGTTCACGGGTTTGCAGTTGGAACCACCAAAGCCAGGCTGCATTCATCAATCGATCGTTTATAGTGTCGGGTGACCAGCTTGCGCCCTGCCGAGATCACCTTCGAACAAAGAAATACACAACCCCGCGCTAGAACTTTAAGGGCTCTTGGCAAGATGCGCTTTTTGGTTCTCACATGCTGCGCAATGAAACCTAGACGAATGCGGTTGTTCAGCGCGTCAGCCGATGTTTGCAAACTTCAGCTGAGACTTGCATCCCGAATTTTTCACGTGCTGATCCAAGATGTCTGCAGCATAGTATCCACGGCACCTAAAACCAAGGGGTTTCACTTGCGCATGTCGGTGTCCCTTGGGTATATATGAAGCAATCCGTTCTCGGGAGCTCGTTTGAATACTCCTGGTCGGCCACGAAATCGCAAGAAACTCGTCAACATGGCGCCGAGTATCTCTCTCCTCGACAACAAAAAAGGACGTTCATCACCACCAGCAGAGGATTTTGGCGGCGGCGCTGTCCAACCCCCCAATGCGACCAGATTCGACACGCAAGATGGCTACCCCGGTGGAGTCAATTCGAAAAAGGTGAAATTCGGGGACCGCAGAGGCATGCAGCAGGCGGCCCCATCGCAGACCTTGAAAGATCGTCTGATGGTTGGCGATACCTCCTTTTTTATAGGCCGCGAGAAGCCTGCCAGGCCAACGAAATTCCCCAGACTCAGCAAACCGGTGCCTCTCATCAGGCACGAGTACGATGTTGTCGTAATCGGATCTGGTTATGGTGGCGGTGTTGCGGCCAGCAGAGCTTCAAGAGCTGGAAAGAGCGTGGCAATCCTGGAACTTGGCAAGGAAAAATGGCGTGAGTGCGGGATTGAATTTCTATTTTGCGTAGACGGGATGCGCTAACCACGTATATAGCCGGTGAATATCCCAGCAACTTGGTTGAAGCCTTGCCTGAAGTCCATGTATCGGGCAACGCAGGTAGAGATAGCGGTCCACTAATTGACGTCGCTTTGGGTGGCGACACGGGCTTGTATCATTTGATACTTGGTGAAGGCCAGAATGCTTTTGTGGCCAACGGTAGGGTCACTCTCGGAATATATCATCCAGGAAAGCTATGCTGATGCACCTTCTCTTTTTCAGGCCTGGGTGGAACGTCGCTACTCAATGCCAACGTTTTTCTTGAATGCGATGAAAGGACTCTGCAGTTGGGCAACTGGCCTAAAGAAATCCGTCACCAGCCGAAGGAGCTCGACAGGTATTACCAACTTGCCAAGGATATGCTTCAGCCGGCCGAATACCCCGAATCCTATCCGCATCTGAACAAGCTTTCCGTCCTGGAGAAGCAGGCCATCGCCCTCGGCCAGAAAGAAAACTTCCGCCGTGTGCCTCAGACAACTTTCTTCAAGAACGGATTTAACAATGCTGGCGTCGAGATGAAGGCATCAACCGGTTCCGGTCAAGATTGTACGGGCGTCAACGACGGGTCCAAGAACTCTGTTCTCATGAACTACATTCCCGACGCCTGGAACCACGGCGCAGAAATATTCTGCGAATGCGAAGTGCGTTATGTTCTGCCGGATCCATCTGGGAAAGGGTATATCGTCTACTATTCTTGGCACGGTGATGAACGCAAAGCATTCAAGAACGCATTCCACAACGATCTGATGTGGGTCCGCGCAGTAAGTCCAGTCGCCTTGTTTTGGGAACATATACTAATGAATGCTGCAGAAAGAGCTCTGTGTCCTTGGTGCTGGATCTATTGGAAGCACGGGAATTATGCTCCGCTCAAAGGCACATGGACTGAAAACCTCCCAATTTGTCGGACAGAAGATGTCGGGAAACGGAGACATCCTCGCTTTTGGTTAGTAGAATTATATCGCAGATGCTACGACTACTGACTGTCTACTGCAGGCTACAACACGGACGAAACCGTCAATGGCATTGGCAGCGATAAGCCTCAATCTGAACGGCCCCCTGGTCCTACCATCACTGGTGTTATCGATAACCGGGGCCCGAAAACATCACCAAATGTTCTGGACGGACACGTCATTGAAGAAGGCGCTATCCCATCAGCATTAGCACCAGTTCTCCAGGCCATGCTGGAGGCATGTCCCGGCAGGATTTATCCCACGCACTATGCATATGTCGAGAAATTGCGCCACCTGTTATCGCGGACCAAGAACAGGCTTGTGGGACCCTATGCCACAGGGAGCTCAGTGAATCGAACACAGACGTATCTGATCATGTCTCACGACAGCAATGAGGCCATACTATCACTTGTTGACGACAAGCCGTATCTCCAGTTCTTTGGGGTCGGCAGAACCAACCATGTGAAAAAGCTGAACAACGTCCTTGCTAAGGCAACCGATGCAATCCGGGGCACTATGATCAACTCTCCGTTCTACGCCGGTGACTATACCCCCATTCTTGAGCCCAATGATGCTAAGCTGACACTTTGGCCAAGCATTTGACAGCAACGAAGAGATCACGGTCCATCCGTTGGGCGGACTGGTCATGGCCAGAAACGGCGAGGGGAACACCGGTGCCACCAACCACTTTGGAGAAATTCTCAAGGGCGACGGCGATGAAGCCCACGAGGGCCTTGTCTGCGTTGATGGTGCTGTTATACCGACAGCTTTAGGTAACTCTATTAAGCTATCGCTTCTCGGAGACAATTGGCTGACCTTTCAGGTGTAAACCCTTTCGCGACTATCACAGCTCTTGCCGAACGAACAATGGATATCCTCGCGAAGCGACACAAATGGGTCATCGATGAGTCTCGAAATGGTCCCTTGAACCTTTTCGGTGAACCGAAAACAGCTCTTCCCATGACGCCTGACATCCAAGATGCGGACAGATTGATCCAATCTAACAGTACTGGAGCTGGAGTACGATTTACAGAGATCATGGAAGGACACATTCATGTTGGGGAAGACATTGGCGATTTCCAGGCGGCGGAGCGAGTGGCCAAAGGGAGGTCCAGCGCGGCTCGGTTCTATCTCAGTGTTGATGCGTTCAATGTAAACGACTGTAAGTGCACGCCTCTAAAAGCTCACCTCGTTATGCTAAGAACTTATAGTGATCCAACACCCGAACCATGCCGCACTCGCAACTGGGACATTTTCCTGCGCGGCGCTGTCAAGGGATCCTTTGCTTGTGCTCCGTGGTGAAGTGGGGTTCTTCACTGCTGATGAAACTGTCTCCGACAGGTCAAACTTGGTATACAAGCTGGACATGGTAAGCACCGAGGGGAAGGAGTTTTTCCTGTATGGCTACAAGGAGGTGGACTCGACCATGGCCTTTTCTGTGCGGAAAACCTGGCACGCTACAACCACACTGTACACAACCATCACACACGAACAAAAGGTCATTGGCCGAGGGATGCTGTATATCTCCTGGAGAAATTTCGCTTCTGAGCTTCTCAGCTTCGGTAGGACGGGAGGGAGCCTGCTGCAAAGCATTCTACCCACCGCGGCCTTCCTCGGATACTTCGCAAGGAATACGGCGGATTACTTCCTGGGCCCTCTGAGAATGTTGAGTTTCCCGCATGAGGCCCCCTATGGTGGAGAGTCCAAGAAACCGCAACCGGCTGAGACCATTACCCTTACTACCAAGGACAACGTGGTGGTGGAGATGAAGGTTTGGCGAGCGCAGACTCAGAATGCATTACGACGACCTATCCTCATGGTTCCTGGTGCATCCGTCGACGAGCAGATTTACGCCCTGCCGACTATCAAGACAAACGCAGTCGAATACTTCTTGTCCAAGGGCCACGATGTGTACATCGTCGTCTTGCGAGTAGGCCGCACTCCAACTGCGAAGCGAGGCTACACCGCATTTGACGCACGCCTCGACGTCAAGGCCGCAGTCGAGTACATCTACAAGGAGCACGACAACACGACAGAGACCAAAATGTACGTCATCTGCCACTGCCTCGGCGCAGTAGCCACATCAATCGGCCTCCTGGACGGCAGCATCACCCCCTCGCACATCAACGGCCTCTGCGCCAGCCAAGTCTTCTTCGCGCACCGCTTCGGCCTCTTCAACACCATCAAGTCCGCCACGACGCTACTTCCGCGCATCTACAGCGCCATTGCCGGCTCGTGGTTCCCGACGGTGACGTCGTGGTCGCCCGTCTCGACGTCGCTGATCCAGCGGCTGTTGGACCAGGTGCTGCGCTTCTACCCGGTCGGCGCCAAGCACGAGCTGTGCAACAGCACCGTCTGCCACCGCAGCTCGCTGGCCTTCGGCCGGCTGTGGTCGCACGAGAACCTCAACCGCGCGACGCACTCGCGCCTGGCAAGCTTCGTCGACGGCATCCACATGACGACCCTGACGCACCTCATGCGCATGGGCAGCCACGGCGGCGCTCTGGATAACGAGTTCAACCCGCTCGTCACTGAGGCGAATCTGCTGCGCTTGCAGGGCTTGCCCATTCTGTTCATCAGCGGCAACAAGAACGTCGTCTACGATCCGGAGTGCACCAATACCAGCTACGACATGCTCAGGGACCGATTCGGGACTGACGATTACGAGCGCAGGGTTCTCCCGGGGTATGGCCATCTCGACTCTTGGATGGGCGTGAATAGCGCCAGGGATGTGTATCCGATTGTCTACGAGCATGTTCTTGAAACCTCCAAGTATGAGGTGAAGACAAAGGGCACGTGGCGAGAATAATCTCTTCCGGAACATTGAGCAGGTTCATGCATTTAGTTATTAATTCATTTCATATGTGGATATTATCCAGTTCTTGATGGTGCTTGCGACTGGAAACACACACACATCAAAGAGCCGATTATAGCACTCTTGGTTGCAGCTGACAAAAGCAGGATTGTAGAAAAGTTCAGAAACGGAAAGGATCAAATGATGCTGGTCCGATGAAGACGCTATGCTCGGTTAATCGGCAAGCTGTCACAGTGTTACATGTCTCGATTTATGGAACAGGAATTGGTGGTTCTCAGGATTCAATTCATCCCAACGTTGGTAAAGATGGCTGGAGAGTCTGGGCGGTTTCTTAGCCAACTACACATATGGACAGCTCGGTAACTATTTGTAAATAATTTAGTCTGGCCATTTCTCTTGATTGATTTATCAAAATACTTCATGTTACCTACGGGGAATACTGCACAACAACTCCCCGGTCGCGAGCAAGGGGAAGGACAAAGAAAATATTATCACATGTTACACATGCGCCGTAAGCAGCTACCTGGATTGAAGGAAGTCTTGCCTATTCCGGAATTCTCGCTACAGGATTTGCTTTTCCTTTGGTTGACCCAAGTTCCCCGCGTGGATGCGGCTGAACCCCACTCCACGTTCTCCTCGCGGAATCATTATTGAGAGTCACACGGCCCTCGGCCGAGTTTGATTCATCATAGCTCTCACATGTGAAAATAGATTGGTTGACTCGTGAGCTGGGTGAATGAATACATATTTTGCAAGGATATTCTCTCTTGGCTGACTCGATAGACTTGATTCCTTCTCCGTCTTTGAGTGTCCCTGTCTTTATTTACTGAAACAGCTAAAAAGAAATGCCAGAAACAAGCAACGCGCAAAACCACCATCAGTCCTCAGGTCCTAGAAAACGTCTGATCATCTGTTGCGATGGCACTTGGCAGGCAACGGACAGAGGCAATGTCACCACGCCATCTAACGTGGCAAGGCTTGCCCGCATGCTTGCATGCGCAGACAAGGAGGCTGGGAACACTCCTCAGATTGTGTACTACCAAGGCGGTGTGGGGTCCAATGGGACAGGAACATTGATATCAGACTACTTGCCAATTCAAGAGATTAGCAGCCTTGTGTCTGGCAGCTTAGCAGGTGTGTTGCTCCTTGAAGACTCTTTGATTAAACCTAACGTTTTCGTAGCGCTCTTTGGCTGGGGTCTCGACGAAAACATTATTCAGTGCTACCATTTCCTGTCTCAAAATTACAGTAAGGGCGATGAGATATTCGTTTTCGGCTTCTCCCGTGGGGCGTACACTGCGCGCTCTCTTGCAGCTCTAGTGACCACAATGGTAAACTTTCAACAAAATGTCTGCTTATCAAAATATGCTGACTCACTGAGGCAGGGACTCCTCCTTCCTCAACACTTGCAAGACTTCAGGCGCGCCTACCAGATGTATCGTGAGTATGGTATGGCTGCGTCTGAGACCAGAGGTGCAAGTATCCACGAAGAACTGCCAGGGATGACATTCTGGATGTGTGCTTCAGCTCTCCGGCCTCCAGACGACCTGCGCTTCATCAAAAGGCTGGAGGAAAAGATGTTCAAGGGAGTCACGGTGAAGGCTGTAGGGGTCTGGGAGACGGTATGTAATTTCCTTGATGCAAAATAGAGGCTGTAACAGGCTGATAGTGATGGTCAGGTTGGAGCTCTGGGGTTGCCCGACAGCAAGCTGACGAACTTCTTCCCGTCACTCAACCGCCGATTCAAATTCCACGACGCAGCTCTAAACTCTCGTAAGGCAGCAGCGAACCCCCCAAACAAGACAATTTCTAATACGAGACAAGGCATCGAAAACGCATTCCAGGCGCTGGCGCTCGACGAACACCGCGGGGCCTTCACCCCGACGCTCTGGTACCTCGACCCGCACTACCTCGACGACTACCACGAGCAAAACAAAAACGACCCCTCCAGCGAACACGGCGGCAAACTGCGCAACTCCCTCCAGGGCAAAAAAGTCCCGAACCTCAAACAATGCTGGTTCCCGGGCTACCACGAAACCATCGGCGGCGGCAACACGCTCGCCAACGCCTGGATGCCCGACAACACCGACATCGACGACATCGCGCTGGCCTGGATGTGCGACCAGCTCGAGGGCCTGCTCGCCTTCGACACCGACGCTGCCGAGCGCATCCTCTTCTCCCCACCCCCGTCCGACACCCCCTCCTCCTCTCCCCCCTCCGCCCCGAACGCGCAACAGCAGCAGTGGGCCCTCGGCACCAACATCGACCTAATGACCCTCATGCCCCCGCTCCGCCTCGCCGTCGCCGGCGGCAGCCACGCGCGCACGCCCGGCCAGTACCGCAAAGACCTGGGCGCGGAAGAGGAGCGCGCCGCGCCGCGCGACTTCGCGACGAACGAGTCTGTCCACCCGTGCGTGCGGCACCGCGTCGAGGGTTTCGCGCGGGCGGCCGTGCCGTACAGGCCGGCGCCGTTTTTTCCTCCGCCGCGGCAGCAAAGTTCGAGCCACGGCCATGGGCTGGCGCAGCAGCAGCAGCAACAGCCGCAGTGGCGGTGGGAGGAGAGCACGAAGCGAGGAAGTGGAGAACCGGATGGGAACGGGGCGAAGTGGGTGAGGCCGGGGGTGCCGGCGTATGACGGTGGTGGTGGTGGTGGTGGTGGTGTCGGAGGGTGGCTGCTGCTGCCGTCGTCGTTGTCGTTGTGGTGGTGGTGGGAGCAGAAGAAGCCCCAGCAGCAGCAGCAGCAGCAGCAGCAGCAGCAGCAGCGGTCTGTCATGCTGCACGAGTGGGTCGTGCGCGAGATGGACGGCCGCACCAACTTCGAGGCGCGCCTGCTGCCGTGGATCGTCAAGGAGCAGCTGTGGGCGCGCAACCGCCGGCTGCTGAAGCAGTCGGACGAGGGGGCCTTCGATGAGAAGCATGGGTGCAGGTTGTTTTGGACCAGGTCGAATTGGGGGTCGAAGAAGGTCGTTGAGGGGGGGAACTGCCGGGTGCATGGTGATGCGCTTGTGGCGGTGCGGACCCTGCGGGGGGATGAGCGGCCTGAGGCTGGGAGGGGGGATGAAGTGCCTGAGGCTGGGAGAGCGGATGAGCGGCCTGAGGTTGGGATAGTGGAGAGGGTAGCGGTGAGGAATGTTCATGCAGAGGAGGATGAGTCGGTGGTGCAGAAGCAACCGCATGATGTCAGGGCATCAGCGTCGAGATGGACACCAGATCACGAGGGGACCATATTTGAAGGTGGTCCTGTTGGTGGGACTTCATTAACTGTGGATGAAGAATTGTGATCCTGACCGAAAATAGCCGACTTTGGATTAATACTCTTCTTATAGGAGTCGGAGGAAACCAATCCAGCATGTCATCATGACCCGTAATATGCTCCTCAAAGTCCTAATGGATATGAAATATATACTCATGAAATGTGCAATTGCAAGTAGTCGGACCGTGCAGGCGGAACCGACATTTTGTGTCAGGACATCCGGCAGTCACGGCATACTGTACGTCCGGTTTCCAAACGTTGTAGTTTGCCAAACCAACATTCTCTCGCTCGGTCGGGCTTTTGCGGGGCTCATCTCTCTCAACCATCCTAAGGAGAAAAGAGGAGAGGAACGTCGCTCGGGCTGGCACTGAGCATTGCGGCACTCAGCGACTGCACAATAGAAACCTCGATCTCAGTGGATCCAGGCGTCCAGCCCAGCTCAACGGGGAGGCGCTCATTCCCTGCAGTCAATTAGTACTCGTGTTGCAAGTGGCGCCCGGGCAGGCAGGATGAATAAACTTACTGAAGAAATACTCAAAGAACTCCCTGTTCGCACCCGGATTCTCCACGCTTCCCCACACCAACATCATCATGACGCTCTCGCCAACCATGATCGGGAGGTTTGTTGAAGTAATGGTGAACTCCGGGTTGATCTTGCTCATCTCGTACGCATGCTTAGCGCGAGCCACAGCAGTCTCGTTCACGCCAAGGACTGTGGCGTTGCTGTCGAAGTAGCTGAGGAAGTTGTCGAACGTATCCTCGTTGAAGCGGTTGGACGTGTCGAAATACATGTCGCGTCTGGACAGGCTACCGTCGTGCTCGAGGATGTTGTGCTTGTGCAGCATATCGAAGTCGAACCACTGGCTAGGGTTAACGGGGTTCAAGTGTGCATGCCTGGATTGGAAACACGTACGGTGGCGTTGGGGGTGGGGTTCGTGCGGAGGCCGCCGTTGAAGAACGTTGTTGCCAGGGCTGGCGCAATGTTCATGGCGCTTCCGAGAGCATCAATGGCCTTGTCAAGAGTGATGTTCCGGCCGTTATGGGGGAGGAATTCATGGTTGGCAAGAGTGTTGAGAACGGGGCAAGGAGCACGGACTGGGAAACAATCAGTATAAACATTACGTCTCGAAGGAAGGCAGCTATACCATCGTCCTCTCCCGGGGCAGTCCAGGTGTAGTGGTGCGGCTTCAGTCCGCTGTCCCTGTTCTGAATCTGACGGGAAGCCTGGGCTGCAAGGCTACCACCTTCCTGAGCAAAGTGGGAGAAACCGAGAGCAACCGGAAGAGCTCCGATGCTCAGGCCGAAAGAAAGTTGCATCTTCATTTTTTGTTGGTGTAGGGTTCGTGCTGTGCGGACGTCCAAAGGAAAGGAGAAGTCTCCAGTTTATAGAAACCAAACATCCTCGGCATGTTCTGATCTTTTCTTACGCATTGACAGCTCGGATCAACAACAGCACTTTCCACGGACTTGTTGCTACAATGTCATGTTCAGATAGCTGCAGTGCCGGCGGCATGTTCGGGAGTACGGCCGAAAGGCCGCCAAGCCTATTACTCGTTACTCGGAACGCGCTAGGACTGTGCCCCCCTTAGGCTGTGTCGGTAAACCCGGAATCCTGCACGAATCCGTATGGTGTAGCTCGTATTACTATATGCCGGCTTTTGATTGGCGAATCGTCGAAACACGGACTACACATGCCCTGGGCTTTAAAATTTGCTTATGCCACGTCGCCGCTCGAACAAGGAGTTTCCGTGCTCCAACATCCGTCTCCGTCCGCATTTCCAGCAGCTTCAAACGTCCGTAAGGATCTCACCCCACAGAATGGCAGATCTGAATGGGGAATTCTTCTCCGTGCTTCTCCTGAAAATGTCCAGCCGCCCCGGCGATGGCACCACCTTTTCATGTTCTCATTCTCAATGTCCCCTCTCACATGTAGAATGCCAAATATCTAGAAGATCTAACATCACAGCCACCAACATCGCCTCTAGCGGGTACAAGCCACAAAGTGCAAGCCGTGCAGAGGCGCAGAGGCTCAATAGGGCCGTTTCACTAGCATTGAAGGCCTGAATTTGTTGGTTGTTGGCATTCACCAGATGTTGGAGAGGTTTTCGGGTATAATTCACGGCAGCCTTCCTTGAATTCAGGCAACAGCGGTAGAACCGTAGACTTTCTAGTTTGTAAAAGATGTCAGGGTGGATGGCATGAGCAGCAGAAAGAAGCCGGCGCTCGATCGATAAGATGATCGATAAGATCGGACTGATCAGCGAAACCCGGCAAGATCTCGGCCAAGCCTTGGGTGACAACATGGGCAGCGTGAGCCGCGAGGCATCGATTGGGAGGGATATCGCTTCTGGAACTAAAGCTGAGAAGAGCATATGGATGATGATTTAACCTTTTCCACCTGGAAAGTAAATAAACGCCGTGGCTGGAATTCCTCAAGAGCTGTCATCGGGCCGGGCCGTCGGTTACGTCGATCCCGCAAGCACGAGCCATGACAGCCGCCCCGCTGCTTACGAGTAGACCAGTTGACAAACAGTGTTTCAACTACGGCTCATGCCTCCAGCTTTGGCCACTGGAAATAAGCTCTCCGTCGTACAAGCGAACCCCTTTGGGCAACCTTCTAGAACTCCCACTCGTCTTGAGATTGAGGAGATGAGTATGTTTACCAAAGTCTACGAAATGCAGTGTGATGCTCGATCATGGCATAAGTGAGGCTCTGCCTAACCAACTTGAAGCTTCACGTAACGAATTTGGTTGTCAGTGATTTGAAGTTCAATTCCTTGCATTTATTGCCAAGCGATGCCCGCATCCTCCGAGTATCATGTCCGCATGTATCTGTCCTTTTCTTCAGACATTACACAAGTCGATGGGCCTCCTTTTCACTCTCAAAGATTCATCAGCCTCATTTCCACGGTGTTTCTCTGACTCATCGGTGTTTTGGGGATTTTCTGAAACTTCCACAGCTGTGCATGTGTGGTGGGGCAATTTTCCGCTGATAGTGTGGTCAGAGCTAGCCTTATCGGAAGCTGCCTCATCACCCTCCTTGGAAGGCAGACTTTGATCATCGGCGTTTCGGCGAGCGAGCAGCTCTTCGAAGTTTGCGGGTAGCGCTTTCAGGGTCGGGTGATCGCGGTTGGTGATATCCAGCGTAGCCAGCTTCTGCCCGTTATCCGTGTATGGGACGGCTTCCGCGCCATCGTGCCACGTGCCCGCTCCCAGCTCTTCATGTGCCATGCGCTGCAGTTGTAACGTTTCATTCGCGCACCACTCGAGACGCGAGTAAGTGTCGAGATGACGGCGCCTCTGCAAACAGCGCGCCACAGGTTCGATGGTGTAGGAGAGGATAATGATTATGGCGCCGACGACGAGAGTGAGGCAGAGACCGAAGGTGTTGAAGTTGGTGTATGCGGTGGTGATGATTTTCTAAGCACGGAGCAGTTAGCGACAAACATGATCTGTTCGGCTCGAGCAAGGGAAATTGCTTACCTGACTCCGACATATATTTTTCTCCGCATCATTTTGCGGCGTCTCGACCCACCGCATCACCTCCGGATCAGACGGACCTGTTGCAGCCACGACAAAGCTTCCCTGCAAGGTGGACAGCCAAATCGTAAACCAATGTTCAACTTCGAGTTGCCATTGGTTGCTCGGCAGTGGAGACTGGAGACCGACCCAGAGTGCGTATCTCGACGTCAACCCCGAGTTTCCGAGGCCGCCCGCAATGCGCTCAATGGATGTTGACAGTGCGTAGGAGAACCAGTCGAAATTCTCCGCCTTCTTGAGGCTTTTTGCGCGTGTGAATGTGTCAGCCAAGGTCCCTAACTCGGTGCACTCCTTCGAAGTGCAGAGTTGGTACTGGGAGACGCATGCCAGGGCAGAGGCGGCCTCGTCGGCGAAGTACATCCTCACCCTCCCCTCCAGGGTCGATAAACCAATTAGATCAACATTTCTGTGTGCCGAATACCAAAGATCATCCGTTTCCGTCGTGAACAGCACGTAGTTGGCGGACAGAAACATCAAAGTGACATCGCCTTCGACTTGGCGGAGCTCGGGGATAGGCGTAAACACGGAGTCCCAAGTTGGAACCCCGTTCGCATACTTCGCTTGTCTAATCCTGTAGGTCGTGTCAGACTGGACATCCTAAAGGGACTGGACATTCCGATGAAAGAACGTACCCGAGAACGTAGTCTGAGTTTGCACTCGTGCCATTTTCACCCCTTTTTTGTTCATACGACCCCACCGGGTATTCATAAGTGTAGTTGTACCCCGGCCTTAGCTCGCCGTAGTAATACCTCATGTACTTCACTTCCTGACCATCGAATGAATGAATGTACTCCTTCTTGTATCCATCACTCTTTATCGGCGCACATTGAAGTAGAGATCTGTATCTGAATTGCCGCTCTGGGGGATCATTCAGGCCGAGATGATCATTGCTGTTGATGAAACCAGAGTCGAGTTCCAGGTTCCCGAACTGGCTCTTGCATAGATCTCCTCCAAATGGGCAACTCGCATTCCTATTGGCCGACCATGGCAGCTGCTGTTGGACATATTTCTGACACTCTTGGGAACTGGAGAGATTCGTGTAGCAATTTTGGGCGTAGTTGGCGAAGTCCTTGTCCTTCTTCACTCTGTAGGGTGCATAAACCGAGGTGTACAGTGATTGATTAACTTCTCGCAGCTCATCAAAGTGGCCACAGGACGGACTCGAGATAAGAACCTGCGATCCGGTAGAGGTTGCGATCTTGGAAGAAAAGATACCTGCAACGGCAAAGCAACAGAGGCAGGTGGCGGTGAATACCAACAACGGTAGAATACGGCGATTTGCGTGGGGTGCTTTGCGGTGCCAAACCCACGCTAATTGTCCCAAGGACCAGAATCCACTCACACTGGTGGCCGAGTTGCGAAGGATAGCCTGTCGCTGGTGGTATATCCCGTCTCGAGGAGCCTCGGAAGAAAAGCGGTGATGAAAGAAGTAACAAGAGGCTCTCCAGAACGCGGTTCCTGTCCACGTAATGAACAGGGCGATGAGCGAGATCAAGAAACCACCATCACGTCGCGTGAGCGTGATAGTGCCTCCAAGGATTGGTCCATCTGACCAGTTGATCCACGGACCGGTGTGAATGCCGTAGTACTCCGCGGGATCTGACGAGGTAAAGTTACTCATTTTGAACGGAGGTTGTGATTGAAAAAGCGGACGAAGATGAACGGACCTGGTGCAGATATCCTCGATTTAAGTTTCTGCTCAAGACAACACCGGAAACTGCCGTTTTGATTTCTGGCTTAGATTCTTTTTTTGTGAAGGTGTCAACGGTTGTCCACGGTGGTGCGCAGCCGTTGAGCCACAATTAGCACCCTGCGCTCCGACTGTGGGGTTTGAGTTCAGCCATCCTGTGCTCCTACTGGTGGAGTGTTGTTCGATGTTATCATGGAACACCAAAATAGACTATTACCGATGTTTATTGCAGAAGTACAAGGTTCGTACTGAGCAGACTCTGTAGCAGGTTGAACCAGAATAGTACGGCAGCATGGGTGCAAGGAGATGTCCGTGTGACATTTCGCCCGGCTGAGTGTTCCCAGATTTCGGGAGACGCGGCTTGATAATTTTAACAATTAAGCTGCGATGCGCATCGATGATTGGCCGGATACGGCACTATCGGCTTTGTGGTGTCATGACCCTTGCGTGCCAATTGGCTTAGTGAGCAAAGATGATCAGGGCAGAAGGGGGCCAAATCCCCGGGAAAACAGGTAGATACGAAATGTGGCAGGGGTTCAAGCTGGCGCGCACTGTGTCTGCAGTAAACGGCTATCTTGATCCAAGTTCACGTCCCAGCATTCGGTCTGTTCTGGCATCAAATTTATCTGATCGGCGAAGACCACGTGGACCATAGGAAAAATTATTCTGTTTGCTGCTTGGACAACATCAACCGGGTGGGTCAATTTTTCATATTAAGAGAAGATGTAAGTGGGGGGTTAGGCGAGGTGCAGCGGCCTCTGCCTCAATGCAGGCCACTACCCCTGCAAGCAGGGGTTTTGCGCACGCGGTAGCAGTGCTGCAATGCCATTTTTAACACCCAGGACGACAAAGTATCCATCATACATTCACCCATCATCTGGAAGAGCTGTACGCACAATGGAGCAGGGGTCGACTTACACGAACCCGTTCGCCACACAGAATGCAGCTGCGTGAGATTCAACCTTGCGAATCCCAAGTTCCTGATGCACGTCCGCCAGAGTAACCATTTCTGCCTTCAATGCAACTTCTTTCAGGTGGCACTAGACGTACAGGTATAGCTAGTCGGAGATGTCCTTGTCCAACCAGCCGTAAAGCGCCCGGATATGCTGCTGTGGTTGCACCGTGCTTGGCAGAGAGCAGCTCGGTCACTCAGATTGTCAAAGCAGCGGCCCTTGATAGCGCGGAGGGATTCCTCGTTACAGTCGTTGACGTGGGGGCCTTTTTCCCGGTGGTCTTATCTTCCAAAGTACACGGACTACTCTGTGAAGCATACAACAGAAACTGGGACATCTTAAAATACGAACTACCACCTTATGCGTCAGAATCCGGCGTGTCGGGTGGCCGGGGCAATGCCGTGTCCTCCCTGGGAGGTTTTTTTGGGGGCCGATGACGATGAAGGTTGGGGGCCGGAATGCAGTGGGACTTCCGAATTGATTGAATGCCATGTGGTCCGAGCTTCACTCGGTGCAACGGCCGCATAGGAGGGTTGGGGCGAAAAGCCTGGAGAGTAGGGGAAACCATCCCACCTCTCTACTCCGTGACGGGTGTCATTGGGAAAAATTCTACGAGGTTGAGCGTTCAGTTCTTTGAGAGCTCAGGCAAACATCCATCGAGGAAGCTTAGTACCTGACCATAACGGTTCAGTTATTCTTGTCCTCATCATATTCATTTCAAAACAAGCACCCGTTCTCTCACAACATATGATAGGCCCAGACCAAGATCGCCTTTTGCGGCACGTGAATCAGTAAGAGTTCAGAAAGCGGCTAGGTGCAAGATGCACGCATGGTGTGATGCCACTGTAGCGTAGTGAGCTCACGAATAGAAGGACGGGATTGGGGGGATTCGGGCTCCGCATGAGGCAGATTCCGGCCAACGCAGACTTTGAAGAGCAGACAAACTCGCGAGCAGCCTTTACTTGAGCGGAAGAAAGCTTACTCCCAACGTACTGCACCAATTAGACACACATAGAGCGTGATCCAAAACCAACACTGCGGCAAGGCCGAAGAGGCGCGGGTTTGCGAGCAAACTGGGCTCAGCAATGAAAACCATAGTTTACCGCGGTAGAAGCGCGCCAGCCATAAGCACTGATACCGGGCTGGTTGGGCTCAGCCTAGGGAGATGCCACAGTAGAAGGAAACGTTCGGCGAAGCAGAACGGCAATGCTGCTACAGCGGCCTCGCGTCTCACAGACCCCAGGGTTTCCTGCCAAAGGAAGCCGCGCGTACGACGGAAGTTTGGCAAGTGGGCCCTGAAATAGTCTTCCGGCCTCCTCTGAGCGGTCGGGGCTTCCCAGTCGGACTTTGTTCCCAAATGCAACAGCGAATATGGTATGTGTTCGGCCGGACGTTCGGTGGGATGAAGACACGTGTAGGAGACGAAGAGCGTGTAGCAGTAGTGAGAAGCGGCGACGGGGATGGAAGTGCGACGGAGAGAGGCGTGGTAGTTGATCGAGGGCGCGGTTGGGAAGCGGAGGTGGACGCGTCTGGACTGATGGCGCGGTCGCGACTCGCGACATCGCGTCATGGATGAACTCAGACTAGGCCTAATTAAGTTAAGTGCCTCGGCCCGCCTTCCGCACCCCGCTATCCCGTTGGCTCAGCTGCTCAGTGCTGGAACGCTTTCAAACCCACATTCATGTCCGAATCTTGGCTTCAGCTATCCACGTTGGAGGAACGCAGCGTCTCTCAAGATACAAGGGCCACGACAGCGCCTCCAGATGCGCCGCGGACACCCTTGCTCCGCTCGATTTCAGCGCCCTCCAATGCCTTCCTTCCCTCACCTTTTTTCGTCTACGCTCAGGCTCACGACGCGCCTTCTCGTTGATGGATGAACAAGCCTGACCTGCTGTTGTTGAGCTAAGTACCGTCGAACAAATATTGAGCCGAGAATAATACATCCGGGAAGAAGCCACTGTGGAAGCAACACGGAAGAGAATGAAAGAAGATGAAACGAAGAAGAGAGTACAAGAGGGATATAGAGGCAATCGAGGAGAGAGACCACAGAAAACGAAATAGGAGTCCTTTCACAAATGGTGGATCCAACACCACCACCTCCATGGCGTCATTCCCTGAGTGTCGTTGCCTCGTTCTTGGAAACTTACCCTTGAATCACAGGTTTGCAAAGGAATCGAAACATCAGACCTTAGTTTGAAGTCATAATGCCTCCATTGTACAGCTGATATTCACCAAGATTACGTAGACGAAGCCGCCGATTGATAGGATCCCCGCTGCCAACGACAATGCTGTGCTTCTTGACCGCCACCTCCTCGAAACCAAACTCCCACAGCAAAGTCGCAACAGCTAATGACAGCTCCACCACCGCCATGTCCTCTCCAAGGCAACTGTGCCGCCCAATTCTGAACGAATTGAACACTACATGCTTGCGCTGTAGCCCGTCCTGTTTGCACTTGTCTCCCTCCCGGCATGATAACCACCGTTCCGTCTCGCGAAACGATGGAACCGCTCTGAGTACCTGGCACGCCTGCAAATGCTGTAAATGACCATCTCGATGTTGATTCCCACCGGCAGCGCCTCACCGTCGACTGTGCACTTATCGCGCCTCACCTCGCGGGACGGCACACCGCCAACTGGGGCGATGACGCGTATGGCTTCGTCAATGTAGATGTGCAGACTGGTACATGTGGTCAGGACGGTGCCGCAGTGAATGGGCACGCGCAAGGCGAAGGCGGCGCGGCTGGTGTGCGGGTGGTGGCGTGCTCGCCATGGCTGTGGCGGCGGTGGTGAAAAGTCATGGATCACGCGGTTGCCGTTTTGGGCAGTGCTGCCTGGCATACTAACAAAACAAATGGCAAAAGGGCAAAAACCTGGCAGCACACTCCGAAATTGAACCTCGAACCTGATGCGGCTCTCGGCAGCGGAGTAAGCCTTCCAGGAAACCCTTACAAATCTGCTAAGTGTTTTTTTCCTTTACGGTGACTGGAAGAGCTCGCTGTTTAGTTTATATACCCCACTTAAATCATCCACTAGTACATGATCGTCATGGGAATACAAGCTGCTGCAGGTAGCATGGCACCGTTGGGCGGATGTTGGGCCCGCGTGATGGTACGCTCTTTGAGAGTCGCCTATGCTGACTTATGGTGTGTGTTCATTGCTGGTATTGACCATGGTCCCGAATTCACTTAAGTAAGATCAGAGTCACGTATGTGCTAGCATATCGTTCGGGCAAAGCGTGTTTTAGAAAAATGCTAAAGTGACTAATGAGCGTATTTAAAGCACAACAATCCCTCGCACATATGCCCCCCGTTCAGAAAACGGCAACCATCAAAGACCACCACTCGACGAAGAACGCTGCCCGAGATCCACTTCTTCAGAGCCCAACTGGCTCGAAAGCAGCAGTAAAGCTGCCTTCTACCATCCACACAGTATGTTTTTAATTACACCAACCCCAATCCAAGTCGGCCTCGTCTCCACTATCCTTGTAGCCGTCCTAAATACAGAAGAGACATAAGCATTCATTCGGCCATCAGCATAGAAAAAAGCAAGCCAGGTCACTTACCCTGCCACCATTCTTCTTGCCATAACATTCGTCAATGACACCCTGAAACCTGTCATAGCATGACTTCTGGTCATGGTAGTGGCCCGAGACATTGATCTTGGATCTTCCCTTGCTGTAAGAGCCGCCAGTCTTCCACCTATCGGAACCGCAATAGTCCTCGCGATATTTGTGTAAGTCGTCCTTGCTATCGCACGACTTGCTCCCACCCTGATCGTAGCAGCTGTATCCCGAAACGATCGGGGCGAGGACCAGAGTGGCGGTGAGGATGGTGAGTTCGAGACGCATGGTTGCTGAGAAAGTGTTCGAGGTTGTGTAGCTTTGATAGAGTGGATGAAGCTGTTGATCTGTGTCTTGCGTTTTGCTGCTGGACTACGTATGTTTATATATCCGTGCCTGCTCCTTGATACGAATGGAGCGCGGGCTGGCCGTGAACCCCGCCCCGTTAACGAGCTGCGATCTCTGTAGTCTTTCACCAATGATGATTTGCGGATATCGGCCTTGATGATCGCGGTGCAAGAATTACCCCGCTGAACCAGAGTCCCGACCTTCTCGACCGTTCGGCAATCAATCTCTTCAACCTACAGATGGCGGAATCCTACATCCTGCCACAGTGCGGCTGAGAGAGCTGAGATACAAAGCTGAGAAGGATGACTGTGTGCTACATTAGGTTTGTGAAAAAGGCGCACGGAATCCCCCTGGATCGACCCAACGCGTGGCACTTTCTTACACCACCCATTGAAGCATTACTGCGATGTCAGCTCTGACCTCTGTCACAAGTATAAATTCATGTCGCATCATGGGAAATTACTTCTTGACAATATTGTTCTACTTCAATGTCAATTATTTTCGATGGTCTGCATCGATCTCTCGATGTTTGTAAATGTTTCTCGATTTGAATCTAAGTGGGTTTAGTATATAAACAAACCACGAAGGTTACTTTGGATGGTAAGTGCCCTATATGCAAGAGAAGGATAGCTTGGCTAGAAATTGAGTTACGAGGTAATCCGACGCTTGGCTAGCCTGCGGGGTAGCACAAACGGTTGCATCCTCTCAGCCTAGACTATCTTAGTCGCCACTCTCCGAGCATTTTGGGCTAGCACAAGCTTACTAGCTCCATCTTCGATCCGCTCTACTAAGACTTTGCAACCGCTCTTACACTGAATATTGTTGGAAGTAATTGGTCCGCCTACCTGCTGGTTTCCGCTTGGTCCATTGCCCGTCATTTTCATTATGTAACGCCTCAGTCCTGCATGTCAGACTTACGTCTACCGGAGAAAGCTCCCGGCTAAGCTTTCTTGCCAAGGGCGATCTTCCGGCGCGGCATTAGAGATCAGCAAGGCCCCATGGCTTCGGCGCGGGATTTTACTGCTAGTTTGACGCCATTCAGCTTTGTGATTCGCCCGGATGACTGAGGATGCTACCTGGGAAGGTCCCGTGAAACCTTATCGACAGGATTAGCCCAAAGCTAGGACATTAAAGACCCTGGCCGGATTCTCTATATACTGTGTGGTGGATCCGGAGACGTCTCTTGGTTTCAATAATTTTCTGCAAGCTTAAGTGTCCATCCGCAGTGGCACTGGTGTAGAGAAAGTCGTCGACACAATGCGGGTATGATTGACCAGAGTTTAGGCGTTGTCGAGAGCATAGGTAGGTAAGGAACGAGACTTCGCTCTAGGTTCCTGTACAGCTCGATTTCAACACGCCTAGCAAGGCTACTTAGAATCGGTCGCACGAGTCAAGGTTGTCTCTAAGCTAGGGAAGCTATAAGTCTTCATGAAGCGGCTTGAACACATCTTATTCTTGAGATTCATGACTGTGGTCCTTTGTGTCAAGGATGTTGTGGTTGTACTCTACATGCCAAGATACCTACAAGTCGCAGTTACAGCTGAATATACACACATGCGAAGGATTTTTGCTGATACCCAAAACTTGTTTCCTTTCCCCGTGCTTCCGGGATACTAGGTGAACACGCCAATGAAAAGCTTTTTACGGCCGCCATGTAGCCTTGCCCGGTATCCCTCACCGCAAGCTCCTCCCCACCTTCACATGTGTGGCCGCTGTGGCCACCGCGGCCGCATCTAGGCGGCTAGATCTAGGCGGCTAGGTAATCAACAGCCGTAGCAACTTCCGCCTCTGATTGTTGGTAGGGATTCAAAGTATCCGAGCAACGGTTGCGTAAGGAGGGAATCAGTCATCGCTGACTGTGCCGCCAACACTGCGTCAGATATCACAAACTTCAGCTGAATCCGTCCTCAGCTTCAGCTAGAACCATTTCCACACTTTCCGAGCGGGCCGAGAACATCTCATACCTTTTTCCTTGCTTCTTTCCCTGATGAAGCTCTACTTGAAAGGATACCTATCAGGCAGCAAGCGTTTACCTTCATTCGTTCATTTATACCTCTTTTGGCGCCCTCATATTTCTCAACCGAATATCACTTGTACAAGATCAGCGACAATATTGTGGCGTACGGGATGGCTGAAACAAGCTTTGTGACATGACGATCAATCGCGCATGCGGCGCTCGCCGGATCCCGAAGCTGCCGCTGGCGCATTGCTTAGCCTTCGGCCTCCGGATGATTCCAACACTTACATTTGTCGGAGCTTCTGACAGGCGGACTTGTTGAGGCGATCTCTGGGGAGCCGGTTGGCGGCGTTAGCATAAACCGAGGACCTTTGGTCTTATTTGCTACTTGTGACATCGCATGCATGTACTCAAAAAGCCCTTTTCTTTATTGCCACGCTCCAACCATCATGTCTATCTCGAGGCTATACGAGAACTTTCAAGATGGTAAGAGCAACAAGACGGGAAGAAGGGAAAAGTGACTAGACGCTTCTCGCTATGATGTGGATGAAGGAAACAATGGAAACGTTTGAGTAACCAGACGGCGGGAAGCAGAAAAATGAGAGTAACTTCAAAGTGAGTGAGGAGTTACAACAGTATTGTACTGTTGACTGACCGCAATCTCAGCGGAAGCGAACGCGGTGGGCACGCAACGGCCGGTCAGTGCCCGCCTTGCGTCATTCGAAGCCACTGTTGTCCGAAAGCGCGTTCTCACGACAAACGATAGCTGTACAGTAGATCAACTGTAGTACCGGCCATAGCAATAGCTCATCCCGCCCGGGCTTTTGTGTTGAGCAACCCTGACTCGATTTGTTAACCCCCGCCGAAGCGGTGATCCCACCCACCCGGGCTTTGATTATGGAGCAGCCCTGACTCCAGAGCTTCCACTCTTCCTCAAACCCCTACTGGAGCAAGCGGCAATCCAGAAGATTACCACCAAGCCAAAGACGTCCACGCATTGCTGTCGATGGAGCGCTCCAGCTCGCCGCTCGCGGCCCTTGCCTTCGGAGGTACAGATCACCGACCCGAGTTGCCGAGCCATCGTGCCGACCCTGTGAGGCGCAGTGCCGCAGGTTGAGGCTCAAGGCGCCCATGGCTATGGCGGTCCGGGGCGGGTCTTCCAGTCCGAATTCTAGACGCTAGAGTCGTACGGGAGTTGCTCAGCCATGAAGTTAGCCCTGTGAGGACGCTGTGCCGCAGGTTGAGAGCCGTCTCCGAATGGCCGAGTAGTTTCCTGCAGAGCTGCAAGCGCCGATTATGATTCCCGCATCGATGTCCTACTGGAGTTGCCCGTCCAACCCTGTGAGGACGCAGTGCCGCAGGTTGAGAGTCGGGGGGTAGTTTCCAGGGCGCTCTGACCTACTGGAGTTGCCCAGCGATTCAGCTAACCCTATGAGGCGCTGTGCCGCAGGTTGAGAGCTTGGCAGAATAGCTGGGTAGTTTCCGGCATGGCACCAATGTCGAGGAAGGCTCGGGTCGGATGCACACGACACCAAATGACGCTGTCGCCTCGCCCCGCTAGGCTTGCTTCTTCAGCGGCGATAGGCAAGCGCAAGCGGAAGGGTGGAGAGGGATGGCAGTCACTCGGGCGCGGTTACGGCGGCTCGGTCGGCGAGTGATCTGTTCAAAAGTCAGCAATAATGATCGCGACGTAGGAAGAAGAGCGAGCTCGGGCGAAAAGCGCAAGGAGATCTTGAAACTTACTTCAAGTGGAAGCTGAAGAGGAAGAAAAGAGAGTCGCACAAATTTTTTCTAAATGACTGGGCTGGAGGCCCGTGCGCAACGCCAGGGAGCAGGCCGCTGCGCGATCGAGAAGGAATGACGTCAGTGACCGTTGCTCGGGATACCTATCACAGACGACTCTGTTGCGGGGGAGCGTCCGCATGGCCAACCCACTCTACGATTACAAATTTGATGCGCTCGAAATGGGCTGCCAGGCCTGGCGTCTTAATCCAGCCCGTGGCTGCCGGTGATGGTGGTGTCCCAAGTTTGAAGAAGCTGGACGGAAGATTTAATCACCGTGTCACTGCGGCGTTCGGGGATACCGGGCTGCTTATCAAGGAACGACGCGGCTTCCCTTTCTGGCGCTGCTATGACTCCAGCCAATCAACCTCATCTACTTCACCACTGACACCATGGACGCGGCCAACGTGCTCTCATGGCTGAATGACACCAGTCCTCCTTGCGTCAGCGACGGCATCACATCTGTGGGCCCGAATGAAACAAAACACCCCCATCCTCACGAGGCAGCAGATTCTGCTCAAGTCCCGCTGTCGCGAAAGCCAACCGCCGAACTCTCTTCCATGACCGATTGAGCGCAGTTTCGGCTTCCATCGCCGCCCATTTCACGACTTTCTTAATATCGATTTGAAGAAAGGGTTCCGCCTCATCCACCCTCCAGACCTTCAAGATGGCAAGCTGGACGAGATCTTGGACAAGCCGATGGACGAGACGATGGACAAACGTCTGCACAAGATCATCAATATATCGAAGGGACATGGAATAGTTCCAGCATCAGTCAAGGTATGTGGCTTTGTCACTGACGGTTTAATGTAGACTCTTGGTGCTTCTAACACAATTCAAGCCCAAGATATGTCAGCTTCATTGGAGAACGAAGAACTAGTTTTGCTCCGACGGCTACACCTCAGCTGAAGTTGGATCCCTATCCTCGGAGGACCTTTCCGAGTATACGAAGCTCCGCAAGATCGTGAGGAATTCAAAGACCTTCTTGGTGGAAAACGATTTCGATCGTCAGAACTGGAGCACAGAGGTGTCCTCAGATGTTGTGCATCAGGTGGTCCAACGTTCGTTGCAAGCACGTGTATGTTTTGCCATGCCTACCTCCCAGTATGTGATCGAATATCGACTAGACCGAGTGTCCAGTTCGTCCCCTGCGATGGACTCACTATTCTTGGGATCGATAAGACTACCCTTGCAGACGGCATGGTCGATTTCGTCATCGCGCAAAGGAAAAAGCCTGGCTTCGTGGAAAAGAAATTCATTTCAAGACTCCATCGGGCTCTGTGGGACATCGATAAGCACATCCCCATATCCGTCAACTACACCAACCACGGATTGCTCATGTTCTCACCAATCTGCGTGAGAGTCACGACCGTGAACCCGAGCACTAGCGGCTTATCCAGCGCTACGGCAAAGTTGATCTTATAGGGAGCTGCCTATATGAGCACCTTGTTCAAGTGCGCCACGCGTCACGCTCTCAGTTTTCTGATGAGCGTCCTGAGGACGATGAGCGAACCACATCCAGCTGCGCCGATCTTCCGACACTTCCCATGGTTCTCGTTACGCGGGAGCGGTGGGACTTGTACTGGCACTTGGTAAGCGCCGCTAGCTGCCGCGGCTTCCTCGCCCACTCTGGTGTCCAACGTCCGCCGCTGCCTCATTCGATCACTGGACCCCGCCACCTCACCCTCGCCTTCGCAGCTCCGCCCAACGCCGCCCTTGTCCTCTCACACCATATCTCTCGCGCCGCCGAATATCTTTTATCCGCTGCGGTTTACAATTCAGTCTGCGTCCCAATCCCAGCATTCTCGACACGACGATCCAGGACCTCATTCTTACGACAAAGCTCGATTGACAGCCATGTCACCCAACAAACGCAGCACCAGTCCCGTCACTGAAATTGCGCCCCCCGCAAAGAAAGCCAAAGCCGCAAATGACTTCCCGCTCTTTGACGATGGTGACGTCACCATTTGCATGGGCAATTTGGTAATGAAGCTGCATTCCAAGACGCTGCGCGGCAGCTGCGAGTACTTTGCCAACTTCGAGGAACTTCCCACCCGATTCGTGCTCAAGCCCAACACGGCCTCATACGCGGAATCATACATTCTTGTGCCCGCCACCTCTGATGGCAATGGCGTCTCGGATAACGAGGCCCAGAAAGACAACTTTGAAGACGCTTTGACGGTTAATGAGAACATATTTCGTCTTCTCTACCACAAGCCGATCTCGTGCACCACCCAAACCCCCTTCAGCGAAATTACAGCCCTAGCTAAGGTATACGGATGCATCGACGCAATTCGAGACGACCTCATAACCGCCCTGCTCCGAGTCAGCCTCGGTTCTCAGATGTTCCGCGATGACCCTGATCGTCTTCTCTACACAGGATACTATCTGCGCGATAAGGCTATCTTTACAGAAGCTTTAGTTCACACCGTTGGTCAACGCAAGTGCGATAGTGAATACATACCGGGAAATGTCAAAGGCCTGGTTACCAAGGGTGTCGCCAAGTTGGAGGACAAAGTCGGACAGTGCTGGGAGGCCGCAATACGCTGCTGCGAGGCAGATACCATTTCGAATGCAGTCGCAGCTACGCTGCTGCGCCAATACCTCGACAAGCGTATCCCCTGCATTCTTGGTAGCCCGCTGCGTACTGAAGTCTACAATGTCTTCGCAGCCCTCCACCGCATGGAAGACGTCAAGGTGCTACTGGAAATCGATCTTATGACTCAGGTGGACACCATCGATGATGCGCTCGGAGCTGGTGTGTCTTTCCTCAGGAGCTTCGACGCGGATCGGCTTTTTGAGATTGAGCCCAGTGGGGATACGCAGCGGAGCATTAACAAAGGTCTCGACTGCGGCGTGTCTCGTGATGAAGTTGTAGAAGAGTTGTCAGATATCCTGAAACAGGTTCAGTACTCCATCAAACCTCTTTTCAAGGGCGACCGCAACGTTGGCTACTTCACCTGTTTCCAGTTCGAGGGGCCATTCCCGTGGGAGAGCCTGACTGATAGCTCTGGGAACGGAGCCCACCCACAGATGCTCTGCTCCGACCAGCCACGGTTTGCCACGGTGTGATGGCCGCTATCCCGTGCTCCTTTGGCTGGATACTACAAAGCGTCCGGATTGAAGAGTCTCCACGAGAGGCTCATGTGCTCAATTTCCGAGTTTCCTTACAAGAAAACGGGTGTCTGGGAGAATTACAGCTGCTGATGCATTGGGTCTGGGTATGCATATTCTAGCTGTGGCAGGGAGTGCAGAAATAGCCTTTCTATTGAAAGGCCTCAATAGATGCCACGAAAGTCTTGCCCACTACACATTGAACTGGACATGGTCGTGCAATCTGGTCCAAAATCTAGAGTGTCTGCAGCTCTGTTGAAGCGTCCATTCACTCAGATCCGGCAGTGCGTTGATTCAGGTCAAATACTCCAACCGCTGAGACTCATGTGCCGCTTGATCAATTCCATGACTGTGTCTGCCTGGCGAACTTCCTGACTGAAGTCGGATTCTGATCCACAGAAGTAGGTTTCAGGCCGCTCGCTGCTGGCATCTCTCATTAACTGAAGAAGTCCACAAAACTCAAGGCAAGTGAAATGAAAAGCCTTGTGAGGAATGCGCTGGGAAGTTGTTCGGAAGTTACAGGCCGGCGCACTGTGCATCAATTGCATTTGCGCGACAGAGCGATGACCTGGTAATGATGACTACGCTTGGAAGGATTTCAAGCAGCGTCACATTGATCTGTAATCACCCTTATGGTGCACTAAGTGTGAGCTCATTGACTGGTTGCGCAAAGAAACCGCGGTTGATGCAGACTGCTTCAAATAGGTCTCGAAGAGTCACAATGAACGCACTATTAGTGGCAAAGCTGTAGTATTATCTGAATAAGAGCCTCCTAGCGCGCTATGAGCCAGTCGACGATGATACTTCGGATCTTGTGGAAGGCCTTGTCGGCCGGTATCAAATGCAAGGTTAGGGAAGTCTTAAGGTTTACGAAATGGTTTGAAGCTTTCAATGCGGAGCACCCTGGCCATGGCCTTGGGCTGTTCAGCGGATATCATTAGAGATGAGCGTGAAGCCTGGAAGCTCAGGTCGAGGATTATTTTTTCAGAATGTCGTCTCAGGCTTTAATGGATGAGCCTGATTCGCGTCCACCACGCTTGCCAGAACTCACATGATTGCTCACTTGATAAAAATTTGAATTGGTACCGAGTAAGCTCATCAGAGTCACAATCGTGTCCAAGAGTGCAGACTGCTTCCGTGGTTCTCGCTGTCAGAGTATTTGGTGGCGCATTTAAAGCGAACAATGAGAGAAAGCATGTTGTAGCATTGTCCTATATACATGTGTCTTGAATGATGTATGAAATGGCATTCCTTTCCTTCCACGAGCCAATGAAAGGAGGTAAAAGGATGGAGGGGAAATAGTGCCAGCTGCCAATGCAAAGCGCCTTTGAATTCGATTAAAGAAATTTAAGGTAGTTTAAAGGAATTTTAGAGTGGAACAACTTTTTCGTGCGCCCTGCTGGTTGAGGTTTGTGAGTCTGAGGGGCTGGGTGCAAATCAGATAAATCAAGAACTCCTGATGTGAATAGGGTTTCCCTTCATGGATAATTTGTGCTTCCTTTTCCTAGATCTTCGGTGACGATGTGCCCGGGAAGAAGTTGATTTCCGCTGGGAGGCTGTAGTATCGCGGCACCAGTAGTGCAAGTCAGTGGATGAGGTGGTAAACTAGCCGCTCTTTGCATATTCACGGCAGTCTTCCAGATGGCGGTTTATCTTCCCGGTGAGAATTCCCCTCCAATGCGGAATTTCGGCACGGAGCTTCTCCCGGAGCTGCTTCAACTCGGGCGTGTCTAGTCCTTCCGCCATGAAGCCATGCACGAACGTCCGGTTGAAACTTTCGAAGACGTGGGTGACTTCTTGGATAAGTTTCCTCTCATGTCGTTGGATGACCTTCTGAGCGTCTTCATTTGCGTTTTCACACATCTCTAAGAAGGGACCGCGGACTTCCTTCGAGATCTTGCTGCTTAAAGTCGCGGCGCGCATCCCATGACTACGATTGCCTATAAAACATGTCAACTTTACCTTACCATTTCCTGTCTCGAAGATGGGGAGCACAAACCGAAAATTCGACCACAGTCATCGTAGGTCTTCTCCAAAAGCTTTACAAAGTAAGATTGCTCCATATCTTGAGTATTGGTGATCCTCTCTTTGATGGCGATGAGGTCCCTCTGAAGCTTCTTGACTCTCGCTTGGCAGATTTGGTCAAGAAGCGCTGGCTGCCTTTGAAGCTCCTCAACAAACAGTTTCATGGGGTCCGTCAACGAGCCTTCAGGACCTAGAAATAGTAAGCTAAGCAATATTATGGTCAGAAGTTTGCTATACCTTGAATCTTCCCAATCAACTCGGTGATTCTCGTACTCAATTTGGATGAGATATTCGCCGAAAGGTTGCTCGTGGCATCCTCCCAGCCATTCGCCTCACTATTGACGTCTTGAATGAGGGGCTTCAGCATTTCCTCATTCCAATCGTGCTTTCCGACCTTTGGTGTGCTCCAGTTCCCCCGATGGGTACAGAATGTCTTGAAAGTCTGACTTGGCCAATTCGACCATTTCGTAAGCTGATCTGTCGCGTATGTAACGTAGGCAGCTTTGTTGGTCTTGATGATAGCGATTACAGGTAAGATGGCCTCATCAAAGAAGTATTTGAAGGACTTTGTGACGTCACTTGGCACATCTACTGATGCTGACTGGATGATATTCCGGAGTTCTTCATGACTATCGACCTTGGTCTGTGAACAAATCATTTCGAGATGGTTCACGAGCGATGGGAGTACGTGCTGGTGATGGTGTTCAAATGCTTTGAACTTCCTGAATGCTGGGAGCGCGTAAAGGAAAGCTCGCAGTGCTGGAATATTAGTGCTCTCAAAGCCCATCATGGGAGGCTCGTAATTGCCGCTAACGTACTTTGCGTACACCAAATTGGAAACGCAAAAGACTGGCAGCGGAACCGGGTCTTTCGTTAAGTCGTGGTAGTTCTGACGAATACTCTGAGAAGTATCCTCGTTCCGCATCTCAACGCAGTATTCGAAAAGCTTTTCCTCAAGAAGATTCTTCCGTGACCTTGTTGATGAAGTAGATTAGCGCATACGGAAAAAGGTAAAAAGCATAATGGAGGTGAAGCTTACTCAAGATCAGATTGCTGATCTAGCATAGTGATGAGGCGGTTCCGGTCCTGGCGGACGTGATCCTTTTTCAAATCACGGGTGATTTGCTGGTACTCCACCGATGTGGCATGGAGCTTCTCTCGTAAAGTTATCAAGTTCATTTCGTGGACAGTATCAGCCGTACTGATCTTGTCGTCAAGGGATGTGGAACTCATGTCCACGGACTACATAAAGTCAGAAAACAAATTTTAACGGAGATATCACGCCGTCTAGACTGACATCTGAGTTGGTAGCAATTACCAAAGTACTTGCTCCATGCTTGCGGCGGAAAGCATCCTGCAGATACTTTTGGACGTTGTCGTCTGTCTGAAGGCGGTCGCTTCTGGCAACAATTCCGATGTAGTCAACGTCATCTAGGTAGCGCATCGAGGCCTGTGAGCGAATCTGGTTGGTATCTTGTGCTCCTGGAAGATCTACCAGAATAACATCGTCTGCGAGTATTGGCTGGTCGTGAAATACCCTGTTAAACTTACGTTAATACTGCTACCTTAAAACGGGACGGAAGAAGGAAAGGTATCAGAGCAGGAGAAACAAGAAAGAAAGCGCTGGTGGTGAGGAGTACCTGGCGACAGCTACAAAAGGCCAAGGAGAGGGAACCAAACGGCCGTTGATGTCTCTGGACTTCTGGTGTCTAGTATACCGGCGAATCTGAGCCTGTATGTCCTGAGGCGTGATCCCGCTGATAAAAACCTTGCCTGAAACAGCTTCCAAGCTGCTCAGCAACTCTTCCGTCCAACCGGCTAACGTTGAGATTGTTCTCTCATCATCCTCGCTTTTCGATGTCGAGAGGAATTCCTTAATTAAATCGCTGTCCTGGCATTCATCACGATCACAGAAGAGCGAAAAAAGCCCTTCGATAGCCGTGTCGGAGGCCTTTTTCTCTTGCTCAAAGTGGTCGTCCCCCAACTGCGCGTCGGAATGTTCGAAGATGAATACATCTTTGACCCATTCCTTCAAGATTGCTAGCCGGGTAGGGGCTGTGTGAAACAGAACTTCAGCCTCGCATGGGCTCTGCTGATTGATGCGTGGCTTCTGAAATTCGTGGACAACAGAGGTACATGCTTTACCGGCGTCACCTTGCGGCGCAAGATTGGGGACACCAAGCAAGGAGTTTATGACGCTAGATTTGCCTTATAGAAAGTTAGTGAACATTATTAAAGAGGGATGTGTCAAGCTCACCAACGCCAGAGTCGCCCTTCAAGCCGAGCTTCACCCCAGTAGAAGCTTTGGGAAACATAGCAGCTACTGCCATGTCTTTGATGAAACCAATGTCGCCGTGTTTGACCGAGCTTTGATCGATGATAGAAATTATCTCTGTGGGAATACTGCGCGCAGCCAGTTCAGCTTCCTTGAAACTCGCATGGTCGATCTCCTTCTTTGGAGGAGGCACTTTGGAAAAGCTGAATGGCTTGATGTCGTCGTTGTCATCTTGACTGATGAGATGGTGTCCTGAGTGAAAAAAAGTAAGTAAAGGTGGTACTCGAGTGGAAGACTGTTCATGCACTTACCACGCTTTTCATGTTGTGAAGTAGTTCTTTCAGACTCCTGCGAGGATTGTCCAGATCTTGTGATCATAGTAGAAGCTCCCGACGAAGGAACCAGCGATTGCATGGAAGTGAAAGGCGACGCGTGTGATGGCACAGTCGGTGCATGAGACCGCTCAGCCGAGTTCCGCTCGGACTTCACCTCCGGCGAGTGAGCACGGGGCGGCCTTGTGCTCTGTAGTGTTGTGGTGGCAGCTTCAGCAACGACGAGATCGCTGAATGCTGGACGATCATGTAAGGTTCGCTGGCCGAAAGGCGGTGGCTGAAAGCCGTCGTTTGGATGGTGGTTCATGATTGGCCCATTACCGTAGAGTCGCGGATGAAATGGGTTGAGCGTTCTCGCCTTCATGAAAGGTGAGCTGTGGCAACAAGCGCCCAGGGTTGATGAGCACTTACCGAGACTTGCCAATGGAGTGATAGTGTCAGAAAGGTTTGGGTAGAGCAGCAAGAGCTTCGAGCAGGGCTTGACGATGCTGAAGAAGAAGAGGTGGAGGCGGGAGGACGAAGGCAAAGCTTATAAGCACGCCGCTCTAGGTTTTCTGGCCTAAGCCTAAAGAGGAAAGAAAAAAAGTTGCACCATGATGAGGAAGGCACGAAACGCTTGAGGAACAGCGAGAGAGGGAAATGCCGCAGTCATTGGACATGGGCAATGCCTAACTGACACCTCACTCAGCAACACTATGCCATTCACTAGTGATATTATCTTCTCCTGTTGTGAAACGCTCTTTCTAAAAGTGTTGGGTTATGTTAATCGAAAAAATCTGAGTCGACCCGAATGGTAAGATCCATGCCATCAGAGACGTCTCTCACCTGCCCAGTGGTAAGCTCTCCGTATGGCAAGGCCGGCTTGGGGCCTGGCGAGTGGCTTCACAAAAAGCCCCACAGACATCACCGCCGTAGTAAGGCTCTGGACGACTTTTAAACCCGCACCAACAGGTGAGGCCGTGCCGTTGATGTAAATCTTGCAGCTGCCTGAATAGTGCCCTTCAGCGGCTTTTGTCAATCAAACTGTGACATTTCAAATTGAATTACATCCAAAGCGCTCATCGGCATCAGAGCCGTGTTGGCTGGGCTGAGGGATTGCTCAATTCGGACATTCCTCATTTAGATTACCAATGGGCAAAAAGCGTGAATATTATTCCTCTATGCACTGGGAACCGAGAAAGAGGCTAAAATGAAGAAAGTGCGGCCCAGTAGCTTCATTGCAACCAAGCAGCGCATGTCACCAAATGTGTTGACATCTTGCAAAACGTCTGCCGTCGGCCGCATCGTCACAGCAATTCTGCGCTGGCCCACTGTTTCACCCGCGCCAATAGCGCCGTCCGCTCTGTACGGAATATCTCGGGCGCTCACCTATAATGGTTGCCACGGGTCAGATCATGCTACCTACTATGTTAATCAAAGAGTGTTTCCAAAGAAGCGCGCCGATGCGGCGTCTTTCGCAGCCTCCAAGAGAGACGCACGCCAGTAGAAGCGTTATGACAATCCGAACGCTCTCAGTAACCGCGCCATGGCAAGCCCTCAACCGAAGTGAGTGGTGCACCAGACCGTTTCTCTGATCTCCGAGGCATCGCTAACACCCAAGCAGAGTGGATATGTAAATGAACTTGAAACTGTACCGGAAAGAGAAACGTCCACGACACTCGAGTGTGATTCGAACAGTCGCCAACCTCCACGCCCACGCCGGCGCTTACCCGATTTGGAGATTTTGTATGACCCCGCGATCAACCGCTGCATACAAAGGATCGCGGGGTAATAAGGAGAATTCATGCCGGAGTTCAACATCCCGATCGGCTCGCAGGGAAGCGATCAGCCATTTCCTTTTCCAGTTCTGGCACACGTCTTCGAGCTGTACCATGGGAAAGAGAAATCTTGTACATGGGAGTGCCATTTCTCTGAAAACTGGAATCGCATGGCGTGTACCCAGGCACGAGCAAGCGTGAGCCTGCTAAGAGAAATGTCGAGAAGCGGAAAAGAGTATTGGCCATGCGGTGGGAAGTGTCTAACAAGTCTATCTTCGCCATTAACCATTCAAGGACTTTTTCTTTCTTTCGAAGACTGCAGGACAAAAAGATGCTTGAACTACCTTCTACCTGTCCGCCCCCATCACTCTGATGGCGAAGAGTTGAGCATTGGTGCCATATCGTATCTGATGAAAAGCTGGTGGAGAATTATGGTATTTGTTCACAATTTTTAGGGTTTTAGGGTATCTCAAATCCCATTGAAGGTACCAAACAGTAGCCATACTACGGAGTAGGATTCAGAAGTGATGTGTTGTGGTATCTGCTTCGGTAATATGGACCGTCGTAAACTCTGTACTCTTGTACCTTACAGGACACTCTCTAAAGAATATGAAAATGTTGGATTTTTCAATTGCATCTTTAATACATCTCATGACTTTATTCCCATTGGAATCCAACAGCGACGAGTTTGGGGCACACTGCATCCGCTACACTGTCAGTCTCAGCCAAAGCGTCAATGCAACCTACTCTCGACCTTCCCGACGTCTCCATAGAACAGATTTTAGGACAACGTCATCATCTATGGGATATACGGTGGCACAGAGGAGAGTCCCACGCGGATGAAGTACGGTCCGGCAGGCCGACCGGATATGTCGGACGCCAACGCAATACAGCATCGAATTCGGATAGCTGAAGGCCAAATTGTGCGTGACTTGGGCCACCGTAGATACTCTACATGGAGCCTTCAAATGCACACTGAGGCTTCAGTTCTATGCTCAGGCTCCCACAAAGCTCAATATGAGCTACAAGCAACTTCCAAGGAGTGCTCTCCTCGTAGCCGAGCAAGTCATGATACAACCTCTTTGACCACGTCTTTTTCACTGCCTGAGCAACCCTTCACAGCGGCATATGAGTAGGCGTCGGGAACGCACGCGCGGAACGACGTACCAAAGTTGGTCTTTCGGGAGGGCCCAGACTCCAGTATCGCAGTGGCACATCGTGTGGAACAAGTAATGCCAATCTTGCCGCTCTTCTCATATCCCGGCCTCGTAGCCAGCGGAGTCGCGGCCTTTAAAATACGGCGGTATCGGACGACTATCTGCTTACAGAGCAGCAGTGTGCTTTCCATAAAACCATCACACCGCGGCCCGAGCCCGCATCGCATTCTGTGCTGCCGCTGTACTGAATATCGAGACGCTGCATGTAATTAGCGACTCCCGCCAACACGCATTCACCGACGGCGGGAAAATATTGTTGAACCATCCAAGCGCGCGGGAACCAACGTTGTTAAGGATTGAGCAACAACTCCAACACTATCCTTACCAACGAAGCTAGAGGTAGGACGGTCTCATGGATACCGTAGTTTTGATACTGCATATGCTGCTATCCGCGCTCCAGGGCTCGAGAATACAGCCAGGTACTTGTAGGCAAGGACATGCAAGGTGTAATTCATTTTGGCTTAGGATAAACAGCGTGTCAACGCCGGGTGATCAAACCATGGAACAGAGGTTGATATTCATGTCGCTAACAGCGGTCATTAATGTTTGAGACTCTCAACGAGTACGACAACTTCTCTACACTTTGTGCAGAGATCTATCTCATGCCACAGACCTTAAAAGGCGGGGATGTGAAGACTTCGCGTGAGGTGGAACATAGGTTAGTTCACGCAGATCGTTTGAAGGTTTGTATGGATGAACATTTAATTCTAATTCCAGTGGTCGAGTGAGCATTCAAGTATGAACCCCCTTGTGAAACAATTTCATCCAGTCCGTATTTCATACACCTCCGGAACACCGGTACCAAAAATAGAACCGCAGTCATCTTCCACAGATAAGTCAAATAGAAAATGCTCCGATGAATCATCGGTATTAGTTCGCCGCCGGGGACGGAGCGATCGGGAGCACATCTTCCGCGCTCGAGTTTGCAGGCCCCCATATGACATGGATGGGAGGCATGTTGGCGGCCTCGCTGAGTTTCTACTCCTTCTCCACCTTTACAGGCTCAACTGTGAGCATCCAAATAGGCGCATACATCATGCCCCCTTGCGGCGCGTGCACACCGCTATCACACGAGTCCAAGGGGCCCCTTCCAAGCCTAATAAATGCCCCGCTTTTGACCTCAACTGGTACACGCGGTTGAAGCTTCTCCCACTTGACTCTGTGTTCGCCGGCACGCAATATATCTGGAATCCGGTGATCTACGAAGGTTCCGGAGTCTGATGAGAGGTCCGTAAGCCAAATAGTCTACCGAGGGCGTTGTCAGCTGCCAAACAGAACAATGTTTACGGGCGCAGAATAGCTCGGTCCCTCAAAGCATGGAATACTAACAGTACCTGTTCCAGCAGTGACCCGGGCATGCGGACTGGAAGCGTTTTCGTTGTAGGTAAAGAGGTTGTTCGTGGCAGGCTTAACGCCATTAAGGCCGTCTGACAGACTGAACTCCCTATAGGCTCCCGCGGCGAGAATGAGCTCTCGAGGTGAAATATGCGGGTTCTCTTCACCTAGAAAATCACGCTCGGGCATGCCGTCACGGGTCCCCTGGGGAAGAAATTTGATCACTGCGTGCGGATGTAAGCAAGTTGGGTGATATGAAATGCACAGTAGCTTACTTTGGATATGTTCATGCTTCGGCCCCCGCACAGTAGGTATAGGCGTATTGGCGGCGTCTTCGCATAGCTTCCTCAAATTTCTGTCACACCGCGCCACAATAAGTTTCCACGAGGGCGCATAGTGTATTCTGCCACTGGGTTCCACGTCCGTCGTTCCAAGTCTAATTATTGTGCCCGTTTCAACCCTCGCAAACGTCCCTCTTGGAATTCTTTCAAAAAAGGTTCCATGTTGACTGAGAGGTGGGTTCAACCGGACTTCGTTGTAGTCCAAGAAGGTACCGAGGCTGGAATCAAGATCCGTGAGCCAGATGCTCTGCAAAGGCTGCTGTCAGCAACTCTTTAACTTTTGACATCCCAGCTAGGGGTTCTTGACTCACCGTGTTCGATAGTCCGGCAGTGAGCCAGGCATGGTATTGTGAAACAAGTGGATTAAAAGTCGTGAGGTTGCCACTATCCGGTACGGGAAATAGGTCGTCGGGGCGCTGAAAGCATACAGACGCCCCAGGCGCGAGCACGAACTCTCGGACTCCGATTCTTTCATTCGGGCGGCCCAAAGGATCCTTCTCCGGCAGGCCGTCACGATCAACCTGAGGAATAAGCTTGACCACTGCACCACGCTTGTTAGCAACGTACTAGTAATAGATTGCCTGCTACTTGCCTATGAATTCGTCCACCTGGAGGAGGCGCATGGTTGTCACGATTGGGTTTGGCTCTTCTTTCAAAGTAGAATGAGGGTGCAGTAGGATTGCAATTTGGATCAGCGATGCCGGTTGTGGAAGCGGTTGGTTTGGGAAGGTATGCAAAAGGCACTGACAAACCAAGCGATGCGTGTTAGCTAGACAGTAAAGGGAAGTTTAAATACTTTCCAGACCCCAGAGGAAGACTTGAACTCTCCGTCATGGACAACAGTTATCAAAGAGCCAGCCATTGTTGAAAAGAGGCAGCCAGCAACGAGAAATTTGGGGGTTTTCTTATGACCACAACACCTAACTAAATACTGATCACACCTTCATGTGCTCTCGAAATACTCTAAGAAAATTGAAAGGACGTGTTGCTGCTTTGTTTAAAAGACTTGGTAGAGACAACGAGTACGATCTCGGAGGCTGCGTGGCACTGGCTTTACCTACCATTTTGTATGTGTCGGGAATTCAAAACCAGAAAGAGGTGAAGTGGCATTTAAAACACGCATGAGTGATCGTGCTCGCATCCAGCGCACACATTTGGATCACGTAGCAGCAGGTGCCTTGTCAACTGTCTGCTCGGAGTATCTTCAGCGTCAAAACTATTTTCTGTGCGTTATGCTTGCTGATAATTTGAAGATAGAAGGCAATGCCGTAGTCCCTTCCGCTGGCAGTGCCTTGATCTTTTGGAAAAGTAATGCAGTTGTGCTTGGAATGTTACTATTACACAGCATCATATTCACATTGGTAGCTGCTTCATTTCGTCAAGTGACCAGTATTTACGCATGTTTTCCGCTCCCAGTTGTTCTACCTCGTCATTCAGATGTTCCCACAGTACAGCTCCAAACCCGTCCATTATCTCCTTCATTTCTTGCATTTTGAAATCCTGCTCCCCATTTTTGGAGTCCTCGAGGTACTTTGCAAGTTTCTCAAGACCCGCGTGGATTTGCTTATGTTGACTCAACATTTCGAGCTCTTTCCGGAAAGCAGGCATTTTCCTTGCGAGAATTGGAAAGAACATAGATTCCTCAATATTGTGATGTCCCTCCAAATGCTGACAGAAGTCCAAGCCGAACCGCAGAAATTGGTGCAAAGACATGCCGGCTGGTCGTTTATTGGAAACACAGGCCTCGTACATGGTTGTCCAGGAACGTCGAAACATATCATGCTTGAAAAAGTTTGTTAACAATCCAATTCACGAAGTTCTCATTAGAATTACTCACGAAGAAATTCATCTTCACCGCATGGCGGTTGTACTGTTGAAATTCGCTGTCCGTCAACTTTGGTAGTGCTACTGTGTCTTGATTCGCAGTCGTGTCTTTCGAGTTTTCAAGGGTTGAGCGAGTTGGAATGCTCATATGAACGAGTCTTCTTATTTTCTGCCACATCATTGCGTAGTACAGGCTTTGGAAACGCGGCACTCTTGTCTCTAATTAAACATTTTGCAAAGGTGATTTCCTAATGTAATATCGAAAGCCTATTTGTAAGCACGGAACTGTTTGATCCGTTGTTCCGATGCACACAGAGGTAATCTCTCACACGATTGTTCCTTCCTCTCCGATTCTGAAACAATAACATTAATAATTCATGGGCGAATATAGACCTAGCGGAAAGCTAAATACTGAAGACGGCAAGTCTCGACGAATTGCTGCCTCAGCGTAGCAAGTCAGAAAGCTCTTGAGGGTTCGTATCGGAATCTAAGATCCCGCGTCCCGGCTTGTTTTGTCAGCACTTCAATTGCAATCCAGAAATCTCCGAGAGTGGCGCTTTGTGGTATAAAATACATTTCAAGTTCTCAAACAACAGAGTTGCATCCATGTGTCCTCTCTACTCCCCAAATACCAACATAACCCGCCGTGCTTAGCCATGTGAGTCTTCAAACAAGTACAGTCTTTCAGCAAGATAGTTGCGTCTATACAGTCAGACAAACCACTCTATATCTCTGTAAAATTGATCCAAACCCCCTTTCGAAGCTCATCTTGAAAGTTTTGGCCTTCACGAAACTGAATATTGAGAAGTACGTTTATTTCAATTATTATTCTTCTCTCATCACACCCTGAGTGTCCCCAGTCTACCAAAGAAAAATAGAATACCACATAGCCCGGCGGATATACTCAGGGTGTTTCCTGAACGGAATCCTTTCGGGTCCGCCGTGGCGGTGACCAGAGAGCTCTATTTGCACCATTTACGTTGTGCAACAGGTTCAATGCCAAACGGGAGATGTCGGCTTGAAGTCCTCGGCACAATACGGTGATCCAAATACACTTTTCGGCTTTTGCAGCTAACTGTGTGTGGATCTGGAATCTAGATTCATGTTTCTCTTACTAGCACAGATACTAGAAAATATCATGGAAAAATTTGCAGATCAAATGCAATTGAACACTACACGGTTACCACTTCTCGACATAAGGTCTGATATCCATCTCCCAAGTAAAGCAGTTTCTTGGCTGCATGTGCAGGTACCAATAAGCGTCCGCGATCTGATAAACTGTTAGCAGAAAGAAAGCAAACATGGATGAGACAACTTACAGCAGCAGGACTGATCATCGCGTCGGGATTCGTCTCCTTGACAAGTTCCCTGACCTGTGGCGTGTCGACGAAGCCATCAACAATCGCATGAGATACGTGGACACCTTGTGGCCCGAATTCTTTCGCCAGAGACTGTGCTAGAGATCTCTGAATCCACTTTCCAGCGGCAAAAGCGGCCATCTGAGAGGAGCTCTTGAGGGCAGCAGTTGCACCAGTGAAAATGAGCGATGGAGGGTGTTGTGAATTTGCAACGGAGGCAAGTAGAAGAGGGATTGTGGCCTGGGCGAAGAGAAAGGCCCCGTTGCCGGGGACCTCACAGCTTGAGGCAAATTCACCCTGGGTGAGCTCGAGGAACGGTTTCCGTACGAACTTCCCACCAGCGTTGAAGATTGCGGCCTACAACCCCCAAATTAGTGCCTGTATTGGGGAGGGGAAAGCTCATCTTCGGTGTGTAAGGACAGAGACGAGTAATAAGGCATACCGAAAGACCATAGCCCTCTCCAAACTCCGCACCAATAGTTGCCATAGCAGCCTGAAGGCTGGTCGAGCTGGAAAGATCTGTCGCAATGCCGAGGGCCTTCCCTCCACTTGAATTGATTTCAGCGACGACGTCATTGAAGCTTTCTGGTTTCCGAGCCAGGCACACGACGGGATACTGGGATGCAAACTTCCGGGCTATGGCTGCGCCTGCGCCTGGCCCCACTCCTGCCACAACGGCAAGTAATGGACGGCTCATTGTTTGAATGGTGCGAACATAAAATCGAAATGGACGGTGTCAAGGGACAGATGTAGTGCAGAAGTGATTTCAACGGGGACGAGAAGTTAAGAATGTTTAGGCGATGACACGGAGAAACTGTATGCAACTTGCATGACCAGATGCACAGTTATATATCAAGATCGAGAAGGCATAGACTTCGACCGGTTCATCTGGCGCTAAGTTTGCCGCAAACGTCAGTCTTCCCGTGGGTGGCGTCGGTCCGACCCCGAGCGCTAACCGAACCCGTTCATTATTGGTAAGCCGCACCTTTGGACAGGCCGAACGCGCTAGCTTATGTTATTCGGTATTTTTCTAAATACTACGCGCTGGTGCATTATACAGCTTGATCAACTCATTGGTCCAAGCTTTCATAAAATCGCACTGTTTCGCGCGTTAGCATTCTCCCCTACCGGAGTCAATTCGATACCTTGCATTTCGAACTTGGTCTTTATTCTCATGGGCCACTCCTCACTGAATGGGCTTCATAGTTGTCTGATACTACTGGTGTTTGACAAGAGAAATTATAGGTGTCGACATAGGTAAAGAAATTAATGCACCATGGTTTGCTGCTATCAATTGGAATCTGAGCCATTGACAAGCCAGATCCAATTGTGCGAGAGTATATTCGTTGATCTCCTATAGTATGAAATCTCCAAAATTAGTCCCTCAATCTGAATCGGTCTCCAACACCAGGTAAGCCAGTCGATACCAGCCCGAAATACCATGTGCGAAGGCGCCGGTCTATTTGATAATTGTCTATTTAAAATCATGCAGAAAACTGGTTGATCTGTTTCTTACTGCAATCCCGCACCACTAACGTCCCTTCCGATCATGTCCCGTCATCAATCCACATGCAGACCTCCGCACGCAAAAAGATGAACACGATTAATCCAGCGGGCTTTCTTCTCGCATAACATTCCAACCATGTACGCAATCTCCTCCCGTTCGCGCACCCTCGGTCCAACGGGTGTGAGGTTGATGAAAGGCTTGAACATGCCTGAGGTCTTCACATCCGCCAAGGCTCCCTCCAACGCTGTTGTCTGCGTCGGGCCAGGCGACATGGCATTGACGGTACATCCGTACTTGAGCAGAAGATCCTTTGCCCATACGTTTGTGATGTCGAAGAGCTTGCTAAATTTTGTAAGTCACCTTTTAAACGAGGTCAAGTAGTGTTGGGAATTGTATCTGGCGATTTGGACCACGTTCGGCAGTTCCGTGCATGGGGATTAACGCTCGCACTCGCTCAGAACTATGTGTCGCATTACGTCAGCTTCAAATCGGTAGCTCGGCCTTCGGAGTATCCGAGTGATTAACTAACTCGCGTTGAACGGTCACGAGCGGCCGTGTAGATTTCTAGCAAGAACTGGTCATGATTCGGCGCTGCCGCTTGAAATTCTAACGCTTGCTCGTAACTCTGAGCTTCTAAATCTCTTTCCTGACGGATTTTGACCCCAACACAGATTCTGTTCACGATTTTCCCATGTCTGCTCCCATTCCCGTTATCCTTTGCGGTGCCATGCGACCAGTGGCTGCGTTGGTGAGGTCGCACATGCTACCCGAATACGATGGTACGTCCTCGCATTCCACATCTGCGAAAGGCAGCCGAACTGGTCCTCTAACGTGCCCTGAGTTCTATAGTCGTCTATGCCGGCCATGATATTGCTGCTGCTACAAAGGAAGTCCCCAAGATCATATCCGGATCGTCACCGCCGTCCACGTCTCTCCACACCCAGATCGGCTCCAACGACTTCACTGTTCTTCCACGCGCCGTAATCACTGGCGGCGGCTACAATGAGGAAGCTTTTCAGACTCTGTTTCAGGCATGTGCAGAGGCCTGTGGATCGGAGGTTGCTCTGCCCGTGCCGTTCTTCAGGACGGACAATGCGCTCACTGATCAATTGGCGGCCGAGGGGAAGGGGCCGGCGCATTCTTCCCCCGAATACCCCAAAGCTGTGACGAACCGGCTGAAAGCCCGGCTACGGGAGGTGGGTGTTGGGTCTGGTGTGTTGGAGCGGCCTGAGAATAGAGGCAAGAGTTTCTTCTTTTAAGTCAGAATTACGACACTACTTGCGCCTTTTTTTCCCCCCCAAACTACACCGATGTCACTTTTGTTATTCAGCTTTAGGACGACATACACTACTAGCGCTTTTCCATATTGTGGCTTCCTTGTATGGCTAGAGTGGATGATGCGGGATTTTGGCGCCAAAGATAAAGTTCTGTGATCTGAGGTCACACAAGCCTTCCTGTTTCCCATAGCAAATGCTTTCTCCTACGGTACATAATTTTAAACGTTAGCGATCTTAATAATACCTATGCAAGTATCGCAACAGTACATATGAACATGCAGTCGTCACTAATCCAACATCATAGATGATGTATTCTCATCTACGAAGAATAAGGTAAAAGTGTGGAAGTATTATCTGAAGAAGTCTGTGCTCGACGGAGGTCCAACGCGACCGGCAGATGGCTCCGCGAAACGTGTGTTGCAACAGCCTGATTGGCGAAAGGGTGTGGTTGAGCTAATACTGGTGTAAGCAGACTTCGAGTTAGTCTGCCAATCGGTGTACAAAGCGAGCCGTCAGCGGGCCGTAGGCGGCAAACGAGCCGTCCGTGATCAACGCCTTCCACTTCCGAACCGAACGGATCAGTCGGTTTTTAGACAACGCATCATAAACAAGTCACTCTCATGCAATGTCTATCGTTCTAATGGTTGAGATTAAACAATCGTTCGTCTGTTTTGCCTCCACTAATCCTTTTCGGGCCTTCAAGGACCGTGGCTACCATACAATATTGCACGTATCACAACCGACTGCAAAACCTGTTTTCTACATGGCTTCCGCTCATGGTGACGAAAGGAAATTTGTGGAGAGAATTTCCTTAAGAATGAGTGCCAAAGACGCTACAAAACTCCAATCTTGATTTCTCCAAATCTTTCATAATCGCACAATATGACAAGAAACGACGATAACCAAACCGGGTTGCTTACCCGCTGCGTTCCTGACAGGCTGAAGCACTCTACACTCTACCGCTGGTTTCTCCGTTTCACCCGCGTCCTTCAATTCCTTTCATCTGTTATCTCTCTCGGCATTTTCTCGCAACGTCTGGCCAAAGTATACCGTCTCGTGAACGCAATCAAACGACGACATGGCGTGAATCATGCCTACGGCGCTGTCGAAGGTATTCTTGCAGCTGCTGTGCTGTATACTCTTATCTCTATGCTCCTGTCCTGCCTCCTCAGAGGTCGTGGCCCCAGAATACTTCGCTGGCTCTGGGTACTTCTCGACCTCCTCTTCGTCGGCGCATTCATCGCTGTCGCGGTGCTCACACGCCCAAATGGAGGCAATGCTGGCCCACATCATTGCTACAACACTGGAGACAACAACAGGACATCTACTGGCAATGGAAGGACTGGACGCAGGGATGACAGCTGCAATCTTCCCTGGGGCACCTTCATACTGGCAATAATTAGCACGTAGGTTTATCGATCTCTTCTTCTCCAGTGTTTATTTCAATTCTAAACTGCACTGCATTATTGACACGTTGACGATTACATAGCGTTCTTCACGCCATTACAGCGGCTTTCCATGAAGTTCGAGAGCGCCGCCGAAAGCGATCGTCAGGCGACTACGAAAGCTCCAGTGGAGTTTACGAAGAATCCAAACGCAGCATGGACCCACATGGGCGCCACAGCGAAGGCAGACACAGCATTGTTGGTAGCAACGGAGGGCCTGGAGGCAATGGACTGTATAACGGCGGGCATCACAGTGCAATGGACAGCGACGAACATGCTGGACCCCGTGGAATTCACATTTCCTCTCCAGTACACTAAAGCAGATCTCATTTCTCCCAAATGGAAGGTTGGCGGGTAGACCGGTTAGTTCGGGATGCTTGTTATGTTGGTACGCCAAATGGCTTTGGGAAAGAGATGGACGAAATGGATGCTAACTTCTATTTTTGCTTTTTCATTGCTGGGGTATATTTCTGAGTGCTTCTTTCACGTAACATATTGTACGTTATAATGTGGTTCCCGTAATCGACATGGCAGTGAATATTCAATTTTATTCTTGTTTTTCCTACCGACATGAGTTGCTGATCACAACCGCAATTTTACTTTCAAAGATATACACTATATATCATTCAAAGAGTTGATCCGGTAACACCACCAACATTCTCCATTTCCCACGCCTGAACCATCATGCTTTAGAGTCCTTTTGGATTTACCCCTTCTCTCTTTGGGCTACAAGGTTGTCAGCTGCCGCGTGACAACACCTGCCGAGGTCAGCCGGCATTGACAAAATCACGATGCTAATTGGCCAGAGTAGACCCGGCATACATGGAATGAATGCGCACGGATCACTCTACAATCACCTCCACAGCTCGATGATTACCGTATACGGAAATGGAGAGTAAGCGACCACGCCGGCAAATCGGAGCAAATTACCAAGTGCGACCTCTTTGGCGTCGAGCGACCCAAACGTGACCTCTGCCGCCCAAACATGACCGTTAGCCCATCCACCCCGTGCAGGACAGCATTATCGAGTTAGGTATTTTTGTATCTGATCATTGTAGACATCTACGGACTTAATGTTCCATTACGCTTAAAGGAGCGTGGAATTTGGTGAGAGTCGTGTTTGGGGTGTTTGACGCCAAAGAGGTCGTGTTTGGCAATGACCCCCGGCATTCGTGGCCAAGCTCCCAACACTCTGCTGTTTGACTTCCAAACATCCAATCCCGTCCGATCCCATTACTCCACCTTACCCGTATCCGATTTCTCACCGCCCGCCGCCGCCGCCGTGCCCTTCCTCCCCCGCGCAAACAAAGCAGCCGGCCGCCACTCGTACAGGATCCAGACGAACGCCAAAATCCCGCCATACCACGCCGTCCACGCGAACGCCGCCAGCTCCGCCGCCGCCTTGCCCTCGTGCGTCGCCGGCACGCCCAGCACCTCCTGCTGCACCCTTTCCGGCACCAGCAGATGCATCGCCCAGCCCGCAACCATGCACACCACGACGTTGACCCGCTGCAGCGTGATCGTGTAGGCCGCAATGGTGTGGAACACGGCCCACTTGCGGTGGCGCGCCCACTCGCGCGCGCGCGCCGTCTCCGCCGTGCGGAACAGGCTGTAGAAGTAGGCCGGCGCGAGGAACCAGAGCGAGGACTCGAACGTCGGCCACGTGAGCAGCGGGATGTACTTGCCTTTGATGACCGTGTGTATGTGGTAGAACTCGCGGTGCGTGTGAGACATGTTCCGGTTCAGGATCCAGAAGCCGCCGAGTGAGAGTAGGAGCGAGAGGCTGAGCACGAGGTACCCGTTGCGCCGGTGCATCGCTGGGAAGCGTGCGCGCAGAGAGTCGATGTGCTGGAATGGCATTGCGAGCGACCAGAGGATGGCGGGCCCCGCGTGGAGGGTGTGGTAGATGAAGCGTGGGAGTGGGCGGGAGGAGAGCGCTCGCAGGCGGTTGTTGAGGAAATGCTCGTCGATCTGTAGGATTCATCGTCGTGGTTAGCATGAGAAATTGTCACAACGTCCCAATTGGACTCGATGAGAAGGGCCTTTTGGATTAGAGAGAGCCGACATACCTCGCTGTGTCGAAATGTTGTGAACGCCGGTTTTCCGGGCCAGTCCAATCGGTGGCCCGTGAAGGCGATGGATGCAAACAAAATCATGAGCGCGCTGAGAGGCACAGCAACTTTCAGAGAAATGTGAACCGGTCGGCGCGCCATCTTTGCAGCTGAGTTATTGTGCCGTGTTTGACTGCTGCGATCATGGCTATTGCTGGATTGAAGCTCAACTTATAGCTGGTAGAGTCATATTTGCGATTGCATGACCTACTGAATTGCCGCGGTTTTGCCCTTCATGTTATTCACATGCTTCCATCTACGAATTCCGAGCGGTAGGGCTGAGGGGAAATTCTAAAAGAAATTCTCCACGAAAACACAAAACTTCGGCCGTTGCACTGACCAAGATTACTGATCGGGCATCCGAATGCCGAGTAGTTTCTGTTGGGATTCAACTAACACCATCCGACCAATAGCAAAATCTGTTTTAATACGAACGGGTATGTATTCGGTCAATTTGATTGGAGGCAATGCGTGTGTAGAATGGCGATCCGAACCTACACATTTCTCGACAGCTAAATCAACAACCAAGGCCCCTTTCCAAATGCCTTCATGCACTCTCCATAATGAATAGATGCCACCAAATCATTGAAGAGCGCCCTGAATCACTGACTTCATAATACTGAGCAAATCACGTACTGGAAATTTGCCTTTCTCCAAGAACATTCCCGAACTCACATGTTAGCATCATATAAAATCAACCTGATTTTCTCTAATGGTTAAGTTTCGATTTACAGAATTCAGTTGCTTGGATTTATGTCAAAGGTCGTCTCAGGGTCTTTGCAGCTCTTGGCAACGGCACGGAGTTTCTCGGTTCGTAGTTCTAGACAATTTCTCCGTCCTACGTCCTACGGTGCAGAAACCATGTACCGTGCACGGTTCAGCTTACTTACCCCGCTCGCGACACCGACCTATCAGCAGCTACACGATGCAGGATTGTACCAGAAATAGTAACCGCAAAGAATTCTTACGAGTCATGCCTCTCGTTCCTACCAATGCCCAATATTACATCTTGAGATAAATATTCTGAAGTGTTTAAAAGACAAAGGCAGGCCTATTGTTCGGAGGTTAATCAACGTAATTCTTCCGCCAAGGCCCAGTCCAGGTCTGCTCTCACAGGCCTCGACTCAAATTTCCTGCACATGGACGCCCATATTTTTCCGTACGTATACATGTGTGATGATGTCGGAATTTACCCAGGCGCAGTGAAGTATGGCGACCTCCAAGAAATCTTCATGTAGAACGGATTATGGAGTACAACGAATCACAGGAAAAGGACACAAGAACATAGATGCGTAATACTATAGCACCTTTTAAAAGCATCGGTGATGGTATGGTAAATAACTATGAAACCCTGGAATGCTCCCATGCATCAACATTTATTGATAGTGTACGTTACAATGCTTCTGTTGTGGAGATCAGCATTATTGATCCATTCAATGAGAGTAACTGTCTCACTGATTTTGTGTCATTTGCGTTTAGTATTACTCGTAAACTCTGTCACATTTGATATTTCAACCAACTGTCGCCGTTTTAGAGAGGCAATTATAAAGTTATGAAAAAGCTACCCTCGTCATTTCCGGTAGGCTTGAGACTGCACTTTTCTTCACTTGAGCAGGGTGTGTCATCACAGAATATATCTGCCGTGAAAACCGCAAGCAGAAACACTAGCCGTAAAAACGTGAAGGCTGGCCTTGTAATACAGCTGAGCGGTATCGACCCTTAGTGCTAAGAAAATTGGAAGGTCGAAGTGGGAGTTTGCGGAATACTTCCGCAGAGGCAACCTCAAAAATCAATGGAGGGTGAAAAGCGACGTTACACTACTGTGCGTCTTTGTCAAGAGTATCTTACTAACATTATTGTTAGTAAGATAAAGTGGAGCAGAGCGGAATTAAAGAATCGTGCACGGTCGTCCGATAAGCAGACAGGAAGGAAAATAGATCGAGACTCCTCTGACAATTCTCCAATCGGACTCTCGGTGTTTCTTGCATTAGACCGAACGGAAAACTTGATCGGTAAGCTAGCGTGTTCCGATTAGCATGATGCTCGTATCGGAAGACATATCGGCAAGAATCAATGGAATTTAGACTCTAAAAGCCGTGATGATGAAAGCATGGTGATTGCCACAAGTAGCCTGCATTAGGTGATATATCTTCAAATTTATCGTCCCACTCATCTAATCGATTAACAACTCCAACGTACCCCATCCAACGGTCGGAACCCAAGCCTCGGGAATTCACTAAATTGACGTTATTACCACCATGGCGAAGGTTTTGGGTCGATGCGACGACCGTTTCCAGCATGTCAAGGAACTACTCCAACAGTATCTGACTTCTGGCGAGGAACTTGGAGCCTCTCTTGTTGTCAACATTGATGGAGAAAATGTCGTCGACCTGTGGGGAGGCTACGCAGATACTTCTCGTACCCGCCTCTGGGAGGAAGACACCATTACCGCCGTGTGGTCGACATCGAAAACCGTTACCAGCCTAGCCGCCCTGATACTTATCGATCGAGGCCTCCTGTCACCTTACGAGAAGGTTGCCAAGTACTGGCCGGAGTTCGCCGCGAATGGCAAGCACAACATCGAAGTCCGTCACATACTTTCGCACAGCTCTGGCGTATCTGGCTGGGATGCTCGTATGAGCCTTGAAGATGTCATTGATGTACCCGCGTCAACGGGCCTTCTCGAACAACAAGCGCCCTGGTGGGTACCTGGAACAGCGTCAGGCTATCATTCTTTTACGATGGGCCATCTCGTCGGGGAGCTCGTACGCCGCGTCACTGGAAAATCTCTAAAGCAATTTATTGCGGATGAAATCGCGACTCCATTCGGTGCGGACTTCCAGCTGGGGGTTGCGGAGAAGGACTGGCCACGCACCGCGGATGTCGTTCCGCCGCACACGTGGAGAAAGCCACCTCCTGCGGGCGATGTCGATTCCGTATCAGCGAAGACGATGAGGAACCCCGTTTTTGATATTTCAGTCGCAAACACCCCAACCTGGAGGCGGGCGGAGCTCGGTGCGGCGAGTGGGTTCGGGAATGCTAGAGCCATTGCTCGCATGCTTTCTGCTATCTCCCTTGGTGGAATTGTTGGCAACCACAAACTCCTGTCCCCGGATACGATCGACCGCATCTTTGAAGAACAGGCCAAGGGAATCGATTTGGCAACTGGAGAATCGCTTCGCTTAGGCATTGGATACGGACTGACCGGAGCCGATACCATGGTCAACTGGATACCAGAGGGGCGAGTCTGCTTTTGGGGAGGACTTGGTGGCTCAATTATTATCATGGATGTCGACCGCAGGATGACTATCTCGTATGTGATGAACAAGATGGAGAACGTGGGAATTGGGAATTATCGTACGAAACAGTACGTAAGAGCTGTGTACAATGCTTGTATGGCTTGATGAGGGAGAACTGCACCTTGTGATATGGTATGCCTGGATTATCCCAGTGTAGAAAAGACTAGTACGGTTGTTGAACTACAGCACCATTGCTTAGAAGTTCTCATGATGATTTTACAAGCCATTGTTTACAATGAGCAAGTAACAAGAGGTACCAAGGGTAGGTGAACCTCGTGCTCGCTTAGCTAGCCAATTTCTTTCTAGAGGTGATTGTTACATCGATATGGATCATTGAATCTAAATGATCGAACTCTTAAAGATTCAATCATCAGGGTTTCCCCTGGAGGACAGGGAGGCTGTGCTGAAACCGTGTTCTGTCCGGTCGACAGTGCCAAGAGAGGCATGCTTACAAACGGCCATACTTAAGCGAAGAGGAATTGGTGCGGCATTTGTCCGGGCCTACGCGTCGCTTGGAATTGGATATCGCAGATCCACATAAAAGGTTACGGTCACGCAAGGCCAGATATCAAGGCCAGCCCCATCTTCAACATGCCAAAGCTATTTGCGTAAGAATTGACTTGATTATCATTTGAATGGACTCTTACAACGCAGATCAGTATAGGAGTTACCGGATACGTTGGCGGCGACGCCTTTTACACCATTCACCAGCATCATCCTGAATACGAATGGACGTTCCTTGTGAGGGACCCCGAAAGGGTCGCAACGCTTCTGAAGCAGTACCCCAAGATGAGGTTTATCCAGGGCGATCTCGATAGCTACGACTTGATAGTTGATGAGGTTGCAAAGGCGGACATCGTGCTTAGTAGGTGGTATCCAACCTCACACGATTCACTCTCTTCGATGTTAATCATTTGGCCGTTTTAAATGCAGATTGGGCCAGTGCCGATCATCAAAAAGCAGCAGAAGCTATTAAAAGTGGGATGAAAATGAGAAATGCACCAAGCTTTCTCATTCATACATCTGGTGCTGGCATTCTCGCTGCACCAGACATCCGCAGCGGTACATTCGGAACGGAATCAACCAAGGTATACAACGATTGGGATGGCGTGTCGGAAGTAACATCTCTGCCCGAGGACGCCGCGCATCGGACGGTGGACAAGATCGTCCTCTCAAGCAACGAGGAATCTTCCCTGATCCGCACTGCCATCGTTTGTCCCCCATGCATCTACGGCGAAGGACGGGGGCCGGACAAAACGCGATCGATCCAGGTGCCAGAGTTGATAAAGTGCACGTTGGAGCGCAAGAAAGGGTTCCAAATTGGACACAGCCAAAATAGGTGGGGCACCGTACACGTTCGAGACTTAAGCTCCATATATCTACGGCTCATCGAGGAAGCCTCTAAGCCTGGTGGAGGAAATGCCACCTGGGGACTTGAAGGCTACTATTTCATCGAGTCGGGTGAGCACCACTGGGGCGATATCGCCAGAGCTATCGCCAGCGAGGCTTGCAAGCTTGGGCTGATTCCTTCCCCTGAAATTGAGCACCTAAGCGTCAACGAAGTGGAGGCGATACACCCGTTCGGAAGATACCTTTGGGGCACCAACTCAAGGCACACAGCAATTAGGGCCAGAAGAGTGCTGGGGTGGGAGCCAGCCGATTCACTGTCACTTTCAGTGGAACTTCCTCGCATGGTGGAGGTTGAGGCTCGGAGGATGAAGCTGATCTGATTGGTAAGAGATTTCCGCAGTCTTTCTCTCAGCTACAAACAGTATCAAAGATCGTATGCACTTTTCAGTCATGTCAAGACCGTTCATAAGCAGTTCTCAAGACCTCCAATCGGGTACTATTATCGGCTGCACGACGTGGAGAGCAATAATAAGAGCTCAGGAATTATGTTTAGTCGACCTTATCTTCTCACAAAGCCCTTACGTGTCATCAGCTACATACCAAACTGCCATAGCGTTCCGCATGTGGTTCCGCTGAGCTGACAAATAAACTCAATTGCTTCGGACCGATCTGCCAGTGCATGATCCGATGCGCCCCCAGGCCCACATCTGCGATCGCACAGTTGCTCCGAGGTAATGCTCCCCATATCGGCAGAACGGCACGACAGAACCGTTGTCATCCGATGGCCGCACGCTGAATAGGCGAGACAGTTATGACCGATGCTCGAAAGAATCCAGCAGCCGAACGGAGGAAACTGTCGACAGGATTGATGCCTGGTAAGTAAACGAATTAACGACTCATGGAGAAGCCGTCAAAGACGTCTGATCGGATTTCTAGGATCACGCCGGGCAGAATATATGGTTTTCGCTTCCAGCAAGTCCCAACGAGAGTAAACTCTTCAGAAGTTCACAGCGAACATGCGCAAGCGCTGCCGAAATATGTTGTGTGAGAGAGTTGACTTCTGAACTTATATCGATGTATTCTAACGGTACTTTTGACAGCAGAGACTTTCCCGATTACCACGGATGTGCTACCACAGGGGGTGAGATCAAGGCGACTCTTGAAGCGTCAATAAATCTTGATGGGATAAATCTCCCTTCACCTCGTGCGTAGTTTTTGGTGGAAGCTCACGCAATCATAGATCCAAACTACCGCCAAAGTACCGTGCCGATATACAAGATGCCATGCGTCTCCATGTTGTTGTCGCATCTCGCTCGAGGATCCCTATCAACTACCGTTTATTTTCGCTCAGTCATCGAACACGAACACTTCGCTTCGGACGCTATTAAAGCTATATCTACGGAAATGAATGGCTGAGGACATCTTCAGCCTCGCGGTGGACACCAAAAATATACTTCCAGCAGCACACGTAGAGAAAGTCCTCAGATAAATGGGTAATCCGGAGCGGAATATTCAGGAGGAAGAAATCTTTCGAGTGAATATCGAATGACTTGCTTGCTGCATAAAGCTGTAGCAAGTAGTTTAATATCTGAATGAGCGCTCACACATGATCGCAAGAAGCTGTCTGAGTAGCCTCGCGCAGGGTAAGCTTGAACGCTCAGCCAAGAATCATCCGATGCTTGAATCATGTATCCATGTCAAGAGCAAAGAAGCATCGAACAGAAACGCCCCTTGCAGAGGCACTGGAGCCAGTAAATGTCCGCTATCGAGGCTGTGTATGCTTGGACTGAGTCGCTACTTTTCTTAAGAAACTTGAAACAAGGAAAAGAGAACCTTGGCAATGGCTGCCAAGCCTCTGCGCCATCGGTCTGTTTTAAGTGTTGAGAGTCTCTAGCTATTCGTTTGGAATGGCACCCTTTTATGGGCAAATTTTGAATTGAACTCAGTTATTCATATTGAGAGACCAGCGTGAAATGGTAACACATAAGGGGTTGAACGGGTCTCAGCTTTTGAGCCATCTATGTAGGCTGACGCTGAGTGTGGCGGAGCCACGGCACTAGCCTATCGTAAGCGATTCAGACCTGGACATCTCGTATCTATGTAGGTCTGAATTACGTTCAAGTCACGTTTTTTGCGCCCATGCGCATCTCTTCAATTATATATTTTAGAAAGAAGCTGATATATCAGCATTAAACAGCAACGCTCTTCCGCAACAGCCGATGGCGTATCCTCTGCCGACAGACACACATTTCGAAACGTACTACCCTCCGGCAAATGGTAACCCTTGCACTAGCCACGCAGAGATTCTTGCATTTGTCCCTACGACTGGTTTGGTAAGGGCTTTCTTATACTCAACCACCACAACCCCGATGATATCGCATCAACGTGAATGGTAGGTAGCCTTTGCGAGCCTGGAACAAGTCCGGATGACCACTTTTTAACGTGGACATCTATGGGCACAACTACGGTATTTACATGCGCGGCAGTGCGATATCTCGTGACGAAAATCAACACATCATCTACCTTCACATCATACATAATCCGAACCATTAATGTTATCACTTCAACACTAAAGAAAAAACACGAACGAAGGATTCTCCAATGGCAATGCTGACCAAATTCAGGGCGTGTACAGTACCGCAGGATCGTTTACGAAGACTATCTCGCATGATACTGGAAACATTGCGGTACAACCGGATTCAGGCCCAGTGGGGCAAAGGAATCCTCTCGGCTATGCGGGTAGCGCTGAAGGAGGCAACAACGGCTCGTTCCTTGGCCTTGGATGCAACTTCACGGGCAATAATCCCATCTCCGGCAGTTACACAAGCAATTCTCCCCGCGAGGGCCTTATTTCCTTTGTACCACCAAGTATTGGCGGCAACGTACCTCAGGATATTCCCTCTGCGGGCGCTTTGTTGGACAAGGAGAAGAAATTACGCAGACGCGCTCAAAACCGTGCCGCACAACGTGCGTTCAGAGAGCGCAAGGAGCGCTACACTGCAGAATTGGAACAACGGGCCAAGGAAACCGAGGCGCGGTGGAACAACCTACAGCAGGAGAACGAAAGACTACGATCCGCTATCACCTCCCTGCAAGCAGCAATTTCGTCACTCTAGAGCCAGACTGTCACATTTCAAGACGATAGCATCTGCGAAATTCCGAAGTGCGTCATAGCTATCCCTCATGAGTTGTCACTGGGCGAGAGCGATCAATTACTTAGCTTTACGGCCACCTGGAATCTCATTCAGGGGCATCCGTCGGTGACGAATGGCAGAGTTGATCTTCAAGTAGTGTGGGACCGCTTGAGAGGCTGTGCGATCCGCCGATCCTCTGGCTACGTGTTCACGCGCTTGATGGTTGAGATGGCTCTGGATGTTAATGTCGGGTGGTAATGGATCTCTCTTTGATACTATTGCTGGTTCTGGCCTCTGTTATGATCCGAGTTTGAGACAGCTGGGCAGCTATCCAGAATCTACTTGTTTGTAAATCTGACCATCGTATCACAAAAGATCAAAAGCTTAATTTTGCAGGAAGCACGGAGGAGAAACTACTACCGCCATGCAGCGAAAAAGCTTATCAGAAAAGATAAGGCAGCCTCCGACAACTTGCTCAGCCGCAATACGCAAGTACCTGCCGCAATATCAAAGCCATTGCGAGCCGAGACCGATTGCGAATCCGAGTTATACGAGCGGGGCACCGGGTTGGTCATGACTCAACAAAGAGAAGTGGATTCAGAAGAGTGCCGAGGCGGCGAGGACACAGTCGTCATAGCATTCTTCAGCCTGCAAAAAGTGGATTTCTCGAAACGAGGAGTGAGAAGCTTCTGCTCGTCCGGAATATTTCCGCTCAAGGGCGTGATGTGGGATGAATAATCTCCAAGACGCTTTGACTTCCCCGATATGGATTAGCTTCTTATCAAGCAGCATTACATCAGCAGCGTGCGGAACAACACCTTGGCCGTGGGTCGGAAGAATCGTCGCATGCAAGGCGTTAAGATATGGACTTAAGGAAGGAAAATGAGCTTGGTCATGCTGATTAGTCGTCAAGGCTGCTCGGGGGCTTCGCCGTGCTTCTGTGCTCGCACTCTGGGCTCGTGCCGTGCTGGAAATGGTAGAAGATCGAGAGGCTTATGAATGCTTGAGGGATAAAATAGGACTATAATAAGGTCAATGGTTTTCTGAGCAACTCAATCGGCAGTCTTCGTCTTAGAACGGTCTCAAGAAAATCATACTCACAACATGCGGCCCTGCGTTTTCCCCCTGGTCCTGAGCGTTGCTTCTGCAGCTCTTGCATACGATCCGTTGCTTGGGTTCAACGATTTTGTGGAAGTTGAGAACCGTACTCTCGATGAGATCTATCAAGAAGCTCTGAAGGAAGGAGGGGTTGTAACTGTCTGGCACGGAGGGTACGTTCGGGACCACAGAAGTTTTTACGCTGGCTGACTTTGTTGGTTTCCAAAGAGATGAGGTGCATCAGCAGGACGGCCTCAAGCAAGCCTTTGAAGCACGCTTCCCAGGCATGACGCTCAACCTTACCGTCGACCTTTCGAAGTACCACGATGTCAACCTTGATAGGCAGATCGCTACGAACGATTTGTACGTGGATAGCATAATACTCCAGACGCTGAACGACTATCCCCGATGGAAGTCACAAGGAGCTCTGCTCCCTTACAAGCCCTCCGGCTGGGAGCATGTGTTTGGCGACTTCAAGGACCCTGACGGTGCCTACACTGGTCTCTTCATCTACAGCTGGTCCAACGTCTGGAACACCGACTATGTGGACAACGCCGCTGCCCCCAAAGAATTCACAGACTACCTGAAGCCTGAGTTCAAGGATAAGCTTGTTCTGACCTATCCCAACGACGACGACGCCATCCTCTTCGCCTTCGATTTGATGTGAGCCCAAGACACCTCCCTCAACGTGAAAGCATCCCATGCTGATTAGCCGCAGCATGAAACAATACGGCTACTCCTGGTTCGACAAGCTCCTAGCACAAAACCCTCGCTGGGTCCGCGGCACAGCCACGCCCGCCACCGTCGTCGGTTCTTCGAACGGATCCTGGACCGCGAGCTTCACCACCACGCTCGGCGGCTCCGTCACCGCTCCGTACAACATCTCATACCCCGAGTCGGGCACATTCGTGACGTGGCCGCAGACGGGTGCCATCCTCAGGGGCGCTCCGCATCCTGAGGGAGCGAAGCTGCTCCACTCGTTCATGCTGTCGGAGGAACGCCAGCGCACGATGGGAGTGTGGAGCGTGCGCACGGATATCCCGGGCCCGGCAGGCCTGCCCAAGGTTCTGGATATGCCCGGGACGGATCCCACGCTGTTCGGCAAGTGGATGTCGGACCGTGCGGCGGTTGAGAGGCTGCGGTTTTTCTTTGAAGACCGTCTCGGACCTGCGGACGCTATCAGCCCCCTAAACGATGATATCTAAGCACATCATGTACACGGCTCCACTGTACTCATTTACAATCTATAGAATAACTGTCTCAGCTAATTTAATATCAATCCTACCCCTTACTTCTGCGCGTCATGACATGTGAATAGATTGAAGAGAAGAATACTCTTCAATAATTACCTGGAAAGATCTAGAGAATTCTATTCAATTCAGCCGAGGAAGGAGAGCACCATTAGTCTCCCTTTTCCGTAGGGCGCAACAGAGCGTTCCTTGCTCGCGCCGGTCAGGTTCTATGCAGTTGAACAACACCATGCAGCAGATGGCATACCAAACTCTGCACGCGCCGTGTCATACCTCATCCAAGTCGCACAGCTCAATCAACCGTTTCGAGTCTTCAGCTTCCTCCAAAAGATTACACTTTTCATCCTCAAACAGAAACTTCCGACCCGTCTCTTCACCGTTGATCACGTTGAGCAGATGCTGGCCAACACGGGCGCTGAGATCCCGGAGGAACCCCCCACGATGCTTCTTCAAAGCTTCGATCAGCTGGTTGAACGGCCCACGTGCCAGTTTCTCGACTCTGCGCGCAAACATATCAGCCAAAAAAAAATCGCCAGCAACGGAGCTCACGGACATGCACTTACGATGAATTCGGCACAACGTCCGACGTCGGCACCAAAGCAATGATCCCCTCCCCAAACTCCTCCGCGAGCAGGTACCAGTTGTTCCCGGAGCTGATCCTGTTCTGCAACGACTTGTACCTGCTCTTGTAGCCCTCGTCGTTCTTGTCCGTCAGGTACGGATACGCCTGCGCCATCAGGTCCTCTAGCACTAGCGTCTCGTACCGCGGCAGCCGCTCCTGCGCGCACTTCCGCACCGCGCGCTGGTTCTGCTGCCGCGCAGTCGCGGCGACCTCTGCGTTCTTCCGCCAGCGCACGAGCCGCACGAGGTAGAAGCGGCGCAGCACCTGCACGGCGAAGTCTTGGTTGTCGAGGCGGTCGAGCGAGAGGACGGCTTGGCAGGCGGTGATAGTGGTGGTGGTGGTGGTGGTGGTAGTGTTGCCGGTGTTGCCGGTGCCAGTGCGGTGGCGGTCGACGGACGCAGGCGGCAGGGTCGCGCGGTCGCGCAGCGCGGCGCACGCCTTGCGCAGCTGCACCATGGCCTCCGGGCTGCCGATGGTGCAGAACAGCAGCGCGCGCGTCACGTCTTTGAACTCGTCCAGCGCGCCGGAGAACTTTGGCGAGAGCGTCATGTCCTTGAGCTGCTGCGGTTGTTTGCGCAGGTGCGGCCGCTTGGCTGCTGCTTCTTTGGTGGTCGGCGGGAGGATCGCGTCGCTGGCCTTTCGCTTCGTGCTGTTGCTGCCGGCGGCTTCTTTCTCGTTTCCGCTGGGGTTGGCCTCCTCGCTGGTGGCGGGCTGGTCGTGCTGGGAATCGCCCTCGTTGAGAAGGGCCATCATTGGGGCTTGGATGGAACCGTCGGGACACCTGTCGCTGCAGAACTGGTACTGTGCCGTTGACCAGTCGGCCTCTGCATAGTTTACAGCCTCTGCGCAGGTGAAGCCGGTGCTGAATCCCTGGTGGTAAGCGCCAGGAAAGGTGACGATGATTTCGCCGGAAAGTTGGCGGACGACCTTGTACGATATGCCCCACTCGTCGAGCAGAGGCCGTGGTACATATCTCGCAGAGTGGCGGAGGAACTGCGAGCATCCTTTTTCGATGCCTGTGGCCGCGAGCTTTTCCTCGAGCCGACTGCCGCTTTGTGGTTCGACGATGATCCATACTTTCTCTCCAGTGTAGAGATAGTTGATGGATGCTAAGTGGCAGTCCTCGACATGCATTGCAAACGGTGCTCCAAATTCGCTGTTGGACACATAGGCGTACGGCCAATGGATGCCTGGGATGGTGACCTTGGTTTCGGAGAGTCGGTTTTCCTTGAGTGGGAATATAGGTGAGTGTGGAGGGAGGCCAATCTGCCTGCGCTGGTGTTCGTCGTGAGCATCAAGATCGCTGTAATAACGAACACGTCGGAAGCCTTCTGGATTTCGTGAGAGTGCCTCGAATCGCTGGACCAGCTCATTGTCTGTTGAAGCAGTCGGAAATGATATTTCATGTCCAAACAAAAGCCTGTCATGCTGCTCATTCCTGCTTACTTTGAATGTTCCATCAATCTGTGAGCAGACCGAGAAGCGGTTCGTTCGAACTTTGATGTTATTGGCGGGTTTGGCCAGGGGATATTCCGGGCCGTCCCACGGTATAATCACCTTGCAGAAGCCATTTCTATTTGCGCCTAATGATCGTGCGAGCTTGATCAGCCTGGTGAGATCTTGGCACTGTTCAGCCGTTGGGTACAGCTGGACAACACCACGGTGCTTCTCGTAACGGACTTCGCCGACCTTTTGTGGGATAGTGTCGTTCTGCGACGAGGGGATTCGCGGATCGAGGGGAAGCCCGATGGTAGTTTGCGAAGTTCGCCTTAGTTTAGGACGTAGGCTCCCGCTGGAAAATTGTACTTGAGAGATTCCGCGACCGCGTAAATCTGTGGAAGGTGGTGCATTTTGGATATCGTTTAGGCTGCCATCGCCAAGAGCGCGTATGAAATAATCCACGTCTTGAAGGACTGATTCATCGTCGGCCGTATCTCGGCTGTTGCTATAATCGCCGGTCACGGTATGCGGGGTAAACCTAAAAATTGATCGATAATTGGAGCGATCTGCGGCAGATGTTAGAGAAGAGTCTCGAAGAGGCACCGTGCTTACCTTTTGTTTGCTGATGCGCGGCGGATTGCGCATCGTGAACGGTCGGAAAGCCCAGAGTCGAGTACGGCCGCAAACCTTGAGCGATATCGGCAAAAAGCTTATAGATGAGATGCGGTTGGTCCGGTAGCGCAGTCGCCAGCCCTTTCCTGACTTCCTCAAGGAAAGTAAAGACGTGTTCGGCGGCTCTCTCGGGGTTCCGCTCTGAAGCGACAACCCACGCGACATGTTCTACCTGCTGCTTCGTCGTGGGAGCCATGGTGCTGCCGCATGTGGTGGATGAGTGTAGGCGATGCGAATTGCGACATGGTTGTGTTGGGGTTTACCAAGTGGCGCAAGTCCTGCGCCGTAGGAGACCGACCCTTCGCACGGGCGCCAAGGAAAATCACCGTGCACTGACTCAGCCTTTTGCGGGGAAACTCCCTTGCTGCAAAGAATTGACAACAACGTACTTGTTTAGGCTGGAGTTGGGATTGCTAAGAAACAAACGCGGCCGTCGTGTTCCGCCGCCTAGACCTAATTTGTGCAGAGAGCGACGCATACCCGATGCAGTGGTGACAATGACTCTGCATACAGGGGGGTATTGCAGCCAACGGCTAGCGTGGATTTCTTAGCACCCTTTGTAAATAACCTTGATTTTGACTTTCAAATGGCGTCATGTTAGGCTGCAACTTCGCTGTGTGCTGCAGGAATTTCAAGCGAGCGAATGGACATGGAGATGCTATTACACATGTGGTCGCATGTAGTAAGGGGCAGCAATTGCGTAATTCTCTAGAGGCTGGTCTAAGCCTCACTGAAGATGGCGGCCAGTACGACAAATATACACATGTGCCATCCACTTAATAGAGTCACTCTGATAATGGGCAGGACAGAGAAAGCTGTAGAATGAGAAAATGTTTGAGAAAAGCTTTCTGTCAGAATCCACAGTAGATCATGGGGAAAGGCGAGTTTCTTCAGTCCCAAGAATTAAATGAAATATTCTACCGAAATATCTATCTGCTGTGACCTCAAACGTATTCAGCACAGTTGAGATTGTTGTCCATGTCCATTACATCCCTGATCGTGTAGTTGTCGACAATACCCGCCATCCACAGGTTGTGGTTCAATGTGGTTGTGTTGCCTGGGTCACCATCGTAGTCCGTGATAGCTGTGCTCGGGTAATTCAGGCCGGTAAAGTTAAAGTATTCGTCTGGAGGCACATTGTCGCCTCCAATCTCCGTCAGACGGTACGAAAGATTTTGTGACTGCCACTCCCACCAGATCTTGTCCAACCAGGCATGATGAAGGAAGAAGACAGGCTGCTCTGCTGTTAGAAACGGTACGCCATTTGGAATAGAGGATCGACTTACATCTCCAGCGCTGCTGGACAAGTCCACCATCTACGTGATGCGTTGGTTACCCTTCTCTAAGCCAAACTCGAGTTAAGAAATCTTGACTCACAGTTCCTCCGGTGCCACCATGGCCAGCAGCATGTGGCGGGCCTTCAAGACAGTCCCATACGGTCTCGAAGTCTTCAGCATCGAGACATGTGTCGAGATTTGTCTGCGAAGCGCCCTCCAACGTTTCTTCATCGAAGTCGCGGCTGAGGCAATAATCATCCAGTCCAGCATTCGCCACAAAATGAAGAGTGAGGTTTGCAAACGGCCCGTCCTGGACACAAGAATCCGTGCCTGTGCCATTCCCCCCAAAGCCAGTGTCGGTGTCCCAGATGGTGCTACTGGCGATGGCGCCAATGTCGCGTGTTTCGTTCCAGTAAGGTTGGCCGCCGGTGTATCCACACTCGCTCTGCAGGAGATACTCATGGGCTCTCACATACATGCGATGCCACGGAAGGAATGCACCCTAAAGTGTTTTCTGAGCTATTAGCCTGGATGTGCTAGTTATCAGCCACCACCCCCACGGTGCTTACCACTGAGTGGATCACCCCCGTTTGAGCGACGTGGGTGTACTGGATTTCATCCCAACGGCTTTGTGCGCCGTCAATGTTCAGCTTTGGCGCGGCTGATTGCAAGCATTTCACCGCGTCAATGTATGCGGATTTCTCATCATCAGTAAGAGTATGCCTTGAATAGTGTCAGCAGTTGCCACAATGAAAACGTGGTGTGGAGAGGCGTACCATGCTTTCCGCTGAGATTTGGTCGTGCAAGAATCATTCAGAGCTGCTGAGGCCAAGCCAAGTCCTGCCAGAAAAGCGATCACGATCTTCATTTCTGTCCTTGGGACGGCGGTTTGACGAACTCGATGGCGGTCTGTTGCTGAAAGGTAAGAAGGCCTTTCCCATCTTTATACTCAGTATTCAGCAGTCGTCACTATCGAGCCTGAGACAATATCTGACAAGACGCATCATCAATATTAACAATTGCAGTAAAGACCGGGTTCTCTGTGCACCTTGGATGAGCCCCCGATATTGTCGGTGCATCAGGCGGCCCCAGAGGTTGATGGACCTAGTCCGTCCGAAACAAGAACGAAAGAAGTAAGGGGAATCACAGCGGACATTTCATTGGTCGAAGCAGCATGGATACCCCTTTGGCCGACCCAGTGAATCATGTGCAGTGGCATTAGGAAGCATGAGGACCCCGGCGAGCTGGATTGAGACTGTCTCGATAAGAGCCTCAACAAAACTAACCACGCCGCGCTACTGCAATTGTTTTCTCGTGGGGATGCATTACGAAAATCGACCTTCTCCGGTGTTGGCTGGTGAGCCAAGCCTCACTGGAGATTTTTCCAGTTTGGGTACGTTCTGGAACATCGCTCGGTGGGTGACGCACAAGATCTGCATCTCCATGCACATCAGGCGTGCCAATGGCATCAGGAGCGTTGCAACAGCGCCTTGGCTGTTTCTACTTCTGTACGATTGGGCTGTGTTTGTGGAGGTTTGCGGGGTGCCCGAGGGCGGGTAGCCGTGTAACCGGCGCCATGACGCGTCCCGACGCGTACCATACCTATTCGTCTTCGCTTAGACCTCGCATGGCGAAACTAAGCTTATGTAGGTTTACCAATCTAACAAGCATAATTCTCCGTCGAATCTTGTACCACTTTATTTTGATTTGAAACGAAAGAGAGTGCAAGGGTATCCAAGAGTGTCTTGTAGATTCATCAAACAGGATCACATACAATCAGTATACTTCACCAGCCGATTGATTTAGTTTTAGTCCCGGAATCTTGTTTACAAAGAAATCTCCCTTGCCCAATTGCTACCCACCTGCTACAACCTTTGGATTCGAATGTTACATGAAATGACGTCGTACATGATAATCTACAGACGACGTGGGTGGGCCTTAATTGAATGTATATGCGTCTTGGGTGCAGGAGAATGTACTATTTTCAGGTGAGCCTTGGAGTCGAGCTGGTTGGTAATGGCTTGGTAATTGCTTTGCTGTGGGAGATCAGTCAACTCACCGCATCTTGACTTACGCGGCCAATCTACAGATGACGTGTTGACTCGCAAAAGTCACGGGATCCACTATTGTGGCTGGGAATCGAACTTCCCGTTCTACGCCCGGTGGCTCATGGTATTTTGATGCACGTGAGAGATGGCTTGGTTGCTTTGTGTGCATGGAGGCAAGGAGAAAGAGGGTGGCTACAAATGCCAAATATCTTCCTCTGCCCTTCTATTGATCAACGAGCTTTCGGCCAATTGCTTGCAAACACTCTTTACTACCGTTGATCTGCATTATCACAGTATTCACGTGTTCTGTGACCTCTCATTTCGATATCAACATGCTTTAGTGGATTCGCTCGATTATTGTAGCCCTCCTGGCCACCGCTTGCGTGGTTGAATCAGCCTCTTCAAATGGCAGTTGTACTGCCATTAACAAGAGGAAGTCATGGTTTGTGACCTATTGATTACCTACGACAAAGGTAAAGCCTCCGTATTGATAAGCCTCATAGGAACGCGTTGACTGGACTACTGCCTCTATCGCGAGTTCGACGTCGATTCCTTCGCCATGGCCAACCGCTCGAATATCGAAGAGTGCTTTGCGAAAGAGAACTACATGGAGGCCTGGTCTTGCTACAATGGATATCCCCATAGCGCTGGCCACGGCGCGGTCGGTGGACTGGTAAGTATCCGCGGCGTAGCAAATCCTCGCACCACCCTACGCACAAATCCTTGGAAGAACGCCTGGATTGCACGTACGCTGACTCACACGGGAACCAAAATAGATGCTTGACCCCATCGAGAGTAACGGCGGTCCAACCTTCTTCCTACACCACGCATACCTAGATCGTCTCTAGTGGCGCTGGTAGCAGGCCGACCTTCCAAACCGCCTGACAGATATGGGCAGCCAGAACATGCCCGACGAATCCGTCCTCGACATGGCCGATCTCTCCGCTGCCGGATCTGAGCTAACCGATTACAACGGCGATCCCGGCAATGTCACTACGCTCAACCACGTCCTTTTCATCCTGAACCTCGTCCCCAACGTGACAATCTCGGATATTATGGATCTTGGTGGGGATACCATCTGCGCTGAGTATGTCGATTAGATTGGACTGATAACGGGATGACCCTTACTCCAGTCTGATAGAGTCTAGCTGGGGATATCAGGAAGGAATACCCTGGGTTGTCATACCTTGGATGTCTTGGCTGGACTCAGTTGAGATGTAGTGCATCGTCTGGGTGGATCTTCTGGGACACCATCTAGATACAATGAAAGACCTGAAACTCGTTACAGTAACTTCAAAGGTATATCTGATCAATACCAAGTAGAAAACAGATATCGTGACTCTCCTCAAGCGATCCCCGCGACATTTTGAGGCCGGCATAAAAGAACGGCTAAAGTTATTAGCACCATCGGTAATTATTTGAAAGCCAGCTCACCTAGCGTGATAGTGGCCTGAAAGTCTTTGACTTAAATCGCCCGTGCTCGGAAAACAGCAATGGACCTCGTCCAGACGCCAAGTGCGTCTGCACGTGAAGTGCAAGGACATGGGATCATTCTCCAGCGCAGAGAGGGCAAATATTCGGTGTCGGCGATAGCTGGCCTCATGCGACTCAGTAGGAAAAGCAGTATGGGTGAGCCTGATGCCCAGTACCATTACCTAAAAGATGCATCGTTTCTAAAAGGGGGAACGCTAAGCTGTTTTAAGCAATCAGCGATTCAGGTTCGGGATTCCGCCTTACGCACAGTCCACCTCCACCTCGTATGGAGGGTCCAGCAAAGTGTATCTGCACTGAAGTAGTGATCAATGGCGAAACATACACATTGCTGTTTCACGCATGGTGTCTTCTAATTCCAGGAAGCAACGTACGATGCTGGCTGGCTTTATGTACAGATGCTTTAGCAACATACATAAGCGGGTTGTAGTCCACAAATTGACTATAACGTGTGACCAGTGATACTTTAAATCAATTTCTAGTTTAAAGCCGATCGTAATGTTTTATGTTATCCTGTAGCTTTCCGCTAATAGTTGTTGTAGGTGATTCGATCCTTGAACAAAATGTGTAAATCAAGAGGTAGTAAGGCAACCAGGAATGAACGCATGAGCCAAGTTCTGATCACCAAGATCAGCAAGGCATAGCTCACGATTTTATACGAGGCGTTCAGCGACACAGCCTTTGTGAGGCTCACAAGGCTGATTCTTTGCCAAAGAATACAGATAAAAACCCCATAAACGCAGCATGACAAGCCGGCACCATCAGCAAAGAGAACAACACTCGTTACATACTCTCAAAAAATTCACCAGCAACACTCTCTACCAAAATGCACACCACCAGCTTCCTCACTTTCTTCGGCCTTGCCGTCGGCACACTCGCCGCCCCCGCCCCGCAAATCCCTGCGGACCAGGCCTCCGACAACATCCTGCCGATGGAAGTTTACAATCTTTGGTGGACAACCAAGAATGCTATTCACTTCTTCGTGATGGACCGCAACACCAACACCACCGCGACTTGCGAGGCGGCCGATGTGCAAGCACAGCAGCGCTACGACTGCGACACGAACGCCAGATTTTTCTTCAACGACGACAACTCTGTGCTCGATATTGAGTGGACCTGGGGCAAAGAGTACGCATTTTTCTTTAAGCCTTGTGGATAATGATCATTACTAATGTCTATTTCTACTGCAGTATCACGGGTAGCGGAACGGTTGAGACACCGCTCGAAATCTGGACTTGTGTCAATGCCACCGCACAATTCGAGGCCGGTTGTTTGGCTGGCCCATTGGACGTTCCTTTCAAGATCGTCTCCTGATTACGTCCGATGATACAAGATTTCGTTGGACTCTCGTCCCTTTCGCATAGCATCTCATCGGAGTTATCTAGACGTCTCTTCGTTTGTAAATCCCACCCTTGGTCACTCATTCATACAAATTTCCAGTCTTCAGATTTGGTTACACCTCGTTCTTGGTGGTTGCCACTGGATCATATGTACATAGCTGATTTATGGAAATAAATCGAAGTCAAATACATCCTAAACTCTTTACTTCCCCGTATGAAATTCTCTTCACATTGATTCAATAGATCTATTCCGTTCAAACAGCCGTCAGGGAGTGAGGATAAACGCCATCTTCCGCACCGGCAACCCGACTTAGTATGTTTTCCTGTCATCCCTTGCTAATACTCCGCACGTTGCGATTAAATATCTGGCCATTTCTCAGCCAGACTGATCATGCTTAATCGCGTCATATGGCCAAGACTTTTAACAACGCGCATCGAAGCGGTGAAAGATTTTCAGCCAGGCTGGAACTCTCACGGACTAATTTGAGGATTGAGACCGCATAAAACTTCTTAGTAGGGTTCCTCAGGCTGTGGATGCCCGCAAAACGTGACACACGCAAATTGTTGACTAACCATTTTCGGAAATTTTATGCGCATATTACGCCGCGCGGGCTTTACGGCTCGGCCTGCTTCCTCATTTCCTACAACCATTACTCACGCTACTCTTCATTGTGGAAAATATGCATCGTCATTCGTTGCGCGCATCGGAGATTATTTCGGCAGTCGCAGCTTGCTCTCATCAACTCGGATCGCTATCCGAGATCTACGTTGTCATTCGTAGGGCGCGTCCCGGCCAATCCAAGTCTTTCATTGGCTCGCTTAAATGTAGAACCATTGATGCAATTGAATAGGTTCTCTGTTGTGTTCTCAGTTACGTGGTGTTTACCGTCTTCTTTACTCCCTACTCGAGGTAACGCATGCGCGATGCGGAATCGATCTTGCATGAGTATTGCATTCGAAGAAGAAACCGAGCTCCAAGGATGCAGCAAAGCGGTCTTCTCAACATCGGATGTTATCAGCGGTCATGTGCTGGTCCGTATGGGCAGGGACACACCATTTGATGAGCTAAGCATCAATTTTCTCGGTATGTACCTCAACTTCCTGGCAGAAGCTTCTCTGTGGACATACTCTCTTCTTACATGGCTACAATCCGTCTGAAGGTTGCAGCAGAACCTACATCGAGGGGCTCGGCGCACGCTCCATGGAAGCAACCCATGACTTCCTGACGCAGGAGAGCCCCATCAAAGGCGACTTGCTGCCATCACCACGAATATTTCACAGCGACCGTACCTATCGAATTCCTTTCACGTTCGTCATTCCGTCACGGCTTCTCCCACACGCATGCCAGGACCGCGTAATCGAGCAAGCACACGCCCTGCATTTACAGTTGCCACCAAGCATGAACGATTCGTGTACCTCCAATAATTCGACGGGCTTGGATAAGTTCACACCAAAGATGGCGAAAATCTCATACTCAGTCAAGGCCCGCATCGTGCGTCGAGAGAAGGAGCATGGGATTACTATAATTGCCGAGACAGAGAGATGCGTGCATGTAAGGCCGGAAGGAGAAGAACACCCGCCTGTATTTGTTGGACCGGACGACATGGATTATCGCTTGAGCCAGGCGAAGATAATTAGAAAGGCTTTGATCGGCGGAGCACTTGGCCGGTTGGCTATTGAGACCTACCAACCACCACCTGTCCTTGGTGGAATCCGGAGACACGACGGAGACTATCCCACGACTAGTTCAGCTACCATCCGTGTACGATTCGATCCCATGAGAACGGGGATTCAGCCACCAAGACTTGAATCATTGCGAGTCGCACTCAAGGCCACAACCTTTTTCAGTGCTAAACCATGGAAACACATCCCTTCACTTGAGCAGGCTCCCCTCAATTTCAACCCGAGGTATTTTTCGAAGGGCCTCGCGCTTGGCTCGCAGACGCTTGGGCATATCAAATGGGAGAAGCAAGTCATTGGCAATGATTCTTCAGGTGCTTCCTCATCGCAGTGTAGTTTGGAGGACCTCGACCCTTCCTATGTCCATCTTACAACAGAAGTTCCTCCCATGCACCATTGCGACGGTATTTCTTATACCACAGAACTCTCGGTCCCAATTCAGATTCCTACTAAAGCGTTAGTTCCTACATTCCACTCCTGTCTAATTTCTCGTGTATATACCCTCGAGCTCACTCTCGTGACAAACACCTCAACTTCCCTTTCACTCAAGGTGCCCTTGCAGATCATTTGAAGGATCACGGACACGGACATTGGCTCCCATAATAATAATTGTTCTGTTTGCATACTAGATACAGTTAATTTTACTTCGTTTCTCTTTTCCAATGATTAGAATTGAATGTGTGCTGGAGAAAAGAACGGTATTTTACAATGCTATTCCATCCATGGCGTATTTAATACCGGAGAACACTGAAGTAATTTGGAGATATCATGCGGAAGAAGCTTAATGGAGCAATTCCGTGCCGCTACAACCTCACGAACTCAAAGGCCTTTCTGCCTAAAATTCACTCTGATTCCCTCCTCGGGAAGGGCTGTTGCAAAGAAATCACGCGGTACCAGCTTTTCCTCCACAAGTTCCATATCAAACTTGCGGAAGACATGAGCCAATACTGTGAGAATCTCGGCTTCAGCGAGGCTATTCACAATTCGTTAGTACGTAGTTCTGAGAGTGACGGGGAAAACATACTTCATGCCGATACATTGCCTAGATCCTTTTGAAAATGACACAAGGTAATTATCAAGCTGCTTCGCGTTGCCCATGAGCCAGCGTTCCGGCTTGAATTGGCGAGCGTCTGTGCCCCAGACGCTCTCGTCGTAGTGAACAGAGTATGCGGAGCACCCAACAATAGACTGGCTGCTGTTCAGTATATTGAGTTGAAGAGGGAAAAACAGAAAGGACGTACTCCGGGAGGAATGACCTTCCCATCGATCACCAATGGTGGGCCATTTGCGGGGAGGATTCGCGGAAGGCGTCCAGGAACGGGCATCGCTATACGTAGAGACTCCTTCATGCATGCAACCTGGTAGAGTAGTGGTCAGTAAACATCTTTGCTGATTGAGAGTAGATCTCTTCCAGCCGTTATTGGGCGATGGTTCTCTTACCAGGTACGGAATCTTCTCCAGATCCAAGAGAGATGGCATCTGATCCGGATCGACCTCATTCTCTCGCAGCTCCTGCTGGAGCTTTGCGCTAATCTCTGGGGAGTTCAAGATGTGGAACGTGCCAATGGATAGCGTGTATGCTGTCGTGTCAGAACCGGCAATGAGGACCGACATGGCCTCGGAGATCTGTTCATTGTCCGAGTACTTGCCCAGCTTGTCGAACAGCACGGGATAAGGGAGTTCTTCTGTGCGGTTCTTGTTCATCTGCAGGCATACCGTCGCGTGCTGTATCATGAAATAAGCATGGCCCTGAATAAGAAGCCGGGAGGGATAATATTCTTACTTTAAATAGCCCAATTGTTTCTCGGACTGTCTTATCCAAGAGCATGGTGGCCAAAAGTGGGAGTCTCGGCCAGATGATTCTTTTGATGGTATTGTAGTAAATGTTGGTCTGGGCTCCGACAGCGGTGTCGAAAATGCGTAGGTAGTCGGCCCTGAAGTTTTCCGGGGCTTCGTTTGTCAGATCTAGAGTCTTGCTGAAACAGAAAGCACTGATGATATCTATGGTTAGACAGCGGTAGGCGTCCACAATATTGATGGGCCCAGAGTTACAGCGCTCCAGTATCTTTTGCGAGATGCAAGACGTCCTCTCCAGAATTAGAGGATAGATGCTGTTGATGCAGCCCTTGGAAAACAGCGGGTTCATCAGCTTCCTTTTTTCTCTGTGCCTTCCAATGTCGCTCTGAGTGAAGAGGGCTCCGGGGGCGAGGAACGCATCGTAGAAGGTTCCATATTTCGCAGGGGAATGTTGGTTGTAGATTTTTTTGTACGACTCAGCGCCTGAAATATGAAGTTCATTTGGCGAAATGCGGATGACCTTCCTGTCTGGTTTGGGTCACTATAGTATCCTTGTGTGAGGAAGCAACATACTCACCGTACTGTTTGTGCCACTTCTCGAAATCATCCTCTGGAAAGCCCTTCTGGTACAGTCGCCAGAGGGGGATGGAAGAAATAGCCGCTAAAGGCGGACCTGGAAACCTCGCGAGTGGGTGGAAAAACCTTCGGTATATTGCAAGCGTGACAAGGTAAAAGACAGGTAAGCTAGCAAGAAGTTTCAGCATATAAGAATGCTTAAGCTCTTCGGCTGTTGCCTGAACACGGTCCATATCTGAGTCAAGAAGGAGTGCAAGATTGAGTAAAGAGTCAAGCACGAATCTGTGGCGGAAGCTTTCGTAGAAAAAGGCGTGGTGTGGAATTTCCGGACATGTAAATACAAAACTTCCGATTGGTGAGAATGCAATCGAGATTAGTAGCATTACCTGTTTCAGCTATCGCCGCTTCCCAAGAAACGGACATGCGCTCAGGTCTCCTATACTGTGAAACCGTTCTTGGTCGGCACAACTACTACGGGATCCGAAAATCCCCGAAAACACCCGATCTCCGAAGTGCTGTCTCCATACCCCGTCATCGATCAGCAATGCATAGCAACCGATCATCCGCGTAGCAGTGCGGGACATGGTATGTAGGTTGATGGACATGTCCCCTAACATGCGCGGTGGCGAGAAGTGGGCGTGTGCACACAGCCTTTCTGTAGGCGACCACTGACATGGTTTGTTTTGTTTCAGAGGGCTGTCATTTGCCAAAAATAGCAGATGCCATCATGCTATTCCACCTCTCACCTCATCCGCATAAGCGCCATTTCCCCCCCTGTTCTGAAACCCTGTCATTTTCTGCGCTAGTGGTTGGATGGGGAATCTCTCCGTATGGGCTTGCTCACACCCACGCTAGAGCGGTACACCCGGCAGATCTTGTAGATCACCCGCCTGGCGATTCAGGACAGCCACGCCCAGATGGGGGAGATGTCGGCGCCGAGTTCGCGGACGGTATCCGCCAGTAGCACACCGTCATCGGTGTTGTGTTCCATCAAGAGCGATAACAGGGAAGAACAGGAGCCCGCCGACGAAGATCAGCTCGGAACATAACTATCACCGTCCGGAAGGTGACGTAGATGCGATTATTCGCCGATATAATATATTCTTGGCAGCCTCTTTGGATGTTTCATGCGGTGATTCAATGTAGGAGTGAACCACTTCCAACGGAAAGGAAAGCCCAGTTTGTGGCCAGACTTCGCGGCTCCTGCGCCCGCTTGGCACTAACGGAACGTAGCTGTAAGCAAAGCACATATCTTTAGGTCTTCCAGTACGCTTCTACTAGAGACAGTGTAGAGAAGAGCTAGTGATCCACAAGGCCCCGCCTTTGTACCACTCACAGCATCAAGTCACATGCGTTTTTTCCTAATTATTCAGTGGTAAATTAGGGTATAATGGCTCCCAACCGTTGAAAACTCCGCTAATTAAAAGGTATTATACTGAAAGATGCAACAAGAATTATAAAAACGCCAAAACAAACGACGTGCTCGCGACCAGACAGCTTCCCAGTACCCATAAGCGGCCCCTCTCACCTACCACCATCGCCGCCAACGATCTCTGTTCACTCGGCGTCGTCCCCTGCGACCCTCCTCCACCACTACTCCCCGACGAAGTACTGCGACCAGTGCTGCCGCCGCCCCCATCCCCCGTCTGCGCCGCCTGCACCGCCCCCTTCGCCACTGTATTCCCATCCACCACCACCACCCCGTCCGTGCCCACACTCATAACCGCATCCCCCACCGTCGCCGCCGCCGCCCCCGGCGTCAGCGTCCGCCACTGCGGCACCACCACCGCGCCGCCGGACTGCGTGTAGAGCGGGACCGCGGCCTCGCTGCCCTGGCCGCCCAACGTTGCGACAGTGGGCACGGTAGAGGCCGTCGGCGTCGCCATGAAGTACGCGCGGCCATGGCTATCCGTCGCGCCGGCCTTGACGGAGGCAGGGGCCGACGATGGTGACGAGCCCGAGGACGAGGAACACGAAGCGCCGAGGCCGCAGATGATGTACGAGGCGAGTGAGCCAAGCTGGCCGGCGGCGCTGCTGAGCGCGGCCGCGTTGCTACCACCGCCAGACATGGACGACGAGGCGCTGGTCGGCGTGGCGTCGGCCTGCAGCGCCGAGACGGTGCGGATGTTTGTGGTCACGGCGGTTTCGACGACGACTTTGGGCGAGGGCTGGCCCGAGAAGGCGGAGAAGGAGCAGTAGTCGAGGGCCGGGTACAGGTTGTGGAAGGCCTCGTTGAAGCCTGGGATGGTGAAGTTGACCGACGAGTCCATGTTCAGGTACGGCAGCGTCGTGGGCAGCGGGATTGGCGCCGGCTGGCTGAACCAGGCTGACGTCGTGAACTCGGTGCCGTCGTCGCACATGCCCATCTGGTGCACGTGGATGCGGCTGAGGATGAGGGCGTAGGGGGTTGGGTATGTTCTGTGGATGGCGGCGGTGAGTGAAGGTTCTGTGGGAAGTCGAGGACATGGCGTGTCTTACAATACATGCGTGCCGATTGTCTCGAGCGTTCCGTATACGGCATCGACTTCTGAGATATCATACGGTCCTGACGGCGATACCTGTGCGGAGGGTATCAGGCTGGTGTAGCTTTGCATGTCCAAGCCCGTGGCATTGTTCGTGATGGTTCGTGTTGCTGTAGTGGAGACTGTCGACTCGTGCTGCACCACATCATACTGGACCGTCTTTTCGTAGAAGGGTAGTGGAGTTGACAGCCAGTAGATGACCCTGACCTCGATTGTCTTGAGATGTTCTTCCGAGTCATGGGCACCGCATGATACAGAGGCAGTTGGCTGCCCTCCGCAAACGTTGAGGAAGCTGGTCATGAGAGCATTGGAAGAATCATTTGCTGCACTCGCTGAAGGGGTGGCTGGACCTATTTTGCATAAGTATCTTGGAGAATGTTGAATCTTTCAGCGTGGTGTCACTCACTATTTTGTGGTGCAGCAAATGCGAGACTCGCACCGCACAGCAAGAAGCCACAGTACTTCCACATTGCGGAAGATGAGCTATGACTTCGAGGAAAATGGTCGTGCGTTCGATATACGGACAATAAATTCGCCAAATAAGCACTTAGAGTATTAAAGAGTATTCAGTCGTTTGCTGAAGTTATATATAGATGAAGCACATGGAACGAGAAAACGTCAGCCCTTAGCGGTTGCGTATGCCTGGTCAGATCTGGGGCTGCGCAATGATCGACGGACCGGCACGCTACCAGACGACGGCGTCTGGAGGGTCGCACGGTCTCACTGGCTCACTCTGACGTGGTTTGGGGGCGGGGTCATGACCCCGCACACCACCATTGGGCACCGCCTTGACCAACGCACGTGTCCAACATGAAGATACGGCCTCGACCCGCGCTTGATGTCTAGCCTTGCATAACGTGGCGGGAGGTAGGCCGCGTATGCACAACAATGTGCTCGCCTCCCACTCGCCTCGATGGCCCACCAAGTAAATTTCTTCAAATACTACGGAACACCACCAATAACCATGAGCGGGCTTAGAAGTGTACGGCTTGACGTAACGCATAGCGGTTTGGCTGATGCACCCGGGCTCTGTCAGCACCTGGCTCTCAAAATAAGCAAAACGTGGTCACGCCCATTCCTTACACCGGGGAGATTGAAACATTGCTAAGGCATGCCCGCCTAGATATCTTGTGCTTCAAGCCAGGTAGGTTCAGCTGGTTCCCTCGGAATGTTGAGATTATTGACGAATTAAAAAGAGGAGGTCGCACAGCCGCAACTGTTTGAGCCGCCCCTCCCCACGATGCACGTGACGCGCAACCCCCCAGCTTTCGACCCAGCAGCTAAGCACAACTTTGGTCGACGTGAGACTCAGCCGGCACCTGGAGTCGTTGAGCCAAGCCAGGAATGGTACGTCTTGCCTGCCGACTGACTCTTTCCAGAAGACTTGTATCCACGACAAGATTTCTCGGCATTCAACTTTGTTCTGACGAGCTTTCAGGGATGGCAACGATGGCCCGTGGTCAAGCTTTGTCTTGCAAGTCGGCACTCCTCCTCAACAAGTCCGGGTCGACATCTCCATTGCAGGACAGGAGACATGGGTTGTCAGTCCAGGAGGTTGCGCAGATGCAGGAACCGACTGTGCCAATAACAGAGGCGGCGAGTTCAACAGCCAGGCCTCCTCAACATGGCAATCGACAACTACTATCTGGAAGAATTCTGGAATCTACCAGCTTGCCGGGCTGATCACCAATGCCCTGGGTATTGATGGGGTTTGTATTACTGCCGAACGTAGTATTATTCACGTTAACGGTTGAGTAGAACGGGGAATACGGTTTCGATACTGTTGGTTTGTCGTTTGCCGGGCAAGGCGGCCCAGCGATAGATCATGCAGTCGTTGCGACGTATAACACGACAAACTTTTACATTGGCCAGTTTGGGGTCACCCCCAACCCAACCTATTTCACAGTTACAAACGACAATTCGTCTGCACTAGACGATCCAGTGAGTATCTCCAATAAGATTCTTGACATCAACGCAATAATGTGATTGAAACGAACTAACTTTTCCACCAAAGCAAGACAGTTTTCTCACCAAGTTGAACAAAACAGGAAATGTTCCAAGTCTATCTTACAGTTTTACAGCTGGGTCAGCCGGGCGCAGGAACATCAACAAAAACGCCCTGGGCTCGTTCACTTTCGGTGGCTATGACGCATCACTGAAAGGCGCGAGCAACATGTCGTTTGATTTTGCTCCGAACGAAGGAAGAGAGCTTGTGGTTGCCGTGCAGTCGATTACAAAAGGTAACGACAATGGTGGGACCACTGAATTGCTACCGGATCCAATTTTCGCAGCTCTTGATTCTTCCCAGCCCAACATCTGGCTGCCTGAAAAGGCGTGTCAAAATTTCGAAAAGGCCTTTAACCTGACCTGGAATGCGACCGCAGAGCAGTATCTGGTAGATGCCACTCTACATGATCGTTTAGTCGAAGAGAATTCCAGCGTTACATTCAGACTTGGAAATGGAGGCTCCGGGGGACCAACCACGGATATTGTTCTTCCCTACTCCGCATTCGACCTCAGCATGGCCAACTCTACATCAGATTCACAGCCGTATTTTCCATTGAAGAGAGCAGATAATGATACGCAGGTATGTCTCCTACGCATAAACCTTGTAGCATTGATTAACATCCTTTAGTACACGCTCGGTCGAGCCTTCTTTCAGGAAGCATACCTTGTCGCGGATTGGGAACGTCACAACTTTTCGTTATCACAACGCGTATGGAATGACAGTGCCTTACGAGACATTGTGCCCATCTATTCCAGCTCCAGGCAGGAATCTTCATCTTCCAGAAGCTCACCAGGGACAGGCGCCATTGTAGGAATCGTACTGGGTATTATTGCGGGAATTCTTGCGCTTGCATGGTGGCAGCGGCGTTGGTGCGCCAACATGCTTGGCATCAAAAGAGTCCCCGGCCTTGGAGGATATGAGGCGGCAGAGCTCCCCGCAACTGAACCACCAGATGTCGAAATGGCACAGGCCGAGCATGGGGCAGAGTGTGATAAGAAGACGCCTGTGGAAGAGGAACAGCAACAGCCACAGGAGTTGCCGACATCTAACGAGCCGATTGTACATGAGATGGATGCAGGAATGTTACCGGAGCTACCAGACACAGAGGTACGACCGGGGGGCACAAAGCAGCGTTAGAATGACAAATCTTTAGATGTAATGCTTTAATATTGGCCTGCTTGGCTATTCAAGAGATACCGTCTCACATGTGAACTGGACCATCTGAAAGAACGGCTGATCCCGCAATTTGCGGATAGAGTGCCGCCTTCCGGAAGTGACCCCGTTGATCGTGATGTGGTTATGAGATCTCAGCCAGGTGGATTGTCACATGAGTTTGTCATGACTGCAAACTCCTGCGGCGCATGAGTGTTACATAAGCGGTACCAAGACCACGCAGGCTGGCGTGGCTGGGGCCGAGGCTTTGAGCTAGTGCCATCGTTCGCTACTCTCCAAGTTTGGGCGAAGTTCGATAAGTGAATCGGCGCAGGATCAAATAAGGCAGATGTTCCTTGGTTCAAGCCTAAGCATGTAAGAAGCAACCAGCGTTTTTCAGATTCTTCTGCACAGCCCGCCGCACATCCTAAAAAAATAATTTGCTCAGTCAAAAGCTAGTGTATATAATTAATGGAAGTCTGAATATCAGATGAGCTTCGCTGTTGCCTGCGCACCGTTTCCAAACCATTAACAACAATTTGTTGGAAGCACAGCCCGAGGAACCCAACCCCCGACTATTCTCCAACATAAGCATCCATCTAGATCCCTTCTCGCTTCCTGCATCTCATAGAGGGGATTCTCGTCCACTGGAAAATTTTCCATCTTTTACCACTCTCTCCCGAAAACATTGATCTCTTCGCATCTGGAATGGTTGACTGTTTTCGATCTTAGGCTGGGCCTCCTTGTAGAGGAAAAATATACCCGATAAGCCAACGCACAATTTTGTGTCCAAAAAAGCCTTCGTTCTCGAGTTGCTCATACCACCTTCTTGGCGGATGTCGCGTTGAATGTCTTTGATAAATGTCAAAAATTGTCCCCTCTTCTCTTCCCTAACGTGCTTGATGATGGTGGTGTCTTTAAGAGATTAATCACTGAATCTGCTGCCTATAATTGAAATCGTGAGATCGGCTGCGAGTTTCATATCCATCTCTTCCATTGCAGGCAGCAAAATCGTCTCGAGCAGGAAAGAATTCTCACTAGCAAGTTCCTTCTCAAGCACAGAAGCGTCTAGGCCTCTGCAACGGTCGCAAACGCGCCTCAAGAATCAGTTGTAAATCCAGAACATCGTGCTCTGGCCTGAGCAGGTCTTCGAATGCCATTGCTTGTCTGGAAAGGGGCGTTCTGTGAAACTCATCGAGCTTCAGGGCGAGAAACTCAGATTTTCTGGACCTTTCCGCGGATACAGGCACATCTGGAGAGGCCAGAGCCTCGTAAACGTGGCTTGTCACCGTTGCCTTTGCTTTGGCAGACGGCGGTTCATACTTGCCGAGGCAGGGAGACGGGCTCCATCTCCACGACGGATACGAAGATACATGCAGTGCATCGCCTGGAAACAGCCCGCGGGGCGTGGCATGTGCGGGTAATGTTTCAGCTGAATCGTGGGTGTGGTGTGAAGCAGCAAAGTATGATCATCGGGCGCACCAAAGTTTATTTCATTCAGCCTTGTGCATCGCCACTTCTGTTGCCTGATTGCCTTGGATAATCGACATGCAGCAGTTCTATCAGCCTTGCCTTGGCCGCTTGATGGTGTGGTTACACCAAGCAGTCAGCATTGGAAGTGGTTCGATGGAGCGGATAGCTTCGACTACCGGTCATCCGTCTTTTCGCAAAGCGACTACGTTTATAGCAGCCAATTTTCGTCTCGTGCGCCCGCTTTCCAAGCCATGGGCTCTACGCAGTGACCTGCCCTTCTTCACCTGCCTTTCTGAAGGGACAATTGAAGTCCTATGCTTTCTTCAGTTGTCACCTTGCAGCAGCTATTGACGGCAGGGCTGAGATCTACTGTTGTATGATCTCGATACTGGGAAATGACAGGATGATAACTTGTTGCCGTAGACAGGTTGATGCTTGTAATAATGATAAAGGGCACAGCCGCAAGGCTGAGTTCAGTTATCAGCCTGCCTGTAGATAAGCAAGACTGGCTTGGGGCTTACCATCGGAAAAGGCACTAACGCCGATCCGCTGTAAGCTATCGTAAGCTTGCTGGTATTGATCAGACATCTGGTATTTCAACACGGCTGTGAAAAGCAAAATGTATTCAGACTACCCGCTGGTACTGATATGCTTCACATGTGCGTAATCGTTGCAAAATAAGCTTGTTGTCAGCCTTCTCAAGTACTGTGCCCTCATATTACAGTACGCTATTCCTATCGCAGAGGCGACCTTCAATGGTCATTTGAACGCAGAAACCTCACTTCCAGCCCCGAACAAAACTTTCACTCGACATCGAAATCAATCGTCCCCCATCCTTCGTACGTGCAAGACCAGTGGCCCTTCTTATCCATCCGCATCGCCTCCAAGCAGCTACCCGGCATGATGATCTGGCCGGGAAGCATCTCGACGTCGTACTGTGCAAGACGGTTGACGAGCCAGGCGACTGCGTTGATCGGGTTGCCCAGGATATTCTTAGTGTTCCCTGCCATGATCTCTTCTCCGTTGAACTTCAGGTAGCCTCGCATATCGCTGAGGTACAGGTCGGTAAGGCGGCGGGGCGTCCCGCCGAGAATCACCGCACCCGTTGAGCCGTTGTCAGCAAGCGTGTCCTCGAGTCCGATCTCCCAGTCCTTCACGCGTGAGTCGATGATCTCGATGGCTGGGATGGCGTAGTCGATTGCGCTGATGACATCTGCGGCCGTGACATTGGGCCCTTTCAGCGAGCCTTTCAGGACGAAGGCTGGCTCGAGCTCCACGAAAGGCGCAACGAAGTCTGACAACGAGATCTTGGTGCCTTCGTATAAGAACGTACTAGCAAGCAGGAATCCGTGGTCTGGCTTGTCGAGGCCGAATGCGTCCTGCATGGCCTTGGCGATGTTTCCGAGCTTGTAGCCCACCAGGCGGTCGCCGTTTGCCACAGCCAGGTCAACACTGATTTTTTGGACCTCGAAGGCGCCGTGCTCGTCAAGTTTGGGATATGTCTTAGCAGGAGGGGCAATCGGTGTTCGGTTGAGGCGCGCGTGGCGCAGGCTTTCGGCCAGTTCGCGCAGATCTTTGGACTCCATGGCTCGTGGTTTCTGCAGGTGAAGCAACAAGTATAGAGATTGTGTCGCGACGAAATCAGTCCTTGTTAACAGAGGATGGGAATGGTGGCGTGCTGCTTTCTTATAGTACCGATTCACATCTATGCCGAGTAGAGCTCGGATATCCCCAAATGCTTCAGTCCGAATTCTATTGAAGGCATGCACTCTGAGGTAATTGCAATGCCTGCGGGAAGCGAAGCCGAGACATGGGTTACGGGCCGGGATCGCTCGGGAGACACCCGAAGTCCGATCGCGTTCCACGGACTTCATAAAAGGGAAAAAGAACCCAGAGGTGACGGGTTGTAGGAGACGTGGAGATAGATGCCCGTCTCTGATGCGGGCTATGATTTCGATGGGCTTGCAGGGGAAGCGTTGACTTTCCATTATTAGCAGACTTGAGCTTGACCTCTTCCTCTGCTTCCGTACCAAACTCAGCGACTTCAAACCTTCAAACGCCCTGCCAACTGTCTACCTATGCTGTACTGGGCTTTGAATCTTGGTAAGAGGTTGAGTTATCCACGAGTAGTTAACCCGACTCTGAAAGCAGGGCACGATACAGATATCCGGGGGGTAATTTCCCTCCATATGTGGCAATACAGATCCGTCAAGCCGGGCAGGTCGAACAGTGAATTGTGTAAATTAGTTGAAGTGATTCATTTCCGAGGAATTTGTGATTTCATCCGACTACAGGGCTCTCCCAGTGGGAAACGGGCTCTCATCTTGACCGGCTTAGTCACCTCGGAAAGAAGCCGAGGGGAGCGGGTTGTCGGATGTCCTTCCGAGATGGCACCAACTTACCCCACTCCCCGCCTGCAAAGATGCTGATCCAACAAAGTGCAGCGAAAAGTGCGGGGCACCTCAGGATTAAAATACCATATGGAGGCTAACAATTATTACGTGGTGAATTCCCGTAGGATATTGAAGCAGGGCCAAGTACTTGCGGTAGTTTCCGAATGAGATTCAAACTGACGCAGCGCTACTTTTTCTACGCGAGTTTTACCAGACTAATTCAATACACAAGCAGCCTGCAGGGCTCGAAGTGGGCGGCTCCATGCTGCTTGTGCATCTATCGCCCGGTGTTCAGGTTACTGTGCAAGAATCAGGTGACGTACCGTCCAAAAATAGCAAAAGAGAAGAAAGAAACTGCTGCATAAGACTGGACCAATCACGAATTAGGGCTTGTTTAGAAACTGGAGGCGGATAGTTGGATCGGCAAATGCGTTGCACGTAGTGTCTGCCAGAGCCTGTCTGATCGCTGATAAGTTTTATGTAGACGAAGAAAAAGAAAACAAAACAAAAGAAAGCACCAGTTTTCTCCCTAAGAGCCCGTATTCCTGTTGCTAAACAAAGCGCGGGGCATCCGAAAATAACCCCCCGGCATACGCCTCTGAGTATTGCGTGCATTATTCTTCAGCTCCGTTTGGCTGCGCACCAAGCCAGCCTCACCCACGCCAAGCGCACTTGAACGCGACACCATGCAGCCACTCTGTGACCTGCTGCAGAGTTTGAAAGTGAGGGATTGGCCAGAATGCGACCTGAAGCGCTGAGGGGCGGCCAGAAAACAGCCTATGGTGCCGGAACGATCTCGCATCAAACAATCTTCGCATCCCATATGCAACCACTACCCAAAAAAAGACACGGCGACTCACTGAGTGCATTATGTGCCCGCAGTCGCCCGATATGTTGACCACGCCTTGCGCCAGCTGCTCTTGGCCAATATTCGCATTCCGGGCAGGCGATGCAACGATAGCATGGCTTCATTCAGTGTCTCAGCCTTGCGCCGTCTTGCAGTCTGTGTCGCCACCTGCGAGAAGAACAAGAATAAGCCAAACGTCCAGGTGGAAGGCAATCACCCCCGGCTATTCAGCTCAACTAAGCTCTCCAAACATACCGTCTCAGAGTTCAACTGACGAGATTGTCATTAAAACAAGGCTGCTTGGAACGAGAGCTTCAGTATAGAGCATCATGGCTCTAAGTTCTAAATACCTTTTTGATTGCCACAGGGTGCACACTATAAGTCTTAGCGACGTTGAACTGTACTTCAGAATTAATTTTATATACTAACGGTACTATGGGAGTGGCTGCATGGGCTGGCAACCTGGCAAAACTGGCTGCTAACGATCGACGTTGTCACAAAGACTATGACCCTTCGTGTTAGCTGTGGGGCCTTTGGTGATGATGGAAGTCATGGCAGTAACATTAAATCACAAAGCGAAGCTCGTACAGTGTATGTTGCAGGAACATATGTGGTTGAATTCAATTGCGCCACCTGAGATATGCTTGCGTCCTTGGACTTTGCCCGCGCTCACCCAAGTCGAAGACGCTCTTTCCTAATCAAGGGAAACTGGGCCCGTAACTTCGAGATTACTTTCCCAAACCCCTCATTCCCCTGAAGAGGGATGTTTAACGGCAGGTCAACTACCCCGAATCGTTCAGCTGCATTGTCCTTTTTTTCGACTACTAAACAGTGAAGTGACAGACAGGGTTGTCCTACTGAATCAGGTCCGATCCAGGTAGAGTGACCTGTAATGAGTGCGACTAGATCCCCTATTGCCCGTTCTCCGCTTTGGAGTTCGCTTTCTGAACATGCAGCATTCCTGACGCGGCAGGTTCCAATGTTTGGCAGTCGGACAACAGGGCCGATACTACCATGCTTACCATTGTGCTGATTCCAGGCAACCTCCAGAGGATGCGTCCAGCCTTGGATATGGAGGAATCGAGAAGCTGAGATCCTCTTTCCGGATGCTTGTTGGGTTGAAAATTCTTCCAGGCTTAGCAACCCTGTACCGTCCTCCTTTTCGACCTCAATGCGCAGGGGCAGAGGCCGGTCAATGTCCTGCACAGCAAATGCAGGAACACCTTCCCAACCAGCCCATGACCAAGACGGGAATTGGTTTCGTCGAATGGCAGAACGGTAAAAAGCGAATTCCCCATCAGACTCCCAGGTTCCATTTTGTGTCTTCCACATTAGAGGTAGATGTATTCGGGAATGTTTTCCAAGTCTCACTGGCGAATACGGAAGGCCCCAGAGATGGTGCACAGGGTTTGAGCCATGTTCAAACATTGACAAGACTCCTGAAAGCCCATTCAAAGCATCCGACGGATAAGATAGTTGCCTCGTACAGTAACTTTGAACGTGATCTATGACCTGGTTGATATGGGGAATTTGTGGGTCGAATGGGAATGCGATGTCCAAATTGCATCCCATATCAACAAATTCAGTGGGACTGAAGGTATACTTCCACGCCGAAGCAGGCCATTCCTCCATCATTGAAGTCTGGCACTGGAGAAAAGCATGCTGATCCGTGAACACCAGACGAAGTTTAGAAAGGATAAATTCCTGAAAGGTCCAAGCACGAGTCATCCAGGCTGACCTGGCTAAAAGCTCTTGGGATGACGCGTGCAACGGCTGAAGCACGTATTGGCCAATGCGAATTCCTGTCACTTTCTTTGGCTGTCGGCGTGAAATTCCTGGTAGGCCATGGCCGGGCCCGCTTCCGGCGGCTGCGATGAATGTGACCTCGGCCTGACTGTAAATTGAGCCCATCTGCTGGATTTGGGAATGCTTCTCGGTCAGGTTGTTCTGGTTGATGCAGTATCGATCTACCCACAGGAATCTGATTCCCAGACCCAGCGCTGCAGTCATAGCATCTGAGATGGTCTGTGGAAAGTTCTGCAAATCACCCACAGGATTTGAAGGAGGGCCCCAAACGTAGCTGAGAGCGGCATACTTGCAGCTTTCAGGAGCAAGCACAACGTTCCTTCTTCGGCAGTCAATGACCCTGAGTCCCACCACTCTCTGTTGCTTTCGAACTTGAAGATTGCAGCAGGCATGTGTGCGCTTGCAAATTGCGATTTGCTTTTTAAAGACAGAAAGATTGATACGGTCGCGGTGCTGTGCTTCCTGAAACGGTTCTTTGAATACCTGGCAGGACTCTTTAGGTTGTCGAACGCTCAAAAAGTCCTCTGTAATTTCGAGTACTCGTAAAGGTTCGTCTTCAGCCGATGACTTCTCGAGATCCGAGACCACATAGAAATAAGCAACGTGGTTCGAAATCCGGTTCTCTTTGCGGATGTAGCGGGCATGTCGCAGGAGTTGGCAGCAGGGACAGGAAGGAAGCGTATCGGTTTCCCAATCTTCAACCAATAATTTTTTCAGCCAGACACCACACATGGGCCTTCTGATTTCCTCCAGTATGTTCCATGGATATTTCTCAGTATTGCATCGTTCGCAAAAGAGGGACTGATCAATTTGAGTTGCGGATGTGTGGGACGTAGAGGAGCCTGGAGAGAATCGAGGGGATGGCATGAGCAATTCGCTCGGATTTGGTCTGGTGCGCTTTGGCACCGTGTCGACACCATCTGGAGCGAGACCCCTCTTCCGCCCAAGCTGTGATTTGGTATTTCCTGCCATGCGGATAAAGTGACCTTTGAGAGAGCCCATTCACGAAGTCGGGTGTCAATTTGGAGGTAGAAACCGTATGGAACGTGTCACGAGCGTAAGCGAAGAGATTGAAAGCGATTTAGCGTTCTACCGTCAGGTGCTGTTGAACGCCTCGTAATTAAGGTGGGAGAAATTGATGCCGTTTTCGCCAGGCAGCAGCGCAGCCAGGATGGGCTGCTGACAGCGCATCATCTGCGTCGCGTCGCTCCACTTTAGTGGACGCTTACTGCGGGGCTTCTCAGTCTCGAAGGGTCGAGAGAACCTCGAGGGCATTCGGGAATTCTCTAAGTAACACAAGCAATTGAGCATAAGCTCTCGTATATCATAACTTGCCGAGCTCCAACGTCGTTGGAGTAAGTGGCCGCCGTGTTAGAATGGATCGTAGCGTATGCAGTTTACCAGACCCCACTTTTTGTTTGGTAATTCAGCGATCATCACGTCACCATCCGCCAGCAGGGAAACTCATGGACGATCATGATGCTTTGCGACGGTCGGCTTTTTGGACCGAATCTTATAACAGACATGAGTGAAGAGTCGATTCTACCACCAAGTCCTTAGTTCGGCACTTCAGACCCATTTTCCTCCCATACAGCTTCGTAGACGAAGAACACATCATCCCTGGCATTGTCTCGGACCCCGCAGAATTTGAAGCGCGGGTCAGCCAATCTGAAGATTTCTTTCCACTCTTCTTCAGTTCTCTCGCTGCTATTGAACTTGCTCAACATGCACATGTCGGTACACCTAAGACAGCCTGTTAGCAGAACTCTGCACAGCCTATGAAAACTCACCGTATGAATTTGTTCTCCCAACGGGGCAAAGTGTCGCATTTGGACAAACAGCCCTGATTGAGGATGACCCTTGCTCCCGGTTTCATGACCGGGACAAGGTTCTTGAGGAACTTGACACAATACTTCCGGGGCCAGTTGGGGAACACGTGACGGAAAAGGTAGACATCGGCCGCCACGGGCTGGACGTCGTTCATGTCGTAGGCCATGAAGGAGATTTTGTGCGCCAGCGCCGGGTCGAGCATCTTCCTACCTTGCTCTACCGTAGTCGGCAAGTCCTGCACGACGAAGCGCAGCTCAGGTGCCACTTTAGCAATGGCGATGCTCACCTGGCCGTGCGACCCGCCCACCTGAACCGGTGCTGGTTAGTCATCCGATCTGCATGGTAGTGCGTAATACGGAGTGCGCTCAGCTTACATCCACGACCGTTGCCTGTCCCAGACCCTTCCAATTAAAACCTTCGATCAAGCTGTCAATCTTGTTGATGCGCCCGGCCGTCTCCTGATGCGTCGCCATAGCGCCTCCGAAAACGCGCGCGCGCTCCGGCCTTTCGCTCAGGTACTGGTAAAGCGATTGCCCCCCAAACGCCAACCCGAATCCCGTCTCGTTCGGCTCCTCGCTGCCCGGGAAAGCAGATAATGCGTGCGCGGCCCGTAGTGAAGCGGGCCCAAGCTCTTCGAACACCATGTCAAGCCGATCGCGCACCCCCTCGCCGGTGCGGAGTGCAAGCGACGCCCGCGTGTGTGCGGCAACACCGGGGCGCGGCTCGTGGAACACGTAGTAGAGCGAGGCATGACGGATGAGACGCGCGATGAGTGAGGTTGGGAGGCCGGTGGTAGTTGCTACGGCATCGAACGTAGCCCCGTCAGGGGTATTGGGAATCGCATCGGCGATCTTGAAGCGGATGATGATGTGGAGACTGGCGTTGTCGTGGAATTGCTATTTAGAATTAGCGAGAGGACGCGCCATTGAGAGGGAGTTGAGAGACGTGCGCTCCATGCTTGCCATTTTAGATGCTCGACGGGGCCGAATACCAGCGCCGTAATGTCTTGCGCTGCAGCATGCAGCCTACCTTGTGAGGCTTTTAGTTGCTGGTTGTCTGAGGGAATGGGAAGGAAAGCTGGCCCATCGGCCGCGAATGACGGATTGGGGAGATTGTTTTCTTCAATGTAGTCGGCGAGGCGCTTGGCTTCTACGGCGATAGTCTGCGCAAGGTCGATTAGCGAGGACATGTTGATTCTGGATCACGTTTGGCAGTCTACTTGCCTCGATAACGATGAGATGATGCCCCTCATATACTGCTTTCCCGCTTTTGTTTATCAGAAATGCGCCAGGAAAACAGACCTTGCTCATTGGTTTACTAGACTGGTACTTCTATAAGCATTCCGCCCGAGATAACCGGCTGTCAGTCATGCATACTGGAACGCTACTATATCAATGATGTAACATGGATCCCGCACACAGTACAAAAACTGGTGCAGTAAAAAGCAGACTTACTGAAAATGGCAATTTTGCTTGATGGTGGACAATACATTTCAGTAGTAGCCATTGACTGCCACGGGGTCGAGTAAAAATGTGACGAAAGGTGATTCAGATTGAAAGTCGCCGAAGCGTAGATCGGACTAGAGCCCAAATTTACCATTAAGAAGGAATATGGGATTTGCGCAGCGATATTGGAACAGTAGAAGGCTGAGATATGCTAAGGCTTGCGAATAATAGGCGAGCAGACCGACTGGTTTCAGTGTTCAGAAGCAAGAAAGTCTGAACACCTAAGAACCCGCGGTCTACATATTGCACGATGGCAAAGGCTCGAGTAGAATCCACTGCGGCGGAAGAGAAAGGATAGATGCAAATCGAACCTGACAGATGAGTGAAGATTGCTCATGAGCTTGCATAATCCTGCGCTTTAGCTAACCCACAGCCGCGAAAAATCGAAACGTTCTATCATCCAGGCTGAATAGCGCATGGCAGGCCCCCTGTATGTGCATATTTGTGGCTTGTGTTTTGAGTTTGCTGCCGAACCAGACTGACTCTGTAAGACCTACTGTGGTTACAAGTATAAGGAGTGGTTAGCATCGTGTTAAGTGAGACATGTTTGGGCGGGCTCAGCCTCGTCCATTTAATCCGATCAGAGAAATCCCGCACGATGCACCTGCTTCGTATTTACTGCGGGGCACACAATCCTTCCCATCCACTACCAAAGTTCTCAAAAGGACAGTCCCGCGCTAAATTTCATGATCGGATAGCGGCAATTCATTTTCTTACAGGCAGACTGTACCACGGTTTGTATAAATTTTAATGCAGGTATCCGAAGAATTGTCAGCTTGCTTCAACGCCTAGCTATTTCCCCCGGACTTAGCGATTGATTCATTTCGCAATCGCATATCTTCACTTTAATTTTCATGACGATTAGCTCTTGTAAAGCACTACAGCGAGGTGGTTTATTTCGTATGTTTCGAGTGGTGAAATCCTACGCCGCAGGAGTAAGTTATACCAAGAACAGTTAGTCGTAAGGGCCGCGCGGCGTCGGACCAGCCGATCCATCATGCCACTGGTTGGACCCTTTTAACGAGGCCCCACTGCGGTACGTTACGCCGATCATGGTTAGTAATACGAAGCGTACCAATTCTCAATGCCAGCCACACATTTTACAACGAACAGGCCATCGTTCTGCAGTATAATAACCGCTACTCCAATCGAATTCCACTGGTCGAGGCAACAATATTCTTACGGTCTGGCCAGCAACGATGATGCTCCGCTCGGTAGACCGTCGTCTTCCCTCGCGAAGCCAGGAAAAGTTTGACGGCTGGTGTGGGCCTTCAATACACCATGATTACTTTCATGCTGTACATGTATCTCGCTGCAACAATTATGATGAAATCAGGACTTGAAGTACGGGGTGCAAGTCCTTGGATGAAGGTTTCAGCTCTCGACCGAGCTGTACAGCGAGCAGCGGGTTCTCCGATTGAGATAGACACCCATTGTGATTCGTCGTCTAAAAGTCAGAGCTGTGGGTAGAAAGGAGACAGTCTGTAATGACAAATTTTATGCTTGTATTAGAAAAGGATATAAGTGTAGGAGGCGTGGTAAATAATCTGGCTTTGCCACCAACGTGCGCGCTTTTGAAGCAGGCTGAGACTGCTGTTTCCTGCCTTTCCAGACTTAGAAGATGACAAGATATTCGAGCAGTCTCAATAGTACACGTGTTGACTTCGGCAAAGACGATCTAAAATGCAATTTCACATAAAATACCCGGCTGAAAATTGATACAGTGCACGTCTCATAAGCTTAACCCATAGGTAAGGGGTACCAAACATCGCAACAGCGACCACTCCATCTCGAGGGGCAAGGAAGAAAGCACGAAACCAAACGATCAAGACACTATCTTTTTCTCGGGCCTAGACTGCTTTCGATTTGGGTAGTTGTTGGCATCTGTGACGTTTCCGGTCCGTGATACCTCTTATCGCGTAATCTTTCTACCGTAAGTTCTGCCGATTCCAAGTTCTACCGACGCAGGAAATCAGGCCGTCTACATGCACACCGTATCGGCTGAGTATTCTCGCGGCTGGAAAATCACCCACTGTCAAATGACCAGATGACGGAGGCCAAAGCTGAGCTGCGGCGATGACACTTGCGTGGCTGCCCCCAGCGCTTCCGGGTGGAAACTCGTGTCAGGCGATATGCGCTTGTCCGGTAGAACTATGGCAGCATGAGGCAGGGTTATCTTAAAGAAGATTAATCAAAGCAAACAGCGCCCTAAATTCGTGACAGGATGATTAGTGGAGGTCAGGACGTGCATTATGTTTGAATTCAGGAATGGTAGAGCTTACGATATTGATTCTGGGACGGCTATAGAGACGAGTAGGGAGTCCGAATGTGAATATTTGGCAGCCTCGAATGATACAGAAACTTATTGCATTTTGATTCTGTAAGGGAACATTCAAGCTGAACTTTACATTCCAGCGTGCTTGCTTCTCTATCAGCGAAGACATTCTCAATTCTAATCATAGGCCGTGTAATAATCTATCATGAACTTTCCTCCTTCATTCATTTCGTGACAGAGCCATTTCCCCCTTCACATCACTGGAAAAACCTGTTTAGCCCTCCATCCGAGCCACTCCACTTTAACGTCTTAATTTGACGTAGAAGCACAACCGAGCTAATTTTCATCACCATGAACCCGAATTCCTCCGAAGCACAAATCCCGGGAGAAGTATCAGCCACGCCGTCTAAGAGTTGTGAGTCACTACAGGATACGAAATCCAGAAGAGATAAATTGCTCCGAAATCCCTCTCAAACGCATGGCCTCCGTCCAAACGCCAAACCTTACTTCTCCAAATCACTTCCATGGTGCTCAACACCGCTCTTCTCATTGACGTATTCTTGAGGCATGGCAATCGGTCTGGTCTTTGCGAAGCGTGGCGTAGCCAGAACAGACGGGCTCTCGCGGAACATCATATCAATCTCTTCGAGGTTCCTTCCCATCGTCTCAGGAAACAGGAAATACACAGAGATAGGAATGCAGAAAGCGACAGCGGCGTAGACAAAGTAGTACTTCCACCCAATGGTATTGAGAGCGATGGGCGTCACCATTACGACAACGAAGTTCCTGATGGGAGATGGTGTCAGAGAGAGCTCTGTAAGATACGTGGGTCAGTGACTTACCAGAGCCAGTGATTCGCCGTTGAAATGGAGGACATTGCGACGCGAAGGCGGATGGGCGCGACTTCGGTACAATAGAGGAAGTTTCCACCAAGAAATCCGACCGGGACAAAGAAGTTGTAGAGGTAGATGAAGAAGGCGGCCGCAATCTGAGCGGAATGCTGCTCCATCGACGTGCAAATTGCCAAGCAGATCATGCAGATGCACATGCCGATGCCACTGTAGATGAAGACCGCGCGACGACCAAAACGGTCAATGCAAACAAAGGCAATGAAGGAGGAGAGAAACTTCCACGTGAGAGCGCCTGCGGAGAGCACCCGCGATAGCTCCCCGCTCATGCCCAGGTTTTGCTGAAACAAGATGGTAGTGTAAACAGAAATGAGGTTGGAACCGGACATCTGCTGATAAAACTGAAGCATGATGCAGAGGCAAAAGCGATACAGAAGCTTATCCTCCCCCATGCTAAGCATATCCTTAAGTGAAGCTCCGTTCGACTCCTCGAGTGAAAGTTCGATGCCGGTCAACTCGGCCTGCAACTCCATAGCATTCTCGTCGCTATAGCCCCTAAGCACAGTGATGGCACTACGTGCTTCGTCGATACGGCCCTGGCGAACAAGCCATCTCGGCGACTCGGGGAAAAGGAAGACGGAAGCGATGAGAATGAGAGAGAAAGCAATAGCGATTGCGATGGGTGCACGCCAGGTTACTGGGCCCTCTAGCTCGAAGAAGCCGAGGTCGATCCAAGACTCGAGGGTGTAACCCAGGCACATGAAAATACCACAGACGATGACCTGCTTGCCCCTATTCTTCGCTCCCGAGGTTTCGCTCTGCCAGACTGGCACCGTGGCGCTCAACTGTCCAATACCCAGGCCGATGATGATGCGACCGACGATGAGCTGAGCCAGTTGGAAAGCAGAGCACTCAAGGATTTCCCCCACAAGGGTGCAAATCCCTCCAGCCAGAACAACAGCGCGGCGTCCAAATTTATCACCCGTGTAGGAGCACGACAATGCTCCGAAGAGCGCGCCGATAACGAATGTAGCAACCACCACACCTTGGATCGTCGAATGATAGCTCTTGTTGGGTCCGCTTATGGTGTTGATCTCCGGAAAGGTTTTCACCCAGTCAGGTTCGGTAAGAAGGCCACCGAGACCAGCTTGATTGTAGCCGAAAAGGATGAAGGCTGGGGCTACGACCAGGGCGACTTGGAGCTTCTCGAGGGCGCGGCCGGTCAGGCCGAAAACACCTTTGGTGCTCATTTGGTGTGATTGATGAGGGACAAAAGTAATAGGGAGGGAATGAAAAAAAGGCTTAACAAGGCGCAATATCGACGGGAGGAAAGCCGTAATTTATAGCCTGACAGTGCAGAGTTCGGAAAGTGGTTCTCGGATGTCTTCAACGGAGGATGTGAGGTCAACACAAGCGCTACAGGTCCAATGACTGAGTCGACTTCGGTTTATTTGTCTGCCACTGATAGGTAGCAGTCTAAGCGGGGGGCAAAGTCGGGGCTGCGCTTCCCCCGCCCTTCTCCTTCGCTCACTCCATCACCTCGTAATGACCCATGTCTGAATGCATCCAAGTGATTGGATATTGCGGGCGCTCTGCGGCGACGGTGGGCCCTTTGAGGCGCTTCTAGAGTGAAACGCCGGGTGGGCCCCGTAAACCTGCCAAGCTCGGACAAGCTCAACACAAGTGCTGACAAGCCTCCCATGCTACCCGACGCCCGGGCACAACTACCGAAGCAGATCTGGTATCAGAGGCGCATAGCCGAAGGAGGGAATGACGCAGTGCTGTAGAGGTGCCTATCTCTTTGCCGACTCTTTCCATGGCGAGTCAAATTGAACCCCTCTGTTGCGTCGTAATCCACAATCAGTGACGACGATCCCGGGGTAGCAGTCTCTGACGAGTGGTAAGGGCAGTGCTTTCAGTTCATCCATTTAGCCGTAACTGAAGCTCAGACGGCGTAAGATGCGGACGTGGGACGAAATGGGAATACAATACGATGGCTGCCCACGGGGTAACGTGCGGAGGAAAGACAGTGGGCGGGCCTGATCTATGGTAAATTGTGGGGCAGGTGAGCGCGGTGGGTTGAGAGCGGCGTAATTTGAGGGCGGTTCCGCATGCTCTAAGCTTGACAGGTGCTCTTCGCGTCGCCTGTGCGTGGAGCCAGCGAAGGAAGTGCCCACTTAGGTGTCTCGGAGCTACGTGGGCTATTCACCGCGACTTGCGGACCTCTTTCGGCCGAGTCCAGCTCTAGCTTTGCAGATGCCCCTATGTCCGAAGCTTTGCTGCGGGAATGCAATAGACTCAGCCTTGGCACACTACCTGTACGTCATCATTTCTGGTGCCATCTCCGCACGGGCGTGGGCCACTTTGTGCCTTCCACGCAAGCCTCACCAGATACATGTGCAGACCTGCCATATCCGCCAGCTCCAAGCATGGCCAGAGATCCAAAATTACAGACCAAATCTGCAAACTTGCTATGAAATACATCTGAATGCCGGTACTTTCACTCAACTTGTTGTTCGACCGGTGAACGCCCCTGGCACTAGTCATCTCAACAGAGCGGTGGAGCCAATGAAGAGACTGGCTCTGACTGGTCGATAATGATGATAGCGGAACTCTGCCAGCTTTGCAAACAATCGACCTTCTGTATGCGGGCCCATGCTAGTCTCCATAGACATGTACGTCAACATGACCATCGAACGAGGTGCAATCTTTTCAATCTCACCTGCATAATTTGCTCAACGAGATTTCAACGTAGAAGCGGCGAAGACGCATGCTCCACTGGCGAAGTACCGGCATCATTCCGTGGGCCACTTAAGAGCGAGGCGTCGCGTCCCTGGCCGGTAAATAGTTCAAGCGAGAACACTTACCTAATCAGGAAACGGGCGTCGCCCATTCGGCAGCGGGATACAAGTTGCCACATTCGCGTCAAAGTCTTCCCGGTACGGTCCCCTTTTTTCTTCCTTCCTGCTGTCCAGCATAATTGCCCACAAGCTAAAGCGCCGGCGAGTCCGTCATAGACACGTAGTCTGCTCAACTGATCGTGCAGAGGGGTGAAGCATTTATTGTCTTGCGCGTTGACATCCAGCCCTGGTTCCTTTAACCATGTGTAAACCCTGCGAATATAATCGCGTCTCAAGAGCTTCAACAAGACTGTCTGACTTTTCCGATCACGTATATTGACATTATACCGAGACTGACGACAAATTTGATCTTCGGGCTCTCCGACGCAATATTCGGGTTGTGTAGGATCGGGTCGCCAAGTTGATCCGGTTGATTAATGTCGTGACCGCTCAGGACAAGCTTCATCAATGGGTTCTTAAGCCCATGTCTGAAAGCTATGAAGACCGGAGCAATATCCATGCTAATATGTCTGTCCTGAGTGATGCATAGTGTTTTGAAACTGGCGGGGGGCTTTTGACGACATTCTGAAAGGCTTTCCAGATTTCATCAGAATCATCTTTTAGTTTCAGATGATGTGACTAGTACTGATGCGCGTAGCTGAGGAAAGTGTATCTCGTGAGAAGACTCGAATTCATACGTAGTGAGCCTGTCTTGCTCGTTTCGGGACCCCCAATGAGACATGACCCTCGTGATCATTGATTTCAATAATGTAAGGACATTTTTTCTCCAAAAAAAAAAGTTTGAATTAACAATCGCTCATGGACCTGAAGTTCAGCGCATGTTTGAGGCTGCTCGTTGAGGGCGAGTGCTAAAGCTCTTCAAATGAGAGGGGCCGCTAAGCAACAATCAGCCAACGCAGAATGTGGTACAGCTCTTCGTGGGATTCCAAATCGGCAGACATCAAGACGCAGTTTTACAGCCTGTTTAGACCTTTTGGAAGCTCTTGGAGCTATGTAAGTCTTTATGAAAGGTCGCTTCAAACCAAGTTCCTACGGCAAGCCAATGCAGCCATTCGGAAGGTCTTGGAGCGATGAGTGACTCAACACCCCAAAGGGCGTTTGGGTATTCCATGGGCTAAAACAGCCGTTGCACAGATTTCTAAGCCTGTCGCATGCTGCAACGTGTATGCAACATTTATGAGAACTGTGGAGCGATTAGGGGTCCCAGCAAGCGCAAGCGGCTTGCAAGCGGACATTTGGGCCCGCTTGATCAAATTTCTAAAATCAAGCGCTTGCGTTTGTAAACGGCGCAAATTCGCCTGCCTTTAAGCCGCTTGCTCGATTGCTTGCAAGCAGAGTTATAGGTGGATACCTATTAGAATGAGCGTAGCGTTTACCCAATCATGGTAAGAGCTTTGAATCGCTTAGTGAGCGTCTAATCAAGCTAAGTGGAAGCATGCCTACTTGTTTGATCGATTTCGAAAGCCTTCCGTGCTTGCAAACGGCCATGAGGACCCCTGGAAGCGATCCACTCCTAACTACTATTGTTTGTCCACTGCAATGGATACTGCTTATAAATTGACACACTGTATCTTCCATCACAGACAAGTTCCTCAATTCTTCCACCTTGCTTTTATCTTCCACAGCCAAAAATCCCTCTTTCCGTGACTCTGCTATCTTTGACCCGCTTCACTGTACGGCTGTAGTCCTCAGTAAGGCCAGCATTAAGCATTGTCACCATCACAAAAAATGGCCACTCTAGAGTCTCTCAAGCGGGCTCTTAAGCAGGAGGCCAAGGCTACGGCGTCGGCCCCGGAGCAGCCGTTATCCGAAACCCAGTACAGCGCCGGCTTCAATGTCTTGGTACAGGACTCAGGATGGATGACGTACCAAGACTTCATTATCCCTCAACTTTCTCAGCTACTCGCCCCTCTCTTCGATTCGCGCATCCATATCTCTGCACTGGAAATCGGTCCTGGACCGAAGAGCGTGCTTGGATATCTTCCTGACCGTCTCAGACGGAAGATCAAGAGATACACTGCATTCGAGCCTAACGGTTTGTTTGCTGCAAGCTTGGGAGAATAGCTTGGTTCCAACCCCGAGACGGAGTCACCGCTACCCCATCTGGAAAGTGCGGCCGACATCCGTCGAACTCCATTCGTTCTAGAGGACAACGGAGGGTGCAGTGACGACAAGAAATTCGACATCATCCTATTCTGCCATAGCTTGTATAGCATGAAGCCCAAACGCAAGTTCATCGAAAAGGCGCTGGGAATGTTTTTTGAACGACCACAAGACGGAATGGTGGTGGTATTTCATCGCGACGAGGCTCTGCATCTCGACGGCTTGGTGTGCCATCAAATGGCTTCTTTCCCTACTGGCGTTGTTCGCGTGGCAAATGACGACGAGACACTGAACTGTTTCGCTCCTTTCATTGCGGGATTTGCCATGCAGGATGTGGATGTGGACAAGACTATCCGAGCTCAGTGGCGCAAGGTGTGCCGCGCCTTGGGTCGTCGCGAGGAAGCCGACCCAAACCATCTCCTGTTCAGCGCGCCCAACGTCATAGCAGCCTTTACACGACATGCGACTACATTGCCGGAGCTGGTAGCGCAGGTGCCATTGATGGAAGGGAACAGGGTGGTTAAAAACCGGAAGGCTCGGTTTCATCTCCCCGCCGCGGTCGTGAGGCCGACAGAGGTCCGACACATCCAGCAGTGCATCCAATGGGCTCTAGAGCACAGCTTTAGCTTGGCTATCATCGGCGGGGGCCATAGTAGCCACTGCATCTTGCCCAACGTTGTCTCGATAGACATAGACGCCTTTGACCAAGTACACATTCTCACGGCGGGGGAGAATAGAGAAAATTCCGGTTCCGAATCCGGTTCCTTGATCGTCGCCGACGCTGGCTGCAAGACGGGGGACATCATCCGCAAGAGCATGGAAGCGGGTGTGACAGTACCCCTGGGGGCTCGCCCAAGCGTAGGTGCGGGTTTGTGGCTACAAGGCGGCATCGGGCACCTGGCTAGATTACACGGCCTCGCCTGCGACTCTATTGTCGGCGCCATTCTAGTCAGCGTCGACACCAGTCAAGTCCTCTGCATCGGCCATGTACTAAGCCAACACCGGCCAGCCGGCGCTATTCGACCGGAAAACGAAACCGATCTATTATAGGCGATAAAAGGCGCCGGGACCAACTTCGGCATCGTTGTCAGTGTGACTTTCAAGGCTTACACGGCTCCGACCTACTTTACTCAAGACTGGGTTGCCCCGCTGAGTGACAGCCGCGAGGCGCGGCGCAGGCTCAGCGATTTTGATGAACTCGTCGCCAGGAAGCTCCCCCGGAATTGTTCTGCAGACGCATATCTGTACTGGGATGCGGACCAGGTGCATTTTAGCATGACCACGTTCCAATCTTCTATGACTATGTCTGCCTTTTTAGAACCCACTCCCACGCCCGTAGGTGGAATGTGGAGGCCGGGTGACGATTTCCAGACTGTAGACAGCGTTGGCCTCTTTGAGACCGAGATGTACCTGTCTGGGATGCACGGCGGGCACAGTGGAGGCAAGACATCCTCGTTCAAGCGATGTTTGTTCTTGAACCTCATTGGACGACCAGACATCGCCGACCGCTTAGTTGCGGCCATTGAGACTCGTCCCACCCCACTCTGCTATCTCCATCTCCTGCAAGGTGGTGGCGCGATCCAGGACGTTGAGGCCGATGCTTCTGCTTTCGGCTGTAGAGACTGGGACTTTGCCTGCGTCATAACAGGTGTCTGGCCTCGCAGCGAAGATGGCACCGAAACCGCACGATCTGCCGTGCGCTGGGTTTACAGCGTCGCCGGGGACTTGTTGCCCTTTAGTAGCGGAGCTTACGGCGCTGACCTTGGACCGGACCCTAGAGACGCCGCCCTTGCAGCTGAGGCGTTTGGGCCAAACCGACTGCGCCTGGCCCGCCTCAAACATAGCATGGACCCACGTGGTATGCTGTCTTACGCCTGTCCGCTCCCGAAAGCGCCAAAGGATCCGAAGCTTATCATTCTTATCACAGGTGAAATTTGCGTCGGCAAGGACTATTGTGCCAAGATCTGGGTATCCATGTTTATTAGATGCATCTAGGAAAACATTACTACACGTATGGCCAGTATTAGTGATGCGATTAAAGTAGAATACGCTGCGGCTGCCGGTGCCGACCTGGGCGGCTTGCGTTTAAATCGCGCCTACAAGGAGCAACACCGGCTAGTATTAACGGCCTTTTTCCAGAAGCAGATATAACAACGGCCTCAGCTGCTAGAGGAACATTTTCTGAATGTGGTGCACGGTGCCGTAGACGTTAACGTGCTGTTTATTACCGGAATAAGAGACAAAGCGCCGGTCGCAACCTTCTCGCATTTGGTTTCAGGCAGCAGGCTGCTCGAAGTTCACGTCCAGGCCAGTGAAGTGATGCGGCGGATGAACCGATGGGTCTACAGCTGTGACGACGATGGTAATAACGACAAGGACGGCGATAGTAGCAAGTCGAATTTAACGGCCTTAGAACATCGCCCCAGTCTTATCTTTAACAATGACAAGATCGGAAAGGAGGCAGTTAAAAGGTTCGCCGAATATTGCCTGCTTCCCTTCTTCGACGAGAAGCTGCAGCGCCTGGCCGATATGGTGCGTACAGTACCCGACTTTCCACGCTCGGGCGTCGACTTTCGCCACGTGCTCGGCATTTCGGAGCATTCGGATGGACTAGCCCTGTGCTCGTCTTTGTTGCAAACTCACTACGCCGGCGACTGGGCCAAAGTGAGTACGGTAGTGTCTTGTGAGGCTGGCGGCTTTGTGTTTGCTTCGGCTTTGGCATTAAGAGTTGATGTACCCTTAGTGCTAGTTCGCGAAGCCGGCAAGCTCCCCCCGCCCACCGTTACCGTCATCAAGCCCCAGTCATACGTTTCATCATTGTCACCCAATAGTCAGAAAGAGAAGCGGATCGAGATGGGGCGGGGTGCGGTCCCTAGGGGCGCGCCAGTGTTAGTGGTGGACGATGTGCTTTCCACGGGAGAGACGCTTTGCGCGGTGCTACAGTTATTAATCGAAGATGGGATTAGCGCCGAGGATGTCAGCGTCATGACCGTGGCTGAGTTCCCGATTCATCGTGGCCGGGAACTGCTGCGCCGACGTGGGTTTGGGGGAGTCAATATTCAAAGCCTTCTAGTCTTTGGAGGTTCTTAGGGAGGGGAGGATGTTGGAATCTTGGATTTGTGAGAGGCAGGCCTTGTGTGTGGTTCGGGCAACTCAGAACGCCTCCTTTACCTTTATCTTAGCGTGCAGCTTTAATATGTAGATCCAAAGGAAACTTCCATGGCTCTACGTGTCTTCACGCTCCTGCTTCCATTAATTTCGCTGTCATGATCAGGATCGAGGATTGGGCCGCCAAAAGCTAGCTCAGGACCAGCGGACCGAAGGATTGAACGGAATGGAGAACGAGCTGTTACGTGTATTGGCATCCGCCTTGTTCTCATTCCAGCATGGCTATGTCTCTTGATATAATTCGGACGTGTAATAGGCGGGTCTAACAATCCGCTGATGCTCTGATTACAGCCTGTGCTGAGAGGGTGAAACTGTACAACTAAGACCAGCAGCCGCTGCTGAGTTGATTAGTCAGGAAGGTTTCTCGTGTTTCGCATTCGAATGCGAGCTTCAAACCGAGGCGGAGAAGGCCTGATAATCGGTGTTAACAGCCACCAGAGAGTTGACCTCTATCTCTCGCAGGACATGGTGTTTACACTTCACCCACTGAGAAGGAATCAATCAAGAAATGAACTATCTTTCTACGCTTATGTCCCCTCAAGAGCTACCATATCCGTCGTTAGATGAGCCTTAGTAGTAAAGTACCTGCGGTTGTGGCGCTCGGAGATGCGCCACTAAAGCCGAGCATCCGAGCCGTTGTAGCTCGGCAAGCATATAAATCATCCCAAAAACGCCTATTCTCCCCCTAGATCACTCATTAGTTGGTTTAGTCGACAGACACCATGACGCGGCTCGAGCTGATCTTGAAGTGCCGAGAGCCGGAAACCATGTTTACCGCCAGACGCACACGAAGTGCAAGGCCAGCCCAGGGCATCCAGCGGCACGAGTAACAAACAAGCAACCCCCAAGTTGCGCGTTTCGTTGCGTGGACTATTGAAATATCCCGCCGTTAGACTGAAAGGTCCAAAAACGTTATCATATAAGACTCTCGCCATGATTGCGACCTGGAGATTTTAGGTTCACAACCGGCCACACGCTCGCTCCAAGTCAAAGATACAGCCAATCGTTTCATCATGGGCTTCTTTCCTCTTCTCGCCGGACTCATTGCCGTCCCAGCCCTTGCAGGCGCAAGCGTTTTGCCTCGCGCAGCAGCTCAGTACCCGACAGTGAACACCACTCATGGTTACATACGGGGCACGGGGTCGGAATATCGCAATGGCGTAACCGTCTACAAGGGCATTCCCTTCGCTGCTCCTCCAACCGGCTCTCGTCGCTGGAAGGCTCCATCTGCCCCTGAGCCATGGACAGACGTCCTGGAGGCCACCGAATTCGGACCTCAGTGTGCTCAGACTTACTCGTCCGCAGGCATCTTCTCGACCGGCAAGAACACCACCAGCGAGGATTGCCTGTACCTCAACGTTTGGCACCCAACATACAACGACACAACGGACCTCGCGTCAAAGAAACTGCCCGTGTACGTCTGGATCTACGGTGGCCGTTTCTCTGGTGGTTCCGCCGACGTCAAAACGTACGACGGATCTGGTCTCGCGAGCAAGGACATTGTCGTCGTGACGCTGAACTACCGCCTCGGTTCTTTTGGCTTCCTTGCACACCCAGACCTCTCTGCCGAGTCCGGCGCCCATAACAGCTCGGGCAACTACGGCATCTTGGACCAGCAGTTTGCGTTGAGATGGGTGCAGGACAATATCGCCAACTTCGGTGGCAACCCCGACCAGGTCACCGTGGGAGGACAATCTGCCGGCTCTGCGAGTGCGCTCGACATGATGTGGAGTCCCCTTTCAAAGGGCCTCATCCACGGCGTCATCGCCGAGAGCGGTGCCCGCGGCCCCCATGACCCCATTACCGGAAGCGCGGCAACAAGCTATCGCACAAAGGACGCTGCCGAGGCGGCTGGTGTGGAGTTTCTGAAGACGATGAACGTCTCGTCCATCGAAGAACTCCGCAATGTATCCACCGAGGCGCTGATCGAGCAGGGCAACGAGAACGACTCCACTTTCGTCGGTACCGCCTTCGAGAACGTCACAGCCGCCTTCATGGAGCCTCCAGCATGGCGGCCCGTCGTCGACGGCTACGTGCTGCCGCACGGCTACGGCGAGGCGCTGCAGCTGGGCGACCACGCCGACGTGCCCATCCTCACCGGCAACAACAAGGACGAATCCGGCGCCTCGCCCGACACCGCTGTGACCGCCGCCGACTACCTCACCGACTACGGCGCCATGTTCCAGAACTTCTCGACCGACTTCTTCAAGCTCTACCCGGGCGCCAACGACAGCCAGGCCAGCGCCAGCAGCAACGCCCTGTTCCGCGACCTCAGCCGCGTCGGCACCTGGCGCTGGTCCGTCGAATGGGCCGCCGGCGGCGCCAAGAGCAACGTCTACACTTACTACTTCACGCACGCGCCGCCGGAGAACCAGGAAGCGGGTGCATACCACGGCGCGGAGCTCTGGTACGCTTTCAACAACATCCCGTACGCCGCGTACGACAATGCCACGTGGTCCGAGGAGGACTACGAGATCGAGAGCAAGATGGCTGGGTACTGGGCCAACTTTATCAGGACAGGAAACCCGAATGGTGGAAACCTCACGTACTGGGAACCCTCGACGGAGGATAAGAAGCAGACTATGTGGCTCGGTGACAAGTGGGGTGCGGGATCCATTTCTGATGAAGACGAGCGGATCAGTTTCATCGAGAGCTGGTACTCTACCTTGCATCAGTGGTGAATGGGTGGCGATAGGCTTTGACTTTTTGGGGCTTCATGGAAGGAGTGATGACAGTCGCAATTGATGTAGATAATGACGTGCAGTTTCAATACGAATGTAATTCGACTCAACATGTGTCTACAGTAATAGTACTGGATTCAGAAGGTGAATTGTGAAGGACTTTGCGGGGAATAAGTTGTTCCTGCTCAAACACGATGTTGACCTCTAGCATCCAACAACTCTCTCACCGATCTCATCACCAGATAATAATGGCAATGGCCTACACTGCTGTGCGGTACACAAGCAAAGGAAATGAGACATACGTCGTACCATATCACTACTATCCTTGACCGAAAGATGTATTTACGTGACTTTTACCAAATATATAGCAGAGACCTTCGGAATACTTTCGCCAATTTCCAAAAAAGAATTGCTCGATCAACGTGGAAGTCCAAACTCAAATTTTGTACGAAAACAGCCATATGAGGAGATACATTCCTCCAGTTGCGAGGAAAACATATTTTACTCTCACTTTAACTTTTTGTTATCGATAGAATCCAAGAACATTTGCCTGAAAGCAGCCACAAGCAGTGTTCTTTCTCACAGATGAACAAAATATAAGTAGAAGAGGATAGCAACGACAACAGTACCACAAAATCATAAGATTATTTTATTTTGAATTTCTCAATCATTTCAGAATGGATTTCTCGCCCGAGGAAAAACGCCGAATCTTTATGACGTACAGATCCGTTTTTTCCTCGACTACCTCCCAGATAAGAAAGCCAAAGGCAGTCAGAAAGATAGTTCAGAACCATGGAGGCTTATCTAAGCACTTGGTCAAAGAGCTAGGCCTTCAAAAAGTTGTTTTGGTCCTGACCCATCTCCTAGAGAAGCGCTTGTTTGAATCAGAATTGAACGCCAAGGTCGAATTTCCCGAGCTGTACGAATCGGAGACCACCAGAAGTATTCAAAGAGCCGCATCTGAAGACGAAGCAGCCCGTTCAGAGTCCGAAGTCCTGAATGCCATTGATGCTGAGATGGAGAATGTTGAAGGCACGAGCGCGGGGCCTTCATCAAAGAGCTGCTTGCTTCCAGCACCGTTGATCGAAAACTCAGATTCGCCCTCTGGTATGTCATAATCCGTGTAGCGCTAGGAGTCAATTTCGCTAATGAGAAAAATGACAAAGTCGGGGACGCTGGTGCGATTTCCAAGGCTGATCCCAGCCTTACTCTGTATCCGTCATACGTGCCATATAAAGCACAGCACCTCATCCTCACGACAACACAACGGATTCTAGAAGAATGTTGCTTCGATTTTGCCAGTATGTGGCTGTCAGACGTCCTTGACAGCCGAAAATGGGATTGCTCCGAGGCGGTCGAGCTGACCGAATGGCTGAAAATATTGAACCACCGTTGTGGCAAAGTTCCCGCCCACGCATTCGCCGTGCAAATACCCTCACTTCAGGACACCTTGTCTTCAGCCAGGCGCCTTCGTCACACTGCCGTCCACCGCCTTCCCATGACAGCCAGGGGAATCTGCCAGCTCGTGCAGTCCGCGGCAAGACTCTCGGAAGCATTGCGCGACCCTCTTCGTACAGCACAGTTGGAGGCAATTGCGCAGACGCTCGGGTCACTAACTCGCGACATGGAACTACACAAAAACTTCTTGGAAAACTCACTGGACGTCAACCTTAAAACAATTCGCCAACAAAGGGAGGAGTTGAACCAGCGGGAGGCAGCTCTCATCGCCATGACGAAAAGAGAAGATGCCGAGGAGAAGAAGCGGATCGGCTCACTACTTGAGGACTCTGTGCAGAGAATAATGTGTGACAAGTCGATTCTCTCACAACTCCCTGAAGAAGAAGTCGGATCTTTCGAAGAGGTTAGCAGTGCTGGGGAGGCCTAAGCGAGGAATGTGGAGGCGCATAACTCATCTTGTGGCCCAACCGATTATACTTTCTGGCTGTTCTATGGCTCGAGAATTTATGAGTTCTTTACCCGTTTCTTGACACATTCGCGGATTAAAAGCAGTGGACTGCAAGTCCCATAGCCCAAATCGCGCTGCATGGCTATAAATAAGAGACTGCAGCTCAAATCTTCGTCATCAATTAAGCAGCATGGATAATAATCAAGTACAAAACTCCCTTTTTCTGAGGACAGATTCACATCGCTAGAACGACAAAGACGAACAGCGTATGAAAAGACTCGGCAAAACAGTGAATTTCTTCGATTAATTGGTAGCCACGTACAAAGAACTTCTCGTCAAATCAAGTAAGTGGTGTTCCTTGAGTAAGGAGTGCCAAGTATGATCATGATGCTACTTGGAAATGTTCTGAGTTATTTTTAACTTCGGGATTTTGAAATCAGCGAATTATAGTCATATTTTGAGAGACTGTCAGATCATCGAGCCACGTGGCAATGGACAGAACCTATAATTCTATCAGCGCCATCCACAACTCGTCTGCCTGCGCCAGCATATCGTGACAAATGAAACTATTTCTCTGCCTGGCTTCGCCCCTTGTTCTGTCTTATCTCCGCTTGGGTCATGGTAGGCTTTATGCGTGGAAACGTAAGGACGGAGCAACGTGGCAATGCTGCGTGACGTCACTGAAATGCGCGCTGTTCCGGACATGAAGATCCAGCCCACCAATCAAGACCCGCTTATGATTTCGCCGTGACAAGTGAGCCCGTGGCCCTGTCCTGCTTCGTCGATAAATCAAACCATGTCCACTCCCTTTTCTGACCTCCCGCGATTTCCCTTCTACTTACCCCCTTTAAGGCTCAACAATCGCAGCGAGGAATTAGACCATACATGAATAAGGCTTAAGATGGCCGATCCTCACTTGGAAGAAAGTGACAGCTCAGAAACGTTCGGAAGCCCCCGAACATTCTATGAAAGGTAAGGGCACCCTGTCTTCAAATTCTTCATTTGAAATATGAAAAGCTAATTGAATTGTGTGCCCTATGCAGGATCCTGCATTCCGACCAATTCACCTTTCTCGTTGGTGAACACAGAAAGCCCTTTGTAGTTCATGCAGCTGCCCTCGCGCTCCAATCAAAGGCATTGAGTACTTTGATCGACGGTCCTATGTTGGAGGCAAAAACTCGGTCCGCTGTTTTGGACGATGTTGACGAACAAGACTTCATACGCCTGTGCCAATTCGCTTACATGGGTGACTACACGACACCACTTCCAACTGGAGAGAGCTATGAGGAGCTCAAAGCAGAAGAGGCTACAGTTCCTGCTGATCCCATGGATATGCCTCCCGCAGCATCTTCTGCGCCTGAAGTTGAACCCACGGCAGAACCCCCAATGGATGACCCACAAGATCAGGAAGTACCGGCAGAAGCTCCGCCCGAAGAAATCATCGAAGAGATTTTTGAACCTGTTCCAGAGTTCTTTTACGATTCTCGTCAACTGGGTTCCAGTAAATCGAAGAAGAAGAAAGAATCGAGAAGGGTCAAATTCAGACAAGCATTCGAGAACAAAACACCATGTCAAAATTTGCCTCGACAACCTCTACTGGATACTTGCGAGCCAGGCACGAACTCAGATGAACGCGAGAACTACACCGCCGTATTTCTGGCCCATTGTCGGCTATATGTGCTTGCAGACAGATTTGGAATCGAGCCCCTTCGAGCACTGACATTGTGGAAACTTCACGAAACGCTTGTTCACTTTACTCTCTACGAGACACGCGTCCCTGATATCGTCGAGCTTATTGAATATGCGTACTCCAACACACCAGACTACTGTAGCCGCGTAGATGATCTGAGGTCACTAGTTTCGGAGTATGCTGTCTGTGAAATCGATACTCTGGGCCGCTCTCCGGATTTCGTCGCACTTATGGAAGAGGGGGGTCCCTTCATACGAGACTGGTGGAAATTGATGAGAGAATGTCGTTGTTAAACGCATCTTTTGCAAAGTCACGCCCATGAGCGAGAAAGATGGGGGGTGGAGCTCTTTCGGTTGCTATCGTTTTGGGTCTTCTCGGTTATTTCCTGACAAGAATGATCATGTGGAGAATGTGGGAACAGAAATTGATTCAAGTACGACCGCATAACAGCCAGTTTGCCTTGGGATATCGTCGCCAAATCATACCAAGACGCTGAAGGTATGCAAACAGTGTTTCGCGCGGTACATAACCTGCATACATCCTCTGCCATGCAGCAGCAAAACTCCCTGTGGAAGTGAAGCTGTTAGCTGAATTACTCTTTGCCTTGGTCTGAAGAAATGTGCGTACCTTCAATTGGGCCCAGCTCGCCAAAGCCCACCGCCTCAAGGACCCAAGGGGAGAGCACGGCCAACACGCCAATTGCAATGATTGTTGTGTACACAGGATGCTCCCGTGCAAACTCCTCAGCAGCAGCGACACATTTTTCTACAGCATCCTTCATCGCAGAAGACATCTGAGCGCCAATGGCGATGGCACGCTCGAGCTTTGCCAGTATGACCTTCCCTAACCTCTCTTCCCAGTTCCACCCCGTGGCTCCAACAACATCATCCAGTTTCTGATCTAATTCTTTTCCGCGTTTTTCGGCGCCAAGGAGCGCTGTGACAAACTGCTCGGCGATGTCTTCGTCGCTCATCTCGGCAGGGTTGGGGCGTTCTCGAGATGACTTTGTGCATGGAATGCAAGACATCGCTGCATGTATCGCATCCATGTCTGTATGGCGTATCGGGTAATGAGGGGGGACAGGTGGTAGAAAGCAAACAGTGATGGGGAATTGGAGAAGGTGCGCAGTATGATCTATAGAACACTTACAGGTGGCGTAGAATATATACTCTGTCAGATGCCAACTCGCAAATGGAGTGACAAATAGCAAACTGGAAAGGAGGCGAATGGCTTGGAATCCATCCGGTCATCTATCAGGAACCAAACAAAGGATGCGTTCGTCTGCAATAAGTTAATCTACTTGATGACTGCGACTCCTTTAGTGTCACCAGAAATTCGGCCGAGAATGCAGGGGTTGCGATAGTCTGCCAGAGCAATTACCCCACTACACCAGTGCCCAAGGACATTTATTTTACTACTTATGAATATACGTCATAGTGCACATTTGTTTCTGTATTGAGAATTTTCGTAAGTATGTGCATACCATTAACAAAAATGCGGAGAGGGCAACACCGTGGAATGTCCATTTCTGTTATTGAATCAAATTTCGAATTCCACATTAATATGACATTCCAACAGTAGAACTTTCTATGGCCCCAGCCTTGTTCTTCGAGAGTTTCCGTACCACTTTATTGTAGCCATCTTTTCCATCTGGTAAATCCTCGGGTGGACTAGAAGAAGCAGTTCTACGTTTGCGTTCGAAAGCGGGACATAAACTTACCTCTTTCTTAATTCACAATCGAAATTATTACTGAGGGGCTCTCAATGTTCCGATCGATAGACCAATGCATAAATATCATTCAGTCTGTAGCAGACCTGCAAATAGGTCAGACGAACGGTGCGAATTCTCCATTTCAATACTCATGGAGTACAACAGATGACAGTTTGAAGTGGGACGCTTAGATGGAGTAGGAAAGTTTCGCCGAGGTTTCAGAAAGACACTGCAGCCGCACAGGCTAACTACAATTACACCGAAAGATCACCAGTTTGATTCCCCGAACCTGCGAACTATCATATTCTCATTAGATTTATCGCCTCACTTTAACCCTGGTTATACGTGCTGATACAGCTCACAGGAAGTTTCTTGCATCAAAATGTGATGATCGATGAGATAAGTAGTGTTGCGTGACGTCACTACAGTGTGCGTGATTTTCTAAATGTATATTCAATTTAATAATCGAAACTCGTTTTTGACGTTGTTTGGGGAAGTAGCCGGCGGGGCTGGATGCTGGATAATTGTGGGTAGGCAACACTTACCTGGTATTTCGTATTCGTTTTGCGTCGTATTCGCAGCATCATGCCGCTAATGCGGAAAAGGAACAAGATGAACTTTCCCCGCATACAATACGGTCTACTCACCCGTCCCGTACATCCGGTGTATAGTACTTTGCAGGAAATTTGCTCTAGGCTACAGACACATCATGTACCCAGCAACCAGTCATCAGCAGACACGGAAGATGCGCTCCGGTGAGGAGTTGCTGCATAAATGGGACGCTCAGCATAACCGTCATCAGTATCGGTCACTGTCTTTGCAAAGACACAATAGACATTCGAACCTCTGGCAGAATATGTTTTTGCTATCAGCTCCCGTGCTGATCTACCTGGCGTACCTGCAGCTGTACGCGACGGCTGCAGACACGGCCACATCGGATTACCCGTACCTCACGAGCCCAGATGTCTTTCCATCTCGTATGTACGCTATAGAATGATATGATTTGAGCTTTTGCTGATTTTCTTTTCCAGCAAACGCCACTGGAGCTGGCGGTTGGGATGATGCCTTTGACCAAGCCAATGCCTTCGTCGCGCGTCTCAACCTCACCGAAAAGGCCATGCTTGTCACCGGTTACCTCGGCGGGCCATGCGTGGGCAACATTGCTGCGATACCCAGGGTAAACTTCCGTGGAATCTGTCTGCAGGACGGCCCAAATGCCGTCCGTACGGCCGATAAGGCTACTGTGTTCCCTGCTGGTCTGACAGTGGCAGCAAGCTGGGACAAAGACATCTTCTATCAACGAGGAGTTGCAATAGGCGAGGAATTTCGTGGCAAGGGAGCACATGTCTACCTGGGGTAAGTTCGGAGCCGTTTATTTGCGTGGTCGCGTTTCTCTGACTTCCGAACCAGGCCCGTTGCAGGTCCTTTAGGCCGACATCCACTGGGAGGCCGCAACTGGGAGGGCTTTTCCCCGGATCCCTATCTAACCGGAGTGGCAATGTCAGGCACCATCAAAGGAGTTCAACAGACAGGAGTCCAGGCATGCGCGAAACATTTCATCGGCAATGAGCAGGAAACGAGACGCAGTTCTGAGGACGACGGATCAGTCGAAGCCTTTTCAGCTAACATCGACGACAGGACCCTCCATGAGTTGTATCTCTGGCCTTTCGCTGATTCAGTAAAGGCTGGAGTCGCATCATTCATGTGCAGCTACAACCGTCTCAACCAGACATACGCCTGCGAGAACTCGAAGATCCTTAATGGGGTGCTGAAGACCGAACTCGGATTCCAAGGCCATGTTATGTCGGACTGGTTTGCGACGCATTCCGGCGTCAGATCCATTGAATCGGGCCTGGATATGAACATGCCGGGACCGATAAATCAGGCTTCCATATACACGGGCGAATCCTTTTTCGGAGGAAACGTCACGCGTGCCGTGTCGAACGGCAGTCTTCCCGAATGGCGCGTGGATGACATGGTGCGGCGCATAATGACTCCCTATTTTCTCCTGGGTCAAGACTCGGAGGAGTTCCCCAGTGTTGACCCCAGTTCGATGGGAGTTATGGCTGCCATCTATGGAAGGCTACAAACAGTCATGGGGATGATTGGCGGCATGCCAGAGGCTCGAGACGTTCGTGGAAACCATGGAGACCTGGTTCGGAAGTGGGCCGCAGCCAGCACAGTGCTTCTCAAGAACACCAACGAGACTCTTCCACTCAATTCTCCGAGGAATCTTGGGGTATTTGGCAATGATGCTCCAGATGCCACGGAGGGTTCCATTCCGCCAGAGAACTTTGTCACAGGTACGCTCTCGATCGGCGGCGGATCTGGTAGTGGCCGCCTCAGCTCCATCGTCTCGCCTTTGGAAGCTCTCAAGGCTCGCGCTAAAAAGGACGGCACTTACCTGCAATATATCACGGACAATTCGAAATCTGCTGCGAACGACTTCAGCGGAATCTATCCCATACCCGAGGTGTGCCTTGTGTTCTTGAAAACCTGGGCTAAGGAGGGTGAAGACCGCACCACCTTCGAGGCTGACTGGAACTCAACGGCCGTGGTCAATAACGTCGCCTCCTTCTGCCCCAAAACCGTCGTGGTCACTCATTCAGGTGGCATCAACACCATGCCATGGGCAGACAACCCAAACGTGACTGCTATTCTTGCAGCGCACTACCCAGGAGAGCAGAGCGGTAACGCCATCGTGGACGTTCTCTATGGAGACGCCAATCCGTCCGGCAAACTGCCGTATACCATCGCTCGCAACGAGTCAGACTACAACACTCCAATCTTCAATATCACTGGCCCGCAGGCCAATGAGAGCGCAGCCTGGCAAGCCAACTACGAAGAAGGTCTCATGATTGACTACCGGCACTTTGATGCCCAGGAAATCGAACCTCTTTACGAGTTCGGCTTTGGGCTTAGTTACACCACGTTCGAGATTAGTGGTGACTTGTCTGTTGCCAAGGTTGTGAACAGCGTTTCTGGTTTCCCTACGGCAGTCTCGGCTGTCAGTCCCGGTGGAAACCCTGAGCTGTTTGCCACAGTCCTCAACGCAAGCACCCAGGTCACCAACACGGGCGACACGCCTGGCGCTGCCGTTGTGCAGCTTTATGTTTCATTTCCGGAGGATAGTGTACCGGAAGGCACGCCAGTAAGAGTGTTGCGCGGATTTGAGAAGGTGCTGTTGCAGCCGAGCGAGGTGCAGCCGGTCAACTTCAATCTCACCAGACGGGACCTCAGTGTTTGGGACGTTGAAGCTCAGGATTGGAAAATCCTGCCAGGCGAATATAACATTAGGGTTGGGTTCAGCTCGAGGGATTTGAGGGCCGATGCGACTGTCAGCCTGCTGTGAGTGTGGGGGGCGAAACAGCAGTGAAAGGCTGAACCGCACGCAACGTGTTATTCAAGAGTCCAAGCCAGAAACAATGACATGGTATTGGTGGACCCTTGCAGATGATTATAAGGGAGACTCTTGCAAGTAAAATGATTGCAGTCGTATTAAACATTCAATTCATTCATCAGGAATTTGAGCTGGATGAGCCTACAGTGGTTGCACATGTCACCCAATTTCGGTTTTTGCGTACCGCTTCATGTCTGTTATGCGGTTTTTTGCTTTGATTTCATGGCCTTCCAAGGCCTCTATTCTGACAGTTGGGGGGGGTGCGTTCGCGATACTTCGCGATCGACACGAATACGAAGCGTACTCGTACCCGTAGCGCTTATTCGTACGCTCGAGACTCGTGCTGACGCAACGCTACTACAACCGCGAGAACTCTGACTGGAGGTCAGTCAGGAAGATAGAAATTTTACTCCAATCATAAAATGACATTTTTTAAGAGATCTTCCATACTACCGTCTATTCTATGGAGGAGATTCCACTGAAAGCGAGCGAGTTTTCCATTTGTCGACAAGTCCAAATATTCTTGAATTTGTATTCACCAGACTCGACTTCCCTCCCCCTGATCATTTTTGAAGTGATCTATCTCGAACATACTCAAGAGACTGTGTGTCCTCGACATCGCTTTGAACAACCATGCTGGTACCACGGGGGACGCCATATGTGCGGAAGTACCGGAAATCGAGGATTGAAACAATTGCTGTTTGAATGGCGAGTATGCTGTCCAGGCAACCTTGGTGAGTATGGCATCAAAAGGGAGTATTTCAGTGAGGTGGGAACACGTACAACAGAGCCAAGTTTATCAGAGCCACGATCCAAGTGAGGCCGCAGCTGGCTCCCGAACAGAATGTCGCGTTGGCCTTGAAGAGTAGGCCCATTGCCACAGACCAGAAAACAATCTCAACGGAATTGAGAATTGCATATGCCTTCAGACTCGCCCATTTCCGATATTTAGCAACGTGCTCGGCCAGAAGCTGATACCCGATGACGACCAATGATTTAAGGCCCTATATTGATGTGGTGAGCCAGTTGCATGCGATATGAAGTGTATAATAGAGAGCTAACCATGGTAAGAGACAAGGTGTGGGCTCTAGTTGTCGGAACTTTCATTGACACCCGTGCGATGGTAAGAATAATGGCCACCACTATCAGCACCAATTGGACGATATGCACACGTAAAGTATATCGGGAGTCGAAAGCAGGGGAATTGAGGAAGGTCTTGATCTTCTCCAATATTTGGTTTTGCATATTGGCTGGTGGAATGAGGTTGACAGTGGGCGGAAACCGTCAAGAGAACAACGGCGAAGTTAGATTCATATGTTGCCTGAAATAGTTGCGCACGCTTTTCTGATAGAGGATCTCGCTGGATCTGCAACCACGGACTATTCCCGGTACGTATCGAGGGAGCCAAGACGGTCGTACTCGTAACGGCTCGCGAAAGGTACGTCGTAAAAAACGATAGGCCAGCAGGATGGCCTGGTGGGGCTGAGTTCGACCACGATGCAAAGCACAAGAAAGCCATTATTTTTCTTGTATCAAGCCGCTCATCTGCCACAAGCACCAACACACCAATAATAGCCTTGCATTATGCTCTACAGATCACCACGTCCCGGCTAGCGTCCAACGATCTTGCAGATTGGGGTCCCGCCAATGCTGCATAGAATTAAGCTCGGCCAAATAATTAACAAACTTACCTGACTTGGGACTTCTTCTATCTCTACATCAATATAGCGCGTTTAGCGCATTGACGATACCATCAAGTCTTTGGTAGATTTTGAGTTGCAGAAGCCATTACCTTCTATTTATTGTTTTGGATGAAACATGTGAGTTTGGGATGGGAAAATAAATGCGTTTGCATTCTCCATGTGCAGATAAAATCCCCCGAGGCGATTTTTGAAACTCTTGGTCCGCAAAAAAAAAAAAGGATATGAGCGAGTGCCAAACTGGAGATTCATGTGCACAAAGCAACAGAGGAAACAGCGCGGAACCAGATGGAACCTTACATCCCAGTTGCTACTTTCTGATTGGTTGTCATCGGAGAAGCCCAATCAACCGTGGTATCTCCGGTGGTCGCGAAGGTTCCACGATGCGGGGCGTGCCTTCCTCCGCTTGCCGCCAGATCATCCTTCCACTGCAAGTAACCCCACTCCAAAGCCAACTCGCAACTCCACGATCCCAATCAGCAGAAAAGATGGCGATCGACAAGCGCAGTATCGCCGGGGTCATCACCGGCCTTGTATGCACTCATCCGCTCTTCTGCATCTTTCTCAGCTTGCTGACAACCTGGCCCAGCTCTTCCTCGCCCTAATTGCCGTCGCATGGCACGTATCCACCGACGTCATTCATAGCCGCAACGCTAACGCCGCCCAGCTACGCCCACTATACCATCCAGCACCTGGCGCTCCCGATCCCTACTGCTCTCAGCTTCCTTGTCATAATTCTCCCAGTAGCACAAGGCCTCAGCACCTGGTACCTGGCCCGCCCGCCCGCCCGCCGCCACTTCCTTGCTCTGCCCACCTCATCCTCGGACGCCGCTCACTCGTACGATGACGCCCCAGCTCACGCGTCGTCCCGCCATCCCAGGCCCGACCCGCGTGTGCGCTTAGCACCGCCGCTGCTCGGCGCCCTCACCATCTTCGCCACAGCCCTTGCCACACTTTCCGGCACGCATCTTGCACCCGCCGACTCACTCAACTGCGCCCTCCGCGACCAGTGGCTGGCTCTGTTCCGCACCAAGAATGGGCAACAAATCAAAGCCATCCAGGATGCGCTGCAGTGCTGCGGCTTCCGCACCGTCTATGATATGGCCTGGCCGTTCCCGCAGTCCTCCGGCGGGAAGACACAGCGCAGTACGTGCTCGAAGACGTTTGAGCGCGATACTGCTTGTTTCTCGGGGTGGAGGAAGGAGGAGCAGAAGATGGCCGGGCTGTTGGTTGTGGTCTGTTTGGGGGCTTGGGCTTGCCAGGTAAGCCTGCTTGTGCTTTGTGTCGATGATTTGAGGGTTTGGAAACACTGACTTGGAGATCCTATCAAACGCGACAGATGATCGTCACAACCCGCACCTTCACGCAGCCGTCCTGGCTACAGCGTTTCGTGGCGAGGAATTCGAGAGGCCAGGCGAGCGAATGTGACGCCGAGAACGGTAATGGAGATGAAAGGCCTTCCCGGGCCATTGACTTCCACAACGCGGGTCGATACACGGACAACCCATCTGAAGACCTCGAAGAAGTTGAACGCGGGCAACCTACAGAAGGTAGGGGAGGGGTTGCTATCGAGGATTCACGCGCCACAAATACTCACGAACACCACACAATGCTTCCTTCGGCACACGGCAACGGCCACAACCACAACCACAACCACAACCACTGGAGTACCGACCAGCATTAGGCTGTAAACCCCGGAAGCTCATGGTCTGCCTTTATGCGCCCTGCCTCCCTTTCTTTATTGAAGTCTCGGTTTCATGAAGTTGCTAGTGGGTGACCAACCACAAAATTGCTTTGTACGAATAAGGGATCATGCTGATTAGCCGTTCAACTTGAGTTCTAATTTAAAATGTGAGATTCGTTGACGGATAAAGTAAAACTGAGGGCTTCTCTTTGAGATGCGTCCAGACAGCAAGAAAGTGTTGCGCAGGAGGCTGCTCAGAGCGGCCCACTTTCAAGTAGAGAAGTAGCTACGCAAGGTGAAGCATGATCCACTTCGAAGCATGATTAGTCGCCTCTCACCAATGACAGGAGCGCAGAATGGTAATGATCACCCTGCCAGAAGCTGTGTGGTGAAGTATGCAACCCGCGCGCTCCCAGCTCCGATTACTTTATGGTGAATATGTCCAATAGTAACATGAAATAGCATCAAACATTCTTATTCAATTTCTGAACATTACACTGTGTTCAGGAAATGCCAACAATAGCATGGGTCAGTGTGAGCGGTCCTGATGGCCGGCTCGTTCTTTGGTCACCATTAAGCTTATCTCTCTATGCAACCTTCACTTCGAAATGGCGAATTAAATAAGCATTTCACGTGCTTTTATACACTAATAAATCACTGTTTTGGTTAGAATGGCTGTTTAAGCTTACTCACGAGTACGGATTTAACAAGACAACGCTATGTTTAAACGCATTGTCGTCCCCACAAGCCAATACACAACTGTTTATTCACTCTTTCTTCATCATACCAAGTAATCTTCTCTGTTCATTCTATGATCCTTACTCGATCTTACGAGAGCTTCCCGATGACTGATGTCTATTTCTTTCCAAAGAAATCGCATATCTTCTCGAGTTAAAATTGGAAGCACGGAAGCACCGACGCCACTTCAATCAGGGGCCCGGGAACGAAGCCAGGGATGGAGTAAGAATAAAGTTGCCACTGGTTCAAGGGCCTAGCTTAGGGGAGGCGCCGTCACTTCTGCGCTGCTTACTGCACCTTCACGGTCATGTGCGACTACTGCAAACGGAAGAGACGCTGATCTTCGTCCTCGTGACAAGTGAGATCGGTCATGGAGTGATACAAGAAGAATTAGTGCCTTCCGCGCTAAGAATGAAGGGATATATCCCTTGCTAAGATACGTATACTCACATGTGATCGGCCGGTTTCGTCAACTATCGTAACAACAGTATCTTCTATTTTGATCCAGTCCTATCTCTCTTGTATGGCACGCTAACACGCTAAAATAGTAAAAACCCTTTCGCTATAGTTTCTTCTGTGGAGAAGCTTCTCGGCTCCTGTTTCCTGTGGTTCCGTCCCGACGGGAGCACTTTCGCTACCACTACTCTCAGAAGCTTCTTCCCTTCGAGAACGACTCCGCAGCTAAAAATGCTTAATGCGTGGACATCAAATCTAGTTCTAACCTCAACTACGGTAAACGCCGAAAAGAGGTACTCATGGTAGAGATTCCAAAGATATATATTTGATTGTTTGTCTCTTCGATCGAACATCCATCGCTACTCTCCTCCTCAACCTCCCATTCCAACAATACTTTTATTCAGCTGTCTAGAGGACACTCAACCAAACGCTGAGCGTTTCATCTCCTATCCATCTTACCAAAACTCCAATTCGCCAGGATGTACACCTTCAAGAGCGTCGTGGTCATGGTGGCCCTTAGCGCTGTCGGATTCGGTATTCCTCTTCAGCAGCGCAATGCCGATGCTCTTCCTCAGCTCGCTCCTCCTCCAGCCGGGCTCGGGCCGTACGGCCTCAAGAGCCTTACGTCCTCAACCAGTCCGGTGCCTGAGCCCACCCCAATCGAGGATCCCGTCTCCGTCCCTGACGAGCCTACCGCCGCTGCCGCTGTCGAGACTACCTCTGCCGCCCCTGCCGAGACTACCACTTCAGCCCCTCTCGAGACCAGCGTTGCCGCGCCTCTTGAGACTACAGCTGTCGCATCTGTCCAGCCTACGAGCGTCGCCGCTGCTACAACTCTATCTACGGCGAAAATTGCAACCGCTTCCGGCTCGCCTTCTTCATCCGCTGCCGTCCCCTCCAACACTACCGCTGGTTCGAACAATGTCACTGTTGGCCAGCTGGTCAACAATCTGCTCAACACCTTGCTCGGAGGTCACAGGTGATCTGCCTGCGGTCGCACCTCTCTTACGCCGTTGATCGGTAATTCGGCTGTTGATCGGTAACTCGGCCGTTGATCGGTATTCCAGCCGACGAAACCTCCATCCAGAGTCTGCGAGCCCAGACCTGTTTGTTCTTACGTCGGTTATCTGGAATTCAATCTGGAATTGAGTAGTATTTCTTAATCGAATCAAATAATATTTCTTCATTTTGACGCTCTGATTTTGTGTGATCTCATGTGTCCTAAAAGCTTGTTTATGTGTGATACTTGATGAACGCTGCAATCTCTTATTTCGTTGGCCGGCAAGGGAGTAGCATGGTGATCTTCGTCGTGGAAGTTACGCCACTAGATAAGCTAACCTACCACAACGTGAAACGGATCAGTTACGGGCCAAGGTTGCGCAGCAGAAGCAACCTCGCTCTCTCTGGTGGGGCTGTTCCACCGGGCTGTCAAGGAGCACGATGAAGAAGATGAGCGATGCGTAAGGCCGGCGACGGGAGCGGAGCAGGGCGGCTGGGGGGCACCGCACATGCCGCCCATGACGGGCGGCACAGTTCGAGGCAAGAATGGGGCGTTTACGAGGCGGTGGGCGGTGGATCGACCTTTCCAGCCACCCGCCGGGGCTAGACATGGCGGCTGCGGGTGGTGACGTTACACAACGGCAACGCCCGACAGCCATCCATTGCCGAACAACTTAATTGTCAGCCTCTGACGCGCGATTTCTTTATTTTACGCCTCGTCGCTAGCTGTGTTTGTAGTGTGGAGGCCTGTCGGCTCGGGAAACGTTACCGCCAAATTTATTCGGCGGCAGTTGGACTGAGTCGTTGCCAGGGTCGATGGCGGAAATACCTTCCACAAGCTCCAGGGAAAGCAAGTGTGGTGGCAGGCTTTTCCGCTGAGTAATGGTGAAACAGGCAGCTGGCTTAACATGCCGCCATAATTGACACGTTTTATTGGACGCCGGGTTGGGCTGTAACAGTTAGGCTACCTACGAGCCGGAATCTACTTCCCTCATCTAGTGCTAGCGTGGGATGGTCTGCGCGCTAATGTCCCGACGCGGGCTAAACCCCGCAGTCTAAAGTACGTCACCCCACACTCTTTTCCCCGCGGGGGAGAGCTGGGGGATCATCGCCCCCAGGATCGCCACTCGGGACATTAGAGCGTCGAAATGGTCAAGGGCTGCAACTTGCCTTCAAAAGCCGAGAGTAGGAATCCATCTTCCGATAGAAATTCGAAGCGTTTCCCCGGAATTTGGAATGTATATATTGCGGGTGCCTCCGCGTCTGATACTCGAAGAGTAAGAGTTGTTCTACTCTCAAATTCGCCGTTTCTTGTTGCCTTTTGATTCGAAGTCATGTCGAAGAACAAGGATGCGGAGCCTCTGAAGGCTTCTCATGAACCATCGACCGAGAAGATCGAGGACCTGGCTGACACCGAGCTCACAACCATACCCAGCAACGCCGAAGGTCATGTTTCGTATGGCAAGAGCGGCATCGCCGGTCTTATCGAATCTCCATATGTCCTTGGTGCAGCATTTCTCGCATCCATGGGAGGCTTCTCCTTCGGGTATGACCAGGGTGTCATTTCGATTGTCAATGTCATGGACCAGTTCCACACTGCCTTTCCGCCGGCAAAGACTGCTTTCGGAAAGGGCTTCATGACGGGCATGCTCGAGTTTGGAGCCTTCATCGGCTGCTTCTTCATGCCTACTTTGGCAGACATGATTTCTCGCAAGCGGGCTTTGACTGTCGTCGTCGTCATCTTCAACATCGGAGCTATCATGCAGACGGCTGCCCAGTCATACGGAGTCCTGGTCGCAGGCAGAACCATCGGAGGCATCGGCGTGGGTACATTGGCCATGGTGAGCGAAACCTCAACACCAGAAAATCAGATCAGCACTGACATCCAGTGGTAGGGCGCACCGATCTACATCTCTGAGATCGCACCACCAAACCTCCGCGGCACACTTCTCGTCCTCGAATCCATCTCCATCGTCACCGGCGTCGTGAGCTCCTTCTGGATCACTTACGGCACGCGACACCTGCCCGGCGAAGCCTCCTTCCGCCTCCCCTTCGGTCTGCAGATGGTCTGCTCGACGCTGCTGGGCATCGGCATCAACTTCTACCCGTACTCTCCGCGCTGGCTCGCCCTCGTCAACCGCCCGCAAGAAGCCCTCCGCAGCCTCGAGCGCCTGCGCCGCCTCCCCGCCACCGACGTGCGCGTGCAGATGGAGCACAAGGACATCCTCAGCGAGGTCGAGATCGAGAAGCTGGTCCAGGAGAAGCGTCATCCGGGCGCCAAGCGGCTCAAGCTCGAGGTGCTGGGCTGGTTCGACCTGTTCCGCAAGCGGTCGTGGCGCAGGACGGCCGTCGGCGTCGGCGTCGCCTTCTTCCAGCAGTTCTCCGGCATCAACGCCTTCATCTACTACGCCCCCACGCTGTTCCAGTCGCTCGGCCAGTCGGACGAGATGTCCCTGATCATGTCCGGCATCTTCAACATCCTGCAGCTCGTCGCCGTCGCGGCGTGCTTCGTCGTCATCGACAAGGTGGGCCGTCGCCCGCTTGCCATCTTGGGCGGCATCGGCGGCGGCGTCGCCTGGACGGTCATGGCCGCGCTCACGGGCGTCTTCTCGAAGGACTGGCTGGCGAACCCGGCGGCGGGCTGGGCTGCGGTGGCCATGGCGTTCCTGTTCGTCTTGCTCTACGGAGTGTCCTATTCTCCCCTGGGCTGGTGTCTGCCGGCCGAGGTTTTTCCCAATGCCTCTCGCTCGAAGGGTGTGGCTCTGTCGACGGCGACGGTGTGGTTGTGTAACTTCATTGTTGGTGTCGCAACGCCGCCCATGCTTGAGGATCTCGGGTTTGGAACTTACGTTTTCTTTGGTGCTTGGTGTTATGTCGCTGCTATTTGGGCCTACTTCCTCGTGCCAGAGACGAAGGGCAAGACATTGGAGCAGATGGACGAAGTGTTTGGAGATTATGCTGCGCAGGAGGAAAAGGAACTCATGAGGGCGCATATGGCACAGCCTAACTATAGTGTGAAAGCTGAGGTGTAACTGAGACGAGGTGTGCGATGTAGAACAGAACATACAATTGAGTTCGATCTTCTTGAATGAACCTTCCACCCATGGAGCATCCAGGGCTTGCCGATGCAGCAATATTATCCCAACTTTTCCCTTCAATTGAAGGCGGTTGCAGTGGAGATTATGTAATAGAAGTCGATAAGAGACATTAATTTTCGATGAGATGTCAAGAAACGTCAATGTGTGATTAGATCTGGGTCTTTATACGGAGGTTCATTGTGGCCAAAGACTAGCTGAATTATCGGCTTACCCATATCATAGGTAGTTGAAGCTATTATCCGGATGCAAATGTAACATTAACAATTATACATTCTCGTCCTGACGATAGCTGCCAACGCCAAATTGTCGTCAGTTCCCTCCAATGAGCCTCTTTCATACAGTCAGTGACAAAAAATCAGCCTGAAGTTCACAACTTGTAAAGCATCGGGTGTCGTCAAGCAGATGGCCATCAACACTTGCCATTCATATACCGCTACGGCAGTACTACGACCCTCCAATTAGTCGGATACAAGAATCCCGAACACTTTCGGATAAAAGACTACGTAATTAGATCCACGCATCATCTTAGCTGGCCAATGCAAGAGTTCTTTGTAAATGCGATGGTGGATTAGGTTCGTATATGCCAAATACGAACGCATTCGTTTAGCCTCTTCAAAATACTTTTCAATCTCAAGCAGAACTCCTCCAGATGCTCATGGAAGACCACATAATTGGCTTTCCTGACCGTGTATTTCTGCTCATTTTATACTAACATAATCTTTACATCTGTGTAGTGTGTGGTGTGTGGCCCGAATGAAAGAGAATCGTTGTGGTGGTAGGTCCATGTTCTACTAGCGCCTGTTTTGCAGCAAGGACACAAATTGCTCAGCCAATGAGAGGTCAGACGTTTCTTCGCACGGGGCCTTACGCGTCCTTGCCCTTTGCATCACGCCAACAATAGGCACACCTACTACTACAGAAGCGTGCAAGATGGGCCCGAAACACTTACGCCGAGTAAACATGCGTGTTCTTCCAGCCCCTTAATTATCTGCCGATATGGTCTTTTATCGGCGGAGGAAGTTCAATTTTTGTATATAAACACGCTTCCTGTTCATCGTCTTGCTGACCACCACTGTCAGTTCAACTCACTTTCACACCACTCTTTTCTCTCATTTCCATCGCTCTCTTCCACTCTTTGACCCTCGAGAGTGTATAAACTTTCAATCATGACGATGAGGAAGCTTGCAGCACTGGCAGCCATGAGCGGCGTGTCCCTTGCGACCTGCTCCAACGACACCCGCACCCTCAACCTTGCTCCTGTCTACCACAACGGCACGGTCCATGTTGAGCATCTTTCCACCCCCGGAAACCTCGACGGCTTTCGCATGCTCACTCCAGCGGCTCGCGGATCCACCGATTTTTGGTATTTCGACGTCTTCTCCACGTCCACCAACGAGACGTTGAACATCGTGTTTTTCAACTCGGGCGAATTTCGTCAGTACGCCCATCCGTTGGCCGTTCAGGTCTCCGGGACGTATGCCAACGGCACCGATTTCTACTATGAAGCGCTGGCCGATGCTGGCGTTACCCTTTCGAACGGTCCCGATGGCATCACCGGTGACTGGAAGGGTGTCGGCAGTTTCCACGGATCGGCCCTCGACAAGCCCGACGTCGAGTATACCATCACTCTCGACTCTGCCGACATGGACATCAGTGGCACCATCGTTTTCAAATCGGTCAGTCCTACTTCTCCTTGCCCACAGGGGTTCTCAGTTTGGGCACTAACAAAGCATGAACAGACCGCGCCTCCGCGCTACCCCTGCGACCTGAACGGCGCCATCGGCGCGAACCAGAACCTGCTGCCCGGCCTGTACTGGGCCAACGCCGTACCCGACGCCGCGACCACCGTCGACCTCACCGTCAAGGACACAACCATCCGGTTCGAAGACGGCGTCGGCTACCACGATAAGAACTGGGGCAACCAATCCATCATCGACGGACCTCGGTACTGGGATTGGGGGCATGCTCGCGTCGGCCCGTATTCGGTCGTCTGGTACAACTTACTCGACTACCACGGCAACGAGAGCCGCAAGTCCTTTGTTTACAAAGACGGTGAAGTACAGCTTCTCAGCTGCTCTCTCGACAGTCTTGAAGTGCGCCAGATGGGCGGCAAGGCGGCGTGGCCCCCGACCACCGGGCTGTTGGAGACGGATGGCATTACGGTCAACTACACGCTGGCTAGTGGCGAGGTTTTGTCACTGGAGGTTGCTACTGAGCTCATCGTCCGCGATGAGAGTGGAGCGTATCAGCGCGCCAATGGCCATGTGAAGGGTGGTATTGTGGGAGAGAAAACATATGAGGGCCGCGCTCACTACGAAGAGTTCATTTTCGGCATTGTCAATGACTACACGCCCCAGGTCTGAGGCTGTCTATTCCAGCTCAAGTCTAGTACACAGTGATAAATACAAATGGAACTACGCTATGAGACTTTCCCCAACTTTACCCCAGCATTGCGGCCATTTTGCCGAGCTTCGCCTGTGAACTCTTTCCTAAGACTACTAGGACTACTGAACATCTATCTTTCACTTTGATTGATCGGTTAAGTATGAAAATACATCGCTGAGCAAGCAGACTAATACAGCCACAAAGCCACAAGCTCAAACAGAGACTAAAGAATCCGTAACTTGCCCTTCATGATCGACTCCCCATTGAAATGCCTCATAGACAGCATAACATCTTTCTGAGCTCCGGGTAATTTCCTCCTGATCCAGTCCGTTTCAGGTACGTGATTCTTGGCTGGAAAGGCTTGATGGAGCTCTGCGGCTGCCTGAAAATTCGACATGTGGCTCACTCCGAGAGCTGCCCAGGGTTTACCGTCGGAGAATCCGACGTGCATGACAATGACGTCTTTGGTTGCATCATTCGAGAGCTGGAGAGTCCCGAACGAGTCATTGGTATCCGAAAAACTCAATGAGATGCTGTCAAGACCTTCGTTTGGAAGCCACGCATTCTCGGGAAAATAATCGGCTACTGCGAATCCATCCAGTTGACGATACTCCATGGTGAGGATCGGCACGATGTCCTGGGTATTTGCTCCCACGTTTTCATCAAGAGGGTAGCGATCTATAAGGAAAAACTCATTGAGAGTCACTTCCTTGTCGATATTCGCACTCAACCTTTGTCCATCGAGGCCAACAGATGGGCTCACCCTCATGTATTGATCTCCCTTCCAACGCACCAGATACATCGTCACGCATTTTTCATCGGGCCTTGAGACGTCTCTGCAGCCCAGAGCTACGCGGCGGACGGGTGTATTGGTCTTGGCGATCTTCACGTCAGACTTTGTGGGTAACCAGATTCGTAGCCCGTTGTTGGTGAGCTCAAAATTTGACCTTGGTCTCTTGAATTCTTCTTCGCGGCTCTTCTGTCGTGGGTGCAGGTCCACCAGATCCATCCATTTGATAGCCTCGAATTTCCAACCATTCCGGAACTGAGAAGGGTCGGTAGCGAGCATGCCGGAGTAATTCGATGTCTCGTAGTCCCAAGCGAAGATGGTGTGATCGGTAGACTTCTTCAGTATTTCCTGCTGAAGCCGGAGGAATGCGTTTTCTCTCTCGCCGTACATTATAGGCATGAAGACGTTGAAAAGGCCCATGATACAATACGCTCTGTCTTCTGTTCTCGAAGTCTCTCGCCTGGCAGCCCATGACATCCTTTTCGAAATGCTGGCCGAGAATGGCGGAGTTCCCAAGAAGAATTTGCGTTCAATGCCAGTGATACTTTCCACAGTATCTGCCAAGCTGGCCTTTGTGCCGATCTCGACCCAGTCTTTGGCAAAGAATACAACGGTCGGGGGTGCAATGAGTTCTTGCAGTGTCCATCCTCTGGTAAACCAAAGACTCTTTCTAAAGCTCGAATCTTGCGCATTGGGATCTTCGCCACTCTCGACGTCTTCCAAATATGCATAGCATACGCTAGCTGATGCGTAGTAGGAATACATAGCGCTGATTTCCGAAAGCTCAGCACTACTGTCGTGGTCGATGCAGCAGGTGTCAACCCAGACTTGGCTGATTCCGTCCTCAAGCGCCTTGGTACAGCAGCCATGGATTTTTGGGTAAGCTTTCTTTGACGCAGCCGTTCCATCTTTGAAATCTGCAAAGAGGACTTCATCTTTGGGGTTTCCCCACCTATGCGATAGTATGGCATAGCGTGCTTGAGTTGCATCGCCGCAAAAGGAGAAGGAAATGTTGATAGGCTGCTGCGGAGAAGTCTTTTCGCAGTGTAGGAGACGCATCTTTGGAATTTCGATATGCGCAAGATATGATAGAGAGACAAGGTACCAATTGAACTGGCAATTGCAAAATTGAATGTGTGACAAGAGGATAAAAAATTACTGGGCGTCATCTTCCTTGGTTGTACAAACATATATAGCGACGAGAGACTTTGCCCGAAGCGCCGCGACTCATAAGATAAGCGAAGACAAAAAGGTTGCCTGCTGTTCAATTGGCTATCGTGCGAAGCCCACCGCTCACCTTACCGCCTGCTCAATTGCTAGGCGCTGGGCGTGTAGAATACGAGTTGCGCCGCTGCTTCCTACTGGCCGAAAAGGCAAGCAGCCCCACTTGGGCAGGGAATACCCACAATACCCGCGGCTAGTAAGCGCTTTACTACGGCCCCGTCAACGAACACCAAACTCCCAAAGTTTGAGACTATTCTATGAAAAGGATGTAGCAGGGAAAGGTTTCCAAATATATTCTTTTCATGATTTGAACTTGTCTGCAGGAGATAGCTTCGACGAGATGCTAAAAGATTCTTCAGATTTTCCAGTCATTATCTACCTCTATACCACCTGAACGCCTGCGTTCTTCAGCAGCTGCGCCAGCTCCTGCTTGTGCTTCTCCTCCAACAACTTAAACGGCTTCCTCACCCCTCCGGTCCTGAAGCCCCTCAGCTCCATGCCCGTCTTCACTGCGGAGTGGTACGTGTGGCTCTCCAAAAACTTGCAGATGGGCCAAATCTTAGCCCACAGCGCTCTCCCCTCCTTCAAGTCGCCCCGCACCGCAATCGCATCCCACAACTGCATCGACAGCTCCGGGATGATGTTCGTGGCGCCCCACACGCCGCCCTTGGCACCGGCGCACAGGCCGTAGAAGGTCAGCGTGTCCCAGCCGTTGAAGGCGGTGATCTGGTCGTGCAGGCCGAACAGCAGCTCCGTCAGCGCCGGCGCATTACCCGACGTGTCCTTGAGGTACGTGACGCCGACCGCGCGCAGTCCGGCGATCTCGGCGGGAGTGAGGTTCGTGCCGGTCGCCGCCGGGATGTTGTAGTAGACGATGGGCAGCTTGGACGCGGCGTAGATGTCGCTGAAGTACTCGTGCAGCTGCGCGACGTTGAGCGCGTCGTAGAAGGGCGGCACGATCATGAGCGCGGCGGCGCCGGTGGAGGCGGCGTGCGAGGCGAGGTCGATGGCATCGGCACTAAGGTTTGATGTCAGGCTGGTTGCCGACGAGAGAGAATAGAGCCGGAACTGGTGAGGCTGAACTTACGTGGACAGGGCGCCAATGCCTGCAACGACGGGGACGCGGCCGGCTGCGGATTTCACACAGATTTCGATGAGCGTCTTGCGCTCCGGGATGGTCAGTGTTGTGAATTCTCCGGTGCTGCCGCCAGGGACCAGGCCATGAACGCCTGCTGCGATCAGGTTGTTGATGTGTGCATCGAGCTGCCCCGCATCAATCTCTTTGCCGCCTTCAGTGAAGGGAGTGATCAGGGCAACAAGGATGCCTTCGAGGTTTTGGGGAGCCATGGTTGAAGTAGTAGGGTATTTCTTTTTTCAATGCAGAGGAGAAATACAGACGGCAAGCAAGGCAGCGACAGAGAGGTTCTTGTACCCGCTTCAGCCTTTTCGTGATACATTTCTCTTATAAATTCCTTTCATCTTTTCAGAAGGCTTGCGGAGCATGTGCAGCTCCAGACTACGCAATCGTCATAATCTCTGTATTCGCCGAGTAAACTTCCCCGGGCCGATGCGGGGCTGATCTTCGCGTATCAACGCTAGCGGTTTGAGGAAGGCCTCGGCGATCCGGAGCCGAGTTGGTATTGGCTTATCAGCACCAACAAATCAAGCAGTCGTCGCCGGACGCTGCGGGGTTCGGGCCGATGCAACGAAAATGCTCCTGCGCCGCAGGAAATTGGTGCTGCATGTGACCTACTTGGTTAACCAGAGGAATTGCTAACATTGTACTGTACTTGCCTGAACGGCAATTCGGCTCCTGTCCGTACTTGCAGACTACCGGGGCAAACAAGAGACCCGGCGACTTGAGAGGTGCACACAATGCGAAGCATATTCCAATGCGAGCAGGAGGTAAGATGAATCTGGCTTAAAGACAAAAGAGACAGAAATCAAGTGCTGTGGCCAAGAAGTCGACCATATAATTGAGACGAAGTGCGCGGAGAAAAAGTACTCAACGAGGTAGGCAAGAGCTAAATTGACCATGATATACACTCAATTTATTAAATCCTTCGTCTATCCATAAATCTGTATAATGCAGTCTAAAGTTTGCTCAGAACTCCAGTAGACGAAAGCACAGCAAGATGGCCTTTGTTGATCTCCTTGATGTTCTTGGTTCCAGCCAAAGCCATCGTGATCTTGAACTCGTGCATCAGTATCTTAATCCCAAGCTCCACACCTTCCTGGCCCTTGTACTGTAATGATATTAGGAACTGGTGCCGACAATAGCAATACTCATGGAATACATACCGCGAGACCCCAGATTGGAATTCTGCCAACGAAGACGAAGTCGGCTCCCAAAGCTAGAGCTTTGAAAATATCGGTTCCCCTACGGATGCCACCGTCAAGGGCGATGGGGATCTTTCCCTTGGCAGCAGGCACACATTCACGCAATGAATCGAGCGTTGCGGGCACTCCATCAAGCTGTCTCCCACCGTGGTTGGAGACGATGACACCATCAAGCCCGTAGTGAATCGCTTTGACCACATCATCTGCTGTGTAGACTGAGCATCTAAGCGTCAGTCACCAAATACCTTCTAAGCGTGTGATAATGTATACGTACTGCCTTTGAGCCAGATGGGCAGCTTCGTGTGCTCTCGGAGCCACGGAATCGCCTCGTCCCAGGTCAGGGTCGGATCTGGATCGCATCAGAAACAGTTTGACGAGCTCGTATGTTCCGACAAACATACCGAAATCATTTCCCGAGCCCTTCGAAGCACCTCCTAGTTCGTCTCTCCCAGTGGAAAGAATGTTCGGCCAAGCCATGTCCTCAGGAAGCACAAACTTGTTTCTGAACTCGTTCAAGCGGCGGCCAAGTACGGGGACGTCGACAGAGAGGAAGATTGCACTGCATCCAGACTCTGGAATATTGCATCAGCCATGGGGAATATCCTTGGGAGCTATGGATCTCGTCCCTACCCTCTGCACGTTTCAACAGCTGAAGCGTAATATTCCTGTCTCTGACTACGCACATTTGCATGACATATGGGTTTCCTTTCCCCTGTGCGGCCACGGCTTCAATTGACTCAGTCGCGTATGACGATAAAGCCATGGGAATGTTGTGGTTGGCTGCGGCGCGTGAGGTTGCCAGTTCTCCGTCAGGGTGTGCCAACTTGTGCATGGCTGCTGGGCTAAAGCCCAAAGGGAATGCGACCTTCCAAAAAGAATGAGAATTTGCGTGGCACTCTCTACCGCTTTGTGACGTCTTACCTTCTGACCAAAGATTTCCGCGCTAGCATCAATGTTGTCGACATTTACCAAGACGCGAGGTCGGATCTTGTATCGATTGAAGGCTTCCTCATTCTCCCTCAGACTGCATGATTGTCAATATGCTGGGCAATCAACGCTCTTGCTCTGGCTCCTTACGTGATCAAATCCATTGCTCCTTGATTGAAGTAGTCTATTGCAAGAATAATCAATGAGCGCGCATTCCAACACCAGCAGGTATGATAATTACCTCTGTACATCTTCGGCAGCCTTTTGCTGCCGAGCTCCTTCAAATCCTCAATTGTCGAGACATGCTCGTCGAATGCAGCGCCGCGGTTGGCCATGGTCGTTGGGATAGTTGGAGTACGGCGTACGTCTGTAGCGTTATTTGGAGCTGTGAGAGACTGCAATAGCAGTATTTACGGTCGATTGCGAGGCGGCTTATGGTGCCGGACTTAAGACAAGACGGCCGGGGTAGCTTTCTTGAAGCCTCGCCACAAGTGCGTGTGATTGGCGGATCTTTGGATCAGGAAAGTGTCGACGGTTTCCCGCGCCATGTGCTCGGGTTCCGTATCCGACACCCGACCGCCACCGACTATCGGCTCGTCGGATTACCATGAATAGTTACCGCAAGTCATTAGATTGATAGCCGCAGTTTGGCAGGATATACATTTACTACATATCAAACCACTCAAGGGCCCACTTGATGAAGTCCCACATTTCACACAACCATAATCGATTGCCTCAAACAGTTGAAGTGGAGATCTTCTCACTTCCCGAGGCTGTGCGCCTCACCATCTAATTTTCAGCTCGGTCCTTGTTACAAAGGGAATTATTTAATCTCAGTGGGCAAAGCCTGCGCTATTTCTACAAGGAGTTACACTCGTTTAACCCAAATCACGGGGAAATTGACAAATCCCAATCATGTGCAGATATCATAGAAGAAGTATTGATTGCTTTTTCAACTTGCTGATCTTGCGGCTTGTTGTAAGCAGTTTACCGTCTACTCCCCCAAGTTGATATGCACGGCCTTCACTTGTGTGTATGCTTCGAGACCTGCCTCTCCAAGCTCACGACCAACACCACTTTGCTTCACACCTCCGAACGGCACCCTACGCTGTTGTTAGAAAGCGGCACTCCTCTGTATTTTACACGACAGCAAACATAAGAAGGGGTTAACGTACCTGAAATCGCAGTCATTGCTGCTGTTCACCCACACAGTTCCACTCTGGATCTTCTTCGCAACCGTATGCGCTCTCTCTAAATTCTTAGTAAACACGGCCGCGCCGAGGCCGTAGGTAGTGCTATTCGCAAGCTTCACGGCTTGGTCCTGCGTCTTGAACCGCGAAATGACGACAAACGGGCCAAACACCTCCTCGTGGTAGATACGCATGCTCTCATCGACGTCGGTGAAGACGGTCGGCGCGACGAAGTAGCCCTTGCCCGCTACACGCTCACCGCCGTGCAGAAGCGTAGCGCCTTCTTTCTTGCCAATATCAGCGTAACCAAGGACCCTGTCCATTTGCGCCTGGGTGACTTGCGGGCCCTGGAAGGTGTCCTCAGCCCAAGGGTCGCCGACTTTGCTGACGGACTTGACGGTCTCGACGAAGCGGCGGACGAACTCGTCGTGGATGCTGTCCTCGACCAAGATTCTGTTTGGGAAGGGAGTCAGCCCGTTGTCAATTCTGGACTCCCTGCCGCCCCTACTCACCTCGAAGTTGCCGAGCAAACCTGGCCTTGGTTGTTCATGATGCCGATGTGGGCCCATCTCACCGCCTGCTCCAAGTCTGCGTCTGCGAAGACGACAGCGGGCGACTTGCCGCCAGTCTCGAGCGTAATGTTCTTCAGCGTGCTGGCGGCAGCCTTCATGATATGCTGCGCCGTCGCCGTCGAGCCGGTGAACGCCACCTTATCGACGTCCGGATGATTGACCAGCGCCGCGCCAGCCTCACGGCCCGTGCCGTTGATGATGTTGACGACACCCGGAGGGAAACCAGCGGTCTTGATCAGGTTTCCCAGGTAGAGGATGCTGAGCGGCGTCTGCTCGGCGGCCTTGATGACGACCGTGTTGCCGCAGGCCAGGGCGGGACCGAGCTTCCACGCGGCCATGCCGAGCGGGTAGTTCCACGGGATGATCTGGCCGACGACGCCAAGCGGCTCACGCAGCGTGTAGGCGAACTTGCTGCCAGTGGTTGAGATAGTCTGGCCACCAACCTTGTCGGCCCATTCGCCGTAGTAGCGGATCGTGTTGAAGGCTTCCGGGAGGTCCTCCTCGATCATGACGCGGTAGGGCTTGCCTGGAAGAGAGAAATCAGTAGGAGGGCTCGTGGCAGCTGGGGCTGATGCGGATATCTCACCATTATCCAGTGTGTCAATTGTGGCGAACAGCTCTTGGTTCTCCTCAATTAGGCTGGCTAGCTTGACAATCAATCGCCCGCGATCTGTTGCAGATAGCTCCTGCCATGGGCCCTCGAATGCTGCTCGCGCCGCTCTCACGGCCTTGTCCACATCTGCTTCTTGCGCTGCGAACACTGAGGTGATTTCCTTCTCCGTTCTATGAGCCAATGTAAGCAGTAGCTCCGAGATATGCGGGGTAGAACTTGGCAACCTACGCTGGATCGATAGTTGCAAGTTTTGCCCCGGATTGCGAGGGAACGAATTCGTTGTTGATGAACAGGCCGAGAGGTTGTGCCCACGTGCGGCCGTTGGGCGCGGTAATGTCCACAGACAGAGCCATGATGATGCGCGCAGTCTAGCGACAGCAATTGCAATTTGCAAATGAGAACGGAATACTATTAACGACAAGGTGAAGCTTATGAGACAATGGAAGGTGATAATTTGGGTCCGTAGCATGCTTTTCCCCGCATGCAAGGGACATTTACCATTACGTCTATGGTGCAAAACACGTCGGGGAGACCATCGCCGAGACCTCCTTGACTGGCGCTTGTGGTATGGCTGACGTAGCAAACATTGATAAGCAAGTCGATAAGCGCTTGCTACTGCCCCGCAGCCCCGCGCAAGCCCCGCCACCCCTCCGCCCCTCCTCAAGCCTCGCTGTGTCAGCACTACGGCTTGTGACCTTCGGACCCCGCTACAAGCTGTCCGCTCGGCGATTGAGCACTAGAGACCGGTTGTTAGATCCGTTTAAGTCGGCAACTGGCATTCTATGGCCGCGGAGTGCTCAAGATCTGGAACAGGCATGACAAATCCGATGGACCCTGAGTCGTTCCTATAAGATGACGTCGTCTCCGCAACCAAAAAGAAAAAAGAAGAAAGGAAAGGAAAGGAAAGCAGAATTCCCAGAAGGCTTTGCAAAGCTGCTGTACATCCTGACAAAATTAGCCGGTTCCGGTAGAGGGCGGCAAGCAGTACATTTACATTCACCAAATAATCACTCCCGTGCATTCAACATAGTATATTCACGAGTTTACACTCTGAACGGCAATATATCTACAATCCTGCCTTTCCCACCTTCCCAGCCTCATCTCGCACAGTCTCCTCAATCGCCTGCTCCAAACTCTGCTCCTTCGGGCTCCACCCGAGTTTCTCAACTGCACGCCTGGCATCGCAGCGCGCATTCGTGCCCAGGAGGATACTTGCGTGGCCGACCAACTTGTCCGCCTCGGCGGGCGGGAGGGCATCGACGGCATCAGGCGAGTCAGCGAGGCCGAGGGCGTACGCCGCCGCTGCGATGCGGCGGGAGATGTCTGCAAACGCCTGCGTGAGAAGGAGAGGGCCCAAGTCAGCACTACGGACGACAATAAAGATCTCGAAAGAGAGGCAGAAGGATTCCGGAGAGCAAAGAAAAAAGGGGATCTTACAAGATGTCCAACACCAGCGAAATACGCGCCGTCCTCACCCCACAACCCACTCTGATCGCCGCCACCCGTCACCGCCCTCTCCACCAAGCGCAGCGTGATGCCGCTCAGATCCCGCACGTGCACGTGATCCCACACGCTGAGCCCGCGGCCCACCTGCCACGCCCTGCGGCGCTCGATGGCCGTGCGCGCCAGCTCCGGGATCTGGATGCTGCGCCTGTTCCCCGGCCCCCGGCCCGCGCCGAATATGATGGGGCCGACGAGCAGCGCTGTGTTTACTGTGCCGGCGTCTTGCGTCGCGACGTCGTGGATGTAGTTGTCGACGGCGCGGCTGGGGTATTTCTTGACCTGCGCCCAGATCTCGCCGCTGTCGAGGTCGTGGTAGACCTTGTCTGACGGCTCGCCGAACGTCTTGGATGCGATCTCGCCGCACGCGAGGACGGTTGCGCCGGAGATCTGGAGCCAGTGTGCTGCACGGGTGTTGTCTGGCGTTAGCGTACGTCGACGGTAGGGGATGACGAAGGAGGGATTGGCAGAGGTAGGGGCATGGACACACCAGGCTTGCCGCTACGGCTGGTGCTCGCCTTCTTCAAGCCCTGGTGGATGGATTTCACGCTGGGCAGGTGGCTCGTAGCCGCCAGATCTGACCTTCTTTTCAGCACGGTGAACATTCCAAGCCACTGCATCGTTGATGCCTACTCAAAACAACATCTGCCTTAGCCGCCTCATCGGCGACAAGATCGCCGTCATCGAGGCTGCCCTGTACGATGCGGACGTTGGGGTACTCCTTCGCGAAAACGTCCGCGCTCTTCGCCGGGTCGCGCACTAGCGCCGAGATTTGGTACTCCGGATGGGCTCTGTACAGTGCATGCAGCGCGTCGCCGCCGATGTAGCCAGTGGCTCCGGTGCTGTTAATTTTGTTATTTCTGTTAGTGTATGTGCAATTGATGATCTCTACAGTGCGAACGGCTTACAGGAAGATTCTTGCCATCTTTGCTGGGTGTGCTGGACTGCAATGGTGCTGCACAGTATTGTGAATCAGAGGAGGGGTCGTGGAGGGGCAGTTGCGCACTGCCGGCTTTTTTTGTAAGAAGACAATCGTCATACGCAAGGGACTGTGGCGCTCGACCCACCGAAGGCGGGGTGGAAGATATCGGATGAGGCAAGCTTGGACGGCAGCCAATCAGAATCGTTATCGGGTCCGCAGAGCCTCGACCGAGGGTATTCAATCTGTCCTTGAAGCCCGAACAAGACTGTCGTGCACTCGTTTTCTCCTCAGAAATTTCGTCGGAAAGTATATGTGAATCTCTGCAGAATGAAACTCGAAACAAGACACGTTTATTGACAAATTGTGCCAATGATGGTACGTATTGGATGTATTTCGATATTAAATTTTGCCTCTCCTCTATTGTGAAGTCTTCTCAGGCCTCCTTACCAACATTTCTGTCTGAACCTGATCCTCTAATATGCTCCATCCACATCGTCTCTGATCAGCTCTGCGTCGGCATCTCAACAGCCGCCTTCGTCGCGATGGCATCAGAGCTCTTCCACAAAGCCGTCACCGTCTTCGTTTGCGTGTAGAAGTTCAGAGCCGGCTTGCCGTAGAATGTACTGATGCCGCCGCCCGCAATGCTCTTCTTGTTCCCCGTGAATGAAAACATGGGAAGCGGGACGGGCAGGGGCACGTTGATTCCCACCTGTCCGGCCTCGATCTTCTTGCGGAAGTACTCGGCCGAGGGGCCCGAGTTTGTAAAGCACGCCACTCCGTTGCCAAAGGGGTTCGCATTGATCAGGTCGATTGCCTCATCCAGGCTCTCGGTCTCCATGACCAGCAACACCGGCCCGAAGATCTCTTCCGTGTAGCACTTCATGTGCGGCTTCACGCCGGCGATGACGGTCGGCGCGACGAAGTTCCCGTTCGGGTACTTGGCGGGCTTGTAGTTCCGGCCGTCCAGAACCACTCGCGCACCTTCTGCCTCCGCGCTGGCGATCAGCGCTTCGATGCGGGCCTTGCTCTCCGGGCTGATGACGGGGCCGAGGTCAGCGCCTTCCTCGAAGCCACCGTCGACCTTGAGTGCCTTTGCACGGGCGACAAGGTCGGGCAGCCAAGCTTGCGTTTCCTTGCCCGTGAGAATGACAGTGCTTAAAGCCATGCATCGTTGTCCGGCGGCTCCAAATGCAGCGCCGGCAATGGCATTCAATGTGTCATTCTTGTTGCTGTCAGGGAGGACGACCGCATGGTTCTTTGCCCCGAGGTTGGCTTGCACGCGCTTGCCGTTTGCCGAGGCCCTTGTGTATATGTATTCGCCCGCCTTGTTCCCTCCAACAAAGCTGACAGCCTTGATGGCAGGCTCATCGAGGATAAAATTGACAGCGCGGTGCGTGCCATGAATGATGTTGACTACGCCATCAGGGAAGCCGGCTTCCTTGGCCAGTTCGGCGAGGATGAGTGCGGCACCCGGGTCTCGCTCTGACGGCTTGACTATGATGCAGTTACCCGTGATTGTGGCGCCAGGGATCGACCAAAGAGGGATCATGGCTGGGAAGTCTAGTAGTACAGTGAGTTAGGGAACTAGTTACAACTGTACAATCAAGGCACTTACTGAAAGGACAGATTGCTGCCACAACACCGAGCGGCTCCCTATAGCTCCTTGTTTCCATATCCTTGGCCACTTCCAGCACCTCTCCGGACATCTGTGTGGTTATCCCGCACGCTGTCTCGGCCACTTGCAGGCCTCGGAGGACGTCACCTCGGGCATCCGCAAACGTCTTTCCCTGCTCCAGTGTAATCGACGCCGCGAGACGGTCCCAGTTCTCGCGGATGAGCCGCACATAGTTGAACATGATCTGTTGCCGCCGGAGAATGGTCGTGTCTCTCCATGCTGGAAATGCAGCCTCGGCGCTCTTGACAGCTTCGCGAAGTTCCTCGTCGGTGCTTTCGGGAACGCGGGTAACGACATTGTTCGTCGCCGGGTCGTGGACGTCGATCCACTTGGTGGCTTTTGAAGGCACTGCCTTGTTGTCTATGAAGTTGGTTGTCGGTGGGGGGTTTTCGATTTTCTGATGTGTTGTCGGCCATGCAGCTCTGCGCGCCACGAATACAGAGAAGGGCCGACGATACTGGCCTGCGTGTGTCCATTGCCGGCAGACTGAGAACCGTCTGCACGCGCCGACTGAGGTTGCAATTCGCGTCATGGTGAGTCGTAATACCGTATTGTTGGCTCTTCTCCGCCTCATAAAACGCGTGCTTTATATTCAAGAGGCCAAACACGCATTCAAGACTTCCTGGGCGGGCAAGCCAGGCCGGGGTGGACCGAGCGCACTTCATATCAGGACCCACGCTAACCGGAAACACGAATCGAGCACCGGACCACACATCTGCAGCATACTGTGGGGAATCAGACAAAACTTGTCTTCCAAGAATGCTGAAACCTTGTTATGCAAGTTTGAAAAGTGTGTTCCGGGGTGGATCAAGCGGATGTAACTCGCCCTTGTAGTAAAGGTGGCAATACACGGCTGAGCACGCCGCATCGCCGAACTGCTCAAGCTGAAGGGCCCATTACATCGGGCCAGCTGATAGTCAAGTCGTTGGCTTCACTACGACGTCTCCAAACTTCTTCGGCAATGTGTCCCAACTCACCGCTGGCGAAGAATACGCTCCCTTCCTTGACGATGGACAAACATCGTCGGGCTTCTTCCTGTAGTTCTGGGGTAGCTGCTTCGCAGGCAGCGATGAATACCGACCAGGACACGAGAATGGCAAAATCCTGATCGTAGAGACCTTCCGTGGCGCACGACAACAAGTGATCGAACGTTTTGCGGACAAACTCCTGCAATATCATGGCGTTGACGTTGTAAATGCGACGGTAGAAGTACAGGAGAAGGACTTCATGCAGCGCGAGAGCCATAGGATTGCGATCTCTAGTAGCTGGCGAAGGCGACCAACTCCAGATGTTCTGCTCCAGAGTTTTTGTGTGACAAGCCAGGGCGGCCGACACTCGGCAGTCGGTGGCAGCAATGCTCTCCAGTCTCTTCTTGTCGTTTGCCAGAGAAATTGTCTGGGCTAGCCACGTCATCAAGGACTCTGGGACACCATACATCTCTGGGTACATTGTTTTGTTCCATTTGCCCGTCATTTCCAGGTGTATGTCGTTGTAGCCGAGTTGAGCGGGTTTTTCTTGAGAAGGATCGAGGTGGGTATTCAAGCGGTCCTCTGTGAGGCGGAATGCACGTAGAGTGGAGATGTCTTCAGAAGCTTGGTAGTTCTGCCGATTTCCAATACCTTGACCGCTTATGGATTCAGAGCACACGCAAGTGCTCTCCGCGATGATTCGAATATGCGTGTACATGTGGTGGAGCAGACGCAGCTCGAACGACTTGTGCGGTTCAGGGATACCGCGGAGGCGTATGAGACGCTCGGCGTCATGGAGGAGAACTCGGATAGCCCGGGGCTCATAGAATGCCTAACGCTACATCAGCATGCGTCACGCCAACAATTCTACACAAACAATGCACACACCGAGGCCGTTGCCATGGATAGGACAGCAAGAAGTAACTCGTTGTATTTCCCCTGACTTGGACCAGCAACTTCAGTCATCAGAGCCTCTTTCAAGAACTTCTTTGCAATCTGCTGGTACTCCTTGCCGCTATTCAACCAATGCGAATCACTCGAATTGCGGTTGGAACGATGGATGCGGAAGGCAGTGGCAGCCAAGACAGCATAAAAGACGGTGAAACGGGCACATGAGGTGGTGTTCCACAGTGTGAGCTCGCCAAATGTTTCGACGGCACAGGGCATGAAAGACTTTTCCCACGGTGACACGCGGGTACGGTATGTTGAGGTGTTAGTGGTTGCCCTACAGTACCGGAGAATGAACGAAGCATCAGCGGGCAGAGCATGCTCGCGGGAGGCTCCGCCCTGAGGCATGGACGGAGGTATTGTCAGCTGGTGAGCGAAAGACTCGATGGCCATCATGCTACTGTCGTGATCAACTGCCGTATCAACTGGCAGTGGCATTTCCAGCTGGGGAAATTGCTGGCTGGGGGATGGCTGTGCCATAAACAAGACTGGATCGTCATGTTCTGTAGGATAGATGTTCAAGATGTCATCGACGTCACAATCCAAGAGGGAAGGATCATGAGGCGGCACCTCTTCAATCACGTGATCAGAGCCGTCGGAGGTTGGCGGCGAGCCGTTCGGGGGCTGTGCTCGTGGCGGCGGGTCGAAAACCCTGAAGGCGTGGAAAGGGCCGACGGTGACGCTTGCGTCGACGTCACGACGCTCGAGGCGCTCCGACTCCAGATCCAGGTGGAGGAGCAGATCCATGGCCGGGCGGCCGCCAGTGCTCTGCTGCAGTTCGAGGCTCATCTGGCTGCGGTCGCTTTCTGGCAGATGCGTCAGCGCGGCGCGGAAGCCGAGAGGATGGGGAAAGTGTCACCGTTGAAGAGGGTGCGGCGGAACATGGCTGCAGGCTGGTCCAGTTTGTCAGAGCCATTGCTGTCAGGCATCCAGAGCAGCTGGGCGGCATAGCCCTGGCATGGCAGGTTATTGCGGCGACATGAGTTGCAGACGGGACGGGCTTCGTCGCACTTGAGGTGTCTAGCGCGGCAAGTGCCACAGCCGGTGAAAGTGCGCGAGCGGGGAACGGGAGTTCGTTGGGCCATGTGATTGACCGGCGGGTTGCATCGGGGCAGAGGGCGGTGGTGGCAGAACGAGGATGAAATGAAAAGGGCAGGAAGGCAGATAAATGTGTGGTTGATGGTTGAGGAAGGCGTCGCCGGAGCTGTGGCGGGGCAGCGCGCAGGGGGTCCCCTGCCTGAGGCGCCGAGCCGGGCCCGCCGCCCTGGACCCTCACCCGGCGATTATATCGACTATAATACATCAATTGATTGCAACGAGAGCATATCCCAGCTCTATTCCTTTCATTAAGACCATGTTGGCCTCAAATTTCACCGCACGCCGCTCGCTGTGCGTTGCGGCGCGGCGAAATGCCTCGAGCGCGAGTGCGGCCTTGTTTAACCGCGAGCCTGCGGCACCGCGGATACGCACCACTTCGCTCCCTGGCCCGGAAGCTCAGGCTGCCGTCAGCCAGCTCGACCGCGTCTTCGACACGCGCAGCTTGAACATGCTTGTCGACTACGATCAGTGCTGCGGCAACTAGTACTCACCTCACCCACCACCGCCCCTCCGCGCATTGCTGACCAGCGGCAGCCTCGCCGATGTGGACGGAAATGTCTTCCTCGACGTGTACGTCTATGCTACTTCACAATGACCTTTCCCCATGCTGACGCTTGCCCTTCGACCCAGCTTCTCGCAGATCGCCTCCATCCCCATCGGCTACAATAACCCTGCTCTCGCTCGCACCGCCTCCTCTCCCTCCATGGTCAGCGCCCTCATCAACCGGCCCGCGCTTGGCAATTTCCCCTCCCGTGACTGGGCCGAGATCCTCTCCACTGGGCTCTTGCGTGCCGCGCCGCAAGGCTTGGATCAAGTCTTTACCGCAATGGCCGGCTCCGATGCAAACGAAACAGCATACAAGGCCGCCTTCATGTGGCGCCGTGCACAAGAGCGTGGCTCGGCTGACTTCACTGACGCTGAGCTGAGCTCCGTCATGCTTAATCAAGCCCCCGGCTCGCCGAACTACTCGATACTGTCCTTCAGCTCTGGCTTCCACGGCCGCCTGTTCGGCAGTCTGTCGACGACACGGAGCAAGGCGATACACAAGCTGGATATTCCTGCCTTTGACTGGCCTGTCGCCCCCTTCCCGAAGCTGCGCTACCCCCTCGAAGCGCATCAGGCAGAGAATGAGGCAGAGGAGCACAGGTGCCTGCGTGAAACGGAGAAGATCATCGATCAGTTCCGTAATCCTGTCGCGGCAGTGGTCATTGAGCCCATCCAGTCAGAGGGCGGAGATAATCACGCAAGCCCAGCTTTCTTCCGTGGCTTGCGAGAATTGACGAAGCGCAAGGGCGTCTTGATGATTGTCGACGAGGTTCAGACTGGTGTGGGTGCGACTGGGAAGCTCTGGGCTCACGAGGTGAGAAAACAGGCACTGGCTTCGTGACATTTGACTTACAAGTGAAAATAGCACTGGGGTCTCACATCTCCACCAGATATGGTCACCTTCTCCAAGAAGGCCCAAGCTGCAGGCTTCTACTATGGCGATGCCAGTTTGAGGCCGAACAAGCCATACAGGCAGTTCAACACTTGGATGGGAGACCCCGCGCGAGCGTTGATCTTCCGCACCATTCTGGAAGAAATTGAACGGCTTCGCTTGGTCGACAACACTTCGTCCGTGGGTGGTTATCTTTATAGCCGGCTCGACAGCCTTTCTCGCCAATTCCCCGATGAGATCCAGAATCTGCGCGGCAAGGATCGCGGCACCTTCATTGCTTGGGACAGCCCGCGCAGGGATGCGATTATCAAGACCGCTAAGTCAAAGGGTGTCAATATGGGAGGCAGTGGCGAGAGAACCATAAGATTGAGGCCCATGCTTATCTTTCAGAAACATCACGGTATGTTCATGTTGATATGTTCGTTCAGGGGTAAGCACTGACACTCTTTTCCACAGCCGACATCCTACTCGATACACTCGAACAGATATTCAAAAGCGCCTGATACCGAAATCACGTAGATAGATACCAGACAGCCTTGATTGATAGGTTGAAGGCGCCATAGTGATGAAAAGTTTTCTCTGAGCCATTCATGTGGTTGTTCCCGTCCGTGCAGAGCAATGTTGCCTATCTTAAACAGCTCAGCGCCACTATCCTCCAGATAACCAATCGCATTATGTACCGTATCTTGCCACATCCGGCCCAACGCGCAAATATTAATGGGGCTGGTCCCGTATCTGCATATCTACCTACCCAGATCTGGTAAGAGCAGGTGCTTGGCAGGTCAGTGACATAAGTTTGCATTCCGCATCACTGGTCAGCTATCTTGGCCGGCAGCCTGATTACCCGCCCATCATACTATATCTTATCTAGCTCCAATCCATCAGGGCCGGACGGCCGATACCCCGCAGGCGCCACGGCGGTCACCAACCTGCTTTGGCCAGAAAAGTAGGCTACCCCGGACGCGCGTAAGGTTCCCCACGGATAGGCCATCGGCTACCTGCGACGTCACGTTTGCCGACGAGCCTGGCCTCAGCCACCATCGACCTGCTGGAAGAGTTTGATCGTTGATAAATACCCATTCTCACAGCGGTCAGGAGACATCAGACGTTCTGCATGCCTTTACCTTGCGAACACGACGCTGCCGTCTCCATCCGCTAGCCGCGTTTTCATTTTGAGAAGTTGCTACTTGATTTTTTCACCTTCCCCACGGACCACTGCACGAAGTCGTGCCCGACGAAACCTCATCATCCTCCATCGAAAACGGGTGCCCACTCCAACGACAGTCAACATGGGTGAAAAGTCCGAGTTTGGTCCCGATCTCGAGAATCCAATCCACCCCGTCACTTCCAACGCGTTGGGCCAGTGTGAAGCGGTCGACATTGAACATGACACAACCCAGCGTGGCCTCAAGTCCCGCCATGCGCAGATGATTGCGCTTGGTGGTACGATTGGCACCGGTCTCTTTGTGGGCTCAGGGCAGGGACTGAACATGGGCGGGCCAATCTTTCTGGTTCTCTCGTACCTGATCCTCACCGTCCTCGTCTACGGAATCGTCACATGCACCACCGAGATGAGCTCGTATCTACCAGTCCCTGGTTCGTCGGTCTCTTATTACGCCAACCGCTTTCTGTCCCCGAGCCTTGGTTTTGCCCTGGGATGGATCTACTGGTACGTCTTTTCCATCACTGTACCGGCTGAAATCACCGCCGGTGCCCTCGTCATCGAGTACTGGAACCCCCCTGTCCACCAGGCGGTCTGGATCACTCTACTCTTGATCGTCATCGTCGGGCTCAACTGCATGCCCGTCAAGATATACGGCGAGACCGAGTTCTGGTTCGCATCTCTGAAAGTCATTGGCATTATGGGCCTCCTGGTTATGGCCGTTGTCCTGATCCTCGGCGGAGGCCCCAACCACGACCGCCTTGGCTTCCGCTATTGGATTACCCCAGGACCCTTCAACGAATATATCGTTACAGGTGATAGCGGGCGCTTTGTCGCCTTCATCAGCGTTCTCACCTTCTCATACTTCGCCTTTGCCTTCTCCCCCGAGCTCCTCGTCGTCACGGGCGGCGAGATGCAGTCGCCCCGCTACAATCTTCCCATCGCCGGCCGTCGCTACTTCTACCGCTTGATCATCTTCTACATCCTTGGCGCCTTCGCTATTAGCTTGATCGTCTCGAGCAAAGACGAGGCTTTGCTGGGCGGTGGCAAGGGCGCCGGCACCTCCCCCTGGGCCATCGCCGCCAAGAACGCCGGCATCACCGGCCTCGATTCTGTCATCAACGCCATCATCCTTACGTCCGCCTGGTCTGCGGGCAACTCGTACCTGTTCCTCGCAAGCCGCGCGCTGTACTCGATGTCGCTGACCGGCAAAGCACCGCGCATTTTCAGCAAGTGCACCGCATCAGGCGTCCCGTATAACGCTCTAGCAGGCACGGCAGTGTTCTCTTTGTTATCGTACTTGAACTGCTCCAGCAGCGCCGCGACGGTGTTCAACTGGTTTGTCAACCTGATCAACACCGGCGGGTATATCAGCTGGATCAGCATCTGTGTCATCTACGTCCGCTTCCGCAAAGCGACCGAAGTGCAGCAGATTGTCGACCTACCGTTTAGGTCCGCGCTGCAGCCCGTTATGGCGTATGTTTGTGGCTTCATGTTCACGCTGCTGCTGCTGCTGAGCGGCCTCAAGAACTTTGTCGGCGGTAACTGGAACACGTCGAGTTTCATCACCTCCTATATCGGCATTGCCATTTTCGCAGCACTGTACTTTGGCCACAAGGTTCTCTTCGGTCGCAATGATCCTTGGGCAATCCCAGCAGAGAGAGTCGATTTGATATCGGGGTTGGACGCCGTGCTGGCGGCGGAGAGGCCACCGGTGAAGGAGGAGGGGAAGTCTCCTCTGAGAAAACTCAAAGTCATCTTCGGATAAATGTGTGTCATGGATAGATTTTTCATTCGCAAAGAAATGCATATATCGTTCATTCCTCCTGGTTTGCCACCGTGCCTTATTCACTCAAGTCGTCTCCGCCCAAAGCCAATCCATCCATTTGTCTCCGTCTCGCTTCTGCTACAGCATACCCAAGTGACAATTCAGCCAGCTGAGTACTGCTTCGAAGCAATCAATCACGACCATGCCATGCTGGCTTCTTGGTGTATCCAAGTTGATCATTGGGTCTTGAGGACGCAGAAGCAGCCATCTAATTCCCCCGAAGACCCCGAACAGCTTGGTACCATATTACACCTGACACTCAGCTTCCTGCCAGTCTGTCTGGGATGCCCTCTCCATCGGTATGGTCATTATTATTATGTTCGTTGCTACTGTTGCAAGCGCCTCCCCTCACAAGTTCGATGAAGGTCATGAAGCAATAAGTACGACGAAGTGGCCTAGGAAGTAGAGGTGTCGGTCTTGTGACGGATGAACTAGATGAATAGACGGCGAAAGGCGCAATTACTGCGCTTCGAGGCGGTTCTTCCTGTTGTTATGACGGTTAGCTTCGGCACTCCCCAATGTGTGTGAGATGAAAAGAGAACACCAACAAAAGGCTTGCGAGAGTGAGTACGAAACAGCGAAAGCGAGAAATAACAAAGGGGGAAATATTAAAGCATGGTTGAGAGCACGTCTCTGGGTCTGTAGCTCGCTTTCACTGTTTCTATTTTCGTTTTCTTTTAGCTCTTGGATCAGGTCACCGGATGCCAATTGCAAATTTGTGTGCGAGTTTTAAACATATACAGGGGTATCATTGTTTGATTTGGCTGGCCCGTAGCCTTTTTGGAATTAACACGTGCCTCATGATGCAGAAGAGTATCCTCATTCGGCCTCTGCAATATTGCGAACCACCTACTTCAGAAACGGCAGCTTCCTTTGACTTCCCCGCGTTTGGGGTGGTATCCTATTATCATGGCTGATTGCTATATTAAGTGAGAAAGGGATCCATCGTCATATCGAGCGCTCAATGTGGAAAGCCTCGCCGAGGCTTTACGAAGCACTGATTGGGCACTGTAGTTTGAAACCCCACACGAGTCTCTGGCTTCCCCGTGAGACTCGGCTTCGGTCACACGTTCCGAGATTGATCTTCATAGGTGGGGAACCTGTTATCTGGCTGATATTGTTAGCTTTCGCAGCGTACGTGTTCAGTCGCCTTTCCCTAGCCTTACGCCTGTGTTCATGCCCACGCGTATACCCCCGATTTGCCTTCGAAGTATACCTTTTCAACATCATACAAACTCAAGTAGATAATGTCAGAGACAAGGATTGTTGTCTTAGGGTAGGTGAACAGTGTAAAACTACGAGTAAATATGCTTAGACTCGTCTTTAGCGCCGGCGTCATAGGCCTTACGACGGCCTTGGAGTTGTCCAAGATCAAGAGCTTCACCGTAACTGTCATTGCTAAGCATATGCCTGGTGACTACGATATCGAATATGCATCACCATGGGCTGGTGCCAACTCCATACCGTAGGTACACCAGTATTTATATTATATCCCACAGATTGCCGAGCTTAGTGTCCTACATCAAGTCATTTCAAACCCCAACTCTCACGAAACGGATTCTCGCCAACAAATTCGTACTAGAACAGAGGTTGATCGAATCTTTTTAGCATCGGCGCTCCCAGTTCAGATCTCGGAGAGTATGAGAAAAACACCTGGCCCGAGCTCCAACGGCTAGCCTCCGGTGTACCTGAGTCTCACATACACTTCCAAGACGCCTACCTGTACAAGCGGTTGAAAGATTCCGGTACTACTGTCGGTGACTGGTTCTCGGAGTCTATGAAAACCAATCCCTGGTGGAAAGGTTACGTGCCAAACGTAAGTGATTTTCTCTGTCGCTCACGTCGAGCATTTTTTTTTCTCTTGGTCCCTTTGCATTTAGCCCAGTGAAAGGCCGGCTGAGCAATTTTCATATCCTTAGTTCCGAGTACTCGCTAGAGATGAGCTTCCTGAAGGCATCGACTCAGCCACTGCGTTTACTTCTGTATGCATCAATACAGCTCTATATCTGCCATGGCTTGTCGGCCAGTGCCGCAAGAACCATGTGCATATCCGTCGTGGCATTGTCAAGCACATCGTAGAAGCTGCATCATTGCATTACAGCGGGGAGACTGCCGACATTGTGGTCAACTGCACTGGTCTTGCATCTCTCCATTTGGGTGGAGTGAGAGATAAGAAGGTGTATCCTGGCCGCGGACAAATTTTGCTTGTGCGAAACGAACCAGGCTACATGCTCAACATATCTGGAGTAGATGATGGTGATGAAGAGGAAACGGCGTATATAATGCAGCGCGCTGATGGTAAGAACATGATTCTTCAGAGCCTCTCACATAGCCCCATGTTACTCCGTTGTATCATTTGACCGAGCTTCAATAACTGACAATGTCTGAAGGTGGTGGCACTATCCTTGGTGGATGCTTACAAAAGCACAGTTGGGAGTCTCAGCCAGACCCGAATCTTGCACAACGCATCATGAAAAGAGCAGTCGAGCTCTGCCCCACATTGACCAATGGTAAAAGACCCGAGGCGCTCAGCATCATCAGACACGGCGTTGGGCTGCGACCAATGCGCGAGGGCGGTCCGCGGGTAGAAAAAGAGCGCATAGATGGTGGCGTCTGGGTAATCCACAATTACGGTCACGGCAGCTACGGTTATCAGACTAGTTACGGTTCTGCATACGCTGCAGTGGGGTTGGCAAACGATATTGTGCAAGCGAAAGCAAATCTTTGATTTTGATAAATATAGGTAGAGCAAGAGTAACCGGCGATTTAATTGAAAGCTACCGAGCCAAACCCATCATGAAATTGGCAGATGTATTCTGGGGCTGGCTTTTATGCAGCGAAACCATCTGTTTTAAGAAAAAAATCTATGCTCGTGTCTTTCACTGATCGCAAACAGTCGCATTTCCGGAGGGACCTATGAATGAGTTTGACAGCTGACTAAATAGTGGAATTTACAAAAATTAATTTATGTATAATTGAGTTTTCTTCCCTCCTCAACACACCTCAAGCTTTGTACGTATCTCCGAGATTAGTATGAGTAGCGATCGCTTTGGTGCTCCTTCACTCTAATTTAATATGCAAAGGACTACTTCAAAAAAAAAAAAGATACTTAGAAAATACATAGATACGAAGAGTAGCACTAACTATCAATCTAAAATTGCATCGGAAGCATTCAAGCAGACTTCAAAGTCAGAACAAGCAAAACCCTACACGCAAAGGTAAGACCGTGTAATCATGCGGTTCCTGTCCACATTATTCCGCCTCACTCATCGCCTCTCCCTTCCAACTTCGCCTCTCTTGCCCAAGCACCCTCCCTCCACCACCACAACCCCGCAAATACTGCCGCAGGCCCAACCAGGACCTGTCCACCCAGCACCGCCACCGCTGCCACGAGCGCCTCCTTTGTCGTCGCCCATCCATTCCTCCGCAGCTCCCACACACTATACAAACACCAAAGCATCGCCGCCGACGCGGAGAATGCAAAGTCAAACTTCAAGAACACGAACAGATGCTCCTCGAACGACGGTGCCGACCGGACGTTCAGCGGATTCGGTAAGCTGCCAAAGACATTGGCAAAGGCGACCGACGGCAGTGACGACAGTGCCACATACGCCACAACCACAACATGCACAGTGGCGCACATCCAAAACGCAACGCCGTACGCGCGCCGCAGTGGCTGTACGTCCGCCTTCGCGTACATGTCGAACGGTGTCGGCTTGCTGACCGCCTCGATGACCCGCTTTCCAGCGTAGGTCAAGGCGCTAACCCAGAGCGGCGAGGGCTGCCAAAAGGCGATCAGGGATTGCAGGGTGTTCGTGTCGCCGTAGGGAAGGAACATCAAGATGGTTGGGACAACATAGCCGAGCAGTGCCGCCGGGAGAATGGTGTGCGCGACGGCTGTGGGGACGGAGCGGCCGACGGCTCGGGTATAGAGCGTGCGAGAGGTGGTCCAGACGGAGAGGAGGAAGTAAAGAGGGGCGATGACGCCGATGCCTTGAATTTGGGAGACTAGGCCAAAAATGAAGGGACTTTTTTTTGGGAAGGATATGTTAGCTTAGGGTACCTTTTTCAATTTGGGGATCAACGGGCTGCTCTTACAGGGAGACCAATGTGAGAGTGTTTGCACGACGATAGCTCTCGATGGTCCAAATCAGGATGAATGGGAAAAAGGTACTGAGCAGGTACAGGAATTGCAGTGGATGGGCCGGGTCTGGCCCGGTACAGGAGTCGCTAAAGCTTGCCACAATTAACTTGAGAATGTCATCGATTGCCGGCAGACCCGTGTACACAGCCTTCAATGGGGCGCCATCAAAAGCCGTATAGTTTGCAAGGAGGTCGAAGTCCAGCCACATGGCTTTCTTGGCGACAACGAGGAGAATGGCGAAGATAGAAGCGGCAATTGCCTTTGAAATTTGCCCGCCGCCCAGTAGTTTCGCTGGGCGTTCGTCATGATACGGCTCAAATCGGGGCCTTTTGGGCATGGGAAACATAGGTAAGCGCTCTCCGGGAAGTGCTCCGGTGGCGAAATGCTCGAATGTTCCTTCCATGCCTCCGAGTGGGACCACATGGTTTACCAGAAATTCAAGCAAAGGTGTTTCCAAAGCCATCAGGCTCTGCTGCTTGTGTCCAGCATCCACCATTCCCACCAATCGATCGCGGCGGCGGTCTTGGGTTTTCTGGAACGCTGCAGTTATGTCTGCATCCGAAGGCTTCGATTTCTCTGGTAGTGCCTTGAGCATGGTAACGAGTTCGGTAGCAAGGGTAGCTGCGCTCTCGATCGCACTGTTGCCTCCTTGACCTGAGATGGGATTGAACTTGGGACGGTCAGCCACTTTCACTCTGGGCCGAATGGCTATCGCTCACTTTGTGCGCTGCATCACCGATAGTGATGATCCTTTGAAAGAAAAACTTGCTGAAGACAAACTCCGGAAGCGCTGTCAGAATGGCGGAGTAGTTGTTCTTGTAGAGATCTCCGAAGGTGACATTCTCTACAATCGGGTCATTCCAGAATTTCTCTGCGACAGCTTTCTTCTCTTCCTCGCTGAAACGGCGTGGAATTTCGTTTTCCATGCCATGCAGCGTCTTTTCGTTTTTAACGAAGAGGAACCAGTAGATACGACCTTCCGGGCCATCAACAACCAAATAGCTGTGGTTGTGACCAGCCACAGAATGCGACGAAAATCTGGCGAAGCCTGGAACAGAACTGGATATACCGAACATGCAGGTGTAGTCGCAGGGCACGTCTTGACCAGTTAATAACATCCGGATACATTGGGTAGGGTTCATTGACTTACCCGTCTGATCCGATTTAGGGAAGTAGGCAGGGGAAAGTTTATCGCCAAGACGCCACATCTCTTTCCTGACTGTGCTGTGGATACCGTCTGCACCAACAAGAATGTCTCCTGTGTACGTCGAACCATCTTTGGTAGTAACCTGCACGCCGGTTTCTAAAGGAGTAACCTGTAGCACCCGCTTGTCCAATAGGACTTTGGATTTGTCGCGGAGATGGTCGTAGAACACTTCGAGAGCCATTTGACGGTCAACAAACACCGGCTCGTAGCCATGTCTAGAGGGCTACATTAGTTGCCAAAGCTCTACCGGATTCCCTTTCAAGTTTGGGTTCAGACAAACCTTGCAATGAAGTGCTCGCGAGCCAACTCGACCTTGTCGAGATCAACGCCTTTTGGAGACTTGAAATGAAGATCTACCATCCCCCCCTTGTCGAGCCTCGCCTGCAGGTCATCATAGCAACCAATTTGGTCGAGAATGCGACATCCGTTGGGGAAGAAGCCGATGCTTGCTCCAACTTGAGGAGCGATCTCCGGGTGAGCTTCGAGGACCAGGAAGTCGATGCCAAGTTTTTCCAAAGTGATGGCAAGGACAAGTCCAGCTATACTGCCGCCTGCTATCAGGACCTTGAAGTTGTGTGTAGCCATTGTAGGGTTTCTGCGGTTGAAACCCACGGAGGTTGTGCAGCGAAAACGTGAGAAGTCAGTTGAGTGATGCAAATCCAACTTGAGGGGCTGCCAAGTAGATGAAAGGCCATATAAATAAATATACAGCAAGTGTACTCAGGGTTTACCCGTGCTGGCGCGGATTGTTGACGTTGTTGCTACTTCAATAGGAGGATTTTTGGGTTCGTGGAGCTCGGGCTCAGCGGGTCGCGCATGCGTCCGGTTATTGCCGTATTCCACCGGCTTCGTCCGGACTTCCGGTGGGTTAAATCCCGGCACGTTATAGTTATGCAAGCATGAGGAAATAAATTGACCTATGAGATCGCTTGCTTAAAGCGGTTCGGACCGGGAAGTCATCCGGTCCGGTACGTTAGTTTCCTGCCCGGATGATGTGACAAAAAGCATTCGGGAGCGGAGAGCCGTCCTAGACCCCTACGTAGAGCTACGGCGGAGCGGGCCGTGGCCGGCAATCCTCACGCCTCAAGGTGTCTAGGCATGTGAGTATATCCAAAGGCTCTACCGCGCTAGCCTTTAAAGTATGAAAGAGGTGAGAGCTACCACTCCACGCCCTGCACAGATTGCATCTTGTGGGGGAAAAAAAAGTACGCTGAGCCTCTCTGACTTGCTGTCGAACATCTATTCCTAAAATGAATGATTTCCTGATGAATTCGGCATTGGCCCGCGTTGTGTCCTAGGGAGCACGGTGGAATAGTGCGATATGGATGAATTAAGAAAGGGAAATATTTGACGCTACGTATCGGCGCCATCATTTCTCAATAATAGCTGGTAGATCGCGGGTGCCGGGAAGAACTGATGAAGCACTTCGTCCGGCATCGGAATCGGAATCAGCGTACAAAACTGACTCATGCATCGGTATTAAAGAAGAGTGCTAAAGGCTGTAGCGTGTATGCGAGAACTATTGCATCTATTTTCAATTTTCTTTGGCACGACAACTCAGCGAGCCTTCTAATGGTGCAGCGCAGCCTGGATAGAATTCAGCTATATCATCTATAACAAATCCGCATCAAGTATAAGATGAGTATGCTTACGTCATCAGCTTTTTACCCCGCACGAGCTAAGCTTCAAGGACGTCTCACCATGACCTCTCCATCCCCGAAAAATCCATGCGTCTACTCTAATCCCATGTTAGACCCGCAATGCCGAAAAAATTAGCTTTCCTCTCGAGCCTTCGAGATAGAATTGCAGATTTCCATTTGCCGTCATCGAACCACAAACATGGCAGAATCAGATCCTTGGTCAACAATAGTAGCATTCCCTCCGCAGGGGGGTGCAACCACTGCAAGGCTTTCATACGCATGCTCAATGAGGAGCTTTGGCAAGAATACAACCAGGGTTTGCGAACTGAAATAAAGTTCTCTTTCAGATCAGATTGCAACATCTGTTCTACGATCCGCCAAAACTTCCGGCAAGCACATGGAGAGTCCGCAGCGCAGTTTGCAGAAACGGAGGCTTTTCTCCTTGATAGCATATCGCCGATGATGGGGATGGATGTCTTCTTTCTACGGCCGGCGATGCACAATGAAAATCCGAGGAGAAAAGGTATCTATCTTCTGCCGCTCGACGTTCCCGATGGCCAGCCTCCCGGTCGTCTTGTTGATCCGAAGGTAGCCGATTTCCACCTGGTCCAACGATGGATCCACTGTTGTGACCAATGGCATGCCGAGACTTGCCATTCCGCCTATCAACACGAGCTTGATGGGGTCGGACTACTCCGGGTGGTCGATGTGCAGAGGCAATGTCTTGCATACATCGAGCCAAGCTCGCGCTATTTTGCACTGAGCTACGTTTGGGGACGCGTCGAAACGCTGCAGACAACACGGAAGAACCTGGAACAGCTCGAACAGGACGGTGCCTTGTCTTCGGGGAAGCACCTAATTCCGCGGACTATCCGCGACGCCATTGCGGCGGTGTCGAAGATTGGCGAGCGATACCTCTGGATCGATGCCCTGTGCATCATTCAGGACAAAGACTCTGACGAGAAACCGGTTCTTCTGGGACAGATGGACAAGATCTACGGAAATGCTTATGTCACCATCGTTGCAGCTGTGGGGGACAACGCAGATGCTGGGTTGCCTGGTGTCTGTAGCGACAATCCTCGGGTTATCCCACAGACTGTGCTATCGTACGGTGACGGTCGGCGCCTGGCCATTTCACAATCACCTTTCGAGCACACGCTTGGACAGCACTACGATGAGGCAAGATGTACTTGTGTGTGGAATAAACGGGCGTGGACTCTACAAGAGCGGCTTCTTTCCCGTCGAAAATTGGTCTTTCTCGAGGAAGGCGTTCATTTCAACTGCCACGGCATGACATGGACTGAGGACATCGCGGCCGAGACAGAAGAGACGATGCGGCACTTTCAGATGTTCGACTTCGAGGGTGTCACGGATGAAGACCGTTGGTTCTCAGGTATCAGCCGGAAAGGAAGCCGTCCGAGAAAAAAGGAAGAATACACGGTGCCTGGTCCCGAAGCCACCCTTCCCAGTTTTATAGACTATTGCAACCTCGTCTCCAACCACTTGCGAAGAGAAATATCATTCGAGGAAGACATCCTCAACGCTTTCCAGGGCATTTTGAGCAGCTTGGCCTACTCCTTCGGCTCTTTCCATTACGGACTCCCCGAGACATTTTTCACCTTGGGTCTTCTTTGGCAACCGAGCGACTTCTGTAGGCGCCGAGTCAAGACCGCAACTAAGGATATTCTCTTGGAAATCCCATCATGGTCCTGGGCCGGTTGGGTTTGCAATGTCGACGTCGCGCATTGGACGGCCGCTTGCGACTACGTCGTACACCAAGACATCGCGCGGAGTTATCGCACTACACCAACGACCACGTTTTTCTCGCCCTTGGCCGGGAAAGAAGCACAGAATGAGGACTGTCGCATTCAAATACCGGACGACAGGATGCGGTACAGGTCCGTCGCTGACGAGCCTCCAAGTGAGTCTCGTTTGCCGAATGGCTGGGAGCACGGAAACGTTAAAGAACACACGTATCTCGGCCGCCAGCGCTTTGTTGACTTTTGGCATCATTCCGATCCCGGAATGCGGTTCCTATATCCCGTCCCTGCCTCATCATCTTCACCTACTATCAGACCATCAGTTCAGCAGCGGAGCCGTTCTGCAGTCCTGCACTTCCGCGCTGAGACAGCAATGTTCAAGGTCTCGCCCAATGCGCACAACTATGGCAGTCGCCGAAATGCTGCATCGATCCTTGATTCTGATGGAAAGTGGTGCGGAATTGCTATCCTACACCATATGGTATCGGAGTGTGACTCTCTGGTAGAGATTGAAAAGAAGTTTGTGAAGATCTCACAAGGTGAAATTTTTGCAGCGTGTGTTGAGGAAGATGTTTTTCCAGAAGCGCGCTTTGTTCGGTTTTGGGGCTCATCGGAATGGTACAGATATGTGAATGTTATCATGGTAGAGCAGCGAGAGAGCTTGATGGAGAGGGTGGCGGTGGGCCGAATTCGTGAAGATGTGTGGCTATCTGTCAAACAAGACTCTGAAGATATTTATTTAACATGACACCACAGGCTTCAAGTAGACGGAAAGGATCTATATATTTGTAGTTGCACCCTACCAAAGATTAATGTATTTCATCCACTGGTAGAATCATTCTTTGCTTTCGCGAACATGGCAGTGTAGGTAGCCGCAGGCTCGCGGCACTGGCTGCTTCCAGAAATAGCATTCACCGTCACTGTTCACGAACACTGGAGCGCATTGGAGATGAAATGATAAGCAGCAAAAAGTATTCTCAATTAAAAGCAAGCCAAGAATGTCGGCAAGCCAAAGCGGCCCAACGACCCCGACCCAAAGAAAAGAAAAAACATCGCTTTGGATGGCCCTGCCCAATGCAGTCGCTGCGCTTCACGGCACGCGCACAGGCCAACAAGAGTCACACCGAGACGCTTAGCAAGAGATGCCAGAGCCGCTGGGGATGTTGGAGCACTTGGTGCTGGTCTTGCCGCCAGTGACGCTGATACCAGATCCAGTCCATCCAGAGCAAGCACCCTTGGCGCAGAGGATGTAGATGTCAGTGCCGGAGGACTTGACGGTACCCTTGATGTTCTTGAGGGTGAGGTCAGTGATCGGGACACCGCTGGTAGGGGTACCAGTGGGGGAGCCGTTCTCGTAGTCCTGCTCAATGACAATGCCGTACTTGGCAATGTTGCTGAGGGTGATGCCAGAGTAGGTGACGCCTGGAGCGAAGAGTGTTAGCGGTGGGTCATCTTTGTGGGGATTTGCGGGGGCTGCAGTCACTTACCAGACACGGAGCCGGTGGCACCGGACACGGTCTTGATGCGAACACCGTTGTCCGAGTTCTTGATCGTGCAGTTCGTAACGGTGACGCCCTTGACGGTGTTGTCGGAACGGCCGCCAACGGAGCCGATCGAAATACCGTGACCGCCGGAGCAGGTGTTGCCGGTGAACTTGATGTTGGTACCAGAGTTCACAGCCAGGCAGTCGTCCTGGTTCTGGATGTTCGAGTTGGAGATGGTAATATCCGTGGACGAACCAACGTCGAAGGCGTCAGTGTTGTGGCCGCCAGCGGAGTCACCGGCCGAGTTGTCGATGGTAATCGAATCCAGAGTCAGTCCGGAGGAGCTGTTGATCGAAAAGCCCTGAACAGGCGTGTTCTTGACGTTCAGGCCCTTGATCGAAGAAGTGCCCTTCAGGCTGTGGGCGTAGAAGAACTTGGGCTTGGTCTTGCCGCCGTTGCTACCCTTGCTGTCCCACCACTTGGCACCATTGCCGTCGATGACGTGGCCGGAGGCACCGGACACCTGGATGTTGGTGCCAGAGACGGAAATGAGAGGGCCCTCCCACTCCTTGTAACCGAAGGAGGTGGTGCCCTGGAAAACAACGCTGGTGCCCGACTTCAGGCCAGTGAGATCGAGCGTGGTGCCGGCAGGAACAGCAATGTTGTTCAGGGTGATGGTGGTGCAGGACGTCTTGCCCTTGATGGCAGAGGCAGCGTCGGTGAAAGTGCAGCTGGCGCGCTCGGCGAGCTCAGTGGGGGCAGCAGCAACGCAGGCAACGCCGACGCCGGCGCCGGCAAGGAGGGTGGAAACCTTGACCATTTTGAAGGTTGAAAGAATGTAGTGAGTGAATGTATGTGCGAGAACAAAGCGAAGGAAGGAGTGCGATGATGGGAAAAACAAGACTTCTGGGCGCCTTGGAACTCGACTTATATAGCATCACGGCTCCTCGAGGACCTGAGGCCATCCGCATCTGTGACGGAAGCTAAGATTGCTAAGAGGTGATCTGCGCAGGGGCTGCTGCTAGGCGTTTGAAAGTAGGGATAAATGTGCTATCACCAGTCTTAGCGAGATGCTCTAGAACCATGGCGCAAAGCGCCCACAGCCTGCGACTCAGAGAACGTCGCGGACGGCCGTATAGGGCTGTGGCGGCGTCCACGTGGCCGAGATGGCCCCGCACGTGTCTGTACACTGCATGCTGCAATACTTTGGCAGCAGAAATTCCATTACAGATGTATCATGTGGAGTGCCGTCAAGCTTCGCATGAGAAGCTTGGCTTTCTTCTGCTGCTGCTTGGCATATGGGGAAAGACGATCGCATGAGGGGAACCGCTGGAGTTCCCAAACACCACCATGGTGGAAACAGGGGCAGCGGCGCAGTTGCCGGAAGGGGAAGGGGAGTGCCGCGGCGAAACAAATCCCGGGGGCCAATACGAGATTTGGTGGCTTCGATGCAAGCGAGCGGAGTTATTCCGAGCGGGGCGGGGCGGCGGACTCCTGTGTTTTGGCGGCGGACGTTTCCATCTGCCGCTCAGGCCCACCGAATAGAGCCGAAATGAGGCGGCAGTTCGATCAACTTGAAACACCAAGCCGCGGGAATTTTTCCGGACCTCTCACAACACTATTGCCTGACCACTGTTTCGCCGTGACGTTGCTTGTTTGCATCGCTGCGCGCGGAGGCCGTCGAACCACCTTCTATTTCCGGTGCCAGACACCCATGTCCGTCGCCGCTAAGCATTCATCCGTGCTTCCGGGGCCACCTACAAACGTACCACGTCCGCAGCCACTCTAGCTTATTGAAGAGCCGCATCAATAGGGGCTGTGCTGGGCGCCTGGTGTAGGGACGGAAGTTGGCGGCAATACAGCCCTTGCCTCGCCATTCAACAGAGCACCAGGGGTGTCTGCAATGCAAAGTAGATCCAAGCGGTGGATACATCAACAGCTCACTGACGGTTTCGAATGATTCAAAGACTCTTCCGCATGTGGTTTCTTGAGTCGGATACAACAAACACGAGAAACAAAGAGTGTAGGCCTGGAACCAGGCCCGAATACCCGTACGAATGCTTTTGCCGGGAAGGCTGACCTCAATTTTTCCGCGCCGTCATATTGCGGGGTAGCGTGACCACTGCCACGCCGAAGTGGCTTCCCGCCTTTGCCGGCACTGCCAAATATTATTGGCAACCACACCGTGCCGGCAAATAACAAATGCATGTATAGCATCACTTGTCGTGATAGTAAGCTGCGTGGTGGGGTCAGGTGCGCACGGGCGTCAGATCATCGTATGCAGGGTCAAGGGTGGTACAAAAGCTTATCGATATGCATGTCGGCGATTAATCCAGTGGACCACTTTTAATCAGCGAATGTTTGGACATCGGCATACCCGAGGTCGAGACTGACCAATGCATGATGGGTTCTCCTGCTAGAAGTAGGGGGAGAGTGGTTGCTCTGGCATCACTTTTCACTACACTGGAGAGAGTCTGGGCGGCGATAGAGCTTGGGGTCAGACCATATGGGTAAAACGGCAATTTAGATGGCCAAAACATCAAAAGTAGTGGTGTAGCCTGCTTCGTTCACGATGGGGTGAGAAAGAGCTGCATTTATTCGATGGTCCACGATATTCAGTCAACCATGTACCCATCCAACCGGTAATGGAGTTGATTGACTTAACAAGAATAGAAACATGCAACTCATCCATTCAGCAGAAAGGAGTGGAAGCTTCTTGTACCTAAATGAATTGACACAAGAAGCGTGCGAACATGAACATGAAGGACGTCTCAACCCCTCTTCCAACCAACCAAAAGTCCCAGCTCACCCTCTGTCGACCCTCACCGCAAAGCAGCCGTGCGCCGCGTAATGCAAATGCAAATACTCGACCCTCTCATCTGCTTCCTGCCCCTCTGACAACAACCTCTCGCAAGCCATGACCAGGTCCTTACCCTCGGCAACCTCAGCCTCTCTCAGCATACCCCCCTTGTCAAACGCCCTGACCGCCATCAACCTCGCCACCTGCTGCTCCGGCACGCACCCACCGAAATCTCTCTTTACGTCGGCCAACTCGCACGTGTTGTCCTTTGATGCCAGATCGTGCACGAATATGGCGGTGGGTCCGCGATACGGACTGCCATCGCTGGCGGTAGGAAAGGGATCGTAGGAAAGCAGCAGGGCGCGGTCGCCAGGTGCAATATCGCGGAGACAACGCCGGCAGGGTACGGGCGTGGGCGGGGTTCTGGGCAGGGCGGCGGCAAGGGCCGCGGGGGTGAGCGGCGTGGGGAGGGGCCACCAGTGGAGAGTAGGAGGCAGGGGGATGTCGTGCGGCATTTCTTCTATGAGTAAGTTACTGATTCAAAACTTGTAATGGGATGAGTTCTGGGTAAAATGTGGGAATTTTTGGGTTTTTCGGGGGTGCTCACTGTTGCTTTGTGGATTGCAAATGAGCTGAAAGTGAACAGTGTGGTGCTGGATGAAGTTGAGTCTGCGGGATAGAAGTGAATAACAAGCCGCCTTTATACTTGGCCTCGCTCCTTCACGCTTTCCCGATCGCCCGTGGAGTCAGCCCATGCATCATTTCAAATTGACCAATGAGATCTAAGATTTCCGGTTTGCATATTCCGGATACGGGAAGAATCCGCTTTGGCTGTTGAGTTTAATGATTTGGCTGGCTCAAGATCAAAAGTTCGACAGCATCGACGGTGGAAGTGACCAATGAGAATAGTTTCCAGCTGGCTGGCTCATGGTGATGGAAGTGACCAATCAGGTGGCTAGCCAACTAACAACGTACTTCACTCGGCCCAACAAACTTCCACTCTTACTTAGTAATTGCCTTTGCCATCAAGAAAACTCCTTCAATATCCTTTGTTCTCCTGTGGCTGCCCCTCGCTCGAGATTGTATTGATCAACAAATATTGTCGAAGGCAGTTGAAGGTAGGCAGATTCCCAGAAGTCTTATCGATAAGAACTGTACGACACCAAAGACACATCGATGGAAGAGCTTGAGGAGCTGCAGTGGTCCGTTCCCTGTAGTCTATACCGCGACTGTCGCTTCAGGCAATGTCTTGAATGTTCTTCAAGGTCAGTATCCCATCGCGAAGTGTACACAAAGCAAATTGAGAGGCTCGCTCCATTGTTACTACTCGACTGTGGCCTTGCATTCGGGAACGCGCACGACAGGGATTCAGGTACCCATCCATCATTACTTGTTAGTCCAGTCGCCGTCTTTCCCCACCACCCATCACGGTTGCGGGTCCCTGGTTCTGTTGATGGAAGGCTTCTCAAAGACCACCACGTCGAAACAGCTCCGAAGTTATCCCATGATGTCACTGTTTCTGCTTGTGGGCATCATCTCGGAGTAGGTCAGAGCCTCAGCCACGAACTTTGCGTTGAGGATACGTGCGTCGAGCACGACCCTGCGGCCGAGACGGAGGGGGCGGCGCCGGCAAAAGAAAGCTGAGAAGAATGAGGTAGAGGAGAAAGACTCCAAAGAAGAGTAGGACAGGCTTCACAGCACAGAGAATGAGGAGCTAAATAACGCGGCCGAGAAGTGTGCAGGAAGTGACGATCAAGTTGAGCCAATGATCAATCAAGGTGAGGAAGCTGACGTGGATATCGATCATAATGGTAGATATGTCCGTGTCGTTGGTCGCTTGCTCCATGGTATCAAGCTTGAAGTCCCGAAAGCAACGGCTGGTAGTGAGGCTGGTGTGGAGAGGCGGAGGAATGATGCCTTGCAGGGTGTCAGACAAGTGGGCTATGTGAGAATCTCGAGCTTTGGTTGCGATGGTTATCGTGAGAGGGAAGTTTTCTTTTGGAGGACAGAAGGTTTGTGGAGGTGTTAATAAGTCTACTATGGCTTTTGCTGACCACCTAAGTGTAAACTTCATGCCGGTGCTCTGTCTCCCACGCCAGACATGACCTCCGTCCGGCACATGGCATGGCCCGAGCTCTGAAATCTTCCCTCCCCAAAAGCGCTTCGGAGTTGAGCGGCTCTCTTATCCTTCAAGCCCTCCCTTTCTGTTTATCAACCTGCACCAGTCAGCTTCAATTGTCGCATTGATCGCAAATGGTATGCGTCCCAAGCAGATGATTGGCCAATGGCTGCGTCGCGCCGGAAGCCAAGCGAGTGACACGCGGGCCCCCGCAAAAATAAGCTTACAAACGCGTCCACCCCAAGTCCCACCACCTCCACCATCATCACCGACCACCCACTCAACCCTGCCACAGCCTCTCCTCAACTATGGCGCAGATCGCCGCCGCTGCCCGCGCAGCAAAAGCTACGCGCAGCGCCCCCACATCCGCATCCGCCACACCTGCAACCACCCAACGCGCCTCACGCGTCCGCAATGCTACCGCGCCGCCGCCTCCATCATCGTCCTCCGTTCCGCCCAAGACTTTCAAGGACACAAACAAGAGACGCGGCACCGCGACGCGCACAGGATCGACATCAATGGCTGCTCCTGCTCTCGAGACGCCGGAATTTTACGAAGCGCGCGCCATCATCGACGAGGAAGGGTCGCAGTATCTGATCGACTGGGAGGGCGTCGATCCGGCAACTGGCGCGGCGTACGAGCCGACATGGGAGCCAAAGCGCTCTGCGAACGCGGCGCTGAAGCGTGAGTGGGAGGGGAAGAAAGCAAAGGGCAGGGCCGAGCAGGCTAAGGCTGGACAGGCTGAGGCGCGGAGCCAGGTCACGGCTGGCCAGAGCAAGGTACAACGGAACACTGCCCGCAATGCGACAGCACAAAAGGCCACAGCATCGAACCGCCCACTCCGCACGCGAGAGCAGCGCATTGGCACGGAAGCTCAGCACCGGGAAGTACGAAAAAAGAACCAGACTGGTCCGCCTTCAACCCAAGACAGCAAACACAAGTCCGATGCCGGCCATGAAGCTCAGCAGAGCAGGCTACGTGAACCTTTGGGCCGCAACCTCAAGCGCAAGCGCGACACTGATGCCGCTGCTGACAAGGCCAAGCCTTGGTCCACTGCTACTCGATCGCAACCCCAGCAAAATAACAAGAGGCAGCGCCGCCAACCCGCTGAGCCCCCGTTGGAGTCTCCTTCCGAACAAGTCTTCCCCGCAAGAGCCATCACCGGCGAGCGGCCGCGGCAGTACCGCGTCGCGTGGGAGAAGGACCCTGTTACCGGAGAGGAATATGAAGATACCTGGGAGCCGAAGAGCTACGTGTCGCGGGACCTGGTGGCCGAATGGCGTCGGCAGCAGAAAGGCATGTCGCAGAAGGCGTCGACGAAGCAGCGAAAGCAGCCGGCGAAGAAGGCACATGAGAGCCAGGACGAACAGCAACAGGAAGAACCGGACGACAATGTTTATTCCGTAAGGGCAATCGTCGGTGAACGCAAGCGCCAATATCTCGTGGCGTGGGAGGACGATCCGACGACTGGAGAGAAGTTCGAGGATACCTGGGAGCCGAAAGGAAACGTCTCGAAGGACGTGGTGGCTGAGTGGCGGCAGCAGAAGGATACGAAGCGGCCTGGGGAGACGTCAAAGCAGCCTGAGGAGACGTCAAAGCAGCCGGTAGAGACGTCAAAGCAGCCGGTAGAGACGTCGAAGCAGCCGGTAGAGACGCCGAAGTGGTCAGAGGAGACGCCGAAGTGGCCAGAGGAGACGCCGAAGCGACTGAAAGAGCCGGCGCAGAAGCCACCCGAGGTGTCTCCAGCCACAGCAGGATTATCGGAGATGGTAATGGAGGTGCTGCGCGAGGAAGAGCAGAGGCAACACTCCCCGTATGTGCATCTTTCCCCTTCCGTCTTCTCCCCCGAAGCCTCTTGGAGCTGACAGTCCCTGGCAGCTCTCTCCCAATCGGACCAGTGACTCCACGTAGAGACGAAGACGAGGACGAAGAAGATGAAGAAGAGGGTTCATATACGCCATCTTCCACCATGGTACACACTGCTGCTCCCGTCGCCGGCGATGTTACCATGGAACCCCACACAAGTGAGAAACCGGGCACAACCCACAACACTGCGAATTCAGCTAACTCGATAATCGCACAGCAACAGATTAGGAACGCTCCAGGACTTGAAAATACGTGGTCCTTCTGGGAAGAATGCTACTCTCGCACCCGAACGGTTGTTACGTACGGCTCGAAAGGCCGAAGGCTACTCGCCGATCTATAGAGTTTGGGCACGTTGGTATCAGAATATCGCAGAGTCCACGGTATTGCCGGCTGTCTTTCCCGCGCAGCCGCATCATCAGTAAGACGGGCCTCGCACTCCGGCTCAGCTCATCTGGTTTTCCGGAAGAGTGGGTAGGATCGTGTGATAGAGTGCAGCCTGGCTGCACGTCGTATTTGCAGGAACATGTTGCACAGCGACAGAGGCCTCGGACTAGCGTGCGGTAAATGGCTAATCTCCTCAACTTGAAAAAGACGAGATTTCAGACTCCAGAGCCCCTGCAATATTAACCATTCAGACTAATTTTGATGATGAATTCTGCCTGCACTTCTTTGGCACCACTTTGCTTTTTATTGAGTATACTGAAGCGCTGCTATTGGTATGCGCCTATATCCTGCAACGAGGCCTTGGGAACTGCAAACGCTCGGACTGGTGACACTGACCCCGCAACTATGCCTAAAAACATTTGCTAGTGTCACAACTCAGCCGAGCTGGCGCCTGCCACTGTGATGTCGCGCCTTCCTTTTGAAAAAGAGACGTGCGCTTTGCTTACCGGCTTGAATCACGCCTCTTGATACGACAGGACAGGTAAGATGACGGACGAGGTTCAGTGGATAAGGACTTAAAACAGATAGCAGAATCTAATATAATAGACAAGAATTTGCCAAGGCCCTCATTAAGCTGATCTGTAAGAGCTGATGGTCGCTCTAGATAACGCCGGTGCATTCTTTGCGCCGTTTTCGGGTGTCGCGAAACGGCGGGAGATCCTGCATATGTCAACAACATGCACCCCGTTGAGCGTGATCTCAAACATCGCTGCAGCAATCTCCCGCAGTTCATTGCCCCAGCAAGATGCCTGTTCCTGCTGTGCAACGGCTCTGCCGTTGTGTGATAACGTCAGGCGTTGGAAACTCGACCAGGCTCAGGGAAGTCCGGAGCTTGGCATACTTACTCGTTTGAGACAACAGAGAGCTGTTCAGCCGATCAACACTTTCGTGCAAGATCTATATAATTTCTCGATACTTCTGAAGTTCAGAGAACGCCAGATCTGACCCCACAGGTAGCCATGTCTCACCTCACGCCACAATACCCCACAGAAGAAGTTGGTCACACCAACCAGACAATGGAGCAACCCGCCGCACTTCCCACGGCAACTTCTTTGCCCATCCATGACCAGAATGACTCCACCGAGCCTGTTACAGGTCCGCAAAAGCGTTTCTGCGAAGGAAGCACTCACAACCCACTCCCACCTTTGTTGTATGTGCAATTCCTCGCCTGCCTGTTCCACTCCTCTTAACTCCACCTTTCTTTTTGGCCCAACTCCGATGGCACAACTAACCGCGCCGCACTTCAAGCAGCACCGACGAAGAGATTCACGATATCAAAGCTCACCGCTCTTCGAACCTTCTCACGTTCTCTCCTCCTGCCATCAGTACATTCATCACCGCGCCCGCGGACGCCACATTCACCATCCTTCCAACCGAGGTTCCGTACAACGGCCGTACCACCGAGACGTCATTCCACGGCCTCCCCGTCTACGCCACCCATTTCTCCGCATCCATTTCTCCCACCCGCGTCCTGGCCGCCAGCAACGCTCCTACAGCGCAAGACAGCGACCCCAAGCAGTCCTACATCTTCTCGCCCAGCCTCGTCCGGTGGGTCGTCGATGCCGCTACGCAGACGCGGTGGAAAGGGTGGGATGTGCCTCCTCAGCGAACGGCAGAGCTTGATTCCATTGCGGAAGAAGAGGGGAAGGTTAGAGGCGCGAAGAAGAGGAGAGTGGGGGAGTGTGTGGCTGGGGTGGGGTTGGTTGGGGCTGTGGTTGGTGGGGTTGCTGGTGGCAGTTGTGGTGGAGAGGACGTGTATGATTCGGATGAGACAGTATCGGCGAAGGGCGAGGAGGTGGTGGAATGGCAAGATAATGAGATTGGGGTCGGGTCTGCTATGGGACTGGAGCACGGCAGTGTGGGTACTGCGGAAGTGGAGTTGGGTGGCGGTATGGACAAAAACAGTGTTGGTGGGGAAGCAGAGGTGCTTGAGCTGGGACTGAAGTATGATGGTGCTGCGGCGTGGTAGTGGTCGCTCGTACACGATTGATTTTACACTTACAGAAACATGTCAAACGTCACGTAATGTACAAACTACACCTACAGAGTGAAAAGCAGCCTGTCGGGCACGCTTTGCCATAAGACCAACGGCTTGTGTGTTGGTATAGCTTGCTACCACAATTACGACCGACCCCTCTATTCTTCCAGATTAAGCGGTGATATCACCACCGCTCACGCAGCTGGCACATTCCGTCTCCCCTGCACCCTGCATGCCACCCCGGTCCTTGATTGCCAGCGCTAGCGCCTGCGGGCCGCCGGATCGAGCCGCTCGATCCGCCAGCCACCCGGTCCACTTTTCTCAGGCAGCGCTACTAAACACTGCACCAGGGCGACCAACAGCGCGGCTGAGTTCAGCGTCCATGTCGCACTGAATGCGAGTTTTTGTGTGGACAGCGTCTGTCGTACAAGCCGCCGAACTAGTTCTGCGGAGAGCGTTGATGTAGGTGCCTGGTTCGAGACGCGTGTGCATATGCTGCTCTGAACACAGTCACTTTGGGCCCAATCACGCATTGCAAGACGAGAGGAAATCTTAGTAGTAGTAGCGTGGATCCCGAAGCCTCCACTGCCGCGTGCATGGGCGAGAGTCGCGGCGACGTGGAAGCAGAGCTACGCTTCCGTTCGAATCCACAGGCGAGAGGCGCGCTTTACGTTTCCGCCCTGCTTCCGGGGTCGGCAAATCGTAAAACCGGCGCTTTGCGAGCGACGCGTGGATAAATATTCTGCGTCACTCGCCGGCCGTTGCAACCAAAACATCGCCACGCAGGCACCTCACTCCACCATCCAGACAGTGCCATCATGGATCCAGCCTGGGTGTCTCATGTCACCAACGAGCTTTCTCAGATGCGTCAAGAGATAGTCGCTCTCCGCAACGAGGTCAATGCGCTCAATAACGACGCGTCAACCGACCTCCGCCGCGAGGTGAACGCCATCTGGGATCAGTTCAGGCTCAGCTTCGACAGCATCATTGCCATCAGGAACGAAATGCTTTTGAAGTTTGCCCTGTACGCTACCCCTCGCACTAAGCCCTTTGTTTTTCCCGATTACACGTACGAACAGGGTCGACAACTACCACGCGATTCACTACAACAACAAGCTCATCTTCAGCGGTGACCGCAACCTTGCTCATCTGCGCTCCATTGTCAACTTTAAGCCCATTCCCGGCTTCCCCGCCACCGTCGACGACATCGGCCGTCTCACCGCAAATGCTGTCGACACCATTCTCGATCACCTCGATGGCAAGCGCGATGGTCTGCTGTTTGAGAGGAAGGAGCGCCTCAGGTCCATCATTGGCTTGGTCAAGAACGCTCCGGAGCTGACTTCGCAGCACGAGTGAGTCATCAGCGCTGCCGTTTTCCAAGACCATCACGACACCAGACAAAGCATAGAACAAGACTCGAGATGGTACAGTAGCTTTGTCGAGCAAGTTGGTCAAGCAGAAGTATTGAAAAGTGGTGGCTCAGACAAGTCATACTGGAGAGGACAGCACATCAGGATTTCCTAGGAATCGAGACTCCTTTGAACTTCATAGCCTGACGATGATGCGATTGCAAAGTGCTTTCATGTATTCTTCGCCGATGACCACCTACCAAGTAGAATTGTGGCAGTGTTCCGGCGGCCATGCAGATGATTAAACAAATGCCCTCACCTCACCATCCACCGTTACTTCTACATCTCGAATCGAAGCACCCACGCCAACTCAGAACCGAGCCATGGATGCCGATACTATCTATCGGCAAGCTCCCACTACCATTCACTAAACCCCAGCGATGTGGCCACCGTGATGGTCGGGGTGCGTGTGCGGCAGGAGAAGCAGTTGGCGATGTTGTTTTTGGTGCTGGAATAGCTGGTGGTGAGAGCGGTGGGCGCGGCGATGTGGGGGAGGACTGGGGAGACAGGACTGCTGCGGCGGCAGGAGGAATGCGGGAGCGGTCCGTGCCATTGGGAAAGAGGCGTGCATGCGAACTGTTTCGGCGTGGGGTTAGACGGTAGGTTGCCGGTTGTGCAGCCACACGCTCGGTAAAGTAGAAAAGGTTAGTCCTGTGCATTTGTCTGAGGCCAGGAAGAGACGATGGGTTTCAATTTGATGGCGAATATTCCTGGACTCGTCGAGCATACTGTGCAGCCATGTACTGCAGATGTCCGACAGCTGGCATGAGTGTGGCGTGAAAAGCGGTAGCAGACGGATCCCCGCAGCGTGCCATGCCATGACGCGAGTGCTCATACGATAGGCCGGTGTAACGCGCGCTAATGCGGCCACCCGTAGCAGCTGAACGAAGTTGGTGCACGTTGCCGAAACCGGCTAGCGCGAGAACCATCGAGCCGGTCGTGTAGCTGAGAAAGATTGAACGTCGCATGGCCAAGGCTGATGCGTGTTACCTCCGCGGCGCCAATTCATTCGTCGAGAGCCTTGCATGTTGCCGTATCTCGCATCAGCTAAGCACTCCCTACGCCTGCAGAGCTCTAACCATGTGCTTTTTCATCCCGCTGCGTCGGGCTACAGCTAAGTCTGCAGATCTTCCCGTCGGAAGCGTACTATAGGAACAGCGAGGAAGAGCACGAGCACCATGGACCTCACAGCTGAACCCGCGCTTATTGGCCGTTGTGTGGGACGATTAATTAAAGCGGCACCTTGCTTTAAAATTACAAATATTTCTCCTCCTATGCTCCCAGCTTGCCTACGGGTAGGTTTTGGTCCTACGAAGTGGACCGGAGAGCTGCTTCCCCACCCCCGCACTTCATATTGCAATAGCCAATCATCGATGCACGCCGTCACCACTTGTACCCGCCTCCGCTCCGCTTCTCACCACTGTAATCTTGTTTGAGTCTTATGTGCCTTGTTTATGCCCACTTTCATACACCCCATTGGATACAATGAAATCGCGAAGCCTGTCATCATGTCACTACTGTGAAATACACGGCACATTTCTTGTTCTCGGGAAACACTGCTTGGTTGTTCTATTTGCCAACGTCTCTCCCGCCTTTTGTATAAACGGTTGGCATATTGCTTTTGAAGGCCATATTTCTCTTCAATCTACAAACTACGGCTCATCATCATCTTTACTCCCGAGCTTGAGAGAAAATGTTGGGTTTAAATAGGAGTCCTGCACCACTTCGTTGCTTTCGCATTCATTTCCATTCTGGGAGCCTGCTCAACCGGGATGTGCTTACAGAAGTCTCGCCCCCTTCTGCATAAACGACAAGCAGTATCAGAGCCATGCTCTGGTAACAAGACACTGCCGTAAATAGTAAGTCCAACTCGCCTCGGTTGCAGCAATGCCACCTTTTTCTTACGCTCGTGGGCTTTGTAGGAAAATCGAGTCGGATTGGACTTACGCTTCCTTCGACAGGCGGTACCAGCGCCCTACAGCCACAAATTTTTCCAGCCAACCCTGCGAGCGCGTCGGGGCGAAGCAGCACCGCCGTGGCACAGTCCAACTCCCGCCTATTATCGGCATCGCCTCTGTCAGAGTCTTCGCTGCGACCATGCCCAAGTCGTACTGCGCGGGTCATGGTCTCGGTGTCGATATTCTCGGCGATGTCGGCGCCGGTACCAAAAGTTTGTCGTACATGCAACACCTTATTGTCGCGCAAACATTTCTTCAGGCTGTTTGTCGACAATCCAAAAAGGATCCCACAAACCTCACCCCACCTTCTCTCACAGCTGCGGTCAGTTGTCCTGGGGACCACGCGAGTTGGAAAACACTCTTCCACTTACCTTGGTGAGGTAAATGTATAAGGCGTACCAGGTCCAGCTGTCCGCGTTGTGACTGAGATTGGCCTGATTCAGCAGCTTACTGCCCTTCGTGGGGTTGTAGCAGCTCCATGCACTATAGACGAAATCCGCGACTCGTCGGCCTGGTGGGTTCGTGGTGACTAGTGGGTAGTGCATGAATTCATGAAGCACTTTGAAAGCAGTGCCCCATAGTATCGGTGTTCATGTGGTCGACAAAGCCACTACCAGCACAAGAAGGTTTCCATGTTGAGGCAATCGGCAAACTTCGCGCAGTAATGTATGTTGAAAGTGGTGTCTCAAGTGAGTAGCTAATAATATATCGATACTCATTACCGCCCGAGACCTTGAAACAACCAGAAATGCCTGTTCTACATTCACTTCGCTTTCGCCCGTGAGGATCACCAACACTCAAAGTCGTTAAGGCGACGGAAATTGTTTTGGTCACTATTAATGTAGACGTTGGCCGCGAAGTTCTTGCCAAAACAAAGGACAAGTAATGACATTCGAAGCGCCATCAAACAGAGTTTTCCAGTCACCTTCCCGTTTCTCACCTTGGCAAGTTCGAATGTGAAGCAAAACGATAAACACGTGGTGGCATCTGACGCCGATAGAATGGTGCTCTTGATGCTTGTCTGATGGGAGTTTTCCTAAAGCGCCCATTAGTCAAAGCCCACACATCCGAGGTTGGTAGATAGTCGAACTCTCTTGTGTCGATCTAAGAGGGTAGCTCACTATTTGCGTAAATCGTGCCAGTGATTATGAGGCCGTGATTGTTCCCTGTGAATCACAGAATTCATGGCAGAAGTGCAGGAAATGAGTGCGAAAGAGCCGTTTAAGTGTTATCGAATGGATGGCCTGGTTTAGCCATTGGAATGCCGCTGGGTACGGGACAGCCCGACTTCACCTTCTCTCCTCTTCCATAAAAAACCGCACGTCTTCACTGCTTTCGACTCTTCAACATTTTGCCAACCTATCATCTTGATCCTCATCCAACACTCACCATGGCTCCAGCCATTCGCATCATTGCCGCTCTTGGCGAAGGATGTTTTGGCGTTGTTTTCGAGGCGCAAATCGCCGGGGCAGAGTATGCTATCAAGATGGTATTCTTCCACCGCCCGCTCCATGCTATCCATCCGCTAACCCATGTCCACTCAGTTCAGGCACAATGAACAAAAGGCTCTTGAAAACGAATGCCGTGCCTACCATGCCATCTCCATGGTACCGTCGCTTCGTAGTCGGATCTGTCGACTCGAAGGTCTCGTAGACGACCTACCTAACCACTACAACTACCAACTCCTACCAGCTCTCCAACTGCAACGTCTTTACGGTGATAATCTTGCAATGGTCATCACCAAACTTTCAAAGCCTAAGCGGAATGAACTTCGAGACCACCTCCACCACACGCTTGACATACTCCACAATAATGCCGAGCTTGCCCACGGAGACATCAGGCCAAACAACGTTATTCTAGAGGGCAATTTCCCTATACTCATTGACCTCAGTAACGCTGTATTCAAGTCTGAGCTCAATGACAAACTTTGGTACTCGGAGACTTGCAACGACCGTGACTCACTCAATGAGATGTTTGACCGCGTTGATTCATCTGAGGTTCGATTTTTCCCCGCCGCTTCGAAGCCAGGACACTGACTATGACACAGGCAACCACCATGATTACCAAGAGACTTGGAAACCTTGGCCCAGATGTTCCCAGCCGAGACGTTCAACATGTCCTTGCCGGTCTACTAAGTATGAGTCGATGGCTTTCCCCCGAACATATTCGCGATCTCCAACAGGCAGTTCCATCGCCTATCCCAGCCCTTTCCCTCCACATGGCAACTCATCTGGCGAGCAAGGGTCAGCGCCACGACGCCTTCGGCCTTCTCATGCAGACGATAGATCATGAAGAACGCTATCCGACTCCTGACCTCTCTGACGTATCATCTACGATGTGTCTCATGAAACAAAAAGCCGCGTACCTTGCAGAAGATCATCATGCCGTGTCCGGCGAGACCATTGGGCCAGGCGCCCTTCAGCTGTATAGAGACGCCATCGAGACATCCTACTTACACCGTGACTCATCTGACTTTGACCTTCTGAATCTAAGATTGGACTACGCTCGCTTCCTGCGTTATCATGCTTCACCCGAAGATGCTTTCCGGGAATTCTGCGATATATTCAACGCAATGGATGAGAGTATGGGCCATGCTTATTTGGCAGCTTGGCTAGCAAATACACTCAAGAATGAGGTCATTTATGAGCTACAGGACGAGGAAATGATATCTCGCGCAGAGGACCTGTGGTCTAAGGCTCAAGCACTAGCCGGGGGTATCTCTTAAGACTGGACTGTTACCAAGGCATTGGTATCGGGATACCTGGCACCAGTTGAAGGATTTTAGTTGATAATCTCCGATACGTTCTATATGGCCGTTTGGAATGCCATTTCCGGGGACTCAAGCAATGGTGATTGCATTGTGCTGTCGATTTTCCCAAGGGCATTCAGGGGATCGATTTCCTTTCTCTTTATTCTGTCCTAGTGAGCTATTTCTGCCCGCATTCGGGTATTAAGTGCCCTACTCTTTTAAATCGCGGCAGAAAAGCTTTTCCAACATGTGAGCCTTTTCTTTCTCCGAAGTACAACAAAGAAAAAGCCACATGACCGGCTTCTAGCTATAAAAATATAAGATAGACCGCCCGACACATCCCTTACTCAGTCTCCAATTTCATCTAACGCGCTTTTTTCAACCCCAAGCCCTGGTAGAAAACCGACATAATCACATCAGAGTTTATTGCCATGTCTGATAAGGGTACTTCTGGTTGGCAGCAAGCCATGCTTACCATGCCCGACCGTGCTCTCCCAGAGGGCAACACTACATCAAGCAACGAGACGAAAGCTACAAAGAAGAGAAAATCGGTTTCCGTTGAGGCGGTAGAAGATGTAAAGAGACCGAAGCTGGACAGTCAAGAATTCCCCGAAAAGAAGGGAGAAACGAAGATGAAGAAAACACCACCTCCCACCAGGTCGACCAGCATTGTCGAACACCAGATCAATGAAAACGATAGAAAAGCAACCGATGAGAAGGAGAAGCATGGTGATGGTCCAAAAGGCACACAAGATACAGCACCTGTTCTCTCGAGGCGTACAAGAAGCACTAGTCGTCAGCTTGAACCAGACGGTACTCACACGTCGGAAAGTAATAAAGAAGACAAAGAGAAGGCAATTCATACCCCTGAGGAGGAGGCAAAGAGCACTGGGCCTCAGGTGCTGTCAAAAAACAAAGAAACGTCGGATGTTGACAAAGGGGAGACGCTCGTTCCCGCAATTCGAACAACAAAGACCAAACGTAAGCTTTCACTGGATGAGAAGGAGGACTTTAATGAGGCACACAAAGCGAATGTTGTTTCCGACGTGCGTCCGGTCGTCCCAGAAAGTAGTAGCACTTTGGACTACAAAGGAGCTGCGGACCTGGAGAAGCCTACAGAGAAGCCCAAAGAGACGAATCCCAAAGTGAGGAGGCTCAATGAAACAAAGTCTGAAGCAAAAAAACCTAGAGAAAAGAAGGCTACACGAAGAGCAACACCTGCGAGGGCGCCTGAAAGTTTTTACAACTATAGATCAGCAAACTCAAGCGCTCATACGTACGACAATATGATTAGGTCCATGACGAACAATCTTAGGCGAGAATGGGGGGGAGTAGGTGTTCGGTATGGCCGTGGTCGTCGCAGGAGATAGAGATGAAGAGGGGATAGAAGAGAGCTAAGAAGAGTTAGAGAGTAAAAGCGGGGAAAGTACTAGTTTTGCCCTTGACGTACCAGCACAAATAGAAGGACTTCACATTTCTTATTATAACCTTTTAGAAAAGAAAACACCTTTGTCGTATCTACAGATGCCACCCGTAGTCTATCCGTACATGATGGACGTCACCGAGATGTTAAGCAAATTATCAAGCATGTATTTTTTAGCTATCGGGGACCTACTGCGAAGTCCAAGCATCTTTAAATACCACTGCCGTCGAGCCACCTACAACAGTTTCTGCTAGAAAATAGAAGCCACTAAGTGTTCTTCCTCACGTTGACTTTTACGACGGAATGTGGCGTAGCTAATCTAGGACATTCCGCTGATAAGGTCGTTTCGAAGCCTGATAGCTGCGGTAAGTAGGCCGGAAAGTCTGTTGTAGTCGGACCAGACATCGGCTCTGAGCCGCATGAAGAAAATAACACGGTCGTCAGCAACAGCAGCCTGAGCGATGATAGCTGGGAGGCTGCCGTTGTGTGGAGCAATCCTTGCCAGCATCTCGATCTCGTCACAAATGCGGTTGATAGCTTTGCGCAGATTCTTCAGAATTCCCATGGCATCTTCCATGGTCACCTGGTCGACCTCCTGGGTGGTACCGAACAGTGATTCCTCGGGCTTTTGCTGATTGGCGTCGGACATGATGGTAGGGTTCGTGAATCGTGAGTTACGGTCGATTGTCGGATCCCCGTTCGTCTCACTACTTTGCAGCGTATTAGAGTACTATCGTCTATGGAGCTCTTATATAGTAACGGTGTCTGCATTGTACATGAATAATCAAAGTCTTGTCCACGTTGTTCGAAAATGTGAGAGGTGTCTTGTTGATAAGCAATGTAGCTCGAGTAGACGCTTCGTGCCGATGCTCTTGCCTGCATTCACCACGGATAAAGGTCAGTTGAGCCAGAACATCGTTGCTGGATCAGCCTCGCAGACATACCTGAATTCATAGAAGTGGGTTACTCGCTTGGTGTTGCATGGCTGTTCAATGGCGCTTGACGAAGATGATGCATAATCTTAGCAATCGGAAGCGCCGGGCTGTCTGGCAGCATCATTAAACGAGATATTCCGAGGAGTGACATGAAGGGTTAACTACAATTGGCAGGGCTACTTGAGCGAGTCTTATGTGCGAATGTTTATGTCTGGTCAACACCCCCAGAATCTTGACGCTAGTGCGCGTGAACAATATGATGGATGAGGTGGTATGGAATACGAAGTGTGTCGTGGTGCTGCTGAGAAAGGAATGAGTATTCACAATTTCCGCAATTGCGATGTAAATAGTATTTCGGATGCGCCTATTATTGCCCTAAACGCCTAGAATGTGGAAAATAAGAAGTCCAGAAAGCCTCTAGACGATTTGCTTAAGGATATGAAGGCGAAGCCGAGTTTAGATAATAACTAGTGTTTCTACCGCCAAACACATCGAAATATAGCATCGCAGGCAAGAGCTGATGGAAGCAAGTAAGATTCTCTAATTTTTTTCAGCGCTTAGTGCATGAGCAGAACGATTCTCCATCAGCTTCTCAAATAATGAGAACAAAATGCCCTCTGATGCATAAAGGTGTAGAATTAAGGAATTTTCTTGAGTAATCAGGACGATACTCATGGTATGACACCACGTATTGCTGCAAAAAGGTCGAATAGCAAACATTCTTGACCAGGTGCACTTGAAATTAGACACGCTGAGGTTCCATACATACAGGAGCATCAACAGCCTGTCCGTAGATGAAACAGCCCCACCCATTTGCTATTCAGAAATCATCATCATCGTCTATATCCTCATCCTCCATATCAGTATCATCCTGATTCTTGGGCTTGAGCCAGCGGTAATTTTGGCAATTGTGAGCGCACGTCGCCTTAGGCTCCGACGTGCCCGACTCCGAAGACACCAGCAACAACCTCTCAACTCCACTGGCAAGGAATCCATCGAGCATAGGGAATATGCACGAAGCGAAGCGGGAGAATAGGAACTCGATCGCCACGCCTCGCAGAGGGAGCACTTCGGTGTTGTGGTAGAGCATGGCGAGCTCCGTCGATGGCGTGAGCAGGGTCGTGACGAGGTCGCCGGCCTTAGGGACAAAGGTGAGTTGACACATAGAGAAGGCGGTGCTCAGATCCCGGCGTAAGAGCAGCCGGTTGGCAACGTCATGGATGTTGGCAAACCGGTGGTCGCTGACATAACGATGCATATCGTTCTCTTCGAACCAGCTGTCAATGTGGACTGGAAGCAGGTACGTCGGCTCGCAGAGGTGGGCATGCGCGCTCATACGGCACGAGGCATCGCGCACATGTACCTTGGTTGAGATGTCCGTCGCGCCTGTGATGGAGGCGGTGTCCTGGAGCGGAGTGTAACAGGCAGCCCATGCAGACGGCAGTTTGCCGTGAGGGAAGCGCCACTCGGTGAAGTTGGGGACTACAGGGTATTTGTAGGGTTCAGTGGTTCCCTTGGGTGGAGGGACGCAGAAGAAGTAGTCAGAGCCGGTCAGCACAGAATAAGAGTCAGCAACAATGGGCTTTCCGGTGGCAGTGAGGCTTAGGTAGCCGTCGAAGCGGTTGCCGGCCATGATGTCGCAGGCGGTGTGAGCAGTGGTGAAATTGATACCGCCCGTGGGGTGGTCTAGGGCGAGCAGGCTGAAGAGGCGGTTCTTCGCAGTTGGGTAGGCGGGATGACGGAAATGCACGACATGGCGGGGATCGGTGGAGACGGTTTCGACGCCAACGATGTGTTCGGGCACGCGTTGCGCGGGACGGACGCGGATCGTAGGTGCGACCATGGTGATAGTGATGATGGAGGTGGTGAGGTTGGCTGCCTCGCGATGACGAACTGAGGTTGGTTGCCTGGCGATGCGACCTGATGTTGGCGCACAAACGGCAGGCATGCCCGCAAAGGCAGGCGCGCCCAACACCTACCTGTCGCCGCCCGCCGAATGTCTCACCGCCAGAAATGGGTGCTGGTCGCGCGGAGTAAAAGCCTAGGCCGTGCTCGCAGGAGCGATCTCCTGCGCCGCAGATGATGATGATGGATTCATAGGTCGCAGAGGATTGGATTTGCGGCACTGCGAGTCCCTTTCCGAAGCCACTGTCTTCTGCCTCAGCATGTCGTCGTGCTTGGCTCAAGTTGATGCATGACTATTTGAAACCCTGGACAAGGGAAATTGAAGTCCTCGCTCGAGTTGTCGTCCGCGGAGTGCAGGCACAGCAACAGCCGGTTACCTTCCCAAAATGGAAAGCGCGTCAACAAAGAGTCCTCCGCCCGATCGCCGGCAACGTCCGACATAACTTCTTCAACATTACACCCACATCTCACCATGCTTAAATCGACGGCATCCGATACACCCACTGACGGGTACGACCCGAACTTTGGCGCTCGTGTGAGCGTAGCTTATCACCGCTCAGTGGAGCGCGACCGTCTGCGCGAAAAGAAGTACGGCACCGCCATCGCGACCCTCACCCGCCCTGGTGGGACTCCATCGCCCGTTCGCAACCTTTACACAGAGAAAAAGGACATGATTGCCGAGCTCGACGCGGCATACGACCTGCTCAGCGACGATGAACGCAAACGCAGGCCCACCGGCGCCGTTCGCGCCTGGATCCAGGCCCTCGAAAGTCGGATACGTGACATCGAGAGGTGCGAACGGGATTATGCTGCCAAATTAGCGCGAGAGCTCTTGGTATTCGAGGAAGATGAACCCGCAACCTCTCTTGAAAAGTTGGCGATTACCAAGGACAGCCAAGCTCCAGGTGCTGGTCTTTCCCGCTCAGACCAGCCATCTCTCTCAACTCCAGAACAACCTTCCATGGTCAAGCGCCACGGCGAAGAGCCCAGTGAGGCTTCATGTGCTCCCCTAATGCTTTTTTCAGCTGTTGACTACTCGAAGGCGCAGGTACTCATGAGCACCCGGTATCAACTTCGGCGGCCAAAAACAGCGCCAATGATCGTGGTGTCCCTTTTAGAAACCCTTCGCTTGATTAAACAAGTCATGATACTGCTCTTGAGGCTAGCGGCTTGATCCTCTACGTGCAACAACTATCAACACTTCCACACGTCTGTCTTGCTACCACACAAAGCGCAGCAGTTCTTTCGAAGTTCCAACCAGCCCAGTCATTCAACATTCCATGGCCAAATCCTGAGGGCATCTCTCCAGATCGCTGTGGTACAAGGCCGGACCAATGATACAACAATTACAGTCCCACTGAGTACCTACGCCCTCTTGCGTTTTGGCATATCTCTTGGTCACGGGTTGCAATTGGAAAGTTTTGGGTCTCACATTATTCCTTCGCTGTACCTTCTCACGCCGAGGTACCCGTCATCACTACACTTGCATTCAAGAGATGCAACCAGAGGTAGAGCAAGACCCGTAAAGAGGACAGAGATAATCATACTCATGAATCAAAGTTCTTTGGCCTTCTTTGATGTGCATTTAAATACCAATCATCCCTTCAAACAATGTTCCGCTAATCCTCAGAGTATATTAGCCATTATAGGAGCGTACTGACATGGGCGGAGTTGAAAGGGGGGTGTGGAGAGTGGGGATGCGTCAACTGGAACGCGTTACTGTTCTGACAAGCAGGACAGGCTTTTCCTCCATTTTCCCTGATCATACCTTCCATTCAGGGCCAGCATTCACCAAAGGCTCTGGGAGAGTTATGTCAATATTGACAAGCATCCACGGTAGATCAGGCCGTCGTTGGAGACCGACAAATGCGAGGCGTCGTCCAATGGACCGGCGGCAAAATGACGTAAACAAATCTCGAAGAAATACCTTGGACAAGATGTCCAATTGCCAATTGAGATGCGCGCTGAGCCCGGTGAACGTTTATCAGCAATGCAGGTGCCAAGAATTGTGTGCCTGTAAGCCAACCATCAAGGCTGGCTGACGGCCAAGACCCAGCTAACGAATCTCTCCGCTCAAGTTTCGTCGCATGTCTCAGAGTACCAGCGAGCATAATACCATCTTTCAACAAGGCATGTAACGATCGGGGGATGAATAGCGCAAGAACTACCTACATTTTCCCTCTCTCAATTCAACCTTACTGGAAAGAACTTCTCGTCACCGCCAGAACATATTTCGCATACTGATGGGACGCAACAAGCGGTCACGTTCCTTCCTGGGTACCTCGCGGAGCGGACTCCGAGCCCGAGCTTAAAGCGGCCCATCAGCATGCTCCATGACTTTCTGCGTCGCGTTAGTCGCTCCTCCCTAGTCACGTCCCTAGTCTCATGCCTAATTCGACCTCTCTGCCTCGCATCTCGGACTTCTGAAGCCGACATGACCAACTTTTTTCATCGCTTACGCCGTCTTGGCCTAGAAGACTCCGGCCCGAGATCCCGCACATGGAACGGATTCCTTCCACCGGTAAGAAAATGACGGCAATTATAAGCGAACCCAAGCTTCACGCTGAATTGTGCCGCTGCGCTCACATGTGAAGGCTGGCTCATTGGCTGGGAAGAGCATTTCACGCAGGTGCTTTATTTGACGGAGGATGTCGGCCGATCGCGCGAATCATCACCGTCGCCGACGTGCACATAGTCTGCTTGATCGCTTGAACGTAAGAGAATCTGCAAATCGCGCCGCACAGTAGACGTTTGAAGTTGCCGAATGCGTCACGAATGGATTGAGAAGCGTGCAGGCAGGCCCATCAGAGTCGCCGTTTGCAGCTCCGCTTGTCTGAAGGCCTTTGTCAGATACGGGACTTGGCGACTCGAGAAGTATGCTGGGACGACGGAGTTGCTCACACTTGATCAACTTGACCAAAAGTAGGCGTAGGGTGCGGAGAAAAGCAAACTCGCGCTATTGGTTGAATACGTAGGTGATTTAGAAAAGATCGACGTGCGTATTGGCGGATAAAAAAAATATCTTCTTCCCGCGTCGCACTGAAGACGTTTGAAGTTGTCGGTTGCGCCACTCGCCAATGTGGCGGTATACATGAGCGAAAGTTTTTCTTTGCAAAATTTAAACATTTTATAGGGTATAAGTGTCGACTTTAACGCATCTAATTACTAATAGCTACCTATTATTACCTTTCTTATACTTAGCCATGTCTACTTAAGCGAGCGTACTAATTGGTATAGCTTTATTCATAGCACGTATCCATCCTACCGGGACCTCGTTGCCTTTATTATAGCTGTCTCGATGTATACTTATAAGAAACCCTTTAAGTCATACATCTTAAGAAGAAGAAACTCTGCTTACATTAGTAATTCCTTACTCACCTCACATGTCCCGCGAGGCTAAATTCCAGACTCTGATTCTCAGCACGCCAGCGGTTGCTCGTCTCCTCTACATGCCTCCGGACACTAGTCAATAGGTAGACCTGACACTTGTAGTTGTGGCACCGATGTGCCACGGTATAAGACATAGGGCAAGTTTAGAAAGCAATGTTCGGCTGGAAATGACCCCCTGTACGCACCATAGCGGCAAGCGAATCATTTGCTTCCTCTGTAAACAAAAGCCGAGGCCGGGCTGCACGTCCCCGCTTTCGCGCGTGGCGGAATCAAACAACTTCAAACGTCTGCTGCACGGCGCGGTTTGCAGATTTTCTTACCAACGAGTGATGCGGCCACCTTTCTAGATCTGGTGCCAGTCTCATGATTCGCCACATGGCGTCTATGGAGGCTCATGCACGTCAGATCGCATCTATAACGCCAATCCGGCAGTTTAATGCTGTAGCACCTGCATTAAACGTAATTGTCGGCTACCAACGGGTTCCAGGTTATGGTGTCCATTAGACGCCTTGCGTACGGGATGTAGACCATCCCTTCTATAAGGACCTTAGCGATGATCTTGTTGTCAAGCGCTCAGATTTTATAACTCCTTTAAAGTCATCGTTAAGCAGCGAGGCTGTGGATCTCTCTGGAGTCATCGATCTCAGGGCAAACATATCAGAAGAGTTTGATTCAAGATGGAACAAGCGGCCGGATATACATACCAGGCGCTCCTCTTTAAAGTGTAAAATAAAAGACACAAGATATCGAAGTCGTATATACGAAAGTTTATGTACGAATCGTTCTTCTGTCACCCTGACCAATCCCACACCTCTCGGCCCGATCCGATCCTCGGTCCGACCTCCAGCCGCGCCATCCAAAATTTTTCATCCCACAGCCGCTTCTGTATATGGGAATAACAGGCTGGAGCAAAAAGAAAAAGGTATATTGATGAGGACGAGACTCGAACTCGCGCGGGTTGCCCCACCAGGAAACTTGTTAAGCTAACACCTTAACCTGGCGCCATAACCAACTCGGCCACCTCACCAGCGCATGAAGGTATTAATGTTGCCTAGGTGCCTTATACACTGCAATGTATGGCTGCTTCTCCTATCCAGAGGGCTGTGGTGCATGAATTGATCGTGTAAAGGCCGACACCAACAGGTATACTCAGCAAGTTGGTGAGACGGAGCGTTCCTTCTCTTTAATTCATGGCTGGGCGATGGCTTGGGTGGGTCGTCTTTCCACGGTCAATTGTTCCATTGCTGTCTGCTTAGCCGTTAGTGCATCAGACGACAGGATAAATAATCTAGATCAGAGGCGTTGTCAGCATCAAGATGAATCCATATCAATGGTGATCTCAATGCCATTATTTTTGCAGCAGTACAGGTTATTCTTTCAAAGCAGACACGGTGCATCTAAAAAGCATATAAGCCCGTCTTTTCCCTTTCTCTTACATTGCCAGGCAAACAGGATGGCAATACGCTCCACTGAAATGCAAAGAAAGAGTGCTTCGTGCTCAATCTTTCGGGGGCCTGTTTTTGTTGATATCTTTCAAGATTGCCTCAGCACCAGCCTGGAGTAGCCTAGTAGCCAGCGTCTTGCCAAGCTCCTCTGCAGCGTCCTCGGTACGCACCTCAGCGTCGATGGAGTTTTCAACGCTCTGAGAGCCGTCAAGACTCACGACGATGGCCCTCATACGCAGCACGCGATCCTCGGGGCTACCAAGCCATTCAGTCTCGACGCCAATGGGAACGCTGCAACCTCCCTCGAGCTCACGCATGAGACTGCGCTCGGCAAGGCACGCCAGAGTCGCAGAATGGTCGACGAGCGGGCTGAGTAGCTCGAGCATGGCGGTGTCGCCCTTGCGGATCTCGAGGCCAAGGGCGCCCTGGCCGACGGCGTGGAAGATGCCACCGTCGCGGGAGCCCAGATACTGGGTGATGCGGTGGGCGAGTCCAATGCGCTGCAGGCCGGCAGCCGACATGACCATGCAGGCGTATTCGCCGTCAGGCGCGTCGACCTTGGCCAGGCGCGTCTCGACGTTTCCACGCAGGTTGGCGAATTGCAGGCCCGGGTACAGGCGACGCAGCTGGGCCGAACGGCGCACCGACGAGGTGCCCACGACGGAGCCGGCAGGCAGGCTCTGCAGGTCTTTGTACGGCAGGCCGGCCTTGACGACCAGGGCGTCGCGCGGGTCGTCGCGCGCGGGGATGACGCCCAGCTCGCACGTGTCGGGCAGCCTCGTGGGCATGTCTGCAGCGGTGAGGGCGGGAGCGAGAGGCGACGGCGGCCTACTTACCCTTCAGGCAATGCACGACGACGTCCAGCTTGCCCGACACCAGCAGCTCCTCGAGCTCTGACGTCCACAAGCTCTTGGCGCCAAATTCATAGAGCGCCGTGACCTTGTCCTTGTCGCCGAGGGTGCGCAGCGCTTCGATCTCGAATACCCGGCCCGGCGCCGAGCGGACAAGGCTGTCGCGCACGCCTTCGGTCTGGACCATGGCGAGGCGCGACCGGCGAGTGCCGATGCGCACAGGCGGCGTTGCGGTGGGCTGTGGGGTTGACATTGGTGCGGGTTGAAAGACTGGTGACACGCTGGGGTGGGCGTCTTTAAATTTTGCGCGAACTTCAACGGCAGCCGGTGTCCGTTTCTATACACCTCGTTACTGTAGGATGCGAAAAAGCGGGTCTGGCGTTGGCACTTTTCGCGTGTAGAGTGGGGTATTGCAGCCGACGGCGAGCTCTGCCTTTTCTGAGGAAAAATTCACGCTGGTCTTTGACTGTGTAGAATCTGCCGGTCGCTTGTGTTTCCGGCCATGTCGTGGCCGCGCCAAATCGCCGGGTAGCGGGTGGGGGAACACCAACATTTTGAGCGCAGGTTGGTACAAAATTTCGTAGGAAAGAATGCATGAATTGCCAGTGTGCCTGCTAGGGAGAATGCCTTCACGCCTTATAAGCCTTGCTATCTGCAATCACCAGTGCTGCCCTCAGGAACCTCATAACTCCCTTCGCTTTGCTTCCAATACCCTCTCCACGCTTCTCGTTAGGTCGGCGCTTGTGCTTGCGTTCAGCCTTTTGCAAAGCACGTTCCAAGTAGTCATAGAAGGTACGGATATCCTGAGTGGAGACGGAGGGTCCGTAAATGAGATAACGGAAGTATGATCCAAGCTTGCAGAAGTACACTTTGACCGTGGCAATCTCCAAGTCGTTGGATCCGATGGCCCAAAGTCGTTCGATCGCATCATCGTTCTTCTCTTTGAATATTTGCATCGTTGCCTCAGAGATAGGATCAGTGAGCATGAAATAATGCGATGGCCTGCATAGTTCGAACGCGTTCAGGTACGCTTCATTGACCAGGCGCTGCGCTGCCTTTGACTCTGACTCTCCTGCCTATTCTTGTTGATTAGCCATAGTACGAGGAGTTGCTGTTATAGCGCATACCTTTGGGAAGTAAGGTAAGCCATCTTTTTCGTTGAGACTCGTCACATCTTCTGAAGGTGGAGGTGAGCCATTTTCCTCATCGCTCGTCACGTCTTCCCAAGGTGAAGGGGAGCATGCTTCGTTGTCGCTCGTCGTATCTTCTGAAGACGGAGGAGGGCTCTCTTCTTCGTTGATGTCCATCATGTCCGATGCAGGCGGCGGCGAGCCTTGTCTGTGAGGTGCATGTGTCAGGAAGAGCGAGCGGGCTGGGTGTTTGTTTTTAAGGTGGAGGTGGCGAAGTTGGTCGAGCTCAGCGGAAGCATTGAAGAGGTCTGTGCGGGCCTGCAGCGCAGCTTCCTCCTGTGAATGCAAAAAAAATGTAACGGGCGGTCACCCTGCTTGAGATCAAGTCTTGACTGTTATTCGATCTTATCGGCCAAAATTTCCCTTGCGCGTGAGAAAGCGCTGTTTTTGCTAGTTCCAGAGCGGGTACTTGATCCACTGGCAATCTTCGCTACAAGGCCAGTACTGAGAGCATCGAAGTTTGTGCTATAAAGAGATGTTGAGTTGAACTAAAAAGGTTCTACCAAAAAACCGCCATTCCTTCATTCTTCCATTTCACAATTCCCACGATCATGTGCTCTCAACAAACACTACTCTTCACTGTCAATCTCCATCTCGCCATCCTTATCGCTATGGCTTTCGCCGGTTTTAGAACCCGTGCGATCACTCTCACCTATTACATATTAGTGCTATTCCATTCGAACATTGATGTATATAGCTTTACACGCCGATTGGCAGCCCCATCGATTCTAAGAGGCGGCATGGTGGTATGGTGCGAGGGGTAATTACATATCTCGGTAGAGATGGTTATTGACTTACCTTCATTCGTCGATTTCTTTCCGTCCATGGAGGACTTCGAGGTGTCGTCGGAACTGCTGGTTCGTACCTGCCCAGCTTTCAAGGGTGCTTCCTTGCCTCCCTCCGATATCGTCTGGTGTCCGATAATGGCGCGGGCGAGCAGCTGGCGTTTAATCTCACGCTCAACTCCCTCTTGGCCACCCCGAGCCCGTGCCTCAGCTGCTGCTTCATGAGTCTTGATGACAAAACGCAGGTTGCGCTTAGTCTCTATCAGGTCATTCTGCTCCTTCATCCTTTCGTAGTACTTCGTGTTACTCCCTGTCCAAGTGCTGAATCGACTCCATTTCTTATCCAAGTCGGTCACATCATTACTCTTGCCGGAGTCCTCGATTGCCAATCCAGCACCGGTAAACCAGTAGCCTTCACTGATGACTGCCATGATGATTTCCGATGGCGTGGCTTCATCTGGGCCGCTGATGTACGCAACCACCGACCACTCCATCCGATACGGACCTAGATAGCTCTTGGCGGCCACGTTGAGTGTGTACATCGCCGTGGCCTCGACAAGCATCACCAACGGTGAAGAGTTGACATGTTTGTTGTGCTGCTTCTCATTACGCTCTTCGGAATTCTTCGCGAAACCGATATACTTCCAGGGATTCTTCAGAGGTTTGTTTCACATGTTCTGGGGCAACTTCTTTAAGCGACTTTCCGCCTTGTCACAAAACTCATCAACTTTCTGGAAGAAGCTCTTCCGCCTGTTTGCCGCACTTTGCTTCTTCTTCGCCTGTTCGTTCTTGTCCTTGGCCGTTTTCGCATTCTGGAATTGACGCTCATGATAATCAACATCAGGAGCGTACCGCAGACGATCCTCTTTCCAATTTCCGACCAGGGAATCAATTTTCCTCTCCATAGTTCCACGACCCTTGCGTCCATACTGCCGGAGATTGCGAATGACTTTCATAAGCTCGGTGCGCGTGGGAGACTGCTTAGTTTTCTCATGCACCAGGATGCGCTGATAGATGGACGGCTGGGCTGCAGCTCTATCGTCCCACTTCTCCATTTGCCGTGTCAAGGATCATTTGGGCGGTTGTCTCGGAGGTCCCTCTTGAGTAGTGATACGTTTCCGTCCACAACAGCCTCAAGCAACTCCTTCGGAACCGAAGCAAGGATCCGAAACCCGACGTAGAGGAAATCCATCTTTTTGCTTTGGTTCAAGGCGCCGTGCATGTCCTTGCAATCGTCCCAAACGTGCGAAAGGAGCTGGTAGAAGTCGTTATGCAAGTAATTAGCGTACTTGTTGGCTGATGGCAAGGCCGGCACTGGCGTAGGTGTTGATAGGATGGCTACTTGTTGCTGGGACTGGGATATGTTCTGAAAGGCTTGGCTGCGAAGATCCTGGTCATCTTCTTCATCCTCGTCCTCATCCTCATCCTCGTTTTCTTCTCCATGCTCGTCATCGGAGTCTTCCGACACCTCTGAACTCTTGTCATCATCGCTATGGTGCCCGCCTTGAAGGTTGTCCAGATCTTCGCTTTCCGAAAGTTCGGACTCAGAGCTGCTGGAAGGTTCTGAGGAGTCGTAAGGGTCAGGAGCCCCACTAGGTCCTGCGCCAACCACTGTGAGACGTGCAATTGGGGCAGGGCTAGCCGCCATGGAAGGCGTTATCGCCCGACTTGGTGTTGTGCCTTGCGGCTGAGTGACTTGCTGCGAAACGGGACTCTTCCTCATATCATCAATCTTCTGTGTCTGTGCCTGCTCCTCTTCTTCGGACTTCTTCCTTTCCTCTCCCTCCCCATCCTCCTCGGACTCCTTCTCCTCCTGAACTGCAACGTTATCCACGACGGTCACTGGATTGAGTTGATTTTCTTGGTCATAGTGTCCACGAAAAAACAACATTCTCAAGTGTGTTCCCACCTCGGACTCGTCCCTCCATTCATATTCCCCGCCCAAATCATCCGTGAACTGAATGAGGTATCGGATCCGACCACTGGAAAGCTTTCGCACATCCATGACACGAGAAATCCAGTTGTCGCCTACTTCAAGCGGTGGTTCAGCATCGGATTGGGGAGAGGTTGCTGCGCGGAGCGACGAGGGAATGGAGCCGGGTGACTGCGGGACTTTCGGTGAGGTGGTAATTTCCGAGGCTGCGGAAGTATCCGACTCCGCGGACGTGTCGGAAACCTCGGGCATGGGAGAACCAAGAGGGGTTCTTGGATGGGTGGCATCGTAAGCCATGAGAAGAACAGGCGCACTGATGTCTTTCTCGTTCTCCCAAGTATCATCGTCCGAGTCGTAGTGCTTCCAGCGAATCTTGTAGTCGTAGGTGTTCGGGTCCGTCGTAGAGCGACGACGATCGACGAGTTTGTCGACCTCATACTCCTCAGAGTCGAGGGAAGAGCTTGAGGATCCTGTCATTGTAAAGTTCGACCTTACCCACTATGCCACATCAGTTAACGTAGAATGAGCCGAATTGTTGAAGTTCAGTGTGACGCGGTCAATTAATATACCGATCAGTGACAGTGACGGTCACTGTGGCGGGCTGATGGGGTGGGTCAACGGAGGCTGGAGTTGAAAGTAGCAGAGGCAAACGACGCCTGGATATTAGCGCAGCAGCGGGTGTTGCTCCCGCAACGTATTACGTCACCTTCAATCACTCTGATTGGCGCTTGAAAAGTGAAATGACGTATTTGGTCATTCAAATGGAAGCTTCTACTACCTGCTCCCCCACGCCCGTGCACGCACCTGCCTGCCTGCCTGCCTCACTGATCGATCTTCGTTGCTACTCCACCATGTGTCCCGCCACGCAGCGCTGTTTGTGCTGTGGGCATGCGCGCCTGCCTGACGAGTTTGTTCGCCGCGGCCGTGTCTGAAAGACCTATAACAGCTGCTTCGATCGCACGCCTGGTACATGGGGCAAATGGGAGGAAATTTTGCCCAAGAAATTGAGAGGAGGAAGGCATTGGAGCACGATATTTGCATCAATTTCTTCGGCCAGTAGAGGGTATTTTCGGTATGGCACTTCATTTTCGTTGATTCTATACATAAGGCTATGCCGAAAGCTAAGTACTAGCCTATCCGCTGAACACTCCTCCAACGCCCCCAGCACCACCAGAACCTCCACCACCAGAACCTCCACCATGGCTGGTACCTCTACCACGGCTAGTACTTCCACCACGGCCAGCACTTCCACCACCTCGTCCAACAGCTCCTCCAGATCCTCCAGATCCTTCGGTGCTTCCAGCACCCCCAGTAACTCCAGCGCTTCCAGCTGCTCCAGCCGCGGAGGCTTGATTTCCAATCTCCCGAGGCAGCATAGTCTCCCAGATCGAATGACGAGCCTTTTTGTATTTCTCGATGTCATCCAAAAGCTCCTGGACGAACTTCATGCCTTCTTGAGGTAGATTTGCCACTCTGTTAAGCTCAGTAGCGTAGGTGTGCAGGCGCCATTCGCGGAAAGCCAACAATTCGCTTCGCCTTTTGCACTTTTCCTGAGACCTCGCGAGAGCATCAAGCAAGGTGTCTCTGTAGCGGGAAACTTGCGGCAGGAGATCCTCGAAATCATCAAGAACCTCCGCAAGGCTCTCCATAGTAGCACTGCTTTGCTGGATGCGACTCCTCAAGCCATCAATAGTCTTATGAGCCGTCGCGAGGGCATCTAAGAGCTTTCCGATGTTCTCTTCTCCCTCTTTCATCCGATCATCGAGCTGTTGGGCCAAAGAGTCTGCATGTGTCTTGTAGGAATCCAAGGCGGTACAAAGACCCTCGATCAGCGATTGTGATCTAGAGCAAAGGCCATGTGCCTCTCGCAGTTCGGCATTCTGTGCAGTTAAGGCTTCCTGCAAAGAGTCGATTCGGGAATTGTATCGCTCATGATCAGCCGTCCTAGCCGCCTGAACAGCCTCGTGGACGCTTCGTGATGACCTGAGAGCTGAAGTGAGCTGCTTCACAGTCTCAGAAAGCTTGATGATGTTGGAATCTGCCATTTCTTGACGTTTTTGAGCGGCTTCTTTGTCAGCTGCGCGTAGTTTGGCATACCGCTCAGCCTGAGCTTTGAAACCCTCCCCATTCTGGTGCGCCTTCTCCAGCAACTCTTGCTTCGCCCGAAGCTTCTCTTCAAGAGCTGCATATTCCTTTTCCAGTTCTTCATATCCATCCTTCCACTCTTGGTTGAAGACCTTTGCCTCTTCAACCTGCGTGCATACACTTTGCAGCGAGGTCTCCTTCTGCTCGAGGGTATCTTCAAGTGCCTTGACGCGACCTTTCAGCTTCTGTATTTCATCGAGTTGGAGGCTCTCCAGCTTCTTGTCTTCAAGGTGGCGATCTTCACACTTTTGAAGCTTTTGAGATTCTTCCTGGAAAAGCTGCCTCTGTTTGTTCAAACTCTCAAGGCGATCGCCAGATTCCTTGCTGATGCGTTGTATCAGTTCGGTTTGCTGCTTGATTGTCTCATCACGAGCGGAGATCGTCGCATCATTGGACTCATGAGTCTTGCGCTCCTTTTGAAGAGCCTCGAGATGCTTAAGCTCCTCACTTCGGAGCCTCTCATGGTACTTCTCCTCGAGCTCTTGCTGGAGTCTGACGATGACATCTCTGTGAGTCTGACCTTGCTTATCCATGCTCTGTTGCCATTCTTCCTCTTTTTGCTCAGTCGCAACAGCTTGTTCAGTCATCTTGCTCTGGAGATTTTCCAATTTTGCACCCAGATCCTCCTCCAAGGCTTGGCTCTGCCTTTGACATTCTTTAAGCCGTTCTTCCTGGCGCTTCAGTTCCTCCTTGTGACTCTCTGATTCTTGATTGGCTTCCTGATTACGATACTCAATGAATTCGAAGAGCTCGTCTTGATGTTGTTTTTCCTTTGCTTTCAGCTCCTCTGCATTGACTTCCATGAGAGATTTCTCGTGAGCGTCACAGTCATCACGAAGCTTCCGGAGCTCAGTCTCATGTTCGGTTTTGAGATTCTTGACCATCTGTTCATGATCGGCCTTCAGCGACCTCAATGCCGCTTCATGGATGATCTCAGACGCATCTTTCTGGCCTTGGAGGAGCGTTTGGGTGGCGGCCTTTTCTGCAGCTACCGCGGCCTGTTTAGTTTGCTCCATTGTTTCCCGAAGTTCTTCTCTCTCCTTCCTCAGCGCTTCCTTCTCCTTTTCACACGACTTCCGCATCTCATCCTTCGCCTTTTCGACTTCTTGATATGCCTCCAATGCCTGTGCGGCAGAGCGCTGTTGTTGATTGGAAGTCGAAGTGCTCATGCTAGCCTGTAGATCCGCAAGAGCCCGACCAGACCGAATACTGGCGTCTAAAGCTTCTCGTGCCTGTTTCTCAGCTGCATGATACTTATCCTCTGTGGCGTTCAACTTCTCTTGTATCTTTTTTGACTCTTCGTTGGCCCTCATGAGGTCTTCCTGTTGGCTCTTGTGCAACTCAGTAATCTTGTATTGACAGCGGCGCTCAGCCTGTTCCAATTCTTTGGTTTTGTCTTCCTTCATCCTTTCGAGCTCAGCTTGATGATCTTCACGGGCCCTTTCAACAACCTGCTGGGCATCGGCACAGTGCTTCTTTAACTTCTCAATGCGCAGGTCCCTCACCCTGATCCTCCGAGAGTTGCGTGCCTTGGACCTTCGAAGTCGATTCTTACGGTTCCGCGCCTTTTGCTGAATTGCAGCGATCATCTTGTCACGAGCCGCATCCACCACGCCCAATGCTTCGTCCAACAGCTGTAGAACCCCCGGTGAGAGGACATTTTCAATGCGTGCGGAGTCGTGTAGGAAGGTTCTAAGGTTCTCCGCAGCTTCCTCCTCAATCTCTTCCTTCTTCCGAGTCAATTCCTCGATTGTATCGTCGTTAAGGTCCTCTGAAGTGATGTTGATAATGGCGTGGTGGTACTGATGGTCGAGTTGGTGTCTCTCCACCCATTTGGACGCCTTTTTCGGGCCCATACTGGCAGATGAAGCTGTTTTGAAACGTAATCTTGACCGAAACTGTGGATTTGTGTGAGCTCTTGTCTTTGAGTGAGGTTGTCGGTCAGGCAAGATTCAGTGGTGTCGAGAGCCTCTTACATTACTGTTTCCGCTTTGAAAAGGTCACACGAAGCTTATCGTGTGTGAATCTGTTAGTGAGAGTCATGAGTGCTCGACTGCCCGTGGTGGACAATACGGTCGGGTTGCCCTCCACGTCGCTGTCGCCGAGAGGGCCTGTGACTGACGGCGACGCGGTGGGCGACAAAGAGCTTGTAATATTGCGCAGGGGATGATGCGCCCGACAGTGACAGGCCGAGTTGACGGTGAAGATGGCACTCGAGAAGGAGGGTTGTCAGAAGGAAAGAGGGAATTTTCCGAAAGATGGCTGGCTGTGTATGCTACGCGGTGGAGGCCCGCGACAAATCCACGTCACGTGCGCAAGCTTGCAGCGCAGCGCAAGCGAAGGTGCTCGCGCAGGGAAGGTGCTCACATGCGCCACAAAAATTTTACGTCCAGGTACGCGCGCAGATTCTAGTGAGTTTCTACGCTTTGGCAAGTCACTCGCTCAGAAATGAAACGAGTTTACGTCCGGATGATAGCTTCTGCTCTCCGTGTGACAATAGTGAGAGACGCGAACCTTCATATCCGGATCGAAGCTTCAACTTCCCTCAGATTGGTTACTCGTGCAGTTGCCGGTTTCAAATTCTGATAGCCTACTTACAGAATCCTAAGCACGCCGAAGCTATAGTTTTCTTTCCCTTTTTTATTGCACGAAAATATCTAACAGCCCGGCAGGTACACTGTATCTGTTTGAAGACAACGGCTGCCAGAGCTTGCCACTTGATACCACCCTCAACCACCAGTCGAACATCCGAATTCCTCAGGATTCTCTTCAGCGCTACTTACCTTTTCGTCCACTTCTTTGCCGCCGCCTTCTTCGAGGGCGGATTTTTCTTTCCACCAATCTCTTCCTTCGCCGCCGGAATCCAATACTCAATGTCGGTCCAGGCCTTTCCAGCGCGGTACTTGTCGATGACCGGAAGGATGACAAGATGTTCGCCTGTCAAGTTGGCACAAGTCCGTTTTTTGGTAGCACACATCTGGCATTGATAGCCAGCCTTGAATCTCGATACTCTCTTGTTGGTTGTACCGCGATCCACGGAGTAGTTGGCATGGCAGCTCTTCTGTCCGACTGTACCTCCAAGCCACTTGATGGAAAGCTCAGGGTTACGTTCATGAGCCTTGTTGATATACTCCATGAGCTTCGTTGCAGTGGCCGGGGCTGCATCTATGAGAGCCTGTATCTTGCGGTCGTCGTGGCTGTTGCCTTGATATACGCGGACCTTCAATTGCTTGCCGCCAAGAGCTTTCAGCATATCTTGATTCAATGGGAGTGGAGGACCTTGAGGCTGCAAAGAAGAGGGCAGCGGAGTTCGATGCCGCTGAGAGGGAAATGGTTGTGGAGTGCGCTGTCGCTGAGAGGCAGGAATGGCTTGGCTTCCCTCGTGTGAACTCTCAACCGCCATTCCACCCCCAGAAAGTTGTCTCTCTCCAGGCTGGCGCATCTCCTCTTCGAACCTAGGCGCTTGCAAGCTGGACGACTGGCCATGCAGCTCATCATCAAGCGTTTCTCGACGTGATTCTTCCATAGCTGCTTGTAACTCCTCCTCTTCGTGAATCCGCTGCATATCCACCTCAAATTGCATATCCTCACCCAAAGGAACGAGCTGTTCCTCAGCAGTAGCCCTGCCCTTGCCCTTGTCCTGAGTGGCAGTGCCGCTCTTATCCTCTTTCTCTTCGTGATCTTCGCGCTTACCTGGAACCACGTCTCCGTGTTTACTTGCGATGACATCTTCATCGTCTCCAAGCTGGGGAAGCTGCGGCGAATTAGGCTGCTCCTCTATGATGGTATCAGTCGTTCGCGGTGGCTCTCGGTTATTCATTATATTTAATTCCAGAGCCAGTCTTAATCGATCCATGGCAGCGTAGAATTCATCGCTGGCGAACTCTTTAGACCTATAAGGGATGAAATTAGTAGCTTTAAACCAATTATTAAGCGATAGGGCCTTCTTCTCCTTAGTACGCAGATTAAAAGTGTTTCTAGTAGTTACCGGGCTAGCTACTAGGCTTATAGTCAGCCGTAACGACGGAAAAATAGACTTAGAATAGTCTAATTACGCGCTATTATTTTAGTAAATTACTATTAAAATTAACTTAGAATAGTCTAATTACGCGCTATTATTTTAATAAATTTTAGTAAATTACTAGCGCGTAATTAGATTATTCTAAGTCGAATTTTACTAATATATAACTACTAGTTAGTTTCTATTACTAATAAGTTTAAATTTTAATAAAAACTAAACTAAATACGAGCTATTAATACTTATAGTACGTAATATATCGACTAAATTACGTATAATTAATAGATAAAATACGCTACTTCTATAAAATACTCTTAATTTAGCTAAATAATATTAAATATTTTTAAATCTAGTAATTTACTCTAGATATTCTTTTAAAAATAGTATATACTACTAGTATTAGAAGATATCTAGAATAATACTATATAATAATTTATAGTCTATAATTAAAAATAAATAAGATTTCTACTTATAGACTAGATCTAAATAAAATATTAGACTAAATTAATAGAGATAAGTAATTTACTAAAATAATAGCGTTTAATTAAGCTATTCTAATTTAAATTTTAGTTATATATCTAAATAGTAGTAATATTTAACCGCGATTACGGTTTAGATACTACTAGTAAAGAACGTATATAATTTATTATCGATCTTATTAATAAAACGTATTTCTATATTAATTTTTAAAATTTTTATATACTATACCGGTATATATACGTACTTATTACTATATTTAGTAATTTATCTTTAGATTATATAGAAGAATATTATTTAGTAGTAAACTACTACGTTTCTTACTATAATTTTTATTTTTTATAGCTATTTACTATAAATTTAATATCTCTAAATAGTAATACTAAATTAATTATAGCTAAAATAGCTATAAAAAAAATATAAAAAACCTTATAAAAACGCTCGTAGATATTATTTAACTATTTAATAGTAATTATATTTTATATAAAGACGTAAAAAAAACGCTATTAAAGATTCTTATATAATTTATTAACGCGATTATATTATTAAAAGATATAAATAAAACGATTTTAGTAAAGAAAATAAAAAAAATAAACTTTTTAAGCGATTTTAGCGAAGAAAACGACTTTTTTAATAAGTTTTATAGTTTTTTTAATAAAAAAAAGTAATTAAAAAGACTAAAGTAAATAAAAAAGCGATTAAAGAGACTAAAAAAGCGATTAAAAAGATTAAATTATATAAAAAAAAATAATTTAAAGAATTAAAAAAGCGATTAAAGCGATTAAAAAAATAATTAAAAAAGTTAAATTATATAAAAAAGTAACTAAAAGAACTAAATTATATAAGAAAGCGATTAAAAAAACGATTAAAAAGATTAAAAAGACTAAAAAAGCGATTAAAAGACTTTTATAAGTAGTTAAAATAACTAATAGTTACTAAATAGTAATATAAAGAACTAGTAAATACTATAAAATATTTAAAAAAAAACGACTAAATTAAATAAACTAGCTAGATATTATAGAAATCTAAGTAAATATTATAA